AATGGGTAACTGTTGTCAAGTATCCCTCACCTCTTGCTGGTGCACCTATTTCTGCTGAACAGAATATGACAAATGCCTATGAAACATATTCAGCCAACTTCAATAACTCTCAGCAAAATTCTTATGCACCTTTTCCAACTAAACTGAGCTGGAAAATTGCTAGATGGTTAAAGTTAAGAGGACCAGGCTCTACAGCATTATCAGAGCTATTGAGCATTGATGGTATAAGTATTTTTAATTATAAATAAAGTTTAACTTTCTCTTAAAAAATTAAAATAGGTTCAAGAAACACTAGGATTGCTATACAAGAATGCTCGTGAGCTTAACAAGATTATTGATATGAAGCTTCCTGATCATTCCCATTTTCACTGCAAAGAGATTGTAGTAGCTGGGGAGGTATTTGAAGTAGACCACAGACCAATTATGGACTGCATTCAAGCACTCTATAGTGATCCCAATTTTGCACAGCATCTTATTTTTGCTCCAGAGCATCACTTTGTTGAAGATGATATGAATATGCATGCATATCATGATATGCATACTGGAGATTGGTGGTGGACAACACAGGTATGTCATGTCTTAGTTTATTAAGCATATTATTTTATGTACTCTATATTTAGGAAGCTCTTGATAAGAGACAGCCAGAAGCTACTATTATTTCACTTATTATTTCAACTGATAAAACTCAGCTCACACTTTTTAAAAATAAGGCAGCTTATCCTGTCTACTTGACTATTGGCAATATTCCCAAGAATATTAGATGCAAGCCCTCTCATGGTGCACAGATTCTACTTGTATATCTTCCTGTTACTAAACTTGAACATATTGAAAATCAAGCTGCTCGGTGTCGTACTATTGCCAATCTCTTTCATACTTGTATGCTTAAAATTCTAGAGCCTACAAAAGAGCCAGAAAAAAATGGTATAAATATGGCCAGTGGAGATAGTGTTATTTGTTGCTGTCATACTATCTTTGCTGCACATGTTGGTGATTATCCAGAACAAGTTCTTGTTACTGCTGTCAAAACTGGAAAGTGTCTAACATGTACAGTGCCTACAGGAGAACTTGGCAATAATGACAAAAAATATCCATTTTATGATCTCCATCAGATTCTTCATATTCTTCAGCAAGCTGACTCTCCTGACTACTCAAAACAATGTCAGAATGCTGGTATTAAGCCTATTTATCATCCTTACTGGGAAGATTTGCCTTTTGCAGATCTATATACTTCTATAACTCCTGATATTCTACATCAGTTATATCAGGATATTATCAAACATATAGTTTCATGGCTTAAAGATGCTCTTAGTGAGGCTAAACTTGATGCACGTGCTCACAGACTACCTCCAAATCATCATATTCATATTTTCTCTAAAGGTTTCTGCTCACTTTCAAGACTTACTGGTAGAGAGCATGCTGATATTGCTCATATTCTTCTGGGTCTTGTTATTGATATTCCACTTTCTAATGGTGTATCTTCTAATAAGCTACTTCAAGCTCTATGTGCTATATTAGATTTTCTTTATCTTGCACAGTATCCTGTTCAGACTACAGCAACTTTGCAGCATCTCAAAGATGCATTAAATAGATTTCATGCAAGTAAAGATGTCTTTCTTGAGCTTGGAGTATGTGATCAATTTGAAATTCTTAAGCTGCATTTTCTATTGCACTATATATGGTTGATTCAGTGGTTGAGAACCACTGACAACTTTAATACAGAGTACACAGAGTAATTACATATTGATTTAGCAAAAGATGCTTATGATGCTACCAATAGCAAAAATGAATATCCACAGATGACTATCTGGCTAGAGCGAAAGGAAAAGATATTACATTATGAGAGATATATTCAATGGCGTCTTGCTGGATGTCCTTCTCTACAGCCTATTATGCCTTTAGAATATTCAAAACCACTAAAAATAACTAAAGCTCCTTCAAGAAAAGCTGTGACTTTGGAGACACTTTCACAGGACTATGGAGCTGTCTTTTTTCGAGATGCTCTTGCTCGCTATATTGTCAAATGAAGAAATCCAAATCTGACATTTGCTTAGGCAGAATCTCTAGCTTGTGATATTGATTTACCCTTTGTGTGAGTTTCTGTATATCATAAGGCTAAATTTTGGCTAGGCCATAAAGAACATCCTCAACTACAGTCAAATGAATATGATGTTGCTCATGCAAGGCCAAGACATGTTGATACACATAACAAGGAGATTTCAGCTTGATTTGATACTGTCTTAGTTAATGATGGTTTTGGAAGCTATATTGGAGTAGAAGGTATTATTTATATCACTCTTTTAATAGATAATAATCTAATATAAGTTTTATAGGTTATTGTGTTGCACAGCTTTGAGTAATTTTTTCAATATTCAAGTGTGCTTCTATGGAGCTTTTTCCTTTAGACAAGCAGCCTCCTCAGCATCTTGCATATGTGAAATGGTTCAAACCATTTGATCACTCACCTAAAGCCAATCATCTATTCTATCAGGTTAAATGTTCAACTCTTAGAGGTGAGAGATTAGCGAGTGTAATACCTCTAGCAAGTATTCATCATAGTATTTATTTAATTCCAAAGTTCAATAGTGCAGTTCCTAGATATTGGCATAGTGATACTATTCTAGATAACTATTCAACATTCTTTGTAAATTCATTTTCAGATAGACATGCATTTTATACTATTATTTAAATACAATAAAGCTTCTCTAAATATATCTAATTATTACTATATTTCATCTTAATTATCTCTAATTTAGCAAGAATAGATGAATTGGCTGAATTATCTGAGCTAGCAATAATATCTCTTATTTATTGAGAAATTGCAGATAATTGGCATAGGAGGTTTTTCCTGATGCATGGCCAGGCTCATTACTGCGACGCAAATGGCCACTGAATTCCATTCAGTCCACCACCCACTCCCAAGACTGGTGCAGTATGTTTCCCTTTTTATTGGTGCTCTGACCATTGATTAATGGGTTCATAGCCATATCCTCCAGCAGATAGTCCCAATGATCGGTCTCCTCAAGTTGCGCCACCTTCTGCTGAGCCTCCTCAGACAAGTGAGGGGCATGCTCTGCCTTCAGGAGTGGTAAGCTTCATCACTCATTTCAACTGACAGTGATCTCAGTATATACTAGGCATCTGTTACGCACCTGTGCCCAGCTTCCTACTCAGTGTACACATTCCCTCCACCAACGGTACATATTATTGTCAGTTGATATTGTTCCACACAACTGATGTACCATCTTGTAGGCTCCCAATGCAGCTGCAGGGCCATCACATTTTGGACCAGGTGCTGCAGTCATAGATCCGGCTCTTATACCTCTTCCGGCTAGTCAGCCAAGTGACATTGCTAGTCTTCGGGGCTATTCCCCAGCAGTGAAAACTGCTGGTGAATGAAGGAGTGCAAAGCCTACTCGCAAAGATAAGGGCAAAGCTCGTGAAGTCATACTGCACCAGTCACTCAAGTGTAAGTGTGAAGACAGTGAGAAGCAGCCTTGCAAGCAGAGATGCGCTGCTGGCATCACCAACTACGGCAAGACTGAGGTCAATCAGATCCTTGTATTCGCACATGAGGAACTTCCTGTTGGCACGAAGGGTTGGATCATTATTGGAGGTAGATATTACAAGTGGGCCATCAAGAATGGCTATTCGGTTCATAGTGACAAGTCTCTTAAGAACAAGTATAAACAGGTACTGTAGATCACTCAACTATTCCACTTTCTGAGGGCTTAACAGCATTCATCTACTCAGCTACTCAAGACAACAAAGCTGACTGAGAGTGCCGAGTGTCCTCCTGAGGTCAAGTATGCTCACGAAATTGAGTATCTCATCTTGGGTAGGGCTGGAACATGGGACCTTGATGACAGAGAGATAGCAGATGTCTACATCTCTGATGATGAGGATAACGAGAGTGACCACTCTTGTATCTCCATTAGCACTGATGAAGATAGCAATGATGAAGATGACGAGGGTCCACAGGTCAACCCTAAGAGCTGTAAGACTCCAGTCGCACATGCTGTTAAGGTTGAACAACCCCTTCAATCTGCTGTTGCACCCTCTCATCACTCACATGTTGGTCCCGGAATGGAGGTACTCTCACATATTTCAGAGTCATTGAACCCTGCCACTCAGGCTGTTCATGACCATAGCCATGCTGAGCACTCTATTCAGATAACGCAAATCATGGCATTGAATGAGCAGCTACATGATGTCAATGCCAGTGTTGCTGAGCAGCTACGTGATGTCAATGCCAGTGTTGCTGAGCAGCTACGTGATGTCAATGCCAGTGTTGCTGAGCTTCGCAGTCAGCTTATGGAGTCAGAGCATTCACAGCAGGAGGCAGAGCATCATGCAGACCGGTGCGAGCAGCATCTCGAGATGACACAGATGATGCAGTCATTCTCAGGTCATCATGGTTCAGAACAACTGTCACCCAGCTTTCACCACTATCGGTTACATTCTCCTGCTCATATTGATGATCGACATCTACCTCGCTATATCAACTGTCATAATTTCACAACTCACTATCGCTCTCAGCATTGTTCCCCTTCATTCAACCCATATAACCCACATTCCCGATATGATATTGCATATCGTGATGGTGGACATGCGACATACTATGCCACTGCATCTGAGGCTGCCAGATTTTACCCCGATCTATTCACCCAAATCAGCCCTGACTGCCATGTTGAACGCCATTCACTCTCACCTCTGCTACCTCCCATTGGTCATCGCATGCACAATCGCTTGACTCGTTCACGCTCTCCACAACATTCTACATGGGTTCCTCTAACCCCTCATATTGCCGGTCCCAGTCATGTCAATAGGGTGGGTGGTGTCGAGCTCGCTGTCATGCCCCATCGTAATAGAGGAGTCTCAGTTGTGATCACACCTGTTCGTGATGCCGCTGAAGGCCTTTGCCATCTTCATCAAGCTCCTCTGCAGTGTGCGCCATTTGTCTCTCCAAGTTTATCTTCAGAGCAGTTTCCTTCTGTGGAAGTCTAGTAACTGTACCTTTCTTGAATGGTAGTAGCTCCTTTGTATTTGTGCTTTACTCTACTTTGAATACATGATGTAACTACCTTGGTGATAGTTAATCATACACAGCAACTACATGAAATGCAGAAACACGATCTCTCTTCCGCTGTTCAGAGAAGAGCATTGACTCGAAACCATCCCAAATATCTCCTTGATCACCCTCATGCCATATTGGAACATAGACTGATGCTATCTGATTAATGCCTACACAGTGCATTCGAAGTTGGTGTATGCATCCACAAGTCTCTAATAAGTCAGCACGAAGGTTATTGTGAGCGATCTCGAGTGGTACATGTAAACAGCCAAATGATGCCTGAATGCCTTGCATTCCCCACTCTGCTGTTTGTCGATAAGACAATAACTGCCTATCATAGTCAAGAGTCCTTCCGTAGTTCTGCCTCATCAGACGGCAAGGTCTGACCTTGCTTTATTGGGACACGAATTCGACCTTCAATCTGTTTTGTGCCATGCGGGAATGCAGTATCGGCAACAAGAAAATATCCTTCTGGAGTGCAATTTTGCAGTCGTTCATAAATTGGCTGGGTGACGCGAGAATCATGCCAGCTGCCCGGACAGTTCCAGTTTGATGCAATAAGGGTTCCTAGTATGATACAATTAGCGATAAGGGCTGGGAAAGAAGTCAAAATTATTGATACGTACCCTTCGCTCTGAATGCAAGAACAGAACTTACGAAGTGACTATGTAGCCACCCATTATAGGTGGCATTCTCAATCTCAATGTCATCTGATTCTTGACATAAAAGATTCAGACCGTCTATACTTCCAAAGGCTCCCAAGAGAAGGTGATGGCATGCGAGGACTAGTTTCGACAACTCTTCAAATTCATTGTGGTCCTTGACTTCATCAGGCCAATTGATCTTTGCTAGCGGCATTGATTTCAAAGTCTCCAGCAGTATTCGCAGGGCGAAAGTGACATAACAGGTAACTGTAGCAGGAATGAGGGCGAAGACTTGCTGAAGTGTAATTTCGCGCATTGTGGATGATAACCAATGTAAAGTTAGACCGAGTCCACCTGCAGCATCAAGGGATCTCCTCTCGGGACGTGAGACTCCAGAAGAAGAGACATCGGTACGGTCAATGGTGGACTCATTCCATCGCTGCTCAAATCCGGAGGCCAGGATGAGCTCAAACGTTGGAACATCAAGTCCCATTGTGACTATGTATGCACGGTCTTTATGACCATTGTGTAGTCGCTGCCAAGGCGTGTCACCACGAGGATGTGGTAGTAAATCAGGACGACAGAGGTAACTGCGATGTTCATTACGGCATTGTATTCGTCTAAGACGTGCTTCCTCTGCTCCAACTCCCAACATTGTGGCCACCACAGCCTGCACCTGTTGAACCTCATCTTCCATATCCTCCTCCTCTTCATCCTCTAGGAGATTTTGCATCCATGCACTCTTGCTGCGACGGCTGCGATTCGAGGTCATACCGGAAGCCTGAGAGATTGAGATTCAAACTCCGCTTTCTCAAACAACATGATATATTCTTTTCTACTCTCGTGCAACGGAACAACAGAATCCATAAAGTCTTTAGAGACCATCATTTGGACTCCGCTTTGGCTTAGTTTAGAGGTTTCAGATCCTACGGAAAGGCATCCAATGTCGTTGTAAAGTTGGGAACACTTTGATCAAATAGTATTGAATTGACGTACGATACAAAAGAAGATTGATATTGATTTGAGAACAGTCATACGAACACGAAGAAGATATTATATACCACTTCGAGGCATTAGTAATCCATGAAACAATTGTTAGCTTCGTAGCATCATTGAAGCTCTACGTAATGTGCAATGAATATGCCGGCTGAAGGCGGTAGTGAGCCAGATGCTGGTCCGGCCGGTTAATTTCAGCGGTGAGAACCGCATTGGTGGATGGAGACCGTCCTTGGCCAGATACATGCCACAGCAGCGCCGTCCTGAAATGAACATTGAAGAAATCCCAAGAGACATCATCGGTACTAGTGACAGAAGCATGTCCGGCAGTGAGATTTGCTTCAGTGGCCGGTCGCGGAGGAAAAATTTGCTTATAATTCTGCATGCCGGGAGCACCACCCTTTTCAAAACGATAGATGTAGTTGTCACGGTTCTCACGGCCATATTTCTGCGAGCAGGTAAGATTGCTTTCTCCAAAAAGGCACAAAGGTAAAAGCCACACACCCAAACACTAAATTGGTAATCATCAAAGAGATTGTGGATATCACTTCGAAGGAGAATCGCGTTGTAAGGCATATCAGCTGCGTCTCGAGAACTGAGCCATGGGAACACACTAGCCGATACTAATCGATTGGCCTGGAGGAACGAGAGAAATATCAGTCAATGACGAAGACAAGTGGAGGAAACGCACTTGATCGAGTGCAGCCAGAGGGTATATATGCGCCACCTCGAGTGCGGTAAAATTAGCACCACGAGGACGTAACGTCGCAGGCTCTTGCGTTATGCGGCAAGCCATATCTCGCTTTCTGACCAGCTTCTTGGTTACATTGCTCTGTCGGCATGTCATCGATATCATTAAGAGAGGGTGAAAGTGGTGATATTACGTACTCGACCTCTCCGGTTAACTGAAGCACCTGTGCCCCCGCTCCCATTTCCCGACAAACAGCGCGAGGAGATTTCGGGAAGGAGGGGTGTACGGCATCGGAGATAGAAAGTATTTGCCAATGGATCCCAATCTAAGAGAATGTAATGTCCGGGAATGACATTACTACTACGCGTTGTTCCTTGCCTAATGACGGGTGCGCGCTGTTGCTGTAGCCATGTGCTAAGAGCATCCTCGTCTTGCGGAAGATCACGAATACGAGGATCACCCCAATGGACGAGTGCGAGCTCTTTCGGTCCGCGTTCAACGATGACTGCCAGCCACATAAAAAATGTGTCGTATGTCAAATCGCCGTGCTGATAGCATCCTGAAGATGACAGTAAGGAGACAAGTGACTATAGTTATGGCGAGCATACCTGCTATTACACGAAGCCTCAGCACCAATGAGCGAGCCGAAGCCCATACGTGAATGTTTCTTTCATCTTCGTTTTGATATCTATCGTCATAGTCACGAAGCATCAGGGTAGGGTGCAAGAAGTCGCTCTGAGCCATTGTGAGGGTATGCGCGATTCCAGGAGGAAGTGGAAGGCACCGCGAGCCTTGCCATTGAGATCAACCGGATCGAGCTGCTTTATAGTGGATGAAAGACGCTAAACCAGCGAAAGAACAACTTCATTGTTTCCCGCCAAGAAATCTCATTGACAGACAAAATAAGTACTTCCGTGATAGAATGGGAGCATTCATATCTATCGAATGATCCGCGTCCGATGGAGAGGTCCTTTTCAAGAAAAACAATAGCGAGTAAATAAAGCTTCCGGACAACGTGTAGCGATAATTGTTGCGTTGGCTAAGTAGGCGGTGTCGAGTGCTACAACGGTCAAGAATGGGAGCGATCCCATCTGGAAAGGTTCGCCAACACGACCGAAACACGACTATAGCACGAATTTAGTTGTCAACATAGAAACCCACGAGTGATAACGAACCTTAGCGACATCTTGGGAATCGCTTGACAATGAACAATAGGACTTCAAAGGACATGTGTTATGATTCTACAGACCGGCAAGCACAGTTCAGATAACGATTAGCAGTGAATGACTTGAGGCAACACCACATGACTGAACGTTGAACCGTCACATATGTCGTACAAAAGAAACCTGCCGTACCTTTCATTGTTCTTGTTCAGTTGTTCTCTCTTCTGGTTGTTGTAGCCATGTGGTGCTTCGATGACACAATGTTGCGGGCGGCTTACGGGCGGCTCATGCTTGATTTGGCGGCGAAAACACTATAAGTATGGCAGAAAGATCCGCATCGCCTGTTGTATGTATACTTAGAACGCCACTATGGAATCCCAACCAGCTCATATGTTATCTCGTCTGTCGATTAATCGAGGTGTAGATGTCTTCATCTGGTGGCCGCACCGTCGTCGCGCTAGTATTGCCATGGGTGAGTCACAACACCCATCTACCCTAACATGTTCAATTGGGTTGACATAAAATGTCAGGCTTTAATTCGCATCGTACGGGGCCTATCACGCCTTCGCGAGTATGCCGATGGATACATCTATTAGACCCGCTGTGCCACGACGGGCGTGCAGTTCTGCGACCCGTCAAGATTCAGAAATGTGGCGTATTACACTACGTAGCTGAAGTATCCGGCCCCGTCCTGAACGAAGACAATAATTTGATGCCTGGTGACTACGGTTACTTTCCTGGTATCTACATTCCTCGAAATTTCTAGTATAATCCTTGCGTGTTCATGACGTTCCACCAGAATCTAAGGAAGGACTCGATTACCGTGTACAACCACTTCCATCCCTTCCATCCGTTACGACCATCGAAAGGGAGCGGGAGCTTGCAGTGACGATACCAAGGTTGTTCGCTAACCAACCGCCCATTGTAAGCCCCATTTTCTCAGCCTTGCAGTTCTATTCGTTGATGGAGCATGTAGCTGGAAGTACCTACAGAATTCCAAAAGGTTGTTCAGCAGCGGGACTCTGGCCGATGTTTTGTCTCTGGGGCTTGGCCTCAAGAGGGTGTAGAAGTTGAAGTAACATGGATATTCCCCCCTGCGTCGGTTAGGAAGGTACATACGCCGCTACTAACGATACTGACCAATATTTGTGCTCAATGACATTTCGTCTCTACAGTTCGATTGGCCACGTCCTAGAGGTCCTAATGCCGTGGTAGCGGACAACACTGCGGCAATGCGTAAAGACATTTTACAATTATTCCGAAGGAATGTCTTTGGGGTTGATGTAGATGTGAGTCTGTCCATTTCGCTCCAGTAAGTATTCCCCGGGCCCTTACTGAGTGTAAACGCAACCAGGACAATCGTCGCATCGTTATATTCTATGACACAGGGTCCATTCAACTTCCAACCCACCTTCCCACAGCACCCCCAGGACCGGGAGACGAGTTCCTCAGAATGCATCTCCGCTGGTGTCTCGTGGCGTTTACCACGGGGCTAGACATTATGAATGAAATTGACTGGCATGACATAGCTAGGCTGGAGGAAGAGCTGGGATTAGCAGGTGAAGATGCGGATTGCGGGGTTGTGCCGACCGATGATGAGAGGTGGCAGACTCCTCTTGGACGGGAGATTTGGGAAGATGTTGTTAGAAAGGGGTTGTGGGAAACGCAGCAGTCACAAGAGAGCGACGAAGTGAACCACGAACCCGTATCCGTCATAAATGCCAGTGCGGACGAATGGCGAGGTGACGGTCACCCTCTGGTCAGATTCCCGCCCATGTGTCGGCCGTTTGAATAACGATACACCTCCATATTGTGATATTTGTTTGCTACATAACACAGCTGTCAGTAACACTTGATATTGTTTTGATGTGTACATCATTTCTATGAGATCTCAAAACTTGCCTGCTCGTTACCGCTACAAAAAAAAACAGCCTTCACCTACTTCATATTCCTCTGCCTTAGTCTCCACACGCAAACTCATGCATGATACATCGGACGAACTTACAGGACAATCATTTTCGAGGGTTTTGTTTCATACCGGAATCTCAGGATACACATGAAGAGTAAGTTGTACGACTATTTCGATACCTTACACCGGTCACGTCCATCGAAAGAGAACGGCGACTTGCAATCAACGTCCCAAAGTTGTTTGCTTACCTACGTACTCACCTCAGAATTGCAGAAGGCTGTTTAACAGCGAGTCTCCCACAGGCAGTGTAGACAAAAGTTCAATTTTCTACACCACGTTCTGCCTCTACGAAAAACGCTTGTTTGTTCCATTGAAATATCCACTCAGAAGCCAAAGGGGCATGCAATGGATGTAGGGAGGATTTTACCTGTGTCAGCGAACAAAGGAACAATAAACATGGGGGGCAGTGCATGCACAGGACTCCACATATAGCCTAATGTTCCAAGAATGGTCGCCTCGTGCCTGTACACTGATCATGACGGCCGCCACATTTTATCGTTAATCTCTGTATGGATGGGTCTGTTGGTTTGTGGCGACGACGGTGTGAGTTGTGACTTTCAAGAATTATGCAGAAGATCGGTCTCGAGAACGCCACATATATTGCTCATGAACATACTGCATAAAAATCATACATGCTGTAAGGATTCACCGAATGATGACAGATGTTATGCCAGCTCACCACACATTATGCTTATCTTGATCCCAACTCAGATAACAAGATTCTCTCAGACCGGTCGTCAGAGACTTGATATCCTTCCTGCTTGACCTCCAAACACGAACTCCAGTGAATGAGATGACCCCTCCGTTCCCTGACGTATCGCGCATAAAGACCTCCTGCACAGGTCACGGCAACACAACTGATTACCGCTGGCCATTGGAACTGCTCTGGTCTCGAGAAGACAATCGTGGACACGTATGCAAGTAGCTCGAATGTGTTCTGAAGGGACGTCTCAATAGTGGAGAAGGCACCCATCTGGGTCTTGGGCACGATCTGTTGAATCTGAAGCTGCACGCTGAGGTCGAAGGACCACAGGCCCATGCGGGAGAGGATGACGGAGACGATTAGCGGAAAAGATGCGGCTGAAGAAGACCTGTCGTTGAGGACGACAAAAAGGATGGTTCCCAATAATAGTGACATGATCTGCTCGTTGATCGCCCATAAACCTGAGCGAATGGGTCCTATACGGGACATGAGAAGTGGGGACAAGAATGTGGCGCTGATTTCGGATAACGTGCTGAAGGTCCGGAGACCACCAATAACGGCTGCGTTGTACGATATATTGGTGTTTGGGAACGGAGGAAGTGCGAGCAGATAGGTCACCATTTGGCCGTTGAAACTGAGAACGGTGAGATAGAGGAGGGAAAGCGCCAGAGATGGCAGGAACATGGGCGAGCGCGAATAGGCTTTGATGCTCTCCCAGTAGGACGTTGGAGTTCGCACTGAGATTTCTGGATCATCCGGAGCCAATAACGCTTCTTCTTCCATCAAAGCTTCGTCTTCTCGTTGTGTGGGCATGCTTTGTTTGCTTATTTGAAGTGCAGGGACTAGATCGTAAACCTGATGTAAGGTAAATTTATAGGAGTTAAAGAAAAGATGAGAGCGCATCCATTCACTTTAGCTATGGCACCATACTCCACAATGACCGAAACCAGGTTCCATCCGAGAGTCGTAAGAATGGCAATGGCAATCGAATAGGCAGCCACAAGAGCAATAAATAGTGGCCCAACAAGCTTGCAAACCAGATCGATCCGTCGCATCTGAGCATTGAGTGTTCGGAGGACATCTTCATCATCAGCTGAAACGACGATAACCTTATCGAGTAGTACATATGTCAGTACAGATATAGAGTAACTAACTCGGGACATACCCAATCACGCTCAACAGATACTCGGTTCATTATAGAACCAAGCTTCTCCACGCATGCCAGAAGTGAGGCCGCTCCAAGGCACATCCATTGTACAGCAGGAGACCAAAATCGTCCTATCAGCAGAAAGTAGAATATTATGCAAGAGGCTGCTACGACTAGGCGTTGCGATACTGTGAAAGGCTATTGCATTAACATCACGGGGGACAAAAACGCATAGTAAGCTTACATATGGATAACCTCACTACATGGAGGCGGTCCTTGTTATCAATGTATCTGCCTACGACGGGCGAGAGGAAGATTGCGGATAGAGATCTGACAAGGGCATATACTGAAGGAGGAAGAAGTGACCCGGGAATAGCAGATGCAATGAATAGCACCGCGCCGAATTCAAAGACACGAGAGTTCCAGGTTGACAGGAAGTGGGATATGTATAGGCGTGTGTTAACGCCTACGCCACGCATGTCCGCTTTGCTTCAGGCCCGAGGAATGAAAAGGGTTTGGTACTCTACTACACTGCCAGTGACAATCCTATTGCAGTGAGGCGACGAATTATTATCGATGCAAACCGAGATACGATTGCCCACCGACGTTGAGTACAGCTCCGGAATCCGGAGGACATCGTACGACAGTCACACCTACCCACCAATTGAATAATTGATGTTGTACTACGACATATACTGTAGCAAGTCATTCATTTGTGTTTCCTCGTATGCGGGAGTCGTCGGAAGGCCTCTGCTATAAGCCGTCTTTATATAGCATCATCGGACCGATCGGAATCCACGATTACTTCGAAAGTTCAAGGAACGAATAAAAATAATACAGTTGCGCCGAGGGGGAATTGAACCCCCGGCGGGTCGAGATTCTTTCTCGAATGGCAACGACCCAGGTTACCACTACCCCATCGGCGCTATAAATTATTTTTCAAATTTTATAATGGCTGTTGGTTTTTTAAGTTTTGACCCTAGCCTACTTAGACTAGCTTGACCTTCTCCTTTGAGTTTTCAATGTCGGTTGGCCTATACATGTTTCGTCTCCCAAATCGCCTGGATTAATTACTCCTAGTCACCCAGAAACATGCGGTTCATCAAGATCCTTAGACAAGAGCTCATACAATGGCCAAATATCACGGATGTTGTCACCTGTATCTCTCCCTCTTGCCTGCGCTCTTACTCTCCAAATAATGTTCCCATCCGACATCATTAATCGTATTACTACGATACTTATGCATCGTCTCCCATGGGCATGCTTCAGGTGAGTACGTTGATTTTCAATTCCCAATGTCAGTAGCAATAATGAAACTCTTTATGTATACGCTATCAGGCACATTAGTATGACACCGGCATAACTGGGGTGGTCTGGAGTTTAGTCAACAATGCGCTTGCAGGTCATGGTAAACGGGTTAGATTGAGACTGCTAGGCACGCTAGAGCGCTGTCGAGTCAGGATTTTATTGGTGATCGAGTCAGAATGGCTTACTGCTCTTTCGAAGGTTTCATAGATGAAACATGGCCTAGAACCAATATTTGCAAACTCTCGCTCACAGACTCACAGATTGAGCGATCCAGCATTTACTAAGCCTATCCTTTACTTACTCCTATACCTACATAGGAAACATAAAGGAGCGTTCTCAACGTTTCATCCACCCTATTGACAAGATATCTAGACTCGTGGTATGGCGGATGCTTTTTCGAGATGCTTGATCTGACCTGACCTATCCCAGTCCTACACTTTTTGTGCCGAATAATCAAATGACGTCCGTCAATTCCAAGCCCTCAGTATTGTCGTAGCTCTTGCACCTCCTATCTCTACGATTTTGAGTTGGAGCATGACTCAACAAGCCCAACTGATTTCAGACGTCAACCTATTTCTCAGCACGATCAATAAGGGAAGATAAGCTTCGTATACTGATCATCTTGGCCAACCACCTTTCCTTTAGATGACTTGAAATTTACTTGGACTTAAGACTTACTTGGTCTACCCCTGAAAGTACCTCTGGCTATACAATTGTCTGCGTTGAAACTAAAGTAAGTGCAAGATCGACGGGTATATATACGTCTTTCGTTATGTGCCCGTTCACTATCAACTTGTGTACACGTTGCTAACCTGCTATGAACGGCCACATACCGTCCTTCCAACTATTTGGCCATGTTGTCCTCCTTTCGCATGAGGCTTGGGGTAAGCTTCCGCTTCTCCACTACTTTCCGGTACTGATGGATAGGTGTTTGTCGCAGGACATATGAGGTCTCTGTGCGTCTTAGCGGCACGCATTGCGCAATCAACACCCCCCGTCTATGTCACATTCTTCGTGCCAAACAAGGTACACGACCGTGTTATCAAGGAAGTGTCTCGTAATTTTGGAGTGGGTGATGCAGGATTGAACCATCTCAGGTTGGTCTTCAGCCTTCAAAGCAACTGTATCTGAATGCCTCGTTTAATGTGATGATCTAGAATTGTGGGTCTGTACGATGGAGAGGATGGTACCCATTCGTTTTCGATGGAGGAACAGTTTGAAACCTTCAGTAGATCGTTCGCGGATGCCTACGCACAGCTTCAGCTGTCTTCTAAAATGTCAGCGGGTAGCGAGGATATTCCGCCTAGTCCGAACGCTGTCATCCTGGATGTAAGTCAAGTTACACCTGTACATGTCTCTCTTCTGACTCTTTAATTTAGATGATGTGTTCCGAAGCTCTCAGAGCCGTTCGCCGTCTTAGCAGAATTCCAGTCAAAATCTATACTTGGATTGCTGGCATGCTCTCGTTCATGCTCTACCCTTTCTCTCCCGAGTCATATGGCGGCCGAGGTGACTATAGAGAGCGGATCATGCATGAAGTCAAGCGCACCGGAAGGTGTTTCGAAGAGGTTGCAGATGAGGTGGGTCCCGTTACTCTATCTGAGAGCATCTCTCGCGAATCCAACTATGTCGAAACTAGGTCATGACAAGCACCGATGGCTCCATCATTCGCGTCCCAGGGATACCACCTATGTTTGACCATGAAATACACCCGCAAGAAGTGCGTTGAGGTCTCGGTTTTGCCAACATACACTGACAACTCCAACACGTTATAGATGATTGTGAAAGGCGTCGTCGGTTTTCTCTGGGTGATGATTCAACAGTCAGCTCTCTAGCCGTTATGCAGAGATCATATGACTGAGCATCTTTCCAGAGTAATAGCAGAGTGTGATGGTGTTATCTCGAACTCTTCCGATGTTTACGAACCGGAAGCAGCCGCCTCTCTGAAGAATTGGTTCGCTGAGACTGGCAGAGAGGCCTATGTAGTCGGACCTTTGCTTCCAGCATACGGAGAGATCCTCACCAGAGACAATAGCCCTCGAGCTCGAGATACGTCCGAGGTAGAAGAATTCTTAACTTCTGTGTTACAGTCTCACGGAGTGAAGTCACTTCTTTACGTTCGTGATCACTAAGTGTCTCACCCATTAATCTCTGATTTTGTTGATCCACGACGTTTAGATCTCTTTCGGGACCGTATTCTGGCCTACGGAACCAGACAAACTCTGGACGTTTTTGGATGTGGTGATAAGCATGAAGATCCCTTTCGTACGTGATAATGTGGATTATTGCTGTATGTTTCTCTGACGCGAGGGCGAAAGATATTGAGCCATGCATCCCCTTTTGCATCCATTCCTGATTCGGTGGCTGAGAAATTAGCGCATTACAAGCTTGGCATGCTGTGCCCTTGGTCCCCTCAACAAACAATACTCGCTCACCCTGTATGTCATTCTGCTGTACGAGCAAAACGATACTGATAGTCGCATAGGTTACGGGCTGGTTTGTTACTCATTCCGGTCATAATAGCGTCGTGGAAGCGATTAGCATGGGTGTACCTATGTGAGTTCATCCCTTCGCCAACTGGTAGACATAGCTTCTAATGCTCAAGGCCACTTTAGGATCTGCTGGCCTTACCATGCAGACCAACCTTTCAATGCCATACGTCTTTCGGAAATACTCGACGTGGGGTTCGAACTATTGGAAGTCCGTTCTGGGGAATGCGGCATGAAGCCACTTTATCGTACCGGGAAACCTCCTAGAGGAACAGACCAAGCAATCAGGGAAGAAACATCTTCCATTTTGCAGAGGGCCTTGGGGCCTGAAGGAGCCAGGAAGCGGGGGAATATGGAGACCTTGCGACGGCGTGTTTTGAAGGGACGAAGAGAAGAAAATCCATATTGGCAGGATGCGGATACGGACAGACTGGTAAGATCACTGAGGTCTCCGCATCCTGGTTTAGTTTAGCCAGCAAAGCTGCCTCACCGCGATTTCTCTTGTATCTATCTGTATGGTGATTTTATGTACTTAACGCCTTGGAATGGATGGTGTACAACTCGATCTTTCCTTCATTGACGGTCGAATAAGGCTCTGCAAGAAACAGCATACGTAGTAAGTTGTGTATCGAAAAGAAATTTTTACTTCGTGAGCTAGAAACAATTTGACTTGTCCTTCGAATTCGAAGACGCGGAACCAGTCTGAAGGCTCTGGCCGTGGCCAATCGTAAATCCGTCTATGCTTGGTATCTGGTGCCTCGGAATCGGAATCAACTTCATGCAGGAAACATGACAGCCGCCATGCACTCCAATAGCATTGAAGGGTCTTGGTCCGATAACAATGAGTCTTCCTCAGTATCAGCCCATGCATAAAATAGGTAGTCAATGAAGATATGAATACGAACCCGACTATGAAATGGCCAATGAAACATATACATAAGTCCAATCCAACCCCACAAAAACGTGCAGACGTAAACACTACAGCTCATACGCGACATTTCAACTCCGCCCCGACCATGGCAAGAGTGGCACCAAGACACCAACCCAACTCAGTCCCGTCGATCTGTTTTCCGATCTCCACAACTCTGTCCGAAGAGAACTCGTATCCTAGTCTCAACAAGGCATGCATAAACGTCAGGTCTAAACACCATTCCGGTCTCCCATCGAGGTCTTCCATGAGTGCTGGATCATCACCCCAATGTTTTTCCCACTCGGGTTTGCCGAGGCATACTTGTTGAGCGAGGGTCGCGATAGTGGAGATGCGGATAGGTGGGGATGATGGGGAGTCAGGGAGGAGAGGGCGGAGACGATCGTAGAAGTAGGAAAGGAGCATGATCTTTCCTTTGGGGAAGGTTTCGAGTAGGGAGGGTTGATAGACACCATTGAAGGCACATGGTTTGACTTCGCAGATACTGCAGAACAGTTTGGGATATTGAGTATCTGAAAGCGTACGGAGAGCTTGAATTTGGGAACTTACGCGTCTTTCGCCATAACGAGCTCGATCACCCTGTTGCAAGATTCGAAACCACCTATGTCCTCTCCGACCATCGTAACATTCCTGCTATCACCTCGAATTGCGTCCTCAATCGTGACTTCCCGGATAGTTCCTCTAGAAAGACAGGGATTCCCAACAACAGCCTCTGCACCAGGCTTATGGAAAGAACCCATAAACTCAACTAACCTATGGACACTTTCCCGAGCTTTCATAAGACCATAGCCAAGGTATGAATGTTGGTAGAGCAAATGATCTTTCCCAGCAAACTTGAGATCATACTTGTGCTCGCCCTCTTCAAGCGTACTGTCCGGTTTCGACATATCGAAAGTCGGCGTGAAGACTATCTGAGTTGAAGCGCCACCGAGGTCAAGGACACCGTAAGGTTTTGTACCTTCAGGTGTATCGGGACGGATAGTGTTAAGAAGGTAATTGGCGGTGATCCAAGCGTACACGCCCTCATCGCTACCATCCATGATCACGACACCATCCTGGTCGGGAAGACTGAAAGGATATCTCTCGCGTAGACGATGTCGTACCGCTTCGAGGATCTCCTCGCTCTCGGCCCTACCCAAGAGACGTAGACCCGCGGTCGCTTTCACAGCGACGGGGGTACATTTCTGTAAAGGCGGAGGGACGACTCTGACTGCTTCTTCTAGCAGAACGTCGAGACTTCGTGCCGCTTCGAGTGGCTTCCCGTTGAAGTCCGACAAGCCAGGCTGTGTTTGCTTGAATACCTCATATTCGTATGCTGGAGAGGGGCCACAATTGTTGAACTTGTAAACGTGAATCCTAGACCCAGTCGATCCCGCATCTATCATAAGAGCGTACTGCACTAGTGGGACTCCAGGTTTGTGCGGTGCCGTGCAATATACTGTCTTTGAACCGTCCGGATCTGTATCTATTGAGGTCGGTCGAGGTTGTGGATTGGGTATGATGTCCTCATCTAAAGGGTGTGACGGTGGGGGTGCGTTCCCACTCGTAGGTTGAGGCTGCTCCTCGGGTAACGTTGTTTCAGTCGATGAATCCGGCCAATAAGGTTTAGCAATAGCTTCACGAAAGTCATCAGGCCAACGTCACAAACGCAGGGCTAATCTGACACTCACAAGGAATGTATCTCTCTGGTATAATATCCTCTTTCCTCGGTCCCAATACCCAAACGAACCCAAGAAGGACAACGGCCCCAACTGCGAACTTCTTCCAACCAAATCTCCTACCAGCCATCCTGCTGGGACCTAGTCCGGTTTCGAGTCGTTCGTAGTTGTTGCTTCGCGGTGAGGTGGGTGGGAACATCCCGGACTTTGACTTCAGACTGCGAGAAGTGTGTCGCTTGTGGAATTTGCGTTTGATAGGACCGGTGGGTGACGTGGGAGAGTGTGAAAGAGAGGAAGAGTAGGAATCTGACTCTTCAATTATTCTGGCATGCACAGCGTGACCAGTGGGCATATACAGAAACGCAGTCGTCTAGCGGTGAAAGAGAGTGGAAAGAACGCAAGCTGCAAACCTAGGCCTCATGCACATCCACCGTCTCCGCACTCTACACGAAGCGCCAAATGCACTGCTGTGCACTCAACTCATCGGAAAACTCTCAGATTGAATTTTGGAATCGGGCTCAGACAAGGCGGACAAGATATAAAATGCGCAACTTGAATTCATGCATTGCAAGCAACACTAGATCCGTAAACTATATCATTGAGATGGACATGTAAAACTAACGAGACGATCACATGGGGTGGGGGTAGGGGAAGGGGGATGGTTGAACATTACGCAGAGAAATCAAAATGATGTTGGACAACTGGGGGAAGGGGAATTCGACGGTACTCCTGGCAAGTGGATTGGGGGAATAGTGGTGATTAACAAGTACACGGAGTACCGACGGCCGCGTCAAAAACATACGGCGGCAAATAGAGACGATAAGAGTACGACAGAGAAATATGATGATGGAAGGAAGTCCTAAATGAAAACATAAAAAAACATACATGGTATCCAAAGGACGGGCATGAGCAGCGATTAGACAGCATTCTATTGTTCAAGGAGCTGGCAGCTGCGGGACCTCTAAACCATGACTGTGGAGGATTGTCTCCAAAGTCATCGCACGCATCCGCCAAGCTTCCTTTTCCGCCCTCTCGTGCTCAATACCTTCCTCGAGCTCTCTTTGGTACTCCAACTTGCGCTTACGACTTCGACGAGCAGCCAACGTATTTTGACGTCGCTTGGCCTCGATAGCATCAAGCTCATGCGGAGCCGGGCTCATGTCCTCACCGTCCTCGTCACCGAAGGCTTGGCTCCTCGCACGCTTCTTGGCAAACACAGCAGGTATCTCCTTGCGGGACGTTGCAGAGGGAGTGACGTATTTGCGCGGTTGAATCGGTGCGTCGAACGGCACAAGCGACTCAGGGGTGATGTTCTTACGTGTTCCAGTAGGCGCGCTTTTACGAGGAGCAGGTGTGGTAGACGTGGACCGAGTTGAGGGAGGAGGAGCAGGACGTGGATGAGGTGAGGGATGAAGCGACGAAGGATCGAGTGAAGGAGTGTTTGGCGAGGGCATCGTCAACATGCCATCGAAGTTGAAGGCAGACAAAGCAGGCGCGGACACTGAAGGAGCGGAAGCCTTTATCGGATCGAATACGGGACCAGACATGTCATTGAATAGGGGCATGTCATTGAAGTCTCCGAAACTGTCCGAGTCGACAATCGCAGGGCTAGTGAGGAACTCAGACGCAATATCCTCACTGCCCACCGCAGGTGTATTGAGGAATTCTTCCCATGGCGAGTCTTCCATAGGCGAAGTAAGGAATTCTTCGCTGGCGAACCACTCAGGTGAGGCTGTGCAATGAAAGGAGTCATGCAGCATGAGTGGTACGCTCACGACGGCGCCGATGGAATTCAATTTACCTTGAATGACGTCCATGAGAGCCTGCACGGCTGCTGCGTCGTCAGCGGTAGCAGTAGCAGACATAGGGGCGGTTGTATTCGATGGCACCGCAGCCATGTTGTCGGATCGAGTATCCGGTTTTTGCGACAGCATTGTCAAGTAATTCGAGCACAAGTTAGAGAAATCGAAGTCGGTACTGGGCGAAGTAGAGACAGCAGAAGATGGTTGATATCGAGTTGTACGAGGGACTGGAGGCAAAGACTGAGGTATGCCATGGTGTGCAGCAAGAGCCGATGTGGTATGGAAAACCGGGTGCGACGTCCTAGGACGAGGGCTAGATAAATTTATCGAGACATGATGTGAAGGAGACGAGCTCGAAAGCGAGGTTGCTGGGGACGAGTGACCATGTTGACTGATGGTGACCGGTGAGTCGTTCTGTAACGACGCGTTTATTGAGAAGTGAACGCCATTTGCGCTACTGTAATGTTGTGGAGGATGCCGATAATTTGAAGTCAACGTGGGAGCCGAAACTAGGTTAGCGGGCTGATGTGCAGGCTGCAACGTGGGCGGCCTGAGGGGTCTGTGACACGACGACGTCGGCATCAGTGGTTTGTTCTCAACGGGGTGAAGATTAGAGCTGTCCGCCGGCGAAAGCGACAAGGAGTCGAATGTGTGTGAAACAGTCAGAAGCGGAGTGCCAACTTCGACCTTGACTCGTGAATCACCCTCGGAAACAGGTTGGTTGCGCACGTGAGATGACTGGCTCGAGGAGGCAATCATGGAAGCCGACTCATAATAAGAGTTGGATCCAAAGGATAACATTGTAGCACGATACGGCACCGCACGTAAATCGGTACTTTCGAGCCACAAATGCCAGGCGGAACTTTGCAGAGATAGAAAGGAGGACTCACGAATGTACTCAGAAACTGAGTCAGGATTAGTCCTCGAACAGTAGATAATCTGCTCGGAGGATGTGTGTGGTGAAAGAGGAGAAAAAGAGGGTACGGGGCGTTGAAATCTGACTCGGCAGTCTTATAGATGGTTTACAGCTATTTCAGACCCAGAGGCGCCCATCCATTCATTCGGACGCAGCAAAAGATAACAGGAACATGACCGGTTAAAATGCCCTGCCACTTTTAATTTCACCGTCAATGCCTTAAAGCTGTCCGACAACCGTCCATCGAGGTCCCCCGCCCACTAAAATGCGTTTGCCAGCCTCGAAAGTGCTTCAAAAAAGGGCAGAGTACATGGGAACCGCAGGGAGTGTACGCGTGTGCAGCCTGTGCATCGGGGCCGGAGGCAGGAGTCAGTCATGCAAACCTTCCAAATCAAGCCATAGAAAAGCTGACCAAGCTAAGCGAATGAGCGTGTAAGCGCCCTCTTAATGAACGCGTCTGCGCACGCATTGCCCCCGTCCTGACAGACACTGCCAACGCGACCTCCGCCGCGCCATCCACGTCCAACACGCTGGTTATGGATGCGAGGTGGTAAGTTGCCCTATTCCCCCACCAATGCAACCACCTTCCCCCAGACGATGCGTTCCCAAAGGTATACAACTTGGCGCCGGCTGACCAGCGCGTCGGCCGAACGAACGCATTTGTCAATATTCCACGATGGGCAAAGGGTAGAGGCGGCCAACATTTCTGCCACGGGGAACGTCGCCCGTCGTGATAAGAGCTGCGTGTACAGCTGATTCAGTACGGTCGCGACGGACCGTTCCCCCACCCTTGTCGCACAGTGGGCCATGTCAGTCAAATGCGACTTCGCTTAAATCTCGCAGCACCTTTCCAGCACTGGACAAGTGCGACGAGGAGACACGTTCGCAGCACTGCCGGGATGTAGTTGTGTTTACGCGTCGTGTCCTAAGAACTTGGAAGACCTTGCTAGAACCTTGTCGCACATTGTCAAAATCAAAATGAGGCACGTAAGCACATACCGCAACTGCCTTGCTTCGTGTACGCGGTGTACGGCGCAGCTTCCTACTGGACGATCCTAATGGGTGTACGTGTTCCTCTGAGCGCTCCTCTTGTGTTCGGAGCGCTTCGAATATGAATCTCCATTCAATTGCTTTGGGCTAGGTTGTTATGACGCAGCAAACCTGATAAATCAGAAGCTGAGAAGAGCATCAGATCTCTTCAGTTCGCAGACACGCAACAGCCGACTCTCTTCCTCATCCTTGAGATTCCTGACCGAAATCCATGTCTGCTTCAGGAAACAGAATGTCCATAGATTCAGTCCACCAGGGCCTCGTGAGTACTCCTCTGCGTTTCAGCAGCGCGGAAGCACGAGAACATCGGAGACCGCTTAGGAGCATACCGAAGACCACGGAGTATTGACGGGGATATCATCGATGGAGGGTGACGTTCCCAGAATAAGTCAAACGAAATTGACTAAGTTTGATGGGCCGGTAGTGGCGGATGGACTTATGGAGCCTACATGAGAAGGCATCAGGAGTCGACTATAATTGGAGGGTTGCATTCATCTAGGCCTAAGAGGATAATACGTCGCGATAATGAGGAGCCCAGTAATGCACAGTCAGGCCGTATGAGGATTTAGCAAAGTCAAGAGGATGCGCAGTGGCGAAGACACTAGCAGTTAGGCCTGAGGCATGACAAGCAGAGAAGAGTATACGTGGCCGCAGTTGGACAAGCAAGCATGCTAAACAGTGCAGTGACTAGTAGAGCAACGTGTCGACTGAGTCCCGGGCTTGACAGAGCTATTAAATACTGTTGAGGTGGCAATTTGAGTGCAGCAGCCCGTAATTCCCCTTCTAAAGGAACATCTGGAGGGGTCGGGGAGGCAAGTCGCACATTTGAGAACGCGTGGAAAGCGCGACGCGTTTCGCACTTCACGTGCTGGTAGAACAACCTTGAGCAGGGAGCGAGTAATATGACGGCTCACCATTTCGGTCCGACGGAACTATCTTCACCGTCAAACGTTCGGACGTGCAGGGACACTGATCAAAGTTGACAGGACGCGTCCTTCAAGAACGTCTCACGTGCTGAGAGTATCTTATTCGTTCGGTCGAGTAGGCTGAGGGTGCTCACCTGTACATCACATATGTTTTCGTTCAATATCACATTGAGGTTTTCGACGCCAATGACCGCATATATTAACACCCTCAACACCTCCTCTTCACCCCAAACCACACACGCGTCTTCGTCTTTGTCAAAGCAACAGCAACAAGCATCGCAAAACCACGAGAAACAAGAAAGCAAGTAGAAGTCAAATCGCGAAAAGAGGGTGGGGAGGGGGCAAGCAAACAGAGGACAAGACAAGCTCGAATAAAAGGACCACCAGTATCATACACGCGAAAGGGGCGTGTTCGGGTATCCCGTTATCTGGGAAAACTCGCGCGAAACGCGTCAAGCGGTGTCCTTATATACCATTCGTCGTTCGAGTCAGAAGCATGGAATATTCGTGGACAAGGCGCGATCGGGATTCGAATGACTACGGTTGATGTGTTAGGCGCTCATGGAAACGGATCAATTGCGGGGCCGAGCCTCCGGCATTTGGATTTGAACGAATTCTTCGTGTCTCTCGAAAGAATCCGAAAGACGTCTGAGTTGAAAATCTCCTATCTAAACTCCCACAGGAGCTGGCTCTTCTGGTACATCGTTTCAGATAACTTGGAGTCTGACAAGAGTGTGTTTTGATGAGTAGACTGCATTCCAGAGAGAACGTGTTAAAATCTGTGTCCATAAGACCATAATCCATGATTCACATATCTTTATCATCATACGATGCACGCTGAAAGTGCATATGTATACGCCTATGAAATGTATCTCTGCGGTGCCGAGGCCACGTTGCACCCGCCCTAGGCTTTGATTCATATATATGTCGGACCCGAGGGTATCAACATCGATTTGATTCTTCACCACATCTACATTGCACCTACTTTGAGGTCATTGTATAGTATGAACATCCGCTAACATGGCGAGCTCGCTGCACACTCGAACTACGTTACTTACTTCATTTAGCCATGCTTAGATAACGATCAGTGCGCGATCCACACCCGATCACTTTGCTACGCCTGCCTCACCTTGGCAAGGAGCCACTCGCCGCCTGTAGCTCAACCTTCACCAAACATTGGCTCTCTTTTCCCTTTTTCCTCTTTTCCGTGATGTCTGGCCCACTTACGCTCAAACAGAGACTACATGCCTTGTCGACGAACATCGCAAATGCAGCATCCGGTGATCAATTAAACAGTCCGAAGTCACCAGGGCCAAGGATTCGTGCTTTCTTCTCCCCGAATGCCAACAGACGTCAGCCAGAGAGTGGTCCTGAAACTGTGAACTCTCAGGATAGAGTGCAGGAGGTAATGACCAAGTTGATTTTCCAGGCTGGAGTGGATTATGAGTGAGTGCTTTCTAAAAGGCTCCGCTTCGCAGGTTTAATTTAACTATCACTTTCGTGCAGAACGCGGCCAATGTACGTGAATAGGGTGCAAATCCACCGGTGAATGCTGAAAGTACTACAGGGTTGTTATGAATGCTTCAGCGCTACCAGACCCGCGGGAAGTAAATTATGATCTATTGCTTGCGTAAGTTGAAAGCTTCCATGTACTGCGGGTCATGAGTTCAAATCTAAATTTAGGCGAATCCTATCATATCTCAATCTATACGGTAAATCTCGACCTTATTTTTATACTAGCCTCTCTTATAATCTTTTCTTAGTCGAGTCCGATTACAGTGTTGTTTTCTTTGCCGCAGGCGGCAGACATACACCAGGTTGGAATTGGGTGTGGAAGGCATATCGCAGTCTCAGTCGAAAGTATCGCAAGAATCTGAAACAGCTGGTGTGTTCGGCGAATCTCTCTTGTTGCCTTCAACCTCTGACGGTCCGTTTCGAAGTATATTATTCACTCAAATTTCTTCACTAAGAGTAGGCTTCTGCTGTGACTGGTATTTGGCTTCTCAGATTCTAATATTTGTTTCATCAGTGCTGTTTTCATTGGCAGGCGCCATCATCAGGTAAGACGCCCCCTATCCCCCAGCTAGTGGGCGATCCTGACCACCTGTGCCACCTCAAGTCCCAAATTCTTCCGCAAGATAACTTATATTGATACCCTATCGGAATTAGCATACCACGTCCCACTAACACAGATAGATATTCCACCTGCCGTGTATCAGTATGTGAACCCCATCCACTCCTTTTTATTCATATTTTTGGCGTTCTGACATATCATCGTGTCATGTAGAGAGAACTTGAAACATGAGAAGCAGATTAATCTCCCCGTACCACAACGTGCCAATCTTTTTGGTGTTCCCCTGGACGAACTCATGGGATTCAATGGTGAGAAAGGGGGAATCCCTAGAGTCGTCAAGGATTGCATACAGTTCTTGCGTAACACTGGTATGCACTTTCCATCATAAGTTATCCTATTCGTTCCAACTTTTCGTGATTGTAGGTATGCAAGAAGAAGGTCTATTCAGACGGTCGCCCAACTCGGCCCTCCTGAAACAGGTCAAAGAAGCATACGATAGAGGTTTGTCAAAGAATCGCGTGAATTGTTCGTGGACTGACTTTTGTTGGTCTGGGATAGGGCACGTTGTCTCATTAGACACTTTCGGTGACCCACATCTGGCTGCCGTACTACTCAAGAAATACCTACGCGATCTTCCAGAGCCACTATTTCCAGAGAACACTTACCCGCTTGTTCGAAAATGTCCAATGCCCACGAACGACCCAGCAGATGTCTCTAGTGTCATTTACATTCGGGAAACTTTGCTTCTCGAACTCCCGCATTGCTCCTACATTCTACTCAATCATGTTTTCCGTAAGCCTATGACCCTTGTAATCGACTTAGCGATCCCGCTGACGATAAGAATTCCTTTCAGATCTTCTTCACGAAGTTTCTTTGCGTTCGGCTTCGAATCGTATGGATGCTCACAACCTTGCCGTAGTCATTTCTCCCAACCTCGTAGCAGGCTCGAATCCTTTACGAGACGTGACTCTCTGCGCCATCCCAGGCGGTCCTGCACTTTATCCTGCTCAGCCCCCCTCTAACGCATCCTCCTCCAATCCAGCAGCGCTCACAGAGGGCAAGACAACGCTTGGTCTTGTGGTAAAACTGTGTATTCAGCGTTATTACGAGATTTTCGACGACTTGCCAGATCGAACTGAAGTTTTGTCTCAGTATGCCTCAGCTGAGGCGACGGTCCTTGCCTCAGGTTCATGGTCATCAACATCACCATCATTTCCTTCCTCACCTTTCCGTGACTCACATCCGAATCGGGATAGCATGCATGAAGATGATGAGGACATCGATGACGCGATGCTTGTTATGCCTATAGGCCCTGGTACAAGCGGGAATCGACTCCCTGGTGCATCAGCGCCGACGTCCTGGAACCATATCACTCCCAGCAGTAGTGCGAACTTTGGAACTGTCAGGGGACGATATAAGAGTACTCCATCGCGAGATGCTGCTCAATCCGTTTCCACGTCTTCTCCGACAAACGGGAATGGTGGGTACAATCAATCCACAAACAAAGCCAGATCAATGATTAGCATCGAAAAAGCTGTTGGGAATGGGGGAACTTCGCGGAGGGGGTCGATAGCTATTGGACGAGGCACGACGAGGAAGTCGGCTGGTGCTGGTGTGACGGCGACGGGTATCACTGCAGAGGGTTTCTTTTCTGCTCCGGGGAATGCTCCACCGGTGCCTTTGTTGCCTCGCATCGACAAGTGATAAGGGCCTAGAAGGGAAGGGTTCATGTTTTCGCTTGCTACTTTGTGCGTATCTATAGTATTCATTCAACCATTTCATAGATCGTTACATTCGAATGCTCCATCGGGTATGGACTTTTTCCACTTTTTTTTTTGTATTTTACTGCTCTAAGGGTTACTTACTCGGATAATCGGATTGGTTGGCCTGTATCGATATTGAATAGCTGCATAATGCGCAATACTCACAGCTATTGTCTATGTCAACAGGCTAGCGCAAATTCCCAACGATATAACAACGAGGGAGTTACGGTGTAAACCGCGCTAGCGGTACCACTAATGGAACTGAAGATTAAACATGGGAGATTGGAGTGCACTGGAGTGCCAGTTGAAGCAATGAAACACAAGGACTATACCTTCCCTGCGATTCTGGCCGGAACCTTCGTAATCCGCACGCTGAGGTCGTCTCGCTGAGATTGTACCTCGTGGGAGATGTTGATAGCGATGGAATGCAGAGGAATGGACTGCCGTCTGGGTGGGATGTGAGAATTCGGCGGCTGGACTGATCTGGGGCTGACAATTTGACCAGAGGATCCGTCTTGAGAGTCAAATGGTCCTGAGATGTACAAAGTGGAGCGGATAGTGATTCCCTATCATAGAGTTATGTAAATCGCAGGCTTTAGACAATCGTGGAAGGGAACTTACGACGATGGCGGCGACGAGCTCCAAGAGAATATACTGCGCATTGTAGTTCGCGGTATACATTCCCAGTAGGATGACCTCAACGACAAGCAGAAGTGCTGCCGACTCCATAAGCAGACGAATGATTGGCATGAGCTTGCCTTCGGAGGTACGGTACTTGGCACTACGTCGTTCAACCTGCCAGACGCGAAATGCCATAAGACCAGTGATCAACGCTGACTGCACGATGGCAACAGAGTAAAACGTCTGTGTCCAGGGTTGCACACGAGTGGCGAAGACCGTATCTTCAGGGCCGACAGAAGGATACAGTCCCGCAATGGTATAGCCAGACGCTATGCGTGGTATAGGTTGAGAACTGATGTTTGATTAGAGAATGGTCAACCATTCACCTGCACTGACGATAGACAAGAAGATGGGAAGCATGACAGCATTCTAGTTACGGCTCCAAATCACCCAGCACCGGTAGATCTAAGGCCATGTTAGACCACCAAGGCGAGAAGAAATCACATACATACACCAACTATGTCACCAAACAGTTCTTGAGTTCCGTATAAAACGTCCTCGAGGATCTGATGTCATGCGCAGAGGTTAGCCAGGAAGGCCAGTCCAGCTCCAGGCTCCCCCGCGAGATTGACATATGCCACAATGAAGCGATAGCAGTTGAGAGCTACAGTTTGCAATGTCATGGAAATTTATTTCGGAGGCCTATCGTACACGTCATTTACCCAAGTGGAAGGTAGCCTTGAAGAACACGACTATGCCAGCATAAAACATGATCTTCTCCAACGTTAGTCGCCTGAAGACAGGCGAATATAAAAGAATAAACGCACTCTGCTATGTCCATCTTTCTCCTTGCGGAATGCATGATTTATATAAATACCCACACAGAAAAGACATAAGTAGAATCCTGGCAAAACGGGTCAGAACGATCCAGCACATTGCAGACCATAGCAAAAGAAAATACCAACCACAAATTAACGACTGCCGACTCCGATTAGCATGAGTTCTGTTGGGAGTCAAGATGATGGACGCACCTCGAGCCAGATGGAAAGACCAAATGCTCGATCTAAACGGTACTGGGCCATGAGTGCGGAGAGGGCGTACAAACGAATTGAAGATAACTGGCTTGCTAAGAACCATGATATATTCTTCTGTTCAATATACGGGAGACTATCAGTAGGAGACACTAGAAAAGACACAAAATGATCAAGTAAGTCGTGAATAAGCGACCGGGTTGTCGTGGCTGGAAACTGGCTCTCGGTGGCGCAGCAGCGGGCTGCTCGTTAGCGTGATTCCAGTTTCGTTGAAACGGATTGAAACGGACAAGCTGAATTGATGTATGAGACGACCGAAGACACCAGTTCGATAGAAGTCAGGGTAATATTATTCTAAATGCAGTCTCCGTTGAAGACCCTCCCGACACCGTCATAGAGGCATATTCGAAGAGAGACGAAGGTGCGAGCCGCACAGAAGTTGGTCCTGAGAGGACTGTCCGTGGAAACAACGCTTAGACGAACGCACTCACATTCCAAGAACACGCAGCGACCACTGACTGTTTGGTCCGCTGAAGTCCAACTGGAAAATATTCCTGTTCGCAAAGTCTGTATCATTTTAGTATACATTACATTTTTATAGAGCACATACCCAATAACCTTTCACACTTCTCTTCCAATGGTGACACTCTGATATCTTCTGAGCTCAATCACAATTTTTTTTTGCAGCTCGCTTGCACGCAACGCGCTCGAGTAGTTCCTGTTTTTGACTAGAACATTTTGAGATTCCAACTCCTATCATTAGCAGATCATGTGCTATCTGCGACCTGATGTCGAGGGGGGAAAGCTCGATATGGAGAACACGAAAGACGATATGTAGGCGATGACGCTCTTGCTCGATCACTGGTGAGGGGTAACAGGCCGAGTGTATTCGAAAAGGCCGAAGTGTAGACCACCTGTACGGTAGGTCACCTGTGGAAGAAGCAGAAATCTCCGGTCAATCATAGAAACTAATGTCAGCCGAGGCATGCCGCAAACGTCCCGGTAGTAAACCGTAATGATATAGTCCAAAGATAGAATAAATAATACACTTTAATAGTAATCTTTTGACGATAAGGACCTGAGCAGTTGTACTTCACCAGCTTTTCGACCGTGGGGGCCGACGAATTCTCGGAAACCTAAGATCGGTCGTACAACTTTCTGTCTTCTTCTCGGATATGTGGTACTGAGGTAACGAGGAGTCGCTTGGACTGGGAGCGAGATTGTGTTCAAACATTTGAGGTACCACGATGCTAGCCTGACCATGAGGTGGAGCCAGATGGTCCAGCGTTCCAGATAACTGGAGGGTGACTCGTATGGTGATTGCAGTGAATGTTATTCCCTAGTAATAATCACATTGTCATTTTATCATGTGTGAAGTCGATAAGGATGCACTTACAACGATAGAGCAGATCGTCTCCAGCACTATAAATTGTCCGTTTGACTCTGCAGCATATAACGCCAGAAGAATGACTTCCGGAACAACTAACAATGCAGCAGATTCTATAAGAATCCGTGCAATGGGTAAAAGCCCTGGACCTGAGGGTACCCTGAATGGAGCCGCCGCTCGATCGGTATGCCATATACGAAATGCCATAAGACTTGTGACCAGCGTTGATTGCACCATCTCGGAAGCATAGAAAGCAAGGATCCACGGTTGAAATCGGGCATCGAAAATCGCTGTGCCAGGCGAGGTGTACGGATACATTCCTACTATGGTAGAGCCGGTGCCTGTACAAACGTTCATGAATGAGTAGGATAATATGATGCACTTGAATACGAACCTGCAGTAATGGCGAAAAAAAGAAGAGGTATGATGATTACCCGTACGTTGCGATCCCAGATGACCCAGCACCGATATATCTATGATGCAGACTGAGAACAGGAGCATGAGCGATTTTGTGACACGCATCGCCCACCGCAGCCAGATCACCCAGCACTTCTTGGACGCCAAATAGTGTGTCTTTGAGAACATGATGCCATGTTTTGAGGTTATCAAGATATGCGACAGCACCGCCGGGGTCTTGCGTGTGGACAACATACCCCTTGACCATTCGATACGCGTTTATGGCTATGACACGCGCACAGAGTAACGTCAATGGCCGACCTCCTGGCATTGTTTCATACAGAAAGTGATAGGCTCACCGAAGTGCAAGCTGGCCATGATGAACATAACAACGCCAGCAACAAACATGATCTTCGGAACAAGGCTCAGTTAGGAATAGGATGAAATGACGATACGCCACTGAACCTTGCTATGGATAGTATGAGACTTCTTCAATGACAGATTGACATATAACGAGAGGCAGAATAAGCAGATGAAGATGCCTGGATGGGAATTGAGCCATTGATCATAACTGTTCAAAAAAACACCGCCTGACCGTATACAATTGCCTGTGACAGGCGTTCAATCACACTTTCCAAGCATCGACAAGAAATTGTACGAACCTCAAGCCAAATGGATATGATATACGCCAACCCTCGAGACATTTGCGACTCACTATTGGTATCGATTGGCGGAGGAGGAAAGGAGGGACATCGTGTTCACCATTCAGTCTCAAGCTTTATTGTCAACAATATACTTAGCATGGATAGCCCGAAACATCTGTGTAAGTAATCTGGATGACGCCAAGCGGGAGTTGATAGGAGGCACTGCAATCGCAATGTGATCGGCAATGTCACTAAAACTGTGAAACCAGGTGAAACCCGAGTTGAAGGATTCGATCATTAACGCCCATTATCTTCCTCAGGTGCTCTGCGGGATACTCTTCCTTTGAAGTCTACAACTCGCTTTTCACGTTTACAGCACCCACTTGTTGGACTGCCTTAATTGTGCTCTATGAAATTTTAAGTGTTGCCGTGTAAAACGCTGAACAGGGTTCAGTCAGGACACCTCATTGCCGCCCTTCGATGTCAAGCGAAACCATGGAATATCCAGGGAGGCTGCTTCTTAGGATTTTCATTCTCACAGCTGGGCTGTGTGTTGACAGATATAGTCGTCGATGACCAACTTCTAGCCGTTGACGTGGATCTAGAGGGTTCGTATCAAACGCAAACGTGTTCCATGTCTGATAGATATTCATACAAAGGCTTCTATCCGGGGAACATGGGTACATTGCTGCGGCATATGTGCTTTAGGTTGTCTGGGCTTGGTAATAAGAACTTGAAGAACTCGCTCTTCCATTTCAGATCGTGAGGAGCGGCAGGTTCTATCATTCTATGATAGTTGTGAGCCTAGGAACTCACTGAACCCTGAATCCGATGGAGCCTTGAGTATATATGGTTCACCTTTGTGCATGCCGAGTAGCAGTCAGTGTTATCACCCTCCCACCGTTCATCATGTCATCTACCAACGACAAGATTCTGGTAGATATTCTTATGAAAATTGACTTACTCTGTGGGTACTAATAGGCTGCCCTGGCTTAGCATTCGGTCCTTAGTGGCGACATTGAAGTCGACACCGCGCGTGCTGACGATGCCCTGACAGTGAGTTTTCTCTCCGTCGGTTGAGGTAAATTGTTGATTGACAACGTGCTGTAGTCAGACAAACTGAAGCAAGATATCATTCGACTGTTCCAAGATGATCATCACAACCTTCCTTTTGTCAAATTGCTAGCAGTCATCGACGATCCCGACGTAGACTACACGAATCCCAAGGTCCAGAACATCTTCAATGATATCCATCGTCTTGATGAGAAGCCAGTGAAACTTCCCACCAAAAAGTTCCACGTTCATCCATTCTATGACTTGCTCGGAGACGAGGACATCATCATTCCAGATGCTGATCTGGACGAAGATGAAGCGAAGACTGACCATATCGTAGCGCACGGCCTTTTCGCTGGCTTACACCGTATCAAAGTCAAGGTTGAGGCTTTAGAAGAGAAAGTTGCGTCCGTGAGCGATGCTACAGTATCCCAGGTGGACGAGAACGAATTCAGCAATTGGGGCAAGAACGTCAATTTCGATGCCGGATCCACGCTGATAGTACGTTCCGTCGCCGGTGTTTGCAAAGTTGTACAATGGGCAGCCGCGCAAGACAGGAAAGTCCGTGCAGCCGGTTTCCGTCACAGCTGGAGGTAGGCGTGCACTCTCTGATTCCTAACAATCAGATCTGACGGCCGTTCTAGTGATATTTACGGAGGTCCAGGAGATGTGATCATCATGTTCCTCCCCATCAACACTCTTACACAGCTCCCTTATGAGGACCCACCAGCGGATTGGAAGACAGAGCTCTCCGGTATCGAGATCGTTCCGAGTGTAGCTGGTCGTGCCGCTCCTGAAGGGCGAGCTTTCTGCAAGATCATGGCAGGAACTACTAATGATCAATTACGCCAATGGTGTTTTGGCAATAAGACATGGTGTCTCGACCTCAATGTTATCATGGTAGAAGTAAGACCTTTCCCATGCCCCATTATTTGACATTCTCTCATCCTATATGTCTTGATATCTCCAGATCACATTTGGTGGTAGCAATGCCCCCATCTGTCATGGCGCAGGTTTCAAGACGGATACATTGTCTGACTTGGTAGTTGAAGTAACCTACGTCGATGCCAAAGGTGAACTACAAACGGTAAATGACCCTACGGAACTCCGCGCTGCGAGCGGATGTTTCGGTCTTCTAGGCATTGTTGTTTCTTTGACCCTCGAACTGGGCACAATGGGCGTAACCGACATGTCGCCCGTGAAGATTCCAATGCCTCTTGCTATTCCTCCTCCAAAGGACTACCCCATTCCTGGCGAAGTGCAGAAACTGATCGAGAAGCTTGGGATCACCGAGGAGCAATTGGATCATGCTCGCATAGACTTTGTCAATAGATGTGAGGGCGACTTTTATTTGGAATGGTTCTGGTTCCCGTACCAGGACAATTGCTGGGTCAATACTTGGTCGAGTAAGTCCGTTGTTGGATTCGCTTAAGCACTGCAGCCTATTCATCATTTGTTCAGGACGCCCAATCACACCGGACGAGTTGAATCTCGAGGCGTACCCCGGAGACAGTTGGCTCGACGGTGTTAAATCGCAACAGGTATCTCCAACAACACGATCAAGCCTCATTGATCGCTAACCTTATCCCCTTTTGCCAGATCCAAGCAACTCTTGCTGAAGCTCTCGTCAACTATACCCCTTTCCGGTGGTTGTCAGGACGTCATCAGGCATTCTTGCTAGGTGGCGCCTCACTCTTCGCGTTACCCAACGTTACAGAGGAGAAGGATATTATCAAGACTTTCGTCAGCGAAGCTTTGCACTTCAGGCGAGGAATTCGTATGTCATGACAGCCCGCCGCATTCAGAACAAACTAATGAGATTCTACATAGAAAACTTCCGCTGCTGGGATACCGAATGGGAGATACCTCTTCCAACCATCAAAGGACAGAGAGATTATGAGCTAGTCCAACGTGCCTGGTCAGTATAGTAGGATATTCAAACTAATGTATGAGCTGACATATAACATAAATAGGTGGGACGGAATCTCTGCAATGTACTCTCGCAAAGACGCACCTGTCCGTGTTGCTCTCGAAATGCGACTAACAGGAGGCTCGAATGTCTTACTCGCTCCTCAACGCGGTAACGCCGGGACTGTGTCTATCGAAGTTCTCACAACTCTCATCACTCCCAAAGACGACTGGCAGACGTTCATGCAACAAATCGCTGACAAGTGGACGAGTTATGATCTCAAGGACGAGAACGGTAACACTCTGTATCCTCGTCCTCATTGGGCGAAACAGTGGGGTGGTCTTCAGATCCATGGGAAGCCTATTGAACGGTACTTTAGGGAGGACGCGTATAAGGATGCTTTTTCTGAATTTAGGAAGACGTTTGGGAATATCGTGACTAGCAGGGGGAGCTCGGTGGATGAGACTTTGAAGATGTTTGGGACGGTAACGATGGAGCGTTTGATCTTCAACTAGTGTGGATTCCTTGCCTATTGTACTAGTATGAGAGTTTGACTTCGGTATCGACTAGATTGTTTGATGGGACGCTTGTTGTACTATACCACAGCATTCCTGGGAGTTTCGCCACAATATAACATAAGATTATACTGGTCTATACAATACAGATTGCAAAAGGATAACAGCTACAAAACTGCTATGGATACAGTGCGAGTCAACAAGCGTCCATGCGCGACAGCCCATTCGTCTCAACTTTCAGCTCTACGATCCTAACCTCGAAAGTAACTCCAACACATGACTCTCAACATTCAGCATTCAAACACCTCCCCAGTACTAACGTTGACCCTACTCCAACCCCGTCCCGTCAACGCCAACCTCATAAACATCCAAACCCACGTCACATGCGCCAACACGAAAAAGGGCACGGGGTCGTCCCAATCCCAATACGGGTCTTGTTCAATACTGATCAAGAAGGGTCGGCGGGAAAATCTGGCATCGACCGAGGCGAGAAAAGACGCGGATAGGAAAGTTCCAAACAGGAATTTTATAAGAGCACTGAATGGGTTGTCGGTTGGTGAGGGTGACAGTGTCGGATCGGGGTCCCTTGGAGGATCCAAAGGTGCTGCATTGCCGTTGGTGGCGCGGTGCTGCTTTGGAGGTATTGGACTCGGAGAAGGAAGGAGAAGAAGCAATCCTGGGTGGATGAGAACCCAGAAAGATGGAGAGATGAATCGAATGAAAGGGAGGCGTAGGAACGTCTGGATTAGTGAGAGCGGCAACGCATGTGTGATCCAAGAACGAGGACGTGCGTTGGGAGGTGGACGAGAGAGCGGCGGTTGTCGGTTCCTGTCTGAAAGACCCAAAAGATACGAGTCTGCAAGAGTCGGAGTCTCGGAAAGCAGAACGACCGCTGTATTAGCGCGCTGTATATGTGCATATATGCATAATCAGTGTTGTAATATCACATATGTGCCAGCGGTTCACTTACGACATTGCATTCGAGAGGGTATAGGATGCCCTCAATATCATCCTTGATGAAGTCGAAGCTGAAATGACCTGTGAGCTCCGTCTCCCACTGTCCTTTTTGGTTGTCGCCCTGGTTCTCGGCCTCCAGTTTCTCCTTCCATTTCTTCAGGAATCCCTTCACCCAATCTTCAATCTCATCTGAACATTCTTTTTCCACTTCCCCAAGAGTGGTGATATCCACATACCGCATGAGGAAGTCGCTACTTCGGCACGCGACAAAGGCCGTGATCTCGCCTTGACGAGCAGCAACATGAGTGCAATATTCCCTCCCTTTCAAGAAGCGTTGCAAAAGAAAGGGCGTCTCGTGACTGATAGGAATAGGCATCTTCCTCAAATGAGCGAGAGTGTCCTGGCGAGTAGCGAGCGGGAGGAGTGTGAAGTCCTGACCGAGGTCGTGAAGTGCAACACCTTTCAGAAGATACTTTTTGCCACTATCTAGCGTATGAGGAGCGTGTAAGAAATCAGCAGCCTGGGCGATGGACGTGACGCGTCTGCTCTCTGGAGTGGGACATTCGAGTTCATTGAGTAAGAATCCCAGCTGATCCTTAAAGTGTAAAGTCGCAGCAAGATCTGGGTGTTGGATGAAGGTATCACAGCAGTTGCCCGGGCCATCACCCAAGTGCATTTCATGAATATGACGGGCAGTTTCGGCGTCGAGCGTGGTAGTGCGTCCACCAGAGCAAGGAATCCATGCGTCAATGTCTTCAGCAATGACTAGAGCCTTGATAGCATCGATATATGCTTGATTGTCCGCTTCACCTTGAACTTTCGGGAGGTCGTAGTATGCATCTGCGGCACGAGAGAATCGCGCGCAACATAGTGTACCCGATTCTTTTTCTTCGGCGAGGATGACTCTGTACTTGGCGCGTTTGAAGGAACGAGCGAGGCAGAGTGCTTTGTTAGTGCGCGCGCCGGTGATGAGGACGGTCTTGCGTATGATGCCCTCTGGAGGTTTTTGAGCATCGAGAGCAGTGCCTTTGAGGGAGGAATATAGAAAGGCAAGAAGAGTAAGAAGTAACGTGATTGGTATGAAGAGCGTAGAGAGCGCTATGAGAAAGAAGGATGCAAAGATGGATTGGAAGTAGGTCGGATGGGCCATGCTAGGAGAACTGCTTGACATAGTGGACGTCGGAGAGAAAGAGACCTGAAGTCGGGACAAGAGATTCCTGGGCTTTATAGTCAAGCTGAGGACAAGAATGAAGCTTGTACGTCATCGAGCTTGGTGTTGCTTGAATTGGTGTTGCTACTTTCCATAGCGTCCGACCAGGTAGATGTATCTGTCTGAACTCATCGAAATCCCAACAAGAGAGTTCAGTAAGAGTAACACCGCAGACATGCTTGATCAAGCTTAAGTGAAAGGTCCAGTTCTACGTTCTAAACGTATAGAATAAGTATCCCTGAATATCCGGCCGAATGACAGAAATGGTGTAAGTGTAACGACCCGATATGGTAGATCGCCTACTTAATAAAGCGCAAAGCAGGCACGCTTCCAGTTTTCCCACTTCGCCATTGTTGGCAAGAGCCTTTCAGTTTTCTTAAGAGTTCTTTCACCGTGACTTCGCTATGTATGCCTCCAATGTATAAACAGCCCGCCTAGGTCTGCCGACGAGTCGGACCAACATATTTCATTCGATCGACAAATGCAGTATAGACCAGGATACCGGGACAAACCCCCTATTAATGCTCCCTCTTCTCTCAGACTAGATGAATCTCAGGTGTAGATGCTACAGCTGAACGAATGTCGTGAACACTTTGTCTCATACCCTAATTCGTTGCAAGGATGGGGCAGATCTCCTTGGAATTGACGTTCATACTCTCTGTTTGGTTGGAGGTTCGTATACTCATGATATTCTAATGGAGTGACTGATATACCTGACCCTGTTCATGACAGGCAATTGTCTATGGTCAGCGAGACCATCTTGCGATGCCTGACAGAGATACTCAAACTTAACCCAGGATTCTTCACTTGTCTATTCTTCCTATCGTTATACATCAACCTCTCAGTAAGACGTTGTTCGCACACACTCCATAGTCTGGTGCGTTCTGCCAATGCCTCTCTTCTTATGCTCTATAACATATGCGCAGGTCATGTTCTCGGTAGGTATATTGATGTTCATTGTGGCAACTCTCCACATAGGCGAGTCGTCGTGCGTTTGTGAAAGTGGCATTCTTTTCAACTTATCTCCAGCAACCAATACGTATCGAATGATCGGGGCCTATGTCTATCGAGTCAACACTCCTGGTGGAGTCGTCGCCTACCTCAACGACCTCGCTACATGGCATCATGTTTTCAAAGATGCCTTGTTCTGTACACAAGAATTGTTTGGAGATCTCATTGCCGTACGTTCTCCGCCATCCCTTCGCGGTCCCCTTGATCTGCACCATCTTACGCTCGTTCTCACTTACAGATGTATCGTTGTTGGGTCATCTGGAATCGCAACTGGATGGTTATAGCTCTTCCTTTCCTCCTGTTCCTAGTCTCAGCAGGTAAGTATTCATGATCTATCTCTTATCATTCTGCTATCCAACCTTTCAATACTCAAAACCCCCCAATCCATTTCCCAATGCAGGCTCTGCCTATGCCGTCATCGTCCTCTTCACCACTACACCATCTGATGCAAACGTCTTCACCAAACGCCTGCAAACCTGGATTCTAGTTTTCTACGCAACCGAAGTCGTCCAATCCGCTCTTATCACCGGGTTCATAGCATATCGCATCTGGAATACCGACCGTGCAGTAGCTCCCTTTAGAGCTTCAAATAAATCCAATTTGATGCCGATCTTGAGGATTTTGGTCGAGAGCGTGGCATTACAACTCCTGGTGGAAATCTTAGTGTTGGCTTTGTATGCTGCACAGATGAATGCGCAGTATATACTTCTGGAAACGATCTGCTCGCTTGTAGTAAGCTGTCCTCTACTAATCAATATGTATTCAACGTCGTATGATTCGACTAATGATATGTTCGTCCCACTCTTCATAGGGAATCACGTATACTGCTCTTATAATTCGCGTTGCGCTCCAACTTGAGCTTTCAAGTTCACACGAGCGTCGTTTATCGGGTTCAGACGTTCGGGGGTCACCCTGCGCGGTCGTCTTACCTCCCATGTCCGAAAACAACCTTGCTCCAAATACCGTCACTTCTCATCGCAATCAACGCCTAACTCCCAATCATCTTATAACTCCTAAACTAAGCCCAATAACATCAAACATCGATACACCACTTCTGGTATCGCGATTACAAGGACATCAAGGGCTTATCGAGAAGGAGAAGAAGGAAGTTGAAGCCGACGGGGAGAGTCAGAATCAGTGGGACCGAGAGGATGTTTGGAAGGATGAAAGCTCGGCACTGGAAAATGAGGTCCGGAGTCGAAATTGGCGTTTGGAGGATCCAGAGTCTCAGCCTGCAGAACCATTGTCAGGATGCCATCCGAGTCGTTGGAAACGGAGGAAGAGTTATTAGGATACGTTGATTTGCGTGTATTCCAGGAAGAGCCTGAAACAAAGTTCACATCAACGAAGGTGCTGTTAGCCAGCGATGCATAACCCACCAGCACGTAGGGAGTATAATAACTGTACAGTGACACCTACACAATCGGACAGGTCTAACTTCAGAGTATTATATAAGGTCCAATAACGAAATAGGGATACAGGCGGATAATAGTACAATCTAAGTGATGCTTCAATGCAATGCATCAGCAACAAGCTCAAGAATCTCCTTAGTCGACTTCCCAGTGCTCTTCATATCCTTTGCAATAGATTGCCATGTCTGGCCATGATGGGGCTCGGCAGCAACACATCGCTTGACGACCTCGTCTTGATACTCCTGAGAAAATCAAACAGACCGTTAGCGTTGTAGACAATAGTTATGACATGGCGATACGCACCTGAGTCCCATGTTGCCGTTCGAACTTCAACCACCATCCCCACACATCTCCAATATCAGGGTTGATCTTGACCGCTCGCTCAAACCATTGTCTAGCTTTCTCGATCTTGCGCTCAGCCCAGAAGAGTCTCGCGACTGTACAGATGATGAGTGGATCATCCGCGGCCTTCCTGAGCGCATCCGCCGATCTTGACTTTCGCGTCGGTCGGGGTTCTGCCCAAATAGCCATCGACCAAAGGAGCCCAGAGTTTGGACATTCCTGCAGGCCTCTAGCCAGAACGGTCTTCGCTTGTGCAGTTCCACCACTTCGCTCTTCCACGCCAACAGCTTCTGCCCAGAGCACGTCGCTACCGGGGTTTGCCAGACGTGCTTTATCCAGCAACGACCTAGCCTTGATGCTCCTGTTGTCCGCTTCCTCCAATCTACTCGCCAGTATCCAAAGGTTCACTTCCTTTGGACATGCCTTGATACCAGCAGCATATGAAGCTCGAGCAGCGGCGAAGTTGCCTTGCGATTGATGAATCTGACCTTGGATCATATATAGCTTCGCGAACTTGGGATACTTCTTCAGTGCCGCCTCAAGAGTTTCGAGTGCCGTTGAGATTTGACCTTGCTGGCGTTCGAATACGGCGGACTTCATCCAAATCTACAATAAACAGGGACGATCAGCCTGGGGTTGTCGAAATAGGAGCAATGCGACTTACTCTTTGAGTGTCTGCAACGGTACGAGCACGAACCAAGAGTTCTCTCGCAACTCCGAGTTCACCATTCTCAGCTTCAAGTTTGACAGCAGCCAGCCAGATCTGTTCGCTTTCTGGATTCGCAACGAAGGCCTTCTCGAGAACTTCACGTGCAGCAGGAACATCTCCAGCAAGCCATTTCTCCTTCGCCCACATGAGCCAAAGGACTTCAGCTTGAGGACAGTGGCGAACAGCTTGTTCAAGTATGGCATTGAGGGATTCCCGGGTTCCATGAGCCTTCTCCAGATCTGCTGCTTTCCGCCAGAGACTCTTGCGATCAGGGAACACACGAAGCGCATAAGCAAGAATCGCTCTAGCAGTGCCCACTTTCCCTCGTGACTCTGCACTCTCAGCATCACCAACCCATGTATCCAACCTATCCTCTTCCTCGACTTCCATGGCCACGGTGGCTTTGATGATAGCCTCACATGTCCTTGGCGAGCCTTCGTCTTCACATCGCTCAGCCTCCTTCAGCCACTGTTCTCTCGTCAACAGCACCTGGTGCCTGCGAAGTTCTCGGACACCAGCTTCAATGGTCTTGTCGACGACTTCGAGTTCTTTATTGCGCTGTTCCTCCGACTTGCCAGAAACGTAAGCTTCCTGTTCGAGTAGTCTGCCTGCGGCAATCCAGATTTCGTGACTGGTAGGAACTGCTTTACGGGCTTTGTTAAGGACGGCTTTCGCTTTCTCGGGTGTCTCAAGACGTGCAAGGGCAAGCCAGAGTTCGACAGATTGGGGGATGACTTCAACTGCACGAGCAAGCAATATTCGTGCGTCGGCGGCAGATGATTCGAGATTTACTGTTTCCTTCCAGAGACGGACGGAATTGGGGATGTGCTCGAGTGCTGAATAATAGCAAAAAGTAATCAGTAAACGAAGTTATATAAAGAGCAGGAGAACGAACCTTTTCGCAAGACGCGCTTCTTGGCCTTTATATCGTGTTCCAGATCGGCAGCAGCTAACCAGATCTTGACGCTCTGCCCGACGTGTTGGACAGCGTTAGCAAGGATGACTTTGGCATCATCGTTATTCTATGAATGCAGTCAGTACATGCCTTACCGAAGACAGTCCCCAATATACTCACATGTAACCTTGCAGCCTCGAGCCAAACATCCTCACTCTTAGGACACTGTTCGCAGCCCATCTTGATGATCTTGCGTGCGGCAACCATGCGACCAGCATGCTCTTCCAGACAAGCGGCGGCAATCCAGCCAGGTGAATGCTTCGGATTCGACTTGACCAACGAGTCGAAGAGCATTCGTGCTCGCTTGATGTCGCCAATTTCAGCATCAGTCTTTATAATAACGCTGTCGAGAGAGGTGAGGTACCCTTTGGGATCGACGGAAGTTGCTAATCCTGAGGCTGTCGAAGTACCAGAGACCTAGATCAGATGGTAGAGATTAGGAATGCATGACCGGGGGAAAGGTAATCTAAACGCACCTGGTCCAGCTTGAGTGAGAGAATCTTATCTCGGGCTTGGCCCATTTCAACGAAGTTGGTAAGGGTACCAGAGTCAGCAGGTGTCTCGAAGCCACCAGTCTACAAAAAAAGATGAATATCAGTAAAGAACTGCACACAGGGGAAGAGTGTGTATACGCACCGCTTGTTGTCTTGCGTCTAAAGCACTCTCATACTGACCCCTAGCTGTATCGCCAACGATGACACTGTCCGGTACAACGAATGATCTCTCATCCCTTTTACGCTTTTTCCGGGTGAGATTGCCCACCTCTGGAATGTTTTCCCATTCTTCATCTGTGACCACGGAGAGCCCTCGCTTCAAATCGGCGAACTGCTGCTGTATCTTAGGACGTTCTGCTCGATGTTTCGCCAGCTCTGCTTCTTCACGTGCTTCTCTGTAAAAATGAAGGAAAGATAAAAGAACATTGAATAACTGCGAAAGGGAGAACTAACTAAATGGACAAACCTGCGAGCCCTCCGTCGGGCATCCATCATGTGGTCAACCAGATCATAGATCTTGTCTGCTTCTTCGTCGTCAGCTTCGTATGTTGTGCCGGCGAAGAGGCCAAATTCGTTGTCGGGGTCTTGGAATTGTTCAGCATCAAATTCCGGCTCTTCTCCTCGACGGGCCTGCGCTTCCCTGTCGCAAACCGAAAGTCAGCATGAAACGAGCAGATAGGACGCGTAATACGTACGCAATAACCTCAGCGGAAGGTCCCTCTCGAGCAGGACCAATATCAGAACGAGTTGTGAACCCGGAGGCTCTGGAAATGAGAAGGTCAGATAGGACAATGCTTCAGTCTCAAAGCACTTACCCTCGTCCAAGACCAGCGACGTAGGAAGCAGGAGCTGGCATAGACAGGAATGCCAGCTTGTTTGGTTTGTTTGTAGCTGCCATATTGGAAACGGCGGAAGTGAGTGTAGGAAATGAAGGTGGTCGCTGTGCTCGACAATGAGTAGACTGCGATAAGTACTGTACTGAGCAAGGAAAGCGCTTAGCAAGACCGCCTTTGTTGTCTTTTATTTGGTCAAGCGCCCAAGGCGCATTTCCCTTTTAAGTAATTATTAGCGCTGGTGAGAGCTGAGTTCGAGGGCGACTGACTCCTCAACTACACAGCGGCTACAAAGATGTGAACATGGTTGCCCAGGTCGCGGATTGCAAAATATGACATTGTCTACTCATCACATGGTCTCCGGATATGTTCTGCTGTCGTCTCTGTGAATATCTACTTGATGAGGCTTTTACAGCCTGTGTTCTTAACCACCTGGTCACCTGGTATGTCCCTGTGCAGGATGTCACAGTACCCAAAAGTCTATCCTTGTATGCTCGATTGCCCACCTTATATTCTATGTCTCCGACACAGGTCAATCTGTGAAGTGCTATACGTGAAGATCCTGCGTAACCTGGTCTTTTGGAAAACATCGGAACTATACGGTGTCACATAGACTTTCACCCTCATGCCATGCTTCTTTGCTGCTTAGTGACCATTCAGTAAAGGCATCAGCGGTGAGCAATACAAATAATTCAATACACACACTTTGAATTGTAGTCTGTTACCCCGCTTCCCCAGTGCCAAGCCGGGAAACCTTCGGGACAAATTCTCTTCTTCTTTCGCAATCTCTGCCCTGATCCGCAATACATCCGCAAATAGCACTGAAAGGTCATTCAGCCTAAGCAAGATTGACTCGCATGAATGAGCTTCTCTTGTCGCCGGTATTCCATAGAAGCCGCTTTTGGACGCGATGACTTTCCGAGGTTTTATGCGTCTTCCTACTATCGGACCTCATTCTGCTTGTCAAGTGCTACTCTTTCAATTCTCCTCGGCAAATTCGACAGCACATTCGTGCGAATCTCTCTGTATGGTGTACACGGTTGCCGGATACAGATTGTTAACGAGCGGACTGGGCAAGTGTAAAGGACGCCTTCGCGTTCAGTCAATCTCCCCAAGCAGTGGACAATATGAAGTGGCAAGCTTTAGTCCCTCTCGCTTTGGTTCTCGTACCTGCAGTGTCCGCTCATTGTATGTTCATTTTCTCCCAGATGCTTCATATTCTTGATCGTTCCTGAGATATTGATTCGTCGTTCCTTCTTTAGACCGATGGACGTCCCTCGTTCAGGGCTCGACCGTCACTGCTGAATACCAGTATGTCCGCCAAAACACCAACTACAACTCCCCCGTAACAGATGTCACGTCGAACGACTTCCGATGCAATGTCGGCGGTCTTCAGTCGGCGTCCGCTACTCAGACGGCTATCGTTCAAGCCGGTTCGACTGTTGGTCTCGCTCTTGACCAGCCTATCTACCACCCCGGTGTCATCAACGGTTCGCTTCAGGCTATGTTTTTTTGCGAGAGACCATCTGACCCTGTATTACCAGTGTACATGGCTAAGGCCCCTGGCTCTGCATCTGCGTTTGACGGCTCCGGTACCGTGTGGTTCAAAGTCAAAGAAATCACCGCTCAGACCGACGGCGGCCAATCTATCAACTGGCCTTCCTTGAGTACGTTATTCTCCATCACCTCTCTCCGCAACTGCAAACCCACTCCGTGACATCAGACTTGGACCGAGTCACGTTCACCATCCCTCAGTCCATCCCCAACGGTGACTACCTCATTCGAGTAGAAGATATCGCTCTTCACGTTCGTCTCTCGTTCCTTTTCTTGTCCTGTCCGTGACAGCTCACGATGGCTTGCTGCGAATAGGTTGCTCAGTCATACGGTGGTGCTCAATTTTACATCTCCTGTGCTCAAGTCACCGTGCAAGGTGGCTCTGGTTCAGGCAGACCTGGCCCTCTCGTCGCCATTCCTGGTGTTTACACTGGTAACGAGCCTGGTATTCTGATCAGTATGTTCTCGTTTTCGTTCGAACGCCTGAGAACATCACTGATCTATCTCGTCCGCAGACATCAACTACCCCATTGTAAGCCGTTTACCTTACTTCTGCATTATCCCTGTGAAACTAAGCGTTTGATTGCACAGCCGGCCACCTACACTCAACCCGGTCCCGTAAGCACATCTTTGAAGCTATAAACTACACCATGCTAACATTTTGTATTCTATAGGCCGTTTGGAGCGGTTGAAAGGCTTGACACAAGAACATAATGTTGCTTTGAGAGAATGCTGCAATAGACTTTGTTTCTTACGCAATACTTACGCAAATGAAGAAAGTATGTTCGGATTCTCGACTGCTCGATGAAACAATGTCCTGCCCTGCGCAACCGTTGAATTTGACCAAGACTCACTGCGTCATACTGTCGCTTCAATTCCAAACTGTGCAATCTAACGCAATTCCTATCTTTGTCTAAAGGCTCATTCGATTGCGAATCAAACACGATCATACAAATACAATTCAGCTATTCTCTACGCTATGCAAGATTCAATCCGTCCGCCATGATGTGACGTCATTTTAATACTGGGATCCACCGGTCCTGCGTTCCTCGCCACGCTCAACCTTGTCCTGGTTGCCGGAGACACGACCAGTGGCCTTCTCCATAGTGCCTGCAATCGGGTATGGTCAAACGTTACGAACCATAATGACTCGTAGAGAAAAAACTGACCTTTGACGCGCTCACCCATGGAGGGTTTGGCACCGGTGCGCTGCTGGCTGCCATAGCTAGCCTCGTCACCGAAATTGTCTCCTCCAGGGCCGGTCGAACTCTCATATTGATTCTGGCTACCCTGGTTCCCATAGTCAAATTGCTGGCCGGATTGACGGCCAGATTGACGGCCGGTACTGCCGAAGTCACCACCAGCACCGGGTGTGTTCATGTCACTAGTGTTGCCACTATAGGGGTCGCGAAGACCGGACTGCTGGCTGTTCCAGTCACCACCCTGACTGCTGTCCCAGGTCTGGCCTTGGGGTTGGCCAGAGGACCTTTGCTGACTCTGGGAGAAGGACGTGTCCTGGTTAGGATCCTGAGTCCAGTTCTCGTCGTCTATGGAGTAAAATAGGAGCATCAACAGCCATCTAGCAGAAGCGTGCACAGCTCAGACTTACCAGAACGACGGCCAGGAGCTCCTGTCCTGGAACCGTAGGTGTTGGGATTGTTATCGAAAGACATGATGATTTGGAGAAGGCTTGTCAACTGAGAATTTAGTGTTGGAGGATCGTCGAGAGTAAGGGGGAACTATTTGGTGATTGTCCCTATCTATGCGGAATTATATAGAGACTCGATGGTGGGCTTACATAGCATGATGAAAGAGGTGACCCCAACTACACCACACCACGTTCGAAATGAGGGTGGACGTTCGCAAGGGCCTGGTTCTCAGCCGCTGCGGTGCAGCTCCTCAGTAAACACGGCTCCAGGCGGGCCCTCCAAACTTGGTTTCTTGCCGCTCGGAACGAAGTGGCATTTCAGGATGATCGAGAATTGATGGAATGATCGATCCCGTTTGGAAATGTCAGTGAGACATCGCATGAGTAGTTGTCCCTCGAGCCCTCTGGTTCACGAACTACTTTCAAGATGTGTACGGGCGATACAGCTATTCGTGTTCATCTGACTTTACTTTACGACGTAGAAACGGGAGTTGTACAAGCCGTGACGCGATCACGTGTAAGACTTTGAAGCGGAGCTAGAATTCGCGTGTCGGCGTCCAAGTTTGATCTATTCCCACCGGTGGTTTCTTCAACATCGATGTGGTTTGCGCCACGACAGTGAGTCTTATCAGTTGTTGAAGAAAATGTACGCAGTTTCATGTTGTGCTCATATTTTTTTCATAGCGAGAATCGGGGTTAGGACGACTGCCCCTATTTATTTCACGCTACTGCCAGAGCTCGCTTGGACCGTCGCGCCAGGTCAAATTTATACCTGAGACAACGAGGCATGCAACGAAGTATTCCCACTCTTGTTCCTGAACTTCATCTCGACTTCCCCCATCCGTCATGATACCTTATGCTGAGAGTCGGTCAAGTGCTTCGACACAAGACCCATTATCACTATCAACTTACTTCCGATCCCCCGTCTGTACTCTTGTGGCGTCCCTGGAAGATGAGTACCATGAAGTGGTATCCTTCCACGATGTCTGTCAGGCGTACGATTTGCTTTGCCTTCGTATCCAGCGTATTGCGGAGGCCCTACTCACTCACGTGAATCCTGTCCCGCCTGTGCTCACGTGTCTGCAGAAGTATTCGTCCTCCATAGCGAGATGTCTACGAAGGGACATTAACTGTGCTTTCACCTACCCTCTTACGGATCCCCCTCGACCAAACAGGCAGATTCCTGACTCTGTCCCGCTGCTATTCCACAATCCTCCAGACGATGAAGTCAAAGTTGCAGAAGATGCTAGTGCCATCTGCCAACATGCTATAAGACTGGCCTCCATTATGTTCAAATTTCCTGCATTGTTTAATTTGTTTTCCGGTATGTTTTTTTTTGCTCGTCTCCGGCGTGTCGCCCACTCAAAAGGACAAAGATTATGATCTCTCTAGTGTATTCTCCGAAATATTGCGGATAACCTTGTCCTCATCTGTGCCTACTCCGGGTGAAGCCAAGATTCGTTCACTCGCGATGTGGGCTATTTCCGAGCAAGAGCTTCCAACGATCATAGCCAAGGATCGCAAGTCACAATTGTTGTCTTTACTTCACAAAGTCCTACTCGGCTCAAACAAGTTGATGAAGGACACTCAGACCTTGAGCGATGCACTCAAGGTAAAAATTTTCTGCCACACCTCGTTCGTCGCTCATGTTTTTCTGCTTAAGTTGATCCACAGACTTCTCTACAAGCACCCGCTTATCTTCTTAGAGCCTTTGGCCAACCTCCTTGAGTCTGTCTTGGCACAATTAGTGTTCCCTCATCCCATGGTCAGAGTTGCTGCGGCACATGCTCTAGGTGGATACACTTTAGCAGTGACAACCTGCTCACGGTCGATACCCTCCTCCCTACTATCACGGATCGCTGACCAGATCTCCACATCCGCACAATCACAGCTGAAGCCACGCAAGTTGAAGATACCATCTACCACAAAGACCTTGCTCTCATATTTCTGCCAGATAACGTCTTCTGCTGAGCCAGACAATTGTCTGAGCGACGCATTCTGGGCCTATTCCATTTTAGCTTCCTTCATCGTCCTTTCGGACGGTAGGATTTTCTGTATTCCCCGGATGTTGAAGGCCGTCATAGACTCGATGTCCGGTCTCCACAAACATTTCGGACGTGGAGTCAGTCAAACACACCTGGCCGTATGGAGGTGTTTAATCTGGGCTCTCTTGCGTTTGCGACATCATATTGACGAACAGCAGTCAAAATCCAACGCAGAAGCAAGCACCGCTCAGACTGGCGTATCTTCTAAGTGGACGCCTGCACTTGACTTCGTTCGGCAAGATCTGGAGTTTGGAAACGGCTCAGCTTTAATTTGTTACTTGATGAATCAATGCCCCACTGCAACCACTGAGGACGTGCCTGACTACAACGACATATTTGTTACTTCAACCCTGAAGGTTCTTGACACGATGATCAACCACTCCCATCGGGAGGTCCGCAATGACGCCATCGCCTTTTTGGCTCGTTTGACGTGTGGATTGTCCTCTCCGCATAGTACGGAATGGGAGGATGCCCGTATTGTTTCGCATGCGCTGCTCAGCGGTTCAGCATTGTATGGATATTTGGAGAATACCTCGTGCTTCGCCGTTGATGCAGACCCGAGGCACATTCGCCCCCTTTCAGAGAATGAAGTTGTCGCGCATTGGGGAGACCTTTTAGTAATATGGAAGACGGCGATGGGTTGTAAGATTGTGGCAGGAGAGCCAGTGTTGCTATCAGTAAGTTCAAAGTGAATACATTTGCTTCGGGTTTCGGACACTGATGTATGCAATTGTCATTCAATCTTAGACTGACTTGTCCAATGCATGGCACGACTTGTTGCTCGCTCAGTCTCATTTGACTCAACAGGATATACACCTCGCTGCATCGCCTGCTCTGATCGAAGACACTATCACAATTATATCCGACCTCCTTGCAACCCCGAAGGAGCATGACGCCAGGGTAATGCTGCAGAAAGTGCAAGCGTCGCAACTGAAGACCATTCATCACCTGTGGATAGTGACGAAGCATGTTGTGGGATCAGACAGTCAAGGCGATACGGCTGCTGCAATATTGAGTTCCGTGCTGGAACGGGAATTTGCTTTGGACGATGGCGAAGTAAAGACGTCATGGAGCGAACTTTGCTGTGAACTCATGATTGCTCAAAATCCGCATCTTCTTGCGTCATTGCAGGCCACATCAGAATCGCAAGGCGAGAAGGAAGTCAGGAGTCGTCTTTGGCAGATAGTCGCTGAAACATACGTGGATGTGGAGCAGACTGGCGATCATAATTGGGAGCGTATTGCGAAACTTCTATTGATACCTTTGGGGTAAGCCACGGTCATTTCTTTTCCATTCGCGCGGATCCCTGACGGATGTGTAGACATTCAACATTGTCAGAAGACGAATGTAAACTTTGGGCTCGATTGCTGGATCATGCTCTGCAAGTTGCAGAACACATGCATATCTATTCACCTAATGCATTGGACTACCTCGTACAGAATGCAGTCTCAGCTGAGTAAGAACATCGCCTACTCTCGTCGAACTTATCTTATCATGCCTTCGCAGCCTCTTCATTTCTCCAGAAGTCGTCACCATGTTGCTATCCCGTCTGAAGTTGAACGAGGAAAACGATTTGCCCCTATCATTATTCAAGCATACTAACGACACTCTGTGTGCTTTATACCCACCTGAAGGATCGCCTTCCCCTGTTTTGGAGCTCTTTCACGCTCTCACAAACTTCCTTAAAACTATCGCTCTCTCGCATTTGGTCCCCACTATCCTACAACTAACGCAAGGTCTCATCACTTGGATCCATAATGACTGTGAAGGTCTCGATGTATTGGTATTTAATAACGACGTAAGTGCATCAAACTCCTGTTCGTGAATCCGCTAAGCCTTCACTCAAAGATCATTCCCCTGTATTGCACCGCTCTCGAACGTTTGGCAACAATTCCTCTGACTGTATCCTTACTACAACATCTTTCTCCCTTTCTTTGCTCTGCATTCGAATTTATACCCTTCCCGGGTCTCGCTGTCCGTGCCTTCCAGCCTTTCTGGAAGACCGTTGGTTCTGGCATAGCCAACGTGGACAATGTATGTCCAGCAGAACTCAAGACGTGCGTTGAAGCGTTCTGCAACGTCACCGATCAGAATCTCCCCGCAGGATACTTCTCGGACTCTCAATCTCAATCGCGTCTCTCAATGGTAAGCGTTTGATCGGTGGATAATCTAGATGTGATACCTGAAGAACTCCAGTCACAGAGCTCTGTGCCCGACTCTCAGCCAGCGGCGTCGGATAACAACGATCCAGAATATGCCTATTTTCTGAACATGAGGTCATCCCGTGACAACGTGCTTCCTGGTGAACGCCACCCAAGCCCTGCCACACCCATTCAGCAAAGGATGTCTTCAAAGAATGGTTCCGCTGCTCTACCTTCAACTGCAAGTTCTTCAGGTAATTTTCTTGTACCTTTTGAATCCCCTGTACCTCCTCGTCAGTCTACGGTGGACCAAGAGCTCCTTCAAGTGTTCAGTCCAGAAGTTCCTGCACCATCATCCCTCCAAACCACAGGGATGTCTGATTTGCCACGACGTGTACCAATGCCTCAACCAACTTCCTCTGATGTGTACTGGCCATCCATTCCGGGACTTTCTTGTTCCACCAATCTGCCCAGCTCTCCTTTGATCGGTATGTCAATGCACAATTATTCTCATTCTTTGAGACGCTGATGAAATTTGGTCAGGTTTGCTAGCGAAGAAGCGACAGCTGGGTGTCGACATTCCGCCCTCGAGTGGTCGTCATGACAACATCGCTGAGAGTGACGTGAGATCGGAAGTTGACAAAGAAGTTGAATCGCGAGATCTTCATCAAGCGAAGCGGGCTCGCGAAACTCGAGAATCCTTCAACCCTATGGGGACCCAGAAATCTGAAGAGATTCCCGTATTGAATGACCAAGACAAGCTCGGTCTGTCTCCGGATGACTACGATACTTGGGAAGCAAGCGTCCCATCGCCAGAGGTGCGGCGAATTCGAAATGAGTTGACGTCAGGTGAGCAGCCTCTCACCTGTGTAGATGAGCGATCCAGTCATTGACTTTCCTTTCAGGTGATACATCCGACTCCGCCGGTCTAAGGCGACATGTTGACCGCTCACAGTCGGTGCCACTTGCTACTGGTCCAAGGGTTCAAGCACCTTTGCGTCGTGCGCAAACCAACTCTTCTCAACTTCAGGGATCAAGTAGATTACAAGCCTTACACCAAGCTTATCATGCATTGCGCGAGGCAGGTCCAGAATTGCCTATGGACGAAGCGGCGGAAGCATTGAAATTGCTGCATGAGATGAATGGACTTGTGCAACAGAAGATGTTCACAAACATTTCGCGTCAGGGATCTGAAGATCATGCATGATGTAAATTCTGTGTGGAAGTGTCCGCAACAAGTATTCTGTCATACATATATAAAGCAATTTTGGCTCAACCTTATCATATGTGTGTACGGCTTGCATCCTTCTTCCGGATAAGTCATGCGTCGCTGGGTCCTCCGTAGCACATATCGTGAGATCTTCAATGACGGATCCAATTACCCTGGTCTTACAAAGCACACTGAGCGTTCTCCGGACTTCCGAGTCCGTCATATATATTGAGCAACATGCAAACGTCTCTCCATCGCAGCAACGATGTCCGAACCTATCATTTTCTACGACATTCCAGGAAAGCATCCTAAATACAAAGGATGGTCTCCTAATACGTGGAAAACGCGGTATACATAAACCATTACATCTATGATTCGCTCTCTGACGTTTGCTGCGATTTACACACAGATATGCCCTGGCATTTAAGGGTCTCCCTTTCAAAACGGAGTGGGTCGAATATCCTGATATCGAGAGTGTTTCCAAGGAGCTCGGTGTTAACCCCACTGGCACCAAGAAGGACGGCAGTCCGTTATACACTCTTCCCTTGATCTACGATCCAAACACAAAGACCACTGTGGTGGATTCGCTAGAAATTGCCAGATACCTCGATAAGGCGTACCCAGACGCTCCCGCGCTATTTCCAAAGAATACGCGGACTTTACAGACGGCATTTTTGGCCGCCATTGGTGCAATTGTCATGGGGCCGCTCTTCACCACGATCATACTTGCTACCTGTAACAATCTGAACCCTCGCAGCGCAGAGTACTTCCGTAGTACCAGAGAGGACCTTTTTGGAAAGAAACTCGAGGAGCATGTTCCAGAAGGGGGTGAGGGTACGAAGCGATGGAAGGAGACTCAGGAGGCGTTCAATAAACTCGCATCATGGCTAGATGCCAACGAAGGGAGTGGTGCTTTCGTTATGGGAGAAACGATAAGCTACGCAGACATAGACATTGCTTCGCGTCTTATTTGGACTAAGATAGTTCTTGGGGAGGATTCGAATGAGTGGGGGCGATTCAAGATCTGGAACGATGGACGATGGGACCAGTTTCTGAAGTCACTGGAGAAGTACGAGGTTTTATCGTAGCCATAGTATCTTGAGTTGAGCCATCGGAAACCATAGGAATGCACGACGCCGCTTAAAACATATATTTGCTCAGAATGACACGTGCCAACACTCTGAGGTGACAAAACAAACGTATAACGCCGAGAATATCTTGACCTTTCAATGTTCGGTGTATGATCTTGTATGATGCGATCTCATTTTAGTGATGTGAAGTCGAGGTTAGTGGATACTGTGAGCATCATGGTGTATATATATCACACATGGATAAGCCCCGGGTCGAAACACTTATCAGATTTCTTCCCTACACACGTTCACCAGCAACAGCCGTACCGGAAATATGACTGAACCCATTGTGTTATACGACATTCCAGGAAAGAATCCCCAGTACAAGGCCTGGTCACCGAGCACCTGGAAGACTCGGTAAGTAGTGTATCACACCAGTGGTAGACTGCAGCCAATATCGCGCCTTTCTAATTGCCATGCAGTTTCGCCTTAGCTTACAAGGGCTTGCCATTCAAAACGGAATGGGTGGAATACCCGGATATCGAAGGTTTATGCAAGAAGCTCGGTGCTCCCCCTACCCAAAAGAAGCGGGATGGGAGTCCCTTATACACTGTTCCAGTCATATATGATCCATCGACACAGACAGTTGTTGAAGACTCTTGGAAGATTGCCAGGTACCTTGACAAGACGTACCCAGACACACCACGAGTTATCCCAGAGAACACCGGAGGACTTCAGGCGGCTTACATGTCTGCCTTTGAAAACGCCGTCTCCGGTCATCTCTATGACCTCGTCGTCCTCGCAGCGTGTAATAATTTAAACCCACGAAGTGAGGAATTCTTCAGAACCACGAGAGAGAAGAGCGAAGGAAAGAAGCTTGAGGACATTGCTCCTCCGGGAGAGGAACGCGAGAAGCTTCTGAGAGCGATGTATCTCGGCTTGAACAGGGTAGCGAGCTGGTTCGACAAGAACGAAGGAAATGGGCCGTTCATAACGGGCACTTCCATGACGCACGCAGACATTGCAACCGCAAGCAGGTTGATATGGGCAAAGGTAGTGTTGGGAGAAGAGTCAGAGGTGTGGAGGGCCGTCGTGTCCTGGAATGGTGGACGCTGGGATCAATACATGAAGCATTTCGAGAAGTATGAAGTGCTCACCTGACTCGATGTCGATTCTGCATAGTAGGGTGGGATTAGAAGCATAGGCTGAAGTCGGTCCCCGGTGTGGGGATCCCGGGTGAGGGATGGGGGGAAGCATTAGTTGGTTGGTTGGTTAAGCTTCATATCAAGTGCAATGGCAATGTAAATAGATCATCGTGTACAGGTCGCAAACAGCAAGACTTCGGCATGGAATTTGTCAACCATTGTTAAGATGGACATCGAACATGCAACACCCCCCCCCCCCCCCCAGCGTGAGTAACAGTGGTGAGTGTCATGAAAAGTGTACGGTTCCTGGGTGAAGGCTTCAGATGGGTCTCTCTATGTGACCCATTACGACGCCCACGATAAGCAGCAATAGTCCATTGCACCTGTGTGCAAAACGTTTACGACTTAGTCCTAAGGCAGAACTGCGATCGTAACGTTTGGCTCGAACTATGAGGAGGCTCGACAAAACGTACCAATGGTCCAGGGATCCTCTCAATGCTTTAGGTACCGAAACATCCTCCGCGGCCTAGTCTCCTGCAATGCACAAATGATTTCGTCAGCAAACCAAGGGCACAGACCGTGAGTAAACCCAAATGCTATCCAGACAACACTTGTTGTAGAATAGTAGGTGACGAATGTGGCCCGACTCGATCACTGCTACTCGACTTCATGGAAGAATAAGACAACAGTTGCTGATTGTGAATCGACCAGCGCAGCTGCAGATTGTCAATGCAATATGCTAGGATGTACTCTTTCGAAGTGCAACGCTATACAACGTTGCTAACCGTCCTGCACGCTGCTTGAGATGTGAAGAGACTCTCGGTGACCTGGAAATGACCGAGATAAACACGGCAACCCCATTTTGGCGACTCATGATGATGTTTGATGTAACAAGAACAACTTACGACGCCGTAAATTTCGTCCATTGTCTCTGACAACAAGATGTATCTGGATTATTTGTTGTAGTGGTTTGTACGAAAGGCACCTGGAGACAAGGCCAGATCAGTGTAAAGCTTAACAAGAGGACCTGAGAAAATATTTGCATTATCGATTCCGCTAGGTTCGCTCAACCGATAATATCGTATGTAGCTGACTCACAATGGTGTAAGTCAGTCGTCGCTGACAAAACAGCCAGCGCCTGCTAGCTGAAGGTGGTAAGACGAGACGATGCAAGCCATTGAGATCAGTACCAGTCATACAGGATCAGACCCTGACCATGGCCAATCATCCCATATGATATTCCAAGCAAGAGCTCACACAAGACTTGGTCGCCGAACACATGGAAGATTCGGTGGGTAAACTTTGCTGGTGTATTACTTCGCGCGTATGCAAAGCCTAAGTGATGACCTTTTGTAGGTACGCATTAGAGTATAAGGGACTTACATCCAAGACTGAATGGGTAGAGTATCCAGATATTGAGGTAATCTGCAAGAAAATGGGAGCGAAGCCGACCACGAAGCAAGCAGTTGGACGAGATCATTATACCGTCCCGTCATATACTGTATGACCCATCGACAGACACCCTCATCGAAGAGTCCTCCAACATTGCAAGATACCTAGGGAAGACTTACCCAGATACACCGAAGCTCTTCCCCCATGGCACTGATGTACTGCCAGCGTCCTCGAAGTCGCCATTAGAGCGACACTTAAACCCCGGACATACGCCATCCTTATCCCCGCAACAGCCAATATCCTGGATGAACCAAGCGAGGTGTACTTCAGAAACAACCATCAAGCTGACTTCCCCACAGAGGAAGAAATGGAGAAGCACTGGAAGAAATCGGAAGACTCATTCAGCTTGTTCGCAGGTTGGTCGACGAACAACGAGGGTAGCGGTCCGTATGTGATGGGTGATACGGTGTCGTATGCCGATCTCATTGTTGCATCCCGTCTAATCTGGGCGAAGGCGGCTTTTGGTGTTAATTCTTCTGAGTGGGCGAGGATATTGAGTTGGAATAATGGAAAGTGGGGGCAATTCTCTAAACTTTTCGAGAAGTACGAGGTACTTGCCTAAAATAATTGATAGTAACGCGAATGTAACTGCTTTCTCGCTAACCTGACGGACGTATGCCTTCGTCGCCCTACAGTGTGAAATGCATTCTGAAAAAGTTGTGAGGGACACGCTCGCAGCTCCTTAAAGGCGTGTAACGAAGATGGAGAAGCACAGGAAGTTGCCGAAAGGCAAAGCAAAGCGAGATCTTGAACGACTTTATCGCCTCACGGCCCTCGCCTATCTGGTTCGGCATTTCCAGTTGATGTCAACACCACTTCCCTCCCATTCGTTGTTGTTCTTCCTTGACCTCTTAGAGATCCCAAGGCGAAGACAATACGGTGGCTGTAGCCGGCGTTTGAATTGACTTGATGACCGTCTCGTCTTATATTCGCAGTTGCCTTTTCTTTACAGTATATCCTGGCACTGGCAAGTACATAATAATGTTTACTGGTTAGAGGTGACCGTGTCCACCACGCTTGGACAGTGGTATAATTTTCCTGTTTTCCGCCAAGAATGACACAGTCTGATTGGCTGAACGACCAGATAAGTAAACGCCTTCATCTTTGTGGTGCATGTCTTCGACGAGTTCTCAGTGGTCTTTTCCGATCTTGGACAATTTGATTGGAGCTGGAAATGTGACTTATGAGAGGTTTCGCTAAACCTGACATACTCGTCGAAGTATACAGATTGGCAGCAGTACATGACCTCAAGCCCAAGCCCTCAAAACGTTGAACACTGGCAGAACGATTGGTTGGATTAATGGCCAACGGATCGTGCTTTTCGCAGGCTATGTATTTCTCATGGTTTCGAGGCTTTCGTTTCAGGGTGCATCATCTTGGGAAGATATCATGTATCGCACCCATCACCAGGATCCGTGAAATAACGTCCTCCTCCATAGCCTCTCAAGATTAAAGAATTCTGTTGTATGTTCCTGTGTCCTAATCTGAACTCTTGGAGTTGCTCCTTTGTTTCCGTGGAGGCTAGGCCCTACTCAACACTACTGGCGTCTAAAGGTATACCAAGCAATGGCAAGCATCATTCGGTTGCGAAGGTGGCCCACAGCATCTTGACCTCGACGACGACTCCACTTCAATTGTTCTTCTCTTGATGCAGGGTCAAAATGCTATGCAGAATGGAGCTAGAAATACATCCAAGACCGGGCGCGCGTCATGTCTCTGCGTTATGATTGGGTGATGATCACTCGGCACCCGAGCTCGCCAGTCGATTTGCAACAAAAGGAGGCCATGGCATCGTTTACGTTCTGCGTTTCTTCTTGGACGACCTGACTGCGTTGACGTTCCCAACCCTTCCTTTTCTTTCTTTCTTTCTTCTTTCTTTTCCTTCTTTCTTCAATTCTTTCTGCGCTGTGCGCTGTTCATTCTATCCCTTCACTAATACATTCATTCCTTTTTACGATGTTCTTCCCTGGCTGGTCGACCTTGCTTTTTGTGCTTTCTATTTCTTATCTTGCTGTTGCTTTGCCGGTTCCTATTTCCAAACGCAGTCATGACTCCTTGCAACGACAATCTCTTAGGTTACCGATCAGTCTTCAGAAGAGAGCTGGTTTGACGAGTGAAGCAGGGGTAGGGGATTTGGCAGATTTGTGAGTCCTTGACGTCTGAGGTCTTTGTATGAGTGAGAATGACATTGGTAGGATCTACACGGTTTCCGTTAACTTGGGGAACACAACAACGGCCGTGGTGTTAGGTAGGTCCACTGATCCATTGACCAATTTGGAGTGGACTCACTAACGATAAACTAGATACTGGGTCGAGTGACCTATGGGTCATGTCTGATGCCTGCAAGACGGATGTCTGTCAGCAATCTTCATCGACTCCATATGCAACAGCTACTGCTCGTCACACTGAAGCAGGTGTGAACCTACAATTCGGAGACTCGACCACTGGTACCCACGCTTCAGGTCCAGTCGTGCTTGATACGGTTGCGCTTGCTGGTCTGTCCATGGAGGACCAGCCGTTTGCAGCAATTAACGACACGAACAACTCCGCTGCCCAACATGGCACTGCCGGTCTCATAGGTCTTGGTTTCCCTAGCCAGAGGTATGCCCACAAAGGAATGACATGACCTCTCAATATCACATTGTCTGACCTTATTGTTTAGTTTTGTCCAAGCTGCTGTCGTAAATAAGCAGGTACGTGGGTTCTCCATATTTCGGTCGCTCCGCGCTAAGATATAACATTAGTTCAATAGTCCCCCCACGACAGATGCCTTTGTGACAGGGACTGCATCAAATGGACCATTGCTTTCCCGCCTAGCGATGTCCGGTCAGCTTGAGAATCCTATGTTCGCCGTGCGTTACTGATCTACAAATAAATTAACGATACGCAACTCACACATGACGAATACGTAGGTTGCCTTCCAACGCAACACCATCGACGTTTCCGGCAGCGGAAGCATTACAATTGGGCAATTGCCTGATGAGATCGACAACTCGTCCATTACCTGGGTCCCTGTCCGCTTGTACGGTGCTGAAGATGGTGGTCAGAATCCTCCTACCTTCGCGCCGAACGAAACATACCCTCTGTGAGTGAGAACTGCGCTTATGCATCAATAATCACTAAACATCCGTAGTCGCTGGGAAGTCCCTCTCGATGGTGTCTTTCTGGATGGCCAGAAGCTCTCTGACACCAACGCTACTGGCGTCAATAAGGGACTATCTGCACTCATCGATACGGTATGTCTGCGCAGCGATATTAGGACAATGCATATGGCGTTGACACAATTGCATGCAGGGCAACTCTCTCATTCGGGGTCCACAAGATGTCGTCAACTCAGTGCTGCGGACGGTTTCTCCTCAGTTTGCTGCGGATCCCACGTCGCGACCTCTCTTTCCGTGCGCTACCCCACACAACTTGACCTTCCAGATTGGCGGCAAGATGTTCCCTCTTGATCCTCGTGACTTTATTTCCCCAAACTCTACGCAAGATGCGACGAACTGTGTCGCAAGGAATGTCGTTGCTACCGATCCACCCAGCAAAGGCTCCCTATACAGTTGGAGTTTGGGCGCTCCTTTCTTCAAGTCAAACACGGTAGTCTTTTACTATGGCAACCTCACTCATCCCTCAGTCGATCCTCCTCGCATTGGTTTTGTATCCAACGTCCCTCAAAATGCAAATGACCTTCTTCAACAGGCCATTGCAGATGCAAACGCGCAAGGTGGTGTCTTCGAGAGTAAGTCACTTTGTACCTGTTCTCAGTATGACCTTAACCGGAGCAATCTTTCAAGGTACTGTTGACGTTGCACCCACCGCGTCCAGCGTGATCACTGTTTCTGCCACCTCCCTTACCCTCCCTACAGCTTCTGCCACCATCATCGACCGCCTGGCTTCTTCACCGTCTCCTACGAGTTCTACAGATACCTCAAGTGCTTTCTCATCTCGGGCACTGGCTACATACTGGTACGCTTCAATCGTGCTGGTATCATGTATTTTACTTGCGTAGACAGGTGACAATCAGGTCGATCCATTGAATTTTGTTTTGCAAGCATCTAATCTCCTGCGCGACTCTCTTGGAGGTGGAGAGACACAAGAATAGTAGTGGGACGCAGCAGCACCGGGCTAGCGCGCGCCAGTGCTGCTCGAGTTTTTATACGGAGTCGCTAAGGTCTAATGGTGTGGAGGATGGAAGATGTATGAAAGATTTTGGAGATACTGATCGCGGTAATAAAAAGGAGAGCACGTTGCCGGGGTTCACGCAATGGGCGGTCGCGCAAGGACCCGATTGGCGAAAAGGAAAGCATTGAGGAGGAGGGGGTGCTTGCGGATGTAGGCTTGCCATGCATCAGATGTCCATCGCCCTGCGGCTTGAATGAGAGAAGGTGGTGTTCCCTGTTCGGCGAGAAAGGTGGCACCACCGGAACGCATGGAGTGGCCAGCGATGTCACGCGGGAAGAAGTTGCGAAGGAAGCGAATGAACCAGGAACGCACAGGAACGGAGCCGTTCGCACGAATCCAAAGTTCTGGGCGTTGTGGAAATAGGGTATCGCGCGCACGAAGGTAACGTAAGAATATGTTGTAGACGTTGACTGCATTGGTATTATGAAGCAGGAGAATGCAGTTTCCCTCAAAGAAAGGGTCGGATTTATTGGCAGGGAGGAGGAAAGAGCAGGAGTCATCAGTGATGGTGACAGAGTGACGCAAAGACAATTTGCGGAATTCGCGCAAATTCACATTGTCTGGCCAAACGAGTTCTCCCAGTCGCATGAGCGCATGAAAGCCGGTGAAGAGTTGAGCGAGAAATAGAAGATTGTCGTAGTTGTCATTGCCTGCTAAGGTCTGTGCAACGGATTGCAAGTCGGCAGGTGTGAGAGCTCGCTTCCGCCTGATTGGAGTACTGCGGAGACGTTTGCAGCCTCTGAGGGTTCTGGAGACGAGTGCGGAGGACCGGAGGCGGCGGATATGAGGAAAGAATTCTTCGAGAGAACTGCAAATACCAGAGAGGTAATTGTCAACGGAACGTGGCTCGATGTGATGAGACATGAAGACGATGTAGAAGGATAGTGTATCCTGGGTGGGTTCAACCGGAAATTCATGAATTGAACAGAATTCAAGATATGAATTGAGTGCGGAGTTGTAGGAATTCTTGGTGCCTTTGGCAAGTGCATGGGATAGCGCAATGGAGCGTTCATGGACTAAACGCTCAGTGGTCCAAGGCAACCGTTTCAGTTGCTGGGACCGCACAGGAACGAAGTTCATTTTTTGACAGCCCCCAACGCATCCCGAGGGGGTCTAAAGTGAAGAATCGTGATTTTGGGATCAAGAAGACGTGCTTTGTGTAGGTGGCCCCGGGAGAGTGCATCGGAGATTTGATTGTCCTCGCCATTGATATGATCTACACGGACCTGTAGACGGTCTTCGATCATGATATCAATAGCGGAGGTGAGGATGGGGTTGTAAGGTGGCGTGACTTTCAAGGTGTTGAAAGCGTGAACGGCATTGGTGTTATCTGAGAGAATTGCAAGACGTTGTACAAAGCGAGATGCTGTGCGCCAGAAGTGGATGCGATGAATGGCGGCACAAATAGCAAGAGCTTCGAAGAAATAGATGGTGCTGGTGGGTGTATGGCATGGAAGCTCTGACCAAAATCCAAGGTGACTCCAGGGAAAGTAGAGACCGATACCAGAACCGGAGGCATCGACTAGTGCAAATTCATCGCGATGAGAGTCCTCGATAAGATCCGATGGGCTCCAGGCCAAGGTTTGAAATAGATGGATACCATCGGAATTGTGAACATGATGAACAAACCATTGCAGGTCAGAAGTGATGGCACGGTTGAGATAAATGCCGGCATGACGGTGGGTCTTGCCTGACATTTTGGCATACATATTGGATAATGCTGGTTTTAAGAGGGGAAAGATGTTGAAAGACCAATTGATGTAGCCGGTAAGTTGCTGAAATTCAGTGAGAGTGTGCCGTCGGGATGTGGTGGAAGTAACGAGGAAATCTTCAACTGAGCGAATGAGTTTCGTGAGGCTTTTGGAAGGAAGTGTGACAGTCATGAGGTTGGGATCAACTTGAAAACCAATAATTGTGAGTGTGTGTCCATACTCTTGTTTGCGACATTTATGAGGAAGGTTGATGTCATCCCATAAGCGAAGTAGTTTTGTCTGGTTTGAAGGAAAATAAGCATTGTATGGTTGATAAAATTCAACGCAACCCTCTTCTTCAAACCCGAAGTTGTCATCAACGTAATTGAATTGATCAATGTGTAGCAGTACAAGGGCAATCCAGAGGACGAGGGAGTCAAAGGCAGTCCAAATGCGCATTGAGCCTCGCCCACCAAAGACATTACACCGGTCAATGTAACAGATTCCATCAACAGTGGTGACCTGTTTGAGTTGCCAGTATGGGGACATTGGCATATGTCGGTAAGCCTGGGAAACATCTGACTTCCAGAGGACTAAAGACTTGGAGTTTCCGTGAATGCACCTGTAATGAAGAAGACATTCGCCGAGTGCAGGAATCCCATCTAATATGACACCACGAATAGATTCACGTGGTATCATAGAGTTGAGGGAGTATTGTGTCGCGCTGTGGTTCGTAACGAGTCGCAATTTGTCTGAATGCAGTTTAGGGACTGCATGGATAGGCATGCTGTACATAGCGGGGAAAAGATCAGGACCGAACCCTTCTGAAAATCTCTCCTTCTCAAGTTCTTCATCACGCTGCTCTCTCAAGAATTGTGCTTCTTCGAGCAGGGTAGGTGGGGGTCTAGCCGCATCCCAAGTGAGAGGATATTGTGAAACATTGCTGTCAGTTACCGCCCATGGCCAGAAACCTTCACGAAGCAATCGACAAACAGATAAGACAAAAGGTTGATTAGGGTGTTCTCGTAGAAGGTACTGAAAGCGATCAATGTTAATAGGCATTACAGCTTTGAAGAGCGAAGAGTGCGCATGAAGTGTATCATTGATGATAGGATCATTTTGAACATGAGGGGGAACATCGGGAAGTGGATCATGAGTGAGAGAAATTGAAGAGGCAGTGCAAATGGAGGGTTTCGAGGAATTGTCCATATGAGGCCATGTAAATATCGTGGACATGCGATGTTGAGATACTTTGACACCTTGTCACTTGTGCACACCTTTAGTGCAGTTGACAACGGTGTGTCCAGAGGCTCGGCATCCTGCGCAGACATGCCTGTATCTGCAGGAGGAAGCTTGACGCGTGCAGAGTCCTGCATTCCAGTTGTTGCACGGCTCCTTTTGCCGGTGCTCTCTTGTAGATCTGGAAGATTGGGTTTTCTCTTCAGCGACCCGCGCACCACATGAGTCGATGCACATGGTATAGAGGTCATTAAAGCGGGTAGTATCATACGTCGTGATGCAACTCTTTTGTGAACGGCTCAGTCGAAGTCAAGGATGCGTGAGTGGAAGTCGATGTCAATGGCTCCGAAGATTCCTGTGAGATACTGCCCATAGGATACAAGTTCTGAGCGACGATGGGGGAAGGCGTAAGAAGTGGCTTCAATGGTTTTGGCCCATGCAAAGACCCAATCACCAAAGTTTCTGATTTTTTGAGAGGCTGTAGGCAGTCGATAACAGACTTCGAGGTTGCCAAGGTGTCCGATCTCGCATTCATCTCCTCCAAACGGAGTAACAACCTGTGAACACATGGTCGAGGTTGATAACCTTTCCAGCAAGGACATTCGTCCATTCTGCATCTGGGAACTCTGGGGCACTTGCCGAGTTGAGCAAGTCTGACTTCGCTCCTTTGGGGTCGACAGCGTATTCACGAAGAAGTTTGAGTGAGCATCGGAGTGATTCAGACAATTGACTTCCTTGGACGACGTTAGTGATGGTCCAGGCGTATCGGAGTGGATTTCCTCTCTTCCATTGATAGCTCAGTTCAGTTGATCCTGAGCCTGGTGAACGACTTCTACTACTCGACCATCTGGAGGTTCTGACACTAGAGTCTCGACTCTGGTCTCTACCCCTAACCGCTCGGCGAGACTCTTCTTCATGCTGCTGATCCTCTGATGATGCTGTGCGCATGTCTTCTCAGTTGATTTCATCGAGCATGTTGAGGTAGGATGTAAGAGTCGTGAAGTCGGGAGTGGTTTGTTGCTCAATGGAGTAGTCGTGCAAGGCGACACTAAGTCCAGCGATTGCAGCCGTTTTGCCGATTTCCTTTCATTTGTACCCCTGAACGATGTCCATGCAGACCGCTCTGAGAGTATTTCTGGGATCATTTGCGGAGACCTCAACAGGTGTACGTCTCTCTGATTCAACATTCGACTGTTCTCCATTGTGTGACATAGGAGCTGCCTTTATTGATAGGAGCTAAGGTGGGAGTTTACAATGATTGTAAGAGAAAACGGGGCTGCGATCATTCGAGTACCTAGTAAGATGATATGAACATCAGTACGAGATGAAAGGGCGCGAGGAGAACAGTCAACGGCTCACCTAGCAAGTATGATGGATGTACGAGAGAAAGGGCGGCAAGGCCACTCTCCTACACCCACTTGCTAGGTAAGGTGCTCCAAGCCCGCTCATACTGGTGTGCCGCTGGAGCGGACGACGATCGTCACACTTGGCTCGAAAGCTGCAAGTGCGGGTCCTCTCACTTGGGCATTTTGACGCTTGGCGATTAGACTTGTGAAAATCCTATTTAAACTCATTTAAAGTCTTAAATTGGTTTTTGATTAAATAATGTATGATGAGCCTTCAGAATTTGGCGCAGTGGTAGCGCGTATGCTTTGCAGTTTCTTACAAAAAGTGCCGAAGTCGAGGGGTCAAACCCGCAACGCTGACTATGTTTTGTTCACTTTGGAAAAACGTGATGTTTTTTCATCCATCGATTCGTGAACTCGACCCGATATCCTTCGACCGGAAGATTCACTTTATGGCTGTTCTAGATTTAGTGCACAGTGACCGCAGTAACATTCGCAGTTATCTAGTGTCCCGCAGCATTACGCAGCGATCACGTTTGGTGACAGACAGTCTAGGTACATTCCTGGGTATGATGGCCGATTGCAACGCGTAAGTCTTGGTGGATGCCTTTTTGTCTGGACCGCTGTGGAGGCACATGGAGTTAAAAGGGGAGAATGGTAGGGTTCAATACACCACATCCACAGTTGCTCCAAGCTTTTAGGCATCCCTTTATGGAACCTATCCGCCGCTATACAGGTTATACTACCCCTATGTACCAAGAGGCGGATGCAGAAAAGGGTGCTTCAACACCTCTCGTTGTACATAACGCGGTCATGCATCTGGACGAAGCATCGCGAACCCCTCACCCAAAGAGATCTCGTGCGAGGAAGGTTCTACTTCATTTGATACATTTCTCCATCTTCTTGGCTATCTTCTACTTCCTGGTACCACGTTGGTACCCCGGCGGCAAACCTGTAAGTTTCATCATTCATCATATATAACCAAGGTACACAAGTTAACAGATGAATAGCAGCAACCCTCTCCGGAAGGCGACATGGTCGAGTACGAGAATGGATCCCCTGGTCCTCGAGACTGCGTGAACCGTGCCGAGTGGACGCTCCACGATGCTCAAGGACCTCCCTACATCCCTCACTTCCGCCGACATGCATCTACCTCACTCAGTCTACCTCGTTCTTCCTCGCTGCTATATTTCCTAAGCCGCGGCTCGCTCTCTCATGGTCGAATTGAGATCGACAATGACGGTGAAGAAGCCGACAAGGTGTCGGTGGAAGTAGGCATATGGTACAATGCCGACGATGTTCTTGATCGAGTGGACGTTTGTACTCTCCAGCGTGCAGAGGGAAAGAATGGTGTGGGGATATTCGTAAGTTTTGATCTGTCTTCAGTCCATGTTATCCGCTCAGACTCCTGTCTTCCGTCACCTAGAGTCCGCAGTATCATCGTCATCCCAGTGATGAGTACAGGACACACTTTGAGGTCAAGGTCCGGCTTCCTACCAGTGCCAAATTGGAACATTACGATGAATTCGAGACGGATATGCCGATTTTTGCTCATTCGGTTGGTGACCTCGAAGGCAATGTTTTCTTCCGCTCCATCTCGCTAAGGACCACCAATGATCCCATCGATGTCAAGGTGATCTCAGTTGTCTTATAGTGGGCTAGCGTTGTTATTTACTGCTCATGCTCCCAGTCACTCACGGTTAATCACGGTTCTCTGGCTACCACGAACAGCCACATTCAGGCGGTTTTCAACGCTACTGATGTCCTCAAGGTACATACATCGAACGGGCATATCTCTGGCAACTTCAAGAGCCTGGGTGATGTAAACTTGGCAACGACTAACGGTCGCATCAAGGCGAAGCTGAGCTTGACCAACAATGGTTCAAGTGATGCTTCTAAGTTGGTTCTGGCTACATCGAATGGGTGCGTTCCAACCTTGATTTTTCTCACAACCCAGTCGACTAATCCTAACGGTGCAGTCCTATCGAGGCCGATATCACTCTCCTATCGTCAGCCGAGGGTGGCACTGGTGGTGCTTTCGACGTGAAGGCTTCAACTACTAATAGTCATATCGACGTCACCTATCCTTCTGCTCCAGTCGACTCAAGGCTTGCTTTCATCGGCCATTCTTCCAATGCTCCTGTCCGCGCCAAGCTCCACCCTACTTACGAGGGATCTTTCTCGCTTCGCACATCGTCATTCGAGAAACCCACCGTCCAGCATGACTCTCATGCGCCGGACCCTGCTGGTAGAGGCCGCACTCGTACCGTCAATGTCCATAGAATGGGACGAGGTATAACGGAGGGTGATGTCAAGTGGACTGGCAACGAGAATCGTGCGGAATTGGGCACGGTTCAGCTCTCAACGACGAATGCTGCCGTCCGCCTTACGCTTTGAAGGATCTGTACTATGAAATTTTTGGGTCTGGAATTCTTCCGCTGTGGTTGGAGTCCTTTTATTTGTGAATGACGTAGATCTTGTTATAACAGTAGTATCTAAGGAAAGTTGTGTTATGATGCATGTCATAATGCCTCTCAAGAGACTATCATTGTAAGAAGATTAATGTGAGTATCGTAAAAATACAGAATGAAGGGGAAAATGTGCCCGAACGCTTCGAACAGTATGAGTTTTCTTGAGTTACACCTATGAATAAGCTTACCAGTAGGGAGTGAAACAATATATAGTGCAACCTAGGTTTCTCGATCGCAACGTGGTTCAACAATGACAGGCAACTCTCCCGTCAGCAAGATAAAGAAATCATGCAAGTTACGCTCCCATTCATCCACGTTCCAACCAGGAGCAAAGCGAACTCGCAAGCGTTGCATGAAATGGCAAAGCACCATACGCATTTCTTGCATGGCAAGATTCTTCCCAACGCAATTCGCGGGGCCATAGGAAAAGGGAATGAACGCGTCGCTGTTGTGTACGAATTCCTTTGGATTCGGAGCAGCTTGAAGCCCGCCCACGATGAGCCAGCGTTCCGGCCAGAATGTATCTGGGTGCGAGAAGTAACGCGAGCAGCGTTGAATAGTATAGGTATGAACCCGAACTTGGTTTCCCTCGGGTATGAAACTTCACCAAAGGGTATCAAGCACTGCAAGGTAGACGGTTTTTGGCTAAGCCAGGCTTACTATGGTCCAATCGCCTTTCCACCAGATCCCTTCATCGGAGCACGTTGGCTTCCGCTGAGTGCGCCTGGATATAGCCTCATTGTCTCATTGCTGCCCATGGTATTATAAGAAGCAGAGATTAGAATATTGTGCGTCTTCCAACTCACATTACCGCCTCCAGATACGGCATCTTGCTGTAATATTTGGGGTCCAGCGCATTCTCCCCAATTGGATAGAACTTATCAACCTCTTCTTGAAGTCGGTCGTAGCATTCCGGGTTTCGCATCAGAAAATACAGCGCATTGCACAGGGTAGCTGCAGTTGTGTCTGCACCGGCTATGACGGCTAGTGAACCGTCGGAGGCCACTTGGTCCGGGTTTGGCTGCGTCTTCTCTACTCCATCCTCATTATTCTATGAAGCCCGGTTGATTCATGGCGGCAAAGAATGGAGGCGTTATAACGACCAGACTTACCAGATAGTAAAAGAGATCCTTAACAGTTGAACCATTCTTGGTTCTATGTTGAGCTTTCCGTCGACCAGTCTCTCGGACGGTCCTTGTGGCACGACCAATGACAGGGATCTTATAAGCGTAGCCAGCCAGCCACGGGAGATGTTCGAAAATGAAACCCTTCCTAAACGCGAGATAGAACATAAAAAGAGGTAGACAAACCAGACAAAGAACGTACCTCATGCCTTGCTCTATAGTATGAAGTATTCCATCAGTATCACCCTCTCTCAGTAGTTCTGAGCCACCTCCAAAGCTAATCAACACGTGAGACAGACTGATCGTACAATCAAAAGAAAGGTGTGAAACTGACGCTATGTCGTTAATCAGGTCATACCTATCCAAACGAGGATAACCAAATGAAGCATCAAAGCACAGAAAAATTCTAAACTTGACTAACACTCACGAGAAGCAGGCAAGCCAGTGAGCCAAATTCGGCGTTCCCTTTTGCTGTTCCATGACATTGATGAACTGGACGGCACGCTTGGCGACGATAGATTCGTATTCTCTTAGAGCAGAAACGCTCATACCGCGATTCCATGGCTTTCGTCGTTGACCATGCAGAACTGGATCGCGAATTGCAGAAAGGGCGGGAATGGGAGGATCCATAGATCGCCCAGTCCAGTCTGTGAGGTCATGCATAAGCATTAATCATTCTGCGCGCGTAGCATGGCCTGACTTACTAGGACCTTTCGGAAGCCCAGCCTGGCCCATCATAGGAGCAATCGCAGTCGAATCGCAAATGCATAGTTCATTGGGGCCTTCAGGGTATCAGTACAACGCGGATATATAGTAACCATATTGAAATCGGAAGCGTTGATGCTCACCTATCCGGACCACATCACCATAGCGGTCATGCAAGCTTCGGATGTAAAGATGCTGTTGTCCACGCCTTGAGAATTTGAATAGCCAAAGCCTGGTGATCTTGCAGGCTAGAGGCCCGGGGTATCGTCCAAGTGGATGGAAGGGTGAGACACGATAGCAGACAATTGAAAGTATTAACGTTGTCAGAAAAAATGTGTAGGTAATCAATATCGCCACAAGAGGGGGGTAATCCAGTGTCAGGAGCGAAGAAATGTACAAGGGTAGGAGCGCAAAGAGTGACACAGCGAGGATGAAATTTGATGATTCGGTTTTCCTATAGACTTGATGCACGAGCTAAGAGACAGAAGATGAGAAACTAGAGTGAAAACTAAAGATTTGCTTACCAACCCATATCCGACTGTAGCTTGTAGAACATTAGAAGGAGTCATTTCTGGGGGTGAAAATATCAGTAGTAGTGAGGATGTTGCGTGAACGGAGATCGTCTAGCTAGACCAGGACTAAGATCAAGTCTCGTTATTATACCCTTGGAGGCTTATTAAGGTACGCGATTGATAGCAGCGATTTCGCCGGGGAGCTGTCATCAGTGGTTGTTGTATCGTTCCGCCCATGTTGAAAAATAACCAGAATTATCGACCTTCATGGTCACTAATTATGCCGATGAACGACCTCTACGAATCTCAACGAAGCTCGTCCAACAAAATATCGAAGTAACGAGGAAACCAAGTAGATAATGCAGCATCCTGTGCTCATTGATGTCAGGATGACAGTTTGACGTGTTGACGTCTGTATCAAGACTTCGGCGAGAGGCCCGGTCAAGGCATGTCAACAGTTCTGAAAGTACCTTTGGGAGAAGACTTGTGTAATGAAAACACATCACCTTGATTGGAAAGCGTCACAGTTTAGAAACGGTGCCAGATTCACCGTCATGCATGTAGACCGTTGAGTTACCCCTCGATGTGCTTGAGAATGTACTTCGTGATAAACAGATGTTTTCGGTGTCAAGGGAACATCAGAATGATTGTCATTGGTATGCGCTATTGAAGCCGGCGCATTCCTGACGGTTGCGATGGCCATCTCAACAGCACCGACTGATCGGGGTAGCCAAATACCCAAGGAACGAGAAGAAAGTCTCGAGGAATATCGGCGACAAACTGCTTGTATTTTTGCCAAGGAAGGTGTCCATGGTCAAAGGATGAACTATGCAGTTCAAATCACGATGTCAGCTACTGTTACTGTATGGCCAGATGAATGAATGAAATTCGCTGTACATCGTCATATCAGAATGTCGAAACTCACCGTAAGAGAGATTGCGCTCGAAAGCACACCGACGCCTCCAGAGATGGGTCCGTAGGTCGCAAGCACAGAACCTACGCTTTGACTGGTATCGACGACATAGGAACCAATGTCTAATGTAAATCACTTGCCTTAAAATTACGCCGATGTTAGAAATAGTATCCTATTGGCCCGAAACCGGCCGCTCAACCAGGTAACAGAGTAGCTAATGAATCATAGCACCAAGGTCCAACGTTGCTTGAGTGATGCTATGTGGTCCTGATGATGCACACGTTCGTGAGACTCACCGGCAATGCTTCAAGATCACAGTTCTCCGTTCCCAGATATGAATACGAACACAGAGTTGCTTGCCTACACCAGCAACCTTGCAGGTAACCGGGCGGCGCCCCCATGAGAGCGCCGTACGTTTACTGGCTGATGCGGACTGCAACGCTATTGGATGAGTAGCAGCGGTTAGCACACAAGATAGAGTAGCATATGATAATATATCCACGGACATGTGAGGCGATCAATACCAGATACACCGGTCTACGGCGACTTCTTAGAGTAAGTCGTTCCCGGTCTCTTCAGAGATATTGGGATCTGTTAGGCCAAACGCCGACCGGTAGACCGAGTACAGGCAATAGTAACCGTGAGGGGGGTACATCTCCAAGCAAAACTGAAGATCAAGTAACAATGTTTCAGTGAGTGAGATCAATCATGTTTTCGTATGTATGCACTGTATAACTGACCTCTTGGCTCTCTGACTGTTCAAAGTTACGACCAATAACTTTGCAGCAAATCCCGGAGATCCCCTCCCCAGTAAGATCGAGAGCGGCCCGCTTAATGAAAGTGGGTGTCCCTGTTCATGTGCAACCACCAAGCGTCCCGCATTGACTACATTTGAGCTTAGTGATATCGATAAGCCTCCATATGCCTAAGATAGTAACGAAACCAACGCCGAACAGGCTGTCGGTACCTGGTATGACCCGGCGTCTTGTGTGAAGCTTCGTCCGATTCTACTTGATCTCGGAGAACTTTAGAAGAGATGACAAGGGAGAGAGGAGTCACTGAGGGAGTTATCTTTGTCGGAAAGTTGTGCTAATGAGTAAGGCTTGTCAGGGCGTCCCGGGTTGTTGTTCGTTTGCCGTGACTACAGTAGGGTTGAACTTCTGAGGATGGGGTTTCGCAGACTTTCTACCGATGATAACCCGTGTATCATTGGATTGCGACCGAGAATGAAGGGACCCTCGGGTTAAGGTCTAGAGAAGCATTGTAGTTATGCATGACATATCCCCAATAGTGAGCCTGCTTCGACGTGGATAGAGGGGAAAACTAACCGAATGTTTTATGCGCCCGCCCGTTACTTTGAAGATCAATCTGATCTCTAGATAGGTTAGAGAACAGAGCTCTCTGCCAAAGTGTCGGCAATAGTTTGGCTACTGACATAAGGACTTCCCAGCAAAGGAGAGGAAGCGAAGACCGCCGGAAACCTATACAGGGAATATGGAGAAAGTGCATTCGATGACAGTCAATGTCATCTGGCGATTAACCGTCTTAATCTTAACATTCCAGAATGGACGCAGCCCGCTTTACGTGCATAAGAATCCAAACACCATGTCAACGGTCCTGACAAACAATGTCACAAAGGCAGGAAAGGTCGAAGACCGGAATCTACGACTGCAAACGCCCTGTTTCAAGACTACACGCTGAACAACTGTGTGAGCATGGAAAACATATGTAACAGTGACATAACGCATGAACGTGAAGCCCGTACGTTGGTGGCTTCTGCGTGTCGCTGATATGCTAGTTGAGGAGAGATTGAACGATTGGGATGGCGCCCCGAAACGGGAAGGACAACTAATTATTATCAACGTACCTGTATATTATGACCGCTCCCAAAGCTCGACAGTGGCTAATCCATTCTGATATGAAGAAGGAGAAAGCACGTGGGTGTCTGGTGTTGTAGTATGATCGTCTCAAACCATGACCACTGGTATCCCGGAACCATCAAGCAGCGTGATTTAATCTCCACAGCATCCGGCGGGTTTAGATAGGACTACTTCGCGACTTCTGCTGCAAGTAGGGAATCGCGCAGGGAGGGCAATCACCACAACATCGTACGATCCTTCGTACTGCTTGAGACTAACAAATCCTGGAAGTCAGACCAGCGGCTGAATTGTCAAACCTAGATATGCACGTACGATATTCGTAGGAAAGACGTCGTCTGCATTCTGTGGTCAGCTGACTAACATGCCTAGGTTGCACATTCAATTACAATAAAGCGGAACGGGAAGGACACTGAGTTTAAAGCATACCGTCGGCATAATACCACACAAAGTAGTAGACTCGCTGTGCAGAGATTTGAAACCCCCACATACCCCACACCCTAGACAATAATCTACAGATTTGATTTTTTCCCCGCACGGATTGATAGTATGGGAGCGTAACTTTAATTTCATCCCGCCGGCGAGCTTCCAAAGGAGTAGCGGAAATATTTTCTTGTCGGCGATGGCGAAGTACCGGTTTGAAATATTGAAGAACAAGCAACATTCAATTTAGGAAGTTGGAGTTAACGAATCAGAGCCGTTCTAAGTCAATGGGAGATGACAAACCTCCTGCGTAAGCTTTGAGTTTGTGCCGCACATACTCCGAGGCTTGGAAGCCAAGTAGCAATTACTGTTAACATTAGGGTGGCATCGCGGAAACATTCGTTACGCCATTAGGCGGTCTTGCGGTGAAGCAAGGAGACATTCATCCAATGGCTTTGAGAGGTCTTGCAATCCTGTTCAACTAACAGAAGAATTCCTCATCAAACCGACATGATTCCAGAATTTATGATAGGTCCATTGCGCGCCCTACTTCCGTCTTATTTCTGGAATTTTCGAGGCATCCATGTGCAGAACGATCAAACTGGCGTTGCTGGATGATCGGTTCCTGCTGCCGCGAGAGAGCATCCAGAGGGCGCGGAGAGAAATACTGGAATAGAACTGAGTTTCAGCGAAAGAGTATTTCACATCGAAGAAATTGTAAGAATCGAAGAACTAACACATGACCACCAAAGCTTTGTAAACGACTGTCAGAGAACCCGAGAATCCTTGACGTTAAAAAGCTTCTCCCGACGCCTAAGAGAAATCTTACGAGCAAAGTGCTGCCATCTTCATGTCTACGCCAATCTTCTTGTCTGCGACTGTCATGATCACATAGATCGGTATTATTGGACCTTGGGCCTGCATGGAAGAGGTGACTGGGCGTTCCGGCAATTCAGGACCGCGAATCGAGGAGCTGGAGAAGGTTTCAATGTGCGTCAACCGCGATTGTAGCCTCGCCGTCATTCAAAACAGTCAGGCCAGAAAAAGCTCGTCTCGAGGCAACGATACATGGAATATCGAAGATCACGAGGTCAAAGTTCGCCGAAAGCATACTAGCGAAGTAGGATCCGCGTTCATTTGGACAGCCCATGAGGTATGTTCTAGATTATGTGACTGAGGTCCATTCTAACGACAGACGTAGGACCATATGATATGCATATGAACATGGTCTCCAGATTGCCCCTTCCTACTGCACAGGGTGTGGTACTTACATCAACCGGAGCCTATAACAGAGTCAATGAAGATCGACCCTGAAGAATGAAAAGGAGATATTTTAATTGAACACCACTTGTGAAGCACGTTGTGAAGAGGTGAACAAGGTTGAACCCGCTGCATTCGCTGGCAAGGTCGTCTGACTATAGCAGCTGGTCTAGCTGCGCTCGAGAACTGTTCGGGGTCGATAAACGCGCCCAAGTGGATTCAAGTCATTCAGAATGAAGTATCACAACATATGTCTATCAGCGGAGATTTGATGTTGTGAGTTCCTGAGTGGGAAGAACGAAAGAACAAATGTAGACGCCCTTGCCTTTTTGGTCGAACACGGTCGTTTTTGCAGGCTGACGTCATCAATAACGACGGCCTCTGGTTGGCCAGCGCATCTTTGTTCAACTCGACCAAATCAAATGATTCAACTCTGTCATACGACAATTCTAGGCCAGCTATCAATAGGATTACAATTGTATCCATTCTATGCGGCGTTCAATGCCGTGCTTCACTCAAACAAAATGTAGAATGTCTACGAGTCTAGGCGGTCCAGGAGTTTCCGGACTCCTCTGACTCCTCGCCGCCCAGGGTACATTTCTATCGAATCCTTAATGGGGCAGATGCTCGCCACTTGCGCAGCGCAGGTGTCACGAGTTTCCAATCCCCTTAAACTCGGATGCAAACTTCTACAGACTACTCTGGGCTCCAGCATACGTGGATCGATATGTTTTGAATACCAGGCCTTGGCGGTGAGCCGTCTCCGTTTCTCTCCGTTCAACATTCGACTTTGCTGTGTCAGGAAAACGCATTCTTTCGAGGATTCCAAGGTTGCTCTTGTCGTCGTCACTACTCATGTGAATGATCCACGACGACGTCAGGCGTTTCGGTACCCGGTATTCATCGGTGTTCATGCGTTCATTGTCTGATGCTTTAGAAGGACTGTTACTCCGTTTACTCCGTCTTCACACCCCGTGGTTCCACCAGTTTCTCTAACGACGGAGTGTTCGTCCGTTGTGAGACTATGAGACCTCTCGAACCTTCATATTCAGTGCTTCGAGGGGACTGTAGCACCACTCCATTTGTTCGGAGCCGTGCACGCTTGGACAACGAGCCGCACTTCGGAATATATTCGACTCTTGGGATGCATGCTTTTAGACATCGGCTCTACAAACACAAGCTGAGTACGTTCTCTGTACGTATACAACTTACGCACGGACTTTACTTATTATCTATGCATGCACTTTACTTACGTCAATGCCTCCCTGATTAACAATCTCAACCCTACGCAAAGCCTCGAACTTGACCTTCCTATGTCTTCGTTATCTTCAATCCTTCCATATGCACTACCGACACCTTGTTGTCATTGTTCTCATCTCGACATTCAGCTTGTAATCTTGTACGTCCCTACTTTGTCAAGCTGACCAAGGTAAAACTTTAGAGTCGTGGAATGCCATCACATTTCATCTACTCTCTGGATCTCTTGCTCCATTTGCTCATCTACCGGTCCCGTCAATTAATTCCTATCAGCCAATCAGCCAATCTTGTGCGATACGTCGGTCCCAGCTCTCCGATTTCTCCGAACACAATTTCAAGCCCTGCAATATAACTTCATATGCGCCTTTTCACTGGCTACTTCAGGCTACTTCCGTTTGACTAGTTGTGCCATATCAGATGCTGACATTTGAACGTGCTATTACTCCCTTATACGCCCTCTTTTTGCATACCGAGTGATTTCCTTCTTCCGTCAGGACCGAAGCGCTCGCCCGACCCCCGACCCTTACTCCCGCCCTTGCATATTGGTAACAATGAAAAACCGCCACCTGGTCCTCTTATTGGTCCATACGATCATTTGTTTTTATTGTCATTGCACAATTGGCTCATCCTTATGCTCCTTTGTCATCTGCCCTTGTTGTCCCTTATCCTGATTGTTTCTTGCGACTTGCCCCGAAGCAGCTAAACACCCCTCTGAAAACACTTATGAGACATTTTTACCCACCCTGGAAACCCGGTATTCTCGGTACGACTCTTGACAGATTACTCAGTGACTTGCTAGCAGCCAATGGGAAGCTCCAAAGAGGCTCATAATTTCATTATGATGCGCTGCACCTAGGCTTGCTCCTGAAGGAGTCAGGCTTCTTCTTCCTCGCGGTTACCGAGACTGCTGTCTCAGACAGTCACGTTTAGCACACTGCATGACTGACTCGCTGCTTACTTGACACTTGACGCGTGACGCTTGAACGTTTCAACGTTGAACAACTCAGACAACACTTATGCAGAGGCTAAACTCTTCCAATGGGTCTCGACCCTTGGACTCGATCGACCACGAACAACACGAGCTTTTCAAACGCATTTGTTTAAGCTACAAAACTTGACACCCGAAGCTTGAGCTTTATGCCCAACCCCTCGAGACTCGGTCGACATCTCAGTTAAGCGAAAAGACGGTCTCGCCTAGACGGTAATTGCAAGGATTGCAATTGGCCACTAGTGGCCATGGGCTAGTAGGCCTGGGTTCAACGTTCAATGACAGAACCGATTTACCCGTTCAAAACTTCAAAGGGCCCCATATGCACATAAGCAATGTAGCGTGCAAATCCGTATGTCAAATAACATAATGGTACCTTACCTCACAGCTTCGCACAACTAACTCATGTGTCATCCTTGGCTGAAAGACACACTAGTACATGTGTATTACTATTAGGTGGGTGGGTGGCCATGAGTTGCGGCGTACGTGCTTGATAGGAAGTACGGAGCGTTCGCTACGAGTTGAAAAGCATATGTTCACTTTTACAAACGCCACACCACACCAGCTCACAGGCTATTAGCGAAACTCAATTTGGACTCTAACAGCTCACTCTAAACACTGACGAACATATGCTGGCGTGGATGCCGATGACTGCCGAAGCACCGCCATCAATGTCGGTCGCATGGGATCATCCCTCGAGTTGAAGTCACTCTGGCATTCTCGATACCTTCAGGCAAGAATGTGCACGTCTGAAAGGGCTCATTAAGACTATTACATTGGTCTTTTTCCCATTCAGAATGGACGAGAAACGATGCAGAACAAGGGTCATCTCTGTGCACCTAACCCCGACCAGACAGACGTATTTTCAATTTTTCCGGCTGCAAGATCAGTGGCGGTGCGCTCTCTTCGTTTTCAGGCCTTTAGAGTGAGCCGTTAGAGTCCAAATTGAGTTTCGCTATTGCGCTATGGGTTATGGGCTATGGGTTATACGGTAGGTTGTAGATAGAGCCTCCAGCCGGTTCAGATTTCAACAACCCTCTGTGCATTGCGAATGTGTGATCATCGGGGGCCTCGGTGTCCGTGTCCGAGAAACGCAGTGTCGTAGTGGCGTAGAGTTTCATAGTAGGTTGACTAGGCTCAGCGTATTAGTATATGTAGTTCCTTGGGTCCCTAGCGATCGTGTAGCAAGCAGTAAATATTTGTAGCAACTGAGAGGCGACCTCGGAGGCAACCGCATATACTCAACATCCAAGCGTCGGCTAAAGAATAACTCTGAAGCTTGAAGCTTATAAGTTATAAGAAGGTCCAGACCGACCAAAGCGTGAACTTGTGAACTTGGGAATTGGTTCCGTCCGAGTTTTTGGTTGCCATGTGTGATCCGGGTGGTCTGAATCACGTACTTAGGCGAGGGCGGAGCTGGCGAAGGTAACGAGAAGGAACGCAAAAAGTATATACTTGGACACATGCACATGTCACGCGAAATAGCTTGAAGTCCGGGGGTCAGGGGGGGGGAGGGGTCGAAGCTGGACCGGTACCTTCCATCCAATTTCCTAGAGTACTTACTTGTCACAATGAAGTCAGGTTTTACGAACACTTGATTTCAGAACTATGCTTCCCACAGTATCACGCTGAAGAAGTTGATCGGGCTTGCAGACGAGGTTCGATTTCGGACTTCATTGGGAGCGTTATAACGTTACGTTCGACAGCGAAACAGAAGACCAAAAGAACCAGAAAAAGAGACACCACCAGGCCACTCATCACGCAAACAATCTAAAGGCAAGAGACTTCAGAAGAACGCGATTCAATTGATTGGCACAGAAAAACTATTTGAGATTCGATTCGAATTCGATTTGGAGTAGCAAGTAGCAAAAGACAATAAAAAGAGTCCAGAAGGAGGAGGGTCGTAAGGTATATCGAGTTCATAATGCACAAGTTAAAAAAAATGTACGCGAGGTATTGATCAGAGGGTATGCCCAAAAGTCCATCTGAATAAGAATGAACTGAAGAGCGTCTCGGGGTGTTGGTCTGGATTGGTTGGTATAAAAGTACAATTGATATACAGAGAATAGACGAAAAAGGCGAAAAACGAACGACGCAAACCAAGAATGCAACCCTGGGTATTGATGATACATAATAGTACAAGTACGTCTGCGAGAGACGCGGACAGAAACCAGGAGGAGATAGGAAAACGAACGGACTTGGCGAGTAAAATATATGGCACATTTTCGGCATGGTTAGCTTGTGGTGGTATTGATGGATGGTGAAGGGATTAAGAGGTATTGGCGAAGACTTGATATGAGACGGTAAGAATACGAGAGACGGTATTGATTGACGAATAGCGGGGGAGATCGATTGAGACCAAGGGAAAACGACGACAACCAGAGGCCAAACCAGACGAAAAGAAACGTTCAACTGCTTGCAATGGACATGGACGATGAGCGAGGGGGGAACGTGATAAACGTAGGACAACGAGTTCGATGAGGTGACATGCGCGCGTGGTGAGGTATGCGAAGACGATGGAGGGATGAAAACGAATAAGTCAAATCGTAATTGCGCGTCGTACGTGCCAATGCAAATGGGGATGAGTAGATTGGGAGTATGAGTGAGTTTGGGGTATGAAGCGAGTATGGTATGATTCGTCAGGTGAGCCCGGTATACGTGTACTGGAATAGATGGAGGAGGCAGCGCGCCGTAGGGTATTGAGTATTGCAATAGTATGCGATTCAACTTATGGGACCGACGACCGAAGGACCGAGGATAAGATAGATGAGACAAACGTAGGGTATGATGATTGACGAGAGGCAGAGGATGAGAAAGGGGTAGAAAGAGCTAGCAAATGCTGGAGTTCAACGATCAACGGCGACGAGACCTGATGGGTCCAGGTTCGTCGGCGAAGAGGAACAACCGTTTGCGCTCAGGTATGATCTCGACCTCGACCTCGACGTCCTGCTCGACGCCATTCACGATCCTTCGTTCGACGCGCTTCTCCATCTGCGGCGGTAGTTGCATAATGGGGTATGTCACAATATCCGAGTACGACCACGAGCGAGCTATAAGAGGAAGACAAATATAGGTTAGCACCATCGACGCAGTCAAGGGGCAGATAAACGTACCTTCAACAGGCTTCTTGACCTTCGGAGAATCCGTCAAACGACTCATCTGCAATCCCACCGTCACATCATCCTCGTGCTCGTCTTCAATCACGCTCATCTCGCTTCCCTGCCTGCTCAAGGGGCTACGTCTCCGCACAAAGCTCCCCGCATCACTTCCACTGCTTGATATTCTTCGCATCTTGACGTTCGGCACCAAGAGTTTCCCTTCGGCACCAGGTGCCACGAGAGGAACCTCTCGGTGCTTGACAGCGCTAGATGCGATAGTGGTGGGTAACGAGCGAGTAGAGTTGGCGGGCGAAGTGGAAAGGGCGGGACGATGGAGCGACTGGCGGGACTCGCAACGACGAGTGAGTGAGGCGGAGAACTTTGAATACAGTTGGTCAACGTCAGACTGAGAGCGTGCTGGAGTGGTCGTGGTGGAGGCGACGGAAGATGATGATGATGCACCGATAGCGGTATCAGTGACCGTCGAGTAGACACCACTTTTCGACCTCAACGGAGTAGCGACGTGACCGCGATAGGCCTTCAACGACGGATCGTCATCGGCCATATACGGGTTAAGCTTTCCGTCCTTTGGAGGAGGAGCGAACGAGTACACACTCGCCCTCCAGGCGTTACTCCCATCGGTCCAGCCTGGGATGACCTTTCTGTCTTTTGAATGAGCGTCCAAAGCGTAGGCAGTGCTCAACATAGCCGATGGCGTAGCCCATGAAGGTCTCTTCTTGGGCTCAGCTGGTCGACACAGGGCCTCGCCAATACGTTTCGCCGCCATCATAACGCCGCTCTGGTAATCATTCGGGACATCGTCGGAAGAAGCAGAGCTGGAGGTATCCGTGCGGGAGAGAGGAGGCGCAGCGGGGCAAGGAGGAATGTCGTAAATGGATTGCAAAGCGGCATACGCACGTGCAGAGGCGAGACGACCAGCTTCGGCTTGATTTTGTTTCGCGTTCGAGCCAGCAGGGCCCGGATTGGAGGCGTGGGGAGCTGGAGGGAGCGTGGTGAAGATGGAAGAGGAACCGATGGCTGAGACGGAATCGCTGCTGCTGTCGGAGTCGCTCTGGGATGAGACGTCATCGAAAGAGTTATGAGGTACAGGAGGTAGAGGTGGAGAAGAGTGACGATCAGGGTGATAGTCGATGCCGGTGGAGGCGAAGGAAGACTGGAGGTCGGCTATACGACACTCGTCTGAGCAATAGAGAGGAATGGGACCCTGATCGATCACGGTGCGACTGCGAGCGACAGTAGGTCGAGTAGGCTCCGGCGCGACAACAGACTTCTTGCTCGACAGAAGGGCAGCCTGTTGATCCCGTGTAGGATCAGAACGTTTGAGGGCGCCGTTGGGCTTTACACGACCAGTGCCGTGAACGAGACCGCCACCCTGACGAGCGCGGATAGTGCCAGTCTTGCTGCGCTGCATGCGAGGGGCATCTGGTTTTGTTTCTATGAAAGAGAGTGAGTGAGGCGTGGTGGTGATATAACAGAAAGGACATACGGGTAGGAGAGGGTGGCGGAGCAGGTGTAGCGGGAGGTGGAGGAGGAGCGAGGGGTATTTGGATGCGTTTGGGGAGGATCTGACGAGAGCAGACAGGACACCAGGTGGTATCGAAAGCAATATCAGTCATGGCGAGAAGCAGGGGTGGTGCTGCCGGGTGAGGCAGGAGAGCCGGCTTATAAGGCTTCTGTTGAACAAAAGCAGATGAGTATGAGGCGCATTGAGCGAGGGAGGGTGCTTACAGAGAGGGACGGAACCCTGTGGCCTTGTGCGAGGCTTGTGCGGGAGGTGAACAAGGCAGACAGACGCCCGAGTATTGTGGGGAGAGAAGGAGCACAGGGGATATCCCACCTCTGCCTTTTATCGGACCCTGCCCGACAGCGTCCAATCCCTGCTGGCGTCCAATCACACCGGCCGGTTTCCCAGATCTCCAGATCTCTCGACACTCACGGCTCTTTCCGTCCACCATCTCTCCGGCTCCCCTCTTGACCCCATTCCCTCAACGTTCCCGGTCGAACGCGCCGACGCTACTTCCTCCATCCCAACGCCCCTCCCTCACAAGCTCTTTCTCCCCGCTAGCCATATCTCGGTCCGTCCCTCCTCCATCATTTCCACATCTCTCTCCTGCTCCACCAGGCCAGGCCTCCCCATGGCCCAGATCCTCTCACATTTTCCTTTCCCTGCCCAATCCAGCTTGCCCGTCCACAATTCCATCGCTCTTTTTTCCCTCCCTCATAATTCTCCTGGCTCATTGGTCAGTCCTGATTGCCATATCCCACGTCCACCAATGACGAGCCCTTCTCGCCTCTGGCCCTCGAATTTCTCTCGGTGTCAACCCCGCTCCTCCCTTCTCCCATTTTTTCTTCCTTGGTTGGCTGCCCATCCACTGCTCTAGCCTTCTGGAACAAGCACCCAAACTCTGTCTTACGCCTTGCTCGATATGTTGTATAGCATTACCCGTTACAATATCATTGTCTCTCTCTTGTGTCGCTCGCTCATCTGACCTTTTTTGTTGCACGCAACGCTTCCATATTTGTGAACCACCGATGCATTCCCGAGAGACTTTCCCGTTCTTGTTCACACTGCACAAAAACACCGCCGCCGCCAACTACAGTCAGTCGCACCGACTCGCCGCCCTATCCTCGGTGAAACCCATATGTTAATCTCCCTACCCCGGATTTTCCTCTCGTCTAACAGGCTATTCGGAAAACTGCCTGCATTTCTCTAGTCTACCAACCGATTATCTGCAATCCCCGTTCAAATATGTCAAACCCCAACCCTCACGCCCCTCCTTCCTTTCCAAGCACATTTGCAAACCCTAATTTACATTTTCTCGCAAAGGGGTTAATGCCGGCATTGAGATCATATGAGCGGCATTCGCTGTCATTGGCTGCCATTGCCAGGACGCGAACTGATGCCGAATAGCGCCGAACCAACCAGCGTTCGACGACTGTTGGCTACTGTTGGACGTTCGCGTTGGCCCTTTGGGTTACTTAGCGCTTGCCGCTTGACCATGCATGAATTGATATCAGTTGCTCTTTTGTTGCTACCGAAACCCCCGACCCGAGTGAACAGACGGAGCGCGCACCCCCATGGGGAATTTCCGAATCACCATCTCTGCTGCCGTTGGTCTCTCTCTTTGTGGACTGTTTCCACTGGCAGTAACGTTTGATCGTTTGAGCTGTCGACCATCGGAGCGCACGTTTTACTCCAATCAGCGATCCGATTCTTGTTTGAACATTGCTGACCGACGAGCTCGAATACTTTCAAGAGTTTTCTTACAGTACTACTACTAGCCGTACGCGTTCAGCCAAGCACGCTTCGATACTTATCCGAGAGCGCGAAGCTTGATCATATTCATAATCCTATACGTATACCGGCGCACGGCCCTACTAACCTTATTATACCAACTCCCGATACCAACTCTTACCAATAGGCTCAACGCCGACCCACTTACTTATACTAATGCTTGCTTCTATTCTGGCTTGCTTACTCTAGGCCTTACTTCGAAGCTTACATGTCGTAAACACTTTGCGAGACTTCCAACACTCCTGGGCCTGAGCGGGCCTGAGCTTACTATAGCTCTCAAGATCTCTCAAGTGCGGCTTAGTTTGTACAGGTTTATACATAGCTAGACATTTATAACGGTTCCCGGCTACCCCGCAATCGAAGCACTCGTAAAACTTCGATGAACGCTCATTATAGAGCACTTACCCCACAATACTATTAGACCGGCGTTCAGATCTCAGACGGTTCAAGCTATTCATGTCAAGTCCGTCAAAGAGCTCGTGCTTCTAATTCTGTATGTACATGCGGCGGCCCCGTCGAAGAGCTTTCAGACTGGGTGCGGAGGTACAGTACGTGTGTGTTCGTCGGTTCATCACTCTAACGCCGCTCGTGTACTGACATCTTACTCGATCATCTCACTTTCGATGATGGCGCGGACGCAGTTCTGTCATGTTTATCATCCCCTGCAGCTTGGCATGATTGAGTTCCAGTAATCCCGACGCCCGAGCAAGGGGAATCGTAGAGTGCGGGGTATGGCGGGGTGGCTTCGAAGCTTGGACGCACGTCGCTCGTCGGATTTCGGCGGTGAAAGGAAAACAAGGTACGGTGCACTGCTGTTCAAATTTTCAGACATCGCTGAAGCGTGCGCGTGCGCGTGAAGCGTAGCGGCGTAGTTAAGTGGCGAGACCGCTTGTTTACGCGTACGTGTACGATCAGCAAGTCCGTCGTAATACAGTCTGAGTAAGTAGACCTCCAGTACTGATACAACCTTCCCAATCTCAATATCGAATTCCTGACTTCACTAGACTCTAGTATTATGCGTTTATCATCGGACCATAACTACAACGCATATATCATACTATAACATCAACTTTCTTCACCACTACTTACTGATTTGATATCCACAGTGCCCCAGCCAATAATCGCACCTGAGAAAGACAACAAATGCGCTTTCGGAATGCTGTAGGAGCTCGGGATTCAGTATTGGTAAGTAACTTGATAATCCATCAAAGTAGAGGCGGGGTTCACATGACCTTTGTATCCTTTTCCTTAGCCTGTGTTATTTGTATTGCAGTACTAAGTTACTGATGTATTGATTGTACAGGAAACCGATACGCTCGTGGTTTCACATGTGTTGAATGAATATTTTACTGCGCCGTTGGGATATTGCCAGTAGGATACTTAGATCCTACATGGGATGTACTTGTGTACCAGGGACGCGCTGCGAACACTGCAAGTTGTTTTGGAATCAGCAGACTTGTCCTCGAGGCCTCGGTGATCTCGACTTTTCAATACCCCAGTTGACCTGTTTTGTTCCAGAACCACATTCACGATTTCGAACGCTGTGAAGTGACTCGATAATCCCGTTCATTCAATATATTCATCGTATCAGGGTCCGATGTTCCTCATTCAAAGAACCATCTCATCGCCCTCTTTGTCCTCGTGGGCTATTCTCGTACTCTCGTATTCAAATATTCAAATCTCGAAGCCAGCAAACCGGGATCGTATCGATCACATACAGTGTATATACAGTACGATCCACTGCTTCATTGATTCGTTGACGGTCTGCTGCTCTTACGAGCGTGTACTGACATTCCAGATTCCTTGAGACCTCGGTGTATCGGAGTGTCAGGGCTTCATATCTTCAGAGTCTATCATTATATAGTATGTTCCTTGCGAATCGGATACCTCGAGGAAGGTTATCGATAGACTTCAACAGGCCTGTACGCGCTGTTGCAAGGATGACTCGTAGGCGGTACCATCGCCACTCCTATAGTATTGTTATCGTATATGGCACACGTTGGAAAGGATATGCAATGCGGTGTATGAAAAGATCACGAGCCCAACCTCGAGGCATTCCGACCATTGGACCCTTGGACTATCGTGAGCAGCCCTCCTGTCCATCACTGCGGTTTTCTCAATTGCCTTTTTAGTCTTCCTCTGGAGCTCCCTTGTACAAATTGTCAATACTCTTGGCAAAAGGCCTCGTTCACGTTTCCCATATTCGAAAATTCCGCCCTTCATTCAAGGTTGCTAGGGGTAGGTGGCCGATGATCCCATTGACGACATATGCACGATAATTAACTCCTATATGTCCAATTCATGAGCGCGTATGACCTGTATATGTAGGTCAATGTGCGGACTACGGACTGCACGAGGCTTGCTAGTCCTTATGTGGCGTCTTCTTCAGTGCTAGGAGTAGTCCAAGAGAGGCTCAGACTTGAGTTTATAGCAAAGGGGGTATGTTTGATTTTCATGTTGAGCGTGAGTTGACTTATAGGAGGTTGAGTTGAAAATGTCGACCCATGACTGATTGAAGATCGCTTCGTGCTATGTAGGGTTAGGGACCGGATGGACTGGAACTGGCTGCAGGCTCGGATATGGAGACGAGTGAGCAATGTCCCAAAGGAATCGGATTCTGGTCTCTCAGCTTGCAATGTAATCGATCGTCCATGATCTTGCACCACAGTCACAGAATCTGGAGCTATTCTTTCGCTCACAGTCAATCCTGTACGTACTTCATTCCTCTCTCACAGATTACCTACTTCTTAACATAGACTCTTCACAGATAAGCAACAGCAGTTATCTTTCCCTCGTTCCCTCCCCGGTTATCAACTTGTTTCAAATACTTGCAGTTCGGCTACACAGGGATCCGCAATCAAGCCCCACGCATTGAGTCCACGACTTTGGTAAGTGGAAAACTATTCGGATAACGAAGCTTAAATATTGTTTGGCGAGAGTCAAACGCTGATCAGGCATGTTTTTCTCGTTCTCATAGGCTTATCTTCGTATTGATAACACCTTTCTTTACGTTGGGGTGTCAGGACGACGTCGCGTGCTCGACGTGTGATGCAAATTTGGAAGAGCCAAGGACGTAAAACGGTAACTACCCGGCGAGTAAGTCCTTTTTCCGGTTCTTCTTTGTCTATATATGATACTCGGGTACTCATCTCTTGAAACGCAAAGTGTAGAGCTATCTCTAGAGTACTAGTTGCTTAGTATTCGGAAATGAAGTGAATGGTGGTGTAGGCACATGACGACTTAGCATGCTGCTCCATTCCACTGACGTCCGATGACAGGCTCTCTAGTGTATTGACACCCCGGTCATTCACTATTCTGTCCCCAATGATGCATACATGTTCATTTCGCTCCACCTATCGGTGAGTTTATTCGACATCATCGGTTGCTACGACCTATTACTTCATGCTAGTCCAGCTAGAGACCCAGTTAGCAGTCAGGGACCCATATTATCTAACAAGCATCATCTAGTGGTTTCCGCTAAAGCCCAGGATCGTGCCATTCACGGATCAAACGCAACCACCAGACGAAATACTACAATTGCTTTCAGCACTTCATTTAGCGCCTTACACCAGGAATGGACGATGGTGAGTCCTTGCGCGTCACACTGTTTTCTTTCGGGACTGCCAGGACACCATCGCGCTCGTCTTCTCGTACTGTGCTTACTCTCGTGTTCCCATCGTGCTCCTTTGTGTGGTTTCCGCGTGGTTTGGTATGTATAAATTCCGGATGCCATGCCGTTATGTCGGTCGCGTGGTCTCCCAGGGTCAGTGTCGTAACTGAAAAAAATGTTTTTGGCAGCGCTCGTCTTCGGCTGCACGCCGAGGTCATTTGCTTGAGCTTGAATCAGTTCTTCGTCGAATGGCTTATTACTTAGTAGCCGCCACCCAATCTCCGCGGACTAAAGGTGGGACTTCTTCCTTCGCGCTCTTCGCAGCTCTCGTCGTTAGGAAGCTCAGGGCAACTGTGACCGCTGCTGTTTCCCATCGTTATCCCCGAATTGCACTCCTGGTTTGTCATATCGTATGGCAGTCTCACAACGGACAATCGCCGTGTTTGAATTGGCCCAAGGTTCAAGGCTAAATGATAATGAGTAATCTTTCTCTTCGTTGCATATCCGTTCCCCAGAAACCCCGCACTTGCGGCTCAGGCCCCAAGGGGCTAGGAAGTGGTTTTGAGTTCATTGGGTAAGAGATCGTGCGGGGAGACCTAGATTGGATCGATCATTCGAGGGCTATCCTTAGAGTGGCTATCGTCCGACATCGCTGGATGATGGGGTTGAATCATACGTTCATCGTCAAAGCGGGAGTCGCAGAAAACAGAATCTGTTCTTTTCCGGTTAGTGACCATCATAGGTGCTCGTGTTCATCTCATCGCTTCCTACACAAACTGATTCACTCTGTAGTCCCGAGACTCTAGTTTATATGTCTAGTCCTATTCTCAAGTTGGCATGGCTTTCCCTGTTATAGTAGGTCAAAGATCTTTTGTTCACGCGTCAAATGTCAAAGCTGATTCTGATTCGAACCCGAAACATAGCAACCTCAGGTAAGGGTTAAGTTTGGAAGGACAACAGATGGTCGAATCGAAGTGGGACAAATGAAACCTCCCGCAGTATCATTTCAGCAGATGCATGTCATCCCCATCGGGTTGTTCTGGCGGTGGCGTACGGTGCCGCCCTGTCTGCTCAGCGATGGCTTGCATCCAGCCGTACTCACACGCATTGTAACCTTTGGACCCCCGGGTTTACTACCGCAGCTCAAGTAAGCGTACTCATACTTGGTAAGCATTCAGAAGTCTCTTCTTGACTTAGAGCACCTCCATTCAAGTCTATTTCTCCAATGGTCTTCGGCGTATACCCGGTAAATGATCGTCTTTCCTCTAATGGTCAATGGTATGTCTGGGTCCCAAGATCTCTTGGGTTCGACCGATATTAAGTGGTTCTCTTCTTCCTCTCCTCCGAACAGGCTTCGTAACCGGATAAAGAATGTCAAGGCGCTGGAAGTCTGGAGCGCACACCTATCATTATCAACGGAACGGCACGACAGACGCGAGACGAGGAACCGAATCAACAAGAGTGTATGTAAGGGTCCGATAACTGTGTTACATCTCTATCCCAAACAAGTCTCAAGTGATGATAGGTGCGCCGCATCACTGATTATCCCTTCAAGGTACTTGCAAGGGACGTCTGATGGTCAGACATTTCGGTTCAGATCGAAAGTATTCAACGGCTCTCACTGACAAGTCTCAATTGCAGTGATCAGCGAATTCCTCGGAAGGACCGGAAGCTCAGTAGATATTGGTGATCATTCAGGTGAGCTCCCTCTTGGTAGCCCTCGATATCCATTTGAAGGCCTCTCTTCTCACTTGGGGAACCTACGAGCTGGCATTTCGTCCCGATGCACTCTCTCACGGACCAATATATTCTACCAACAATACGCTGCAATATCACTACCATGTTTGGGGTTTCAGCAAATTGACACGCATCCCTGCTGCGAGGTCAACGTTGTATTTTTGTCTAAAGGTGTCACTCTGACTGTATCACTGCTGTTGATGTCGAACAACATAATATGCCTCCGACCTATACTTGTCAGTAGCGGCTTTTGTTACCGTCCCACTCTCCCGAGACTGCTGCACCATACTCAACGCTCGGCTGATACCGACGGCGGCCATTTCCGTTCCAAGTGTTAATCTGGGATCATCGTTCCTTCATCTTTTTGATCTACCACTCGGACATCTCAGGTACTACGCTTGGAAGCATTTCGGCGAGATGCATCGACATATCGCGATTGTACATATGGGATGTGCGTGACTTTGCCTTGATATCGTTCAACTTGCGGTATACCACATCCGGCTTATTCGCAGATGGTCGTAGCTGATAAACCAGTTGTCTTCTTATGAATAACCCAATCACGTAGGTGATCTCACGCGTCAGTTAACCAGTGCCGAAGTCTTCCGAATCCCTGTAGGCTATGGCGAACAACGATTTCTTCCCTGTTGCGAGAAATTCCGCGTTGGGTTGTATCTTGTTATTATTTTTTCAGGCCAGATATTGAACATCAGAGGGCGGATGGCCGTCGGAAGCATCGCAATATTTTATTTCAAGGGAGATAGATAGTGTTATGTGTTCTACACATGAATTATTTCTGAGATAGGTTTGCGGTGACTGGTAGGTGCTTAAGCCTCTCAAGATTTGGGGACTATATTACAGTACATGTAAATCTACCTACTGAAGATACATTGTCAGGAGCAACAGTCGCCAGAGAAGGATGTTCCGTTCAATACTCGGATGACAGATAGACCTTGTATTCATTTCATATCATAGTCCTGCGCAATCCGATGGTATCGAATCGATCATACCTTTATCCCCATTACTCTGGATGGTTGACAAATGGACCCTGTGGTCACTTGTATTATAAGGTTTCCATATCATACATTCATCCAATGGTGTTGTTACCATCGCTACACGATGTCGCTCCAGATATCATGTACTGGAAGGCTTTCGGTCGAACGAGCCGCTGCCGTTTGCCTATCTGATCATCTATTAGATGGATATCTTCAGCTCTATGTTCACCGGAACGGCAATTCAGGTATGTTATTTCCTACGGTATCTTATGGTCTCTGATCATGCATATTACGGCATAACAAACTAACCTCATTCAAACTTCGTATTCTCCACGAACATGCTCAAGAATGTTCTACAATTTGTTGCCATTAAGTGTTCACGGCATGGGTTCTCGTCATTGGCTGACTTTACGGAGAATGAGCGTAGATTGGAAATGAAAGCCGAACGTTTGCAAACGTTCTCATACTAGTGCTTTTGAATTTGCCGGAATCCGGATATACACAATCATTAATGACCATCCGCACTATTTGCCCCGATCCTTCTGGGTTGTCGTCAAGCTGTCTTCCGGCAAACAAGTGATAAGTAAATCTAGTTTCCGGCGGACTTGGAGCAAGACCCTGTGGGCACCCGCGTCCTAAAGTTTTCTAAGGCACGTTGGCTCATCTGAGTATACGACAAAAATGGTTTTGTATATGTCTCCGAGCAGTACTTCCGAAACAAGACGGTACTGTATGTCTTCCCCGTGCTGCAGCTTTCTCTCCAACCTTAACACTTGCCTTATCCGACAATACACTACGGCGCTTGAGTATTGTCCAATTGGGTTCGCCCTTAGGCTTGCCACCTTCAGCTCTTCACGGGCTTGACAACTGACTAGGAAAAGAATCTCCTCGTAGGTGAGGCAGCCATTCTTTGTATCCATTGCATTAATGGAATGTTCGCGGAATATGCTAGGCAGAGTTTGGTTGGACACGCTGCAGGTCAGGCGACCAGATGATTTAGTCAGTGGGAGCGAACCCGTTTTGTACGAATGTTCGCATCGCCGATATGAATGACTTCGCCTTGAAAATGACTACTGCATGGCGTCCTATGTGCAGTTCTAGGTGGCCAGACTATTCATTGCGGCACCGACAAGTTGTCGGCCTTCACAAGCTCCTGGAATTGTCCTCCCGTAACAAGGAACCTTTTCAGGAGTGCGCGGGCTCGCTATTCGCTACGCCATAAAATACATTACTTTTGTTCGCTTGATCCCATCGTCGTACCCACAGACGCGTTTCAGAGATGGACATCGCCGACCACGTCGCGCTGTCGTGCTCTGGCTGTGACTTAAGGTTAGTGTTCAATGATGTTGTGCAGTGGATGCCGCTACAGATCATAATCAGTAACACATACATCACTGACGCATGTTAGCGGGGAGCACTTTGAAATGAACCAACAGTTTCATATTTCATTGAATCATACCCCAGCGGCAGGTACTACGCCACACTATGAATAACCCGTGTTCGTAATCGTGCGGGGAAAGGCGGAAATGCGGGGCCCCACGTCGCTAACATTTCAATTGAATTGAGGTGAGATCAACTTCTAAGCGACTCCCATTGGATGGGATGGATAGGATGGTGCTCAGCTTCTGCGCCCGGAGCCGCAGTCATCGGAGGCTTTCCTTCAGGCTGCGATCCCTATGGTCAGTGATTCATTTGGCGGGCGGCAATGAATCATTTCCGGCAGCCGTCTCTCGCAACAGTGAGTCCGGTAGCCCCTCGTGACTGACACATACACCGGATTCTGTCGTGAGGCGGAAACCATGTTTGATACAGAAGAAACCCCCGTCAGCTATGGTCAAGACAGGAAAACGATTCGACGCAACATACATGGTGCATCCAAGGTGTCACCCAGTGTTCGGTCAATTTCGGAAGTCATTGATCGTCGGCCACTTACATCTCAACTACGCTGATGTATCGCAGCTTCAACGTGGATTTCCCCAGGGTCTTCATTGGTCTAACCGAACTCGTCGGACCCTTCCCTCTCAAACATCCGTTTGTCCGACAGTTCCAGGTGGTTACACTTTATCAATCTCCGAGGAATCATTGTGGCGGCCGCTCGACGTCACTGTGAACCCCGGGTCTGTCATGATGGAGGCCGGCGTGTCCTCCAGGGAACCGAGGGTCCCTGTGTGGCTCCTTCAGTCCTCATCTACAACCATCCATGTCCCGACCGACGATAAAGAAAGAGGCAGCACTCCGAGGATCATGCAAGGGACCGATACGAAACCGCCAATACTATAACCCATATCAAATATTTCAAAAGCATTCAATGGACTCTTCTTGCATTAATTTGTCTCCTTGCTTTAGCCGTCGGGTCGGGGAATACACAACATAGCTGTGAAGATCGACTCATCCAGTGACTATGTTGCTGCACTCAGTTAGACCAGTGCGTAGTCTGCTCAATGCATAACAATCATATGAGAACGATGTCCCCTTTTAGGTTAAGTCTCTTCGGTAGCTTATGGTTCACAGGCACCGCGGTCTCAGTCCCTTCTCCATCGCGTGGACATCATGCGAACCCTTCTCCAACCCGAGCGATAACCTCCGACCGCTTTGTTGAAGGACCTTTCGCGTGCCTTGGGCCTTCCTCACTATTCCTGGCCGGTGAGAAGGAAGTACAATCGTCTTGGTCGCTCCCTATTGGTCCCTTCGAGACCTGAGTCTGGTTAGGCTAATGCTTGACGATGTATGAGAATTTCACCAACCCACGCTGCTATAGAAGAGAGATGGTAATTGACCGGGCTGACGTTGACAGTGGCCGAATTCATTTGGAAATATCATCAGAATGATAACCGAATCCCAAGTTCAACTAAACCTCTTTCGACTACGAGCTCAAATAATCCTGAACTATACCTTATGCATCGTCGGCATACAAGAGCACGTTGGGCTGCATCAACCCTTGTTCTCACCACTGATTTGGTTGAAGGGTGGCCCTAAATCGACGATAAGGTGGATACAGCGATGATTTCCATCTTCACACAGAGTCCAGACTTGCCGTCGGAAAAACAGTGAGGTTCCGAGGCCTCACAGTGATGAATCCTCGAACGTTCGGAGTACTGATAAACCTTTCTCGAGTAGGATCGAATCACGCTGTACATGCTCTCAAACAATGAGCTTTGGAACCTGCGAGTTCAGAATCCTCGTGGAGTTTGAGGTTTTTCCGAGCACAGTACGAAAGTCAGGCAAGTGATCACTTGGATATTGCAGTTGGGTGGAGACAGATGGAGACGGTTCACCGAGTTATCCAAAATATGTCGACCCACAGAAGCCTGAACAAGTCTGTGGCATCTCGTGCCCGAATTTGAGAGAATTTGAAACTTGTTAGGTTCTACATTGCGCAAGTGGCGGTTGCCAAGGCCATATCGTTTGACCACATTCCGTAGGAATCGGGGTAAATGAATGCAGTCATTTGGTCAGACCATGACCTTCTGACTGACTTCACTGGCGTCCTGTGAACGTCTAGACTTCGACTTCAAATTTTTGAAATACCACTATACGGCATTGAAGGCGAAGATACGGATAGTATGAAATGCGTTACATTCTATGGTATAGATTTCCCGCACCTATTTGATACCAATAGAGTTGAGATTGACTTGGTTATGCTGGGGGCCAGTCTCTAGAACGCCAATGACGTCACCAGACAAGACCTTGTACCATCAGAGGCGTCTATTATTTGTTCTTCTTTCTTTCGTCTTGTCAGTCCTAGGAACAATCTCCGCTAGTCGACAGCTCTTGTGATGCTTCCCTGCATATAAACAAATATTCAATCTGCTTATACGCTTTTACCGAGCTGGGAGAGCTCTCGAGCACAACCAGACCAAACGTTAAGGTCAGATGATCTTGCCAGCGAATACAGCAGGATCCATACACGTCTGTATGTTCACAGCGTGATTCACAACGTGGTGTTGGATTAACTATCTAAAGCATTCCAGTTTCATATGTCAAGCGCTGTCATTGTGGATGAACCTCGCCCAACAAGCACCAATTGAGCTTTGCGCAGCAGTGCAGGATGCAGTCTGCGGGCCATACGCATGTTCCCATGAATTCCACCTGGAGTCTGAGTCGAGAATGCTCAGTATAGAACATGAAATACCTCACTCTCGCTGGTATGAACCTTACTCAGCTATGAACGCGGATCCTGTTTCGCTGGTCTCATGTCACCGGTGACCTTTGACCTTGTGATCCTTCTGTTGTTTTTGGACAAGGGTTCTCTTCTTCAGTGTTTCTGGGACAGCGCGTTGATTCGAAGAAAGTGGTTCGAGGCTCGTCTGAACTTACTCCGCCTTCTCAATGCAGCTACTGACAGGGCAAGTATCCACTTGACTTCATGCCTTGTCTCCCAAGGTACGACAGTTATGACCTTATGACGATTATCGCTACAGACATTCATCTCAATGTGGAGATACCAGGAATTTGTGTCATCCGTCCATGTCGGCGGAATATACTTTGGCAGCTATCATTGGAGATTCACTGTGTTGCTCATCGTGAAATATTATATCTTAGACTCGAAAGGATCCAGGTCTTGTAACCCCAAGGTACGCCAATAAATCCTTAACCGCTTCTCAGTCACTGCGATATGTTATTTAAATGCAGTCGCAATCTAGGACTTCTGCATCTCGCTCTTCGTTGTTAGCGTATCTCCGTATCCGGAGAAGTAATTACAAGGCCGTTTGGGGCCACACAATATTGCCAGCTGCACTGGTTAGCGAGAACCAACACCTCGAACCGATGGAGTTTGTAGAACTCAGGCAAGGATGAGTCGGGTGAAACATTCTCCAAGTGCGAAGGTTAAAATTTAAAACCGCATTCTTATCCCTAAGTCCCGATCACTCGTTACGTTCTTGGAATCCTACTGCCTCATAGAAACTTTACTCCACTTGTGATACTCGTCACGACTTCAAGGATCAGGGACTACGACTACTCGCGGCTTCATTGGTCCCTTTGGTCGGGCTCCTCGCTCATATTTGCCTCACTTTCGTTTCCTTCACTTCTTGGGTGTGAATTGCCTTTGTTGCATTGCCCCAACGCGATGCTTTGGACCTTGAGGATGCTCAGGCGCACGAACTGTCAATCCGACTTCGACCTTCGAACACGAGGTATGGAAGTTATGTTTACTTTGGAGAATGGAAATGCATGCATGCCTCTCGTATGTTGTTTCATACTCTAAAATACAAAATACTCGGGGTTTTCTTACCATATCGAGTGTTCGTCGATTATACGATGGCCATTGTCGCCCGGCGTCATCTAGTTGTACCTTCCATGTCTTGCATCATTTTCTTCCCTTCAACACAGCTCGCTAGGATTTGAAAGTAGCGAGATATCTTCCTTCGGCTCCCAAGGACCAGTCGGAATCCGGCTTTCGGGATCTGAACATGACAGGCACGTATGCTCACTATCAATGATTTGAGGAGCTAAACGAACGTTCTGACTATTCTGTTCGGTTGAGCTCTGCTCAGGTACCGCGGCATTGATCAACATCTCAGACTGGTGAGCGTTTGACATTTACCTGCCGTGTGCCTTGGCCGCACGCCTCTTATGAGCCGAAGGCCGTGGAGCGGGCTCGATGTCACCGGTCATCTACCCTGTTGAAAGTGTCAATTTACCCATTCTACATGTGTGGAGCTCGGGTTATTACGCTGCCGCAGATAAGGTGGTTCCTATTGCATCGACGTCGCAAAGATGACAGGCATGACAGGCATACGTGCAAGATCGTCCCCGGACCCGGCTGTCTCGAAATCACCTCTATCTTAATTCTACATAGTCACCGGCGGTCTTGGCTTGCCTTCTCCTTGCATGGAAGTGCGTCAACTTGTCTAGGTTGCCGAGATGGACTCTATATTCAATGCAGTGCTCGGGACAGCTCAGAAGGAAATTCATTTCCTTCGCATGTCATTAATTCATTACCTGTCTATACTCAGCTGCCTACAGTCGGTATGTCGCCGTCTAAGGCCCGCTCGGAGCGTTTGACCCATCTACCAATCTTCCTGCCTCATTCAGAGCATCCATATGGTTCGCCGTTTCCGCCCTTTCGCCAACCGCCCAACGAGTCTCGCGAGGCACCGTGGGCACGCCGAACCTTGTCACTGAAGTACTGACCTTCCGTTCGATGTTATATGTAGGAAGACCTTCCAAAGTACCTCGGGGGCTACACATGGAGATTCTCTTTCACGCTCTGTACTGTCCTCAGTTCTAAAACACTTGGTCTGCAGGTCATTCAGCAGTGCGGTGGAGTGGTAATGCATTAATGAACACACTGATTCCGCATTCTAAACTATGACTTTCGTGCTATTGCAATACAATATGTTCGCTGTTAACTTCAGAGACAGTACATGATCTTGGCAAGTCTGCAGATCGTCCAGACCAGAGGCTGTGCAGTCCTCGACATGGAAGAAACCTCTATCTTGCAGATTTCCCACACGTAGTGTTCTCCCCAGATGTGTTATACATCGCCAGCTCAAGAGCGCATTCATCGCAGACCGAGCGAGACTTTCAGAGTTTAACCTCGAATACAGAGAGCCTGTTGGCAGTCAAGGAGGAACATGTGGGCGCTCGGCTACGTGTTGTTTGTCTTGATCAGTGAGATGACCTCCTGGCAACCTCGAGCTTACAGAGCACACGTTGCTAGACGTAGTTACCGCTAATACTAACCTTCTTTAGTCAAGTACATTCACAATTCAGGAGCAGCTCAAGTACCTCTCATGTGTTGATCTCATTCTTCCCGTGTTGAGTGTTCCCGCTGCAGGACAAGCAGCTGTCTTCGACGAATCAACGGAATTGGACTGGGTATTCAGAAGGTCAGCCTCTTGAATACGTCGCCTGTTGATCTACAAATCAATCCCTATATTTACATAAATCCTGCAGGTTTTGGGATGTCGAAGTTGGCCGCAGTCTCTCGCCAGCAGCGGAAACGAAAGCAAAAACGACAGCGAAAGCGGAGACAACGCAGACAGCAACATCTGCCTACAAAATTTACACGTCCTATCCCTTCAATGCCAATTGAGGTCGCCGAGATAATTATCGACTTCGTCGGTACTGGGCTGGCGTATTTCAATGACCCTATGGACTCAGAGCGTCGGAAAGCCTACCACACATTGCGATGTTGCGCATTGACTTGTAGGTCGTGGCGTCCTCGGAGCTATCACTTTCTCTACAGATGGATTTGGTTCGTCGACTTGTTTGACGATAGTATTTTCCGCGCTTCGAATGCACTAATCAATTCTGTGCGAACAAATGGTCATCTACAAGACCATATTCGTGCACTGGCGATAACTCAGGCTCATGAGGATTCGATGCGGGACCCATTTATATGTCTTCTTCAGTTGACCGGCAGACTTCCGAAATTGCGGTGTTTAACTTTGGCTTTCACATCGCGTTTCGTACATCTCAATCCCCAGAAGGCCATTCAGGTCGTATCGACGTTCTCTCGGACGCTGTCCATGCTCAGCATACAGCGTCTCTCAATCCCGACTCGCATCTTTCACAGGTTATTATTTGCCTTGCCGAACCTTGTATATTTGGAAGTCAGCGTCGGGACCATCCGAGACCCCAGCTCGCCGTTGCCTTTGATTGTGCCATATCATAGGGCTATGCAATGTCGACTTACATGCTTGATCATTGTCCTTGATTTCTTCCTCGAAGATAGCCATCTGCATGCACAACAGCTGTACGCTGCCATTCTCCGGTTCCCGCAACTTATATCGTCTCTGGACACACTCTTGGTTATGCTGGATGCGAAGTGGGCCACAAATGCTCCACCTGCCATACGTATGATCACCTCTATATTTCGGAATACGGCCAAAACTCTCAGGCACCTTTCCATCTCTATCGCTAACTTCGTGAATTGGGTCGCACGTCAGTACAGTATTGTTTGCCCTTCGCTTGAAATTGAGAAACCCTAATTTTCGAGCAATGCAGTTCCTCTAGACGTATTCTATCTAGACTCCATGCCGTATCTCACCCAACTCTGCATTTCCTTTCCTACCCAGGGAGCTCAGCATGTGTCTCATGTGACAACCTTCTTCTCGTCAGTGACCTCAAAATGCTTGCAAGAGGTTCAGGTTCAAAGCGGAGACCTACCCGGGAGTCTTCGCAATTGGAAGAAATTAGATGACATCTTCACAGATGCTCGCTTCCCATTGCTCCAGAGAGTGCTCTTCGTGCTCCCGAGAGATGAAACTGCGAGTGAGTGGCAATTAGGAGAGAGCTTGCCCAACTGTGCAACTAGCGGGATTCTCTTTGCACATACGATGGATAGTAAGATTGAAATGCACGCAGGGCATTAGTAAGTGGATTAGTGCCTTCACAACAACCTTGTATCTGACGCTGTTTATTTTATGCCTGTCTAGCGAACATCGGAGTGCTAACTCGTGTCGTGCTCAGTACATTCTCGCGATGGATAAGGTCCCGCCGTACTAGCCTCGCAATTCCACTTAACCACTCGTCTGCCCTCGTCTGCCCGCCGGCGCAGGGTGGTCATGAATACATCGCGATGTACGACTGCTACGAGCCAAAGTCTGGTATCGTTGATTTATTTATGCCTCATTCAAGGATGCTAGGGCCGCCACACCATCCAACTCCATTGAGGTATCCCCCTATTCGCTATTCACTCGCCAATCTCCCGTTCATCATAGCTCGCATACCATTCCACATGTCCAAATTTAGTATGGAAAGCCTGCGACTCGGAAGCTCAGCGGGAGCTAGCTTGTTATCCAGCCATCGACGCAGGTGCAAAGGGACGAAGCACTTGTCATCTATCTCACCATCATCGACGATGGTGTGAAAAGATGTTGTCCATCCAAGGACTTATAGGACATTTGCTGACAAGTGGACTTTTATGCCATGGGGAATTCTTCGAACATTCCCTGCCGGAACCCGAAGAAGCTGGTAGTACCTGCATCGACAACAGCGACAATGACAAGTTTCTTTCCAGCCTTGAGCACAGCGAATGGATTTGGTTTCCTGGGAGGTTCAGGAATTTGAGAGGCCGCTCTTGGATAGATCCAAGTTATGAGACGTCCAAGGAAAGATAGTTGTGGGATAGGCTGCGAGGGTGAATTGGCTGCAGTCGTCGACCTTTGTTCCTTCTGTTCCACGAAGGCCAGTCGACGACGAGGTACGGGAGGAGGAAGTTCAGGAAGGATTTCAAAGAGGTCTGTGAGTTCAGAAAGAGTGGGCATTGGTGTTGTTCTCGCACTAGTGGACCATTAGCCCAGATGACGTGCAGAAGGGAGACACTACCTACTTCACAACAACCATAGAGAAATCAGGAGCAGGTGGCGTCGTCTTTTTGAAAGGCGTAGCAGGCTTGTATACATTGAAGAAGATTTCGTAGGGAGAGGGAGGCTGATCCGACTTCTTTTTCTCGTGTAGTGGAACAGAGTGACCTGAATGCAGAAACCGTAGATTTTTAAATATTGAAGCTATCTCGTCCGTTAATGCCTGAATATCACTGATAGCATTAAGCGAAACTTACGATAGTCCATGTTGTGGTGCAACCAAGGAATATGTCTTATAGGTCTCCAGCCGTTGAGGCTTCTAGAGAAAAGGCCAACAAAGCTGGTGATCAGAGAGCGTATTGATGAATACATTCGTTCCAGCAGAGATAGCCTATGTATTCGTGTCTTGAATGGCGCTGCTTGTGGGTAAGCTGATGTGGGTGGTTTGGTACGCGTAACTACGTATCCAAGACGCCTCAGATACGCGTATACCTTGCAAATGACTCAGTGAAACCATATTCTCTGAACTCGAGTAGAAAGAAGAAAAATAAGACTCACCTGATATTTTTCTGGAGTCAAGTCTTCCCTTCCAATCATCTCCGCGAATGTCTGTTGAACAGTCATAGGCGACCCTTCCATTCCATCAAGACCTGGTGCGTTCAAAAGGGAAGACTCTACGTATTTCCAGCAGAACAGCGACCCTCTCTCGACAAGATACAGTGCTTCTTCAGGAAGTAGCTCCAGTCTTTTCAGGGCTCTTTGTGTTGAATTCCCCTCCGCTCTGGCAACTGAATGGCCCATGCTTGTGAAATGGGTACCGCGAGCAGTTGTTACATGAACTCGAGCAATTTCAGGATGCCAGATCCCATAACTAATGCCTTTACTAGTGAAACGCGAGTTCGTGAGTCGGCCTCACAGGGACTACCTCGTAAGGAAAGAGTACGTACCTGGAGATGGTTCGCGGCATTCTCAAAGCATCCAACATGGCTGTCCTTGCACGGTTGAGGACATGTTGTTGATAGCCAGATCCTCCCTGGACGATCGGTTCGAAATCTTTCTCTCCTCGCTTAGGAATAACGGGGCGAACAGAAATCCTAGAATATTCATGAGAGAATCAGGCATTGTGGGCATATGAATCTAAGTGGCATAACACACGGCAACTTGGTCCAATCTGGACCTTCATCTTCGTCTTCAGAAGAAAGGTCTTCATCTTCACGTATTTCGTCCAGCTTCGAAGGTTCCGCGTTCGCTGAAGGAAGCTCGAGATAGTCATCCATACTGGATTTTTCTTGATAGTTATGAAGCGTCAAGTGGACTGAATTGCGTGTAACGATAGTTCGAGTAAAGAAATATTGGACTGAAGCAAAAACCGAATGAGACGCGATCGAGTCAGTTTGCAGCTCAATATGGCAGGTATAGTGTTCTAACCAAAGACCTTCGAGTTCGAGGGAGCTTGAGTCAGAATTACTGTTCATATAGTTCATATCTGTCCATGATTCATTGAAAGTAACTCTTCTGAAAACAAAATATAGTACAGTATGTTGGACGACTCCGACGAGTGATTTACGTGACCATCTACCTTCCCTACCCTCGTCTCGCGAAGACCCTCGCAGCCGTAGAATCGACTCAGATCTGAACCAGCGAAGGATTCAACAGACAACTACATGAGTCCGAATGAATGGCAACGACGACTGACGATGAACATTAATTATAGGATGCAAAAAAAATATGGAGAGTGAAGTCTAGAAATCCGATCACGAGCGTCTGACATGTAAAAACAATGATATAATCGCGACTATTCAAGTGGTGGGAGATCATCGTCAGACTCATCCTCATTCACATGGGTCGGCGCAGCTTGAGCTTGACCCAAACCGGCACCGAAGACATTGAGGATGTCTCCCAATGCCGACATTGATCCCAACCTCCGATAGAATTCCAGATCAATATCAGCAGGTACAGGTTCGAGTCCACGACGAGATGGAGGTGATGAAACCGGAGGTTGCCATCGAGGCATATCATCATTGGCAGTAAGAGGTGGTAAATCGTCATTATCATCGTCGTCAGCATTGGCTTGATGACGAATGTGAGGTACGGCTACGGCAGGCGCAGGAGAAGGATTACGGATGGGCAAGGACGATTCTTGCGCATCATCAGATGAAGCAGACGCATGTGGTGGGCGAGGCGGCTGATTCGACATATGGGTAGTGAAACTGGGTTCGGCGGGAGGTGCTGCAGGTATGAGTGGTGGCGGAGGTTCATCGTCATCCTCTGATTCCTCTTCTTCTTCCGGATGGGGGTGAATCCCGAGTAATGTATGAAGTAAGTCAACCGGGTTCGGTCTGCCACCTCTTTGCGGAGCGTGCCCTGTGCCTGCAAGTGGGTGGATATGACCATGGGTGTGATCCACACCAAACGGATCACGAACAAGATGGGGAAATAGCAGATGAGTGGCAGCATCCATGAGGCCTTCATCTTCGTCATCTTCGTTTTCAGTTTCCCAAGCGTTGTCATCATCATCCCCTTGTTCCTCGAGAGCACTATCAAGCGTGGCGTCAAGACCGTCTTCAGATACATAACGAGCTGTCAAAGGGGTTCAGTTCAGAATGCGCATATAATCAATCGTTAATCACCACATACGAAGTGCAGGTAGCTCAAGAGCGGGACCTTCACTTTGTATGCCGTTCTGCTTATTCTCTTCGTTTCGCAGCCATGTGAGAAAAGTCTTGCTCTTCGGAGGTTCCCATTTCTTGTTCGGATATTTAGATTGAATACAGCTTAGTGTCAAAGAATCAGGGTCAAGATCAAAGCGACATGAAGGGCATGTCGTCTTCCGCGAAAGCCAAGGGGAAATGCAATGATCATGGAAGAGGTGCATTCCAGGGCAGGGGAAAGCAACTATACTTGGCATACGGAAGCGATCCAAAGGAAGTTCAGAGAATATGGCAGCATTTGCAGCTTGTTGCTTGGCTTCAAGTTCGTCCACCGACAAGAAATTGTCTCGACATATAGCGCATCCGTCGAATTCGTCTGCATGTCCACCTCTAAGCTTCTCATATCTCTGAATCAACGTGTCAGGAATGACTTCTAGAGAGGCCATGATAATTTCTGCACGCAAAGGATCCGCTTCAGAGTGAGTATGTGGGGGGCGGAAGATTTCGTCAAGTGCGAATCGTGGCGGGCGCAGAGCACCTAGCATGTTTCGTAGAGCGAAATTGGAATCCGGTGTCACATCTCCAGATTGCTATAATTGAATCAGTCATGGATGGAAAGTAGAATGACGAACAGTCTCACCATATTCAGGGCTCTGAGGACACTTTCTCGGAAATCAAATGCTGAGCGACTTTGTGAGGCACCTGGTCCATCATTCTCGTCTACCTCTTCTTCGGATTCCGAGCCCTCGTCTTCGATGTTAGGATGAATTGTGCGGCGTGGTTGAGCATCCGACTCTCTGGCGAGAGCGGGTAGATCATCCTCTAAGTCATCATCCTCGGTAGCTCCATCATAATCTGAATACTCTTCTTCTGAACTATCGGATACTGTCTGAAGAGAAGGCAAGCTATCATCGCTCTCTGCGCCATCACCTGCCCGAGTATTGCGATTCCGCCTAGGACCATTAGACCGAGTGGCAGCAAGCGCCTGCATCAATCCCGTCCGCAGCGCAGTACGATTGGAAACGTTTCCATCGGCCATATACAGCTTGTCCTCGTCGTGAGCAGTGAGGAGAAGGGACGTGGATGCCGTGCTCAAGGAATGCTTTGATTGTTATTAGGACCGTGGCCAAAAACGGTCCCGTATTATTGTTTATGTAATCCCACATGATCCATCGCGTCGCGTCTAGTTTAAATTACCGTCGCGTCCTGGCTCCGAGTCGATCATCTTCACTATACTCCAAGTCTCCATACACCCTCCTCAGCATTGAAAGTCCTTATATCCGTATCAAGACACGTTACCTATGTCATTAAGTACGGACACTACTGAGATATCCGTTTTCATACAGGAGGATTGCCTTCGTCATCGATTTATTCGGTCAAAGGATGTTTCCAACATTGTGGAGCGACCAGAGCGTTTGCGCGCAGTGAATATCGGAATTTCAGCAGCAATTTCCAGACTGGAGTCTGTTTCCTCTGGCTTCGACTCTTCAAATGAACCCGTGATTCCGACGGAATCAAAGTCAGATATCGACCTAACCGACGACCTCACAGCTGCATTAGACAAACTCAAATTGGCAAGTTCATCATACCCAACGCCACTTCCTTTGAACCTCGTCAAGAGCAGTGCGAAGGTTGAACTTCTCAACAATCCTGCTGTGAAATTCGTCCATGGCGACATAGATGGAGACATGTATCTAGAAAATCTCATTAAATGGTCGAAGGAAAGCCGAGACAGAATTGCTCAAGATGGAACTGAGATTCCATCTCCATTATCACAAGGCGACCTGTATTGTAGTATCTCTCCACTATCTCTCCATTTTGATGCATTAATATTGCAGTATAGTGTGTCCAGAATCTATCGACGCCATCCAAGGCGCACTGGGAGCTTCATGCGAAGCTGTCGACGCCGTCCTTGGTGGAGTTGGAAGTAACAGCCTTACTTCCCGATCGAAACGTGCATTTGCTGCGGTTCGACCTCCTGGTCATCATTGTGGCGAGGTAAGTTACGGGTGAACGTCCTTGTTTCAAGCTAACAATCGTATATTAGGATACGCCTTCAGGCTTTTGCTTCGTCAACAACGTCGCTGTTGCTGCAGCACATGGTAAGGATGAGCTCTAGAGGCCAAGCACAGATTTTAATCGTGGTTCATAGCGCACTTGAAGCACGGCATAAATCGTGTCGTTATCCTGGACATCGATCTACATCATGGTGCACAGTTATTTTCCTGTACTATTCCCCACTAGTGGTTTCTTACAGGTTATCTGGTCAGGAAACGGAACTCAGTCAATCGTATGGCAGATCAACGAAGAATCCTACCGTAATACGATCGAGGCTTCGAATGGTTCGCAAGCAGCGAAGATCGGACCTCAAATATTCTACGGGAGTTTACATGACGTCCTTTCGTATCCTTGTGAAGTAAGTTTAACGTTTGCGACATACGTCTGTCCAAGTTGACCTTTTTTGGTATAGGATGGAAAAGCGGAACTAGTACAAGCAGCTTCAGTATCAATACATGGGCCACATGGACAGTACATTGAGAACATTCATCTACAGACGTATCAATCAGAAGAAGAATTTTGGGAGAGGTTATATAATCAGCGATACTCGAAGCTTCTGAAGAAAGCTGAGAGTTTTATAGAAGAGACTGGGGGTCCTAGTAGTGATGTTCTCGTATTCGTCAGGTCAGTTCTAAGGCACTGTGCGTTGCTTTTTCGAGTCTGTCTAACCATCCTCAACAGTGCCGGGTTCGACGCCAGTGAACACGAGCACCAGTCGATGCAACGTCATCAACGACGTGTCCCTACGTCGTTCTATTATCGTTTTACCCGAGATGCTTGCAAGTTCGCAGATCGCGTCGCTCAAGGCAGAATCATCAGTGTTCTAGAGGGAGGGTACAGCGACCGTGCTCTCATCAGTGGCGTCATGGCCCATTTGATTGGGTTGGCGAGTGAAAAAGAAGATGCGATTGATGAGGAATGGTGGAACACTCAAAATCTCGCAGCAGTGAGTATTTTGCAATGAAGTGATTCATCGTTGTTCACAATCGACATGTAGCTCGAGTCAACAACGAAGAAACGAAGGGGTGGTCGACCGTCACACACGAAACTTCCGGCTCCGTGGCTTCAGCGCACGCTAGAGGTCCTCGCAACCATCGACTCGTCTCCCCCTCCCACCAAACCTGTCATCCCTCCTTCCTCTATGTCCCTACGAGGGCGCCAGAAGCGTGCAAGCTCGGGCAATGATTCAACTGGAAGTATTGTCAAAGATCTTGCATCGAAATCACTGAAGGCGGAATCGAAGTCAAACAACGAGGACCTGCAAAAAGCTTCGATAACAGAAATCATTGGAGATACATCCGACAGTCTCTTGTCCGATGTATCAGAGAAGTCAAACGGGCAAGTCCAGGGGAAGAAGTTACCTCGAGTTATTCTCAAGCTAAGTCCAAAACCAGAATCTGAATCATAGAACAGAAGATATATGCCACATTCATATACCCTATACCTTGCTTCTATATGTACTTTTACGAGGTTATCATGTGCAACACGATACCAACTTAACTGATCAATCCAGAGTATCTGACGGGCAGGGCTGTCGGCGAACTCAGTACGCTCCTTCGCCTTTATCTCATACTTTCTTTTTGCTGAATCGAGGCTTAAGTTAGCAAGCAATACGCCTTGAGCATACGTCGATGCATCGGACACCATTAATACCGAACATATCCGTTTGAGATATTCTCCGACTATAATCAGTGTGGATCCTTAGTTGCTACCGCTAGGGCCGCTACACCAGCTGCCCATAGCTTCAAACAACCGGATTTTAGTCTAGCGTTCATTAACGTTGCAATGGCCACAATATGCTTGCACAAACTTGAAGCTTTACCATCTATTGCGGGTCTTCAATTCCGGTTGGACGCAGCCGTCATAAATGCATCGGTGTGTATCAGCGGGAGGATCATACTGTAAGTCTATATATGAAGGGACGATTGTCTTCCGAGACTATACTTACTAGAGGCTAGCGCACCCCGGCTATGGCGAAGTTACACCCACAAGCCCCACAAAGTGACTCAGTCACGCGAGGTGCATATCAAAGAAGTCGTCACTCGCGATCGGACACCATCCACAGAAAGAGACTTAACTTTGAGGGTGACTCTGCGTTTTAGTGAAAACGGATCTTGTGTGCTGGCTTACCCGCTGTAATCCGTAGTATAGTTCTACGGTCGACGTTCTCTGTATTCGGCTTTATTTTTTCATAGGACTTATTCCAGTTGTGTCGGGTTCTGCGATTGCGGTAGCTGTTTGTCGAGTAAGTCTGAACGTTTTCGCAACTTGGGCCCTACTGCGTTATTCGCAGATCCGATGCCCATCTCTCTGTATAGATTATAATACACCCTCGATTATCACTGGTTTCATTTGCTTCATTCTAGTCACTTCAATTTCATAGCCTCCTTGAGTGTTCTGTGCAGATCGTCCAGGTCAATGGTTAAGAAAATTCCTGTACAATGATCAATAGCGTGCAGTGAACCTCCTAAGACCCACTGGCTTCAGAGTGCAGCGTATGCGAAACCTCGGCTTACCTTAATACAAAATGACTAACTCTCCCGTGATAGCGTCCGGCATCGTCTATGATCTGGCCTACTTACATGAAATATCGTGAGCAATGTTCTCGACGCGTAGCGCAGGGACCACCGGCGGGTGAGACGGGTGATACATTCTGCATGCGTTGCTCGGAGATGAAATTCCTATGCTTGGTATTGTGGCATATGCCCTTCAGTCGGCATTGCTCAGAATCAGCCGACTAATAATACATTCCTTATTCGTCGTACATCCCGACAATGACCATAGCGAGAACACTGGTGTTTCCGAGATAGGAATGGACTAACACGGTACCGGCAGCAGCGCATACTGTGTGATGTCAGCACTAAAAATCTCAGAGACCGACACAAAGAGGCATACCTCTCAAACTTCGAAGACCCTACCAGCTTCAAACTCCCGTCTCCACAAGAATGCATTAAGATATTCATTTCCCAACTCCGTGCTGCGTGCAATGACACTGTCCTCGATCTGCTTTACGCGGCTCTCAGAGAGTCCAAGGCCAATCAGGATCTCTAAGACCCAAGTCCTACAAGTGATCCCATGATCTCTATTTGCCTGCGCCGTCTCGTAACTCTCAGGAAAGATACACTGACAGAGGTTGGTAAACTCTTCCAGTGTAGTAACAGGGTATTCCGAGACTTTGTAGTAACCAAGGATGACGGTGCCGGCCCATCTCGTCATAGGTCCTTGGCTCAAAACTTCCATTGCGTACTCCTCAGGGCCCGTCATGTCGTGTTTATCCACTGAGGTCCACTGATGGGCTGTGGCGCGGCCACTATGGTCGACGTGAATGAGACTCCAGTGGAATTTGGTATTCGACGTCAAGGGACTGGCGCAAATATAGAGAGAATTGCTGTCGACAGGTACAGGCTTGGGAGGACGTGTCATAATGTGTTGATTTCTGAGTTGACCTGGCCGATAAACGTTGAAGCTTGAAGCTTTGAAGCTCGAAACTATACGATGCATCAGCCAATTTATGTATACCGCATTGCTACAACAATCACATGAATCATACAGATCGCACCCTTAGCGTCGGAACGGTTCTGTATTTTCCTTTTTGTTACGTCTAAGGCATGTAAAAACATCCTGTTTTCGTTGTGGACTTCATTGCGCAAAAGCACACGATGGAGTAAAATGTATAGCCCACCGCGGGAGTCGAACCCGCAGCCTTCAGATGCCATTGCCATAGCATGGATAAAAGTCTGACGCTCTATCCGGTTGAGCTAGGCGGGCAACATAGTTTAGAAAATCCAAAAATTAAAATTCTAACTACACTACTTACCTTCCTCTCGTAGAGTCGTAACTACCGTCGCAACATGAACTTCAAGTCATCGCAGGGTTCATGGTTTCTTATACCCTCACTTAGTGGATTCGTGCTCAACGTCACCGATGCATGATACTATACTCCCGTATCAATCTCTTGCAGTGCAGAAGCTCTTTCCATCTTTGCCGATGCTCAGGAGGGCATCGGTTGTGTTCTCCGTATCAACTTCGTGTTCCTCTCTTCCGCATGGTAGATAGTATGGGACAGATGGGTCCGCTGCCAAACTTCACTACGCGTCAGATATTGCCAATGGCCTTATCGTCGCACGCTGAAGACTTCCAAAGTAAGCTTAGACGTTCTTGAAATTCCTTGCGGTTTCTGTTCATATTAACTCGTGCCCTTAGTGGGGCATGTCACAACAATGTACAAGCAGCTTGAAGGAAGATACGTTGTTTTCGTCATCTATTTCCAAACGCGTTGGAAATGCCTTGGAAACAGAAAACGAGATTTCTAAGCCCCGCACCTCATGTCTCACCCCATGAGCACTACGTGGCTAGAAAATCCATTATACCGGTGCTGGGTGAGTTATGCGGAAGTCGTCCTTACAAGGTAATGCTTGTCGTCGAATCATTCAGAAACAAGGCCTCGGAGACTATGTTGCATCGTTGCTTCGAAGTCATCATTAGCAAAATACAGAATCCTCTCCAAAGGAATCACGGCTTGCTTGGAGCCTCCCCAATCCTAGTTATATAAAGAGGTAAGGCGGACACTCACTCCTCGACAGCAGCATCTAGGAGATGACGTACTGAAACATGCAGGGACCTTGACGTCCTGCGGATCGCTATTCTTCTATTGTCCCTACCCTCTCCCCCTCTCTTCCACTTGACAGTTACTCGAGCTATCCCTTCTGCGTCCGTCGGATCTATTCAAGAGACGCCTTATCGGAACAAAAATACCAACTTCTAGGTCAAATCCGGCCGTTTCCTCCATTTAATATCAATTATGTCTGAAGTCGACGTTCATCGCCGTTGTTCTTTTGTTTGCTATCTCAATCACCTCACCTCGGAGCTCAATCACGGAAGTGAGTTGTATTTTTCTTGTATGCACTACTTACGTTTAGCTAAGTCACAGGTGTGGTACAAGCTGCCCGATGAGTTGCCCACATCGATATGTACGGGCGGCCATCCCACATCTCTTTGAAGACACGATAATGCACGCCAGAATCAGCATTCATGCTTGTTGGCGGACCTGATTAAAAGATCTCACGCATCAGTCCCGGACTAGTACTATCACTCGTGTTCGCTTGAGAACCGTTTAGATTGGACCAATATGTATATTCAAGCTTGGATTTGTTCCTATTATTCTGCTGTGGCCACCTACGATGAGATTAATGTCCGTTCATGAACCCTCGGTCTCAAGACGTCTTAGGTACGTGTGCTAGTTGTCTCCGGAGCGCCGAATGCTCACGAGTGCTGTAGTCGGCGTTAGCGGTGCATGGCGTTGAAAACGCCTCACCGCCGTCTGAAAGGGACCGCACTTGTGCCACAGCACTTGGCTACTCTTCCAAAAGCATCCCATGGAAGTCTTGACTTCGCGTCGTTTGCAGTCGCTCACGGCTGAATCATGGTCGAAATAAGGCAATATGACTCGAGTGAAGAAGCTCAGTCTTGAGAAATGTGCCTGAGGATCGTCCTTTCAAGTGGCACAATCAAACTGCTGAAGACTTCTTTCGCACTGATCATGATAAGCACCTGGGTAAGAACTCAATAGCCCATCGAGTTCTTCTCCTTCCAGTCGACCTGGATGCGTCTTTTGTCGGACAATCGTCCTGTGTGCTGAGCTGCTTTTGGTATCCGCATTAGCCGGTGATGATTGCCTGGGAGTCGAAGAGATTCCAGGCCGGTTATCTTTCGAAGTAGTGCTCATATGGTATCTTTTATTGTTCTCCTCCGCTGAGGAACCTTCTTCCCAAAGGGGTCGATCAAACCCACGTGAAATACCCAAATGCGATGTGTACACAACGCCGAGTTCTTGATGGAACCTGGCATTTGTCGCGCAATAATTTGTAGCAAGGCGATTGGAAAATGTGGGCTTGCAAGCTCCTTGTGTCATGTTTTGTGTGTACTGATTCACGGCAGCTGTTCATTATATGTCCACAGGTCGGTCATCTATCCAGCTTTCGCGCCAAAGACGACAATTGGGCCACTGCAACGTGTTCAGCCGACTCCCATCTTATTGTCTGGCTCATCTTCGATTTAGCTCGCAAAAATCAGAGCGGAAGCACTCGCATCATGCTTTTCCCCCTTCAAGGACGCCCTCCGTCCGTCGCAACAAAAGGCTTGACCTGTCTCAACAAACTCGAAGATGACCTAAGCCGCCACCACTTCTTCATTGTGTACACTCTCCGTAGGTCTTGTTCATCCCGATTCCCCCAGCTTCGTAGGTTATAAGCGAGGACCAACGGATGAGCCTCTGTTGTCTTTCGCAATAACACACTGTTCCAACCGTTACCCAGTGTTAGCCGAGCCTTCCATTCCTTCGCCGATCGAGATCGTTGTGCTTGGACCCCGTATAAAGTCTAGGTCATAAAGTGAAACATCCGTCCATAAACTGTTACGCCGTCCTGTCTTCCGTGTGTACATAGTTTTACTGTGGTATGTTTTCCCGCCTCTCGAGGGTATATATACGATTGACTTTCGACATGTCCAGACCCTTGCTATGGGAAGTCCCTGCACTCGCAAATATTCTCGTCTTGACAGTACAGAAAGCCATACACCTCCTACTAGAAAGCGTACCGAACAACTTTTGAGTCCTACGCACCCTCTCTATCGCAGTGAGTCGCATACATATGCCACACTGTGCGTTTACTCACACATCTTCTATAGCAAAACCTTGTCATAACTTCGCTATGGGTTACTGTCGTTACGGTGATAACTGTGCCTACTTGCACATGCCACCTACTCCACCCAGCCAGCCACATTCGCCTCTGTCAATGAACTACTTTCATCCAGTGGCACCTTGTATGAACGTGCCTTCACATTCCTTCTCGGCCGAGCAAGCCATTCTTCATCATCTACCGAACTTTCCGCCTTCACCATGCCCTACAGTGACAGACGGTACCTCGGAAATGTCAAGTTCCGTCGAAGATTTGACTGCGATGATGCAACAATACTCAATCAACCCTATTGTGCGGTCGGGTCATGCAGATGAAATTCCTCTGCCTCCCGTGCCGCCCTGTACGCCGGCAACATATGACTACTACGTGCCATCTCCGGGTGTCAGGTTTGTACACGTCCCCGTTCCAGTGTCTGTAGTACCTGCGCTATATCGTTGCGGTTCTGTCAGTACCATTTCGACAAACACGTCACCCAGTCCTTCGGGTGATCGATCTCGTTCTCCTCGGCGGTCTCGGTCACGATCTGTCACCTATGGTATCAGTTTATTCAAGAGTGAGTCTTAGACGCCATTGACTGTTGTTCGTTCCCAGTTAACTCTTTTGTCTCTAGCAAAACCATGTACTTTCTATGCAACCAAAGGAAGGTGTCTGAAAGGCGACCGATGCAACTTGTGAGTGCATCTTGTTACCACGACTGCGATGTTCCAAGTTTTTGACGCAACACTTTATGTAGTATTCATGAATCTCCAGAAAGAGATGCAGAGAAGGCCTGCTCATCAGAGGGAAAGTCTTCCCCCTCTCCGAAGTCGCGATCATCCCCATCACGACCATCGCCTATCTCAGTCACTCCATCTCGAGTTTCACGAGTATCAACACCTACACCAGTACGAGAGATAAAGGAAACTAATATTTCTCAAGAACGTGAAGGCAATGATGATGATGAGAAGAAGGACTTCCATCCCATAACCTGGCGTGTCATTGGAGGTGGAGTCAAGATGAGTGGACATCGCGAGATATGCCAAGACTACATCGCAGGACGCTGCAACGATGGTGTAGACTGCAAGTATGCACATCCAGAGCACGACCTATGTAAGCTCATCCCACCATTGTCCTTCTTACCTGAGACGACTGACTGACCATCCTCTTTGCAGACGAAGAACCTATCTGTCTAAGCCCGACAAGCTTCTTCCCGACCTCGGCACATTCCGTTCGCCCGACACCAATCATATGCCCTATAAATGCTCCTGGACCCTACTTCGATGGTATCTCACCAATCTCACCATACTATTTCGACGGCCTCAGCACACCCACACTCACTGCCACACCTAGTACAGCTACTAGTTCTAGTTGGCCGAGTGTTTCCCCTCCTCAATCTCCCCCATCGGAAAGACGCAAACTCCCAAAGCGGAAATCGCCGCTCAAGAGCGAGTTGAGCGTCGATACCAGTGCTGCGAGGCCTGATCAGTGTAATTCTGAATATAGAGCCAACCGGGTCTTCGACGGACGTACTTTGAGGGAAATCCAGTTGTTGGAAGAGGTTGAGAATCTCGTATGTGAAGATGCTCAATTCTTGGAGGATGATCCTGCAACGTGGTATGCTAACATGCATGCGGAGGCCGAGAAGGCTGGGCTCGAGAGGCTTGAGCCTGAGGTCGAAGTTGATGAGGGCGTAGAGGAGGAGATGGAAGGTGGTTTGTTTTCTCCTCGGTCGATCGTCAGGCCAATGTCAACTCCCCCGACACCGGTATCCGTGTCAAGCTCCAAGAAGATCGCCCAAGTATGAATTTCTTTGTAATCTCGTTTATTCATGTGCTGATTCGTCTGCTCAAATAGCTCTTTAATGCTGAAATGCCTTAGACGCATGATGTACATATGTACACGCATATCCCTGCAAATGCCCACCCAACACGCTCGCCAACGTTCCGTCATCCCTTCGTCTTTCTCTCAGCTACTGTGATATCACAACACACATGTTACCATCCGCTTCACACCATTCAGGCGTCGCTTTCTCCCCGTGGTCTTCAACCATTCTTTCCGGGCTCGTCATTCATTCGTCTTTCAGGTCATACCAAAACTATATATGCCGTCGTTTTCGTTCTTCGTTTTCTCATCAAGGACTTTCGCATTCGTATTCCTACCCTCAGAAGTCTTATACTCTTCCAATCATGCTCTTCGTCTTCGCTCTTCCCGTCGACCCTCTCTTTCATCTTTTCGGGTCATCATCCATGTATTCACATACCTCCCCGTTGGGCTTCATTGCTCACAAGTATTCGCAGTCTATCACTGTATTCTATGTCTCCCATTGAGCCCTTTCACGGACTGTCTTTGTTTTCTTTACCTTTGTCGCATATCCGTATGCGTTGGACACAAAATTAGTACCTTCTTCTCTGTACTTATGTACTTACAGCACTTATGGATGGTCATGAACCATCAATAGACGTCTTCTCCCCAATGTTACTCGCAGAGGTAATATGTTTTCGCAATGGGAAGTGGCACGAGAAACTAGAGGATAGAATGTGTCATGATCATTCAAGTATAGCAACAGGTAATGGTACACGGTAACAAAAGGAGGACCGGGGTCGTAGATTGTGGATAGTGAATAATTCATGTGGACAAAGAGTGTAAAAGCGAGGTAAGTATACCTCTAGTTAGAACATCCGTGTATATTGCTTGTTGAGTGTCTTGCGGCATCATGGATACGCCAGGGTACGTTTCAAAACCAAAAATGAAACCGCATGAAGATAAACCCCGAAAGAACCATAGACGATCCGATAGCTCGCAACCAGCCAAGACCATCGTTCATCCACTGCTGGAGAACGTTGTCCGAAGCCAGTGCTGGAAAGCTTCAAGTTTCCCAGCACCGTTCGACCCAGTAAACCCACCCAACACAAGGAGGAAATGGGCTAGCGACAAAGCAACGATTAGAGCGATGACAGCAGAGATTCGATATGACCCTTCGGGCTCCTTGACCTCGAAGACGACTTTGGGTGCTTCGCCGAGAGGTGAGGAAGGCGAAGAAGAGGGGGTTGGAGACTCTGACTCGACGGGCGTGAGGGGTTCACCGAGAGGTGGGGCGGCGGGTGAGGTGATCATGATGGAGGGGTTAGAAGGTGCGCGGAGGATCGTGAAGAGACCGCTATTGAGCTCGAAAGCAATGTTGGCTTCCTCCAGGATACGAGCTGCGAACTGGATGAACACCGCATCCTACGAACACGTATTCCAGAGGGGTCACTAACCTTTCAAATCCTGATCATCGCCAACGCCAGCGTTCATCCCATCCCGATACCATTCCTTGATCTTCTTCATGTCCCCCATGGTACTCGACCCCGATCCTCCAAGCTGCTTGAACTCATAAAAGGTCAGACCAGCACCGTCCTCCAACTCATACACTTTGGCCAGTCTCCTCCTGATGAACTGGCCACCGCTCAAATCTCCGAGGTACCGAACATACGCATGGGCGAGAAGCGGACTTGGGTCCGAAGAATCCGCGAGCGTCTGTAGTCGGGTGATGTAATCTTTCAGTTGTTGTGGCGGCGTCGAGGTGAGTTCGACGTGTACAGGATGCGATTTCCAGGATGGTTCAGGGGTCTGGAGAAGGTGGGCTATGTCGGCTGAGAGGTTAGACGTACGGGCGAGGAGATTAGGGTTGTAGGTGGGTTGGAGGACAGAGTGGGAAGCGTGTCGGTCGAGGCCACGTTCAAAGGTACTGCATACGCGATCATTGGTAAATATCGCGTTCAAAGTGTGGAGGAAATGATACGCACTCGTAAACGTGGTAGAGCATCATGAGAAAACGTACGTATTCCTCCCTGTCGAGCTCTCCACGAGTGAGCCACGCCGCTCCCTCGCTATGTTCTGCCTTCTCGTGGGCGTCAGCGGTGCCCTTGCGAAGGAGAACCGCGATGGGCTCAGAGAGATCTAGGATGGAGGCCATGTTCAAGGAATGCTATCGCAGGAACGGTTCCGAGTAAGACCCTTTATACTAGGATCGACGATGTCTCAAAGGGGTGAACGCTAGGACCCAAACGCAGAGGGACCGATACTGAGGTGTAAAACAAATAGAAAGGAACGGGCTCGTGGACTCAAGTGACCCCAGAAGGAGCTGGAGGGGTAAGAGGTAGAGGATAGTTGTCAAGGAGAGGCGGTGGTATTTGCATCCTGAGCAAAGGTGACTGCAAAAAGCACGGCTTGCGCAATTTGAGCGCTCACTCAAGAGTCCGGAACAAATCTTATCACGACTAGGCACATCTTATCTGATAACCACCGTCTCATCTCCACTTACCCCAGACCCAGCCAAGCATCGGCCACGAATGTTAACATTCAAGCAAGAATTTTCAATAGGCACAATAAGAACATATCGAGTATAAGTTACAGGATGCGAGGAAGAGTCAAGCACTTCCCGTAAGTTACCAACAGAGGCCCAATCCGATTCTCGCCCACCGCCTTACTCAGGCCGTTCTCAGGGTCTGGCTTATAGCAGATCCCGTTTCCTAGTTTCGGTATCCTTCATCAATCCGAACTGATAGTTGCTAATCACAAGTGTGTCACGAACCAGAGAACCAGAGTGCAACCCGAAACAGAAGCACCCGCAGTGACTGCGAGTATGGAAATGCCAGGGCTCGACTATGCACAATACGGACACCGGCCCACTGGGTCGAATACCCCTTCTGAGTTAGGGTACTTATCTCTGTTCATTTATTTGCTCAACGATGATGCAGTCACGAAACGAAGGTAAAGAGCACGTCTACATCCTGCATACAAGGAATCAGTGACATTCTTATTGGAGCAAGAAGTTCAATGAAACGCGCAGCACAGGACATCCACGTACGGAAACACTAAGACAGATTTGCCCAAGAGATTCCTGGATGGCAGGAAAACGCACCTGCCACTTTCAGGTCTCAGACGCTGGATAAACGCACGAAATGCAAGTGTTGTAAAGATAGGTCGGTGATATCGCCATCTGGTGCAAGATGAGAGTCGGAAGACGAGTGTGCCAGTGCTTGTATAGCATTCGGAACATAACCTCACCAGCATAGCTAATGAGTCTAAGTTTGTACGAATCGCCATTGATGAGAAAGGAGTACGTCAGTACGATTGAAAGCATCTAGAAATCATACTGCACGGTTGTTTGGTCCAAAATGGACTCTAGAATAGCTAACAATTGGATACTCAGTACTCAGCCGACAGTACCAGTCAAAACTCCACAACACCGCACGCCTCTGGGCGCACCTCTACGCGGGTGGGAATGACACTCTTGACAGAGTATACAGTGGCTTCCCTCCTGTGATCCAACATAGTCAAATACAGAAGGAACAGCGAGCAACGTGTTTCTTGACTCGTCACATGTCTTATGGTCAGATTTTGGGAGTAGCCCAGAATTGCGAGGCAGGCAGCAGCATTCCGCTGAGAGATGGGGGCGCGGACGACCAAATGCTAGTTTTCTCGCCATTGGTTTCCGCAAGATGTACATCGATAGACTGGGGGATTGTAGGCTTGGTTGGCACGGTGGAAATAAATCAGGAAGAGGCAAAACATACATGTAGTCATTGGCTCATCGGCAGACCGAATCTGCAATTGATAGAAGTACGCTCTTCCATGGTCGCACTTGGGACAAGTGGCTGGATTGAGGCTCATTAGAAAGAGGTAAAGGGAAAGTGGCGCGTATAGAAAGCATACCGGAAGTGGAATCTGCGTGTTTCCACATTTCATCGCCTCCAAGAACATCGTCAACCTCTTTCCTCTTGAGTTTTGTCCGAGAAGTCATCTGAATTTAAACGTAATCTCGTTTCAACGTCCTATTCGAGTTGTGTAAGAAACGCACCTGCTTTGCAATGGGGAACTCATACGCACATGTATTACATGCCCATTTGTTAAAGCCCGTCTCTGTCGAGATGACGAGCATATTCGCGCAGTTTGGGCAGAAGAGCATGCCTATGACCTATGACCTCGAATTGGGGTTTGTGGTCTTTTTGAAAAGTCCCCTTAAATAGCAAAACCCCCCAGTTTCAAACTTTGCAGATCGTTCACTTGAGGTCGAAAGGTAGGAAGTGATCACCGTTCGAGAGAGGAAGATCGCATCGGGATCAGTTCCATTGACACACCGGGCGTCTCTTTGTATCCTTCCAAATTCGTACTCTGAACAAAAACATATTTCTGTCCTACGCGTGTCTTGAATGATATGGCTGTCCCTCATACATTAGGCTTCGATGAGAATAATCATTATCTCTGCGATACCCGGCTCGTTTTTCTTCTTTTGAATGAGGATCTGGCTGTACACAGGTAGCGACGGAGTGACCGCTAGGACCTACGCGTGTCGCGTCCATTGTCTTTGTCGAGTGGCACAATGAGCAAGGTCCTTGCATGGCTGAAGCACGGGGTCGTTATGTGCAACGACTGCAGTTCGAACGACCATCCTCCCCGCTGCTAAAACACGTCCGGCACGACAATCGACAGCCAGGAAGACCTTTCATTATGCGAGTCCGTGTCTTTCAAGTTTCCTCACCTGTTCTTCGCGTTCTTAAGGTTGCCACAGGCTCGTTTGAATGACCACTTTATTACAGAACACCTTCGCCGCCTCAAAGGCAGTCTTTATGGAATGTGGGCGAGCGATCGCTACTCTGACCTTATAAATAACATCAAGAGGACGAACAACCGCTCCATGGATAGTGTTTACCAGCATGTCTGCGACCTGCTGAACTCTATGAGCTACACCATATACCGTGCGCATGAATTGACGCTTGGTGCAAAGTCGCATACTTACCGACCGTGACTTTAGAACACCTCAAAGAACATGAAAGAATATGCGAATCTGCTCTCCCAATTCTCTTTCTGGACTACCATAATACGGCTCCAACACTTCATTTCGAAAAGTTGGAATACAGTCCCCAGATTGTTGGCATCCGAGCAACGCCACAGCAAGTCCAAAAGTCCAAACTTAGACGACACGCGAAGACCTCGCCGGTCCCATACTGCTTTGTTGAGACGGTTGCCGAGTTCAAGTCGGACCCGGATATCGACCCCAAATGCTTCAAGTACGCCAAACAGCTTCTAGCGGCCCGTCCTGACATGCCTAGTGTCTATACTCTGGCGATTCGTCCTGACGGATACTACGTTCTCTGGAATGATTCTTCAAACAAAGAACAATCGTTTTTCCATTCATGGCGAAACTTGGAACTGCTTGCTGCTTACTTCAATACGCTATACCAAGGGATGCCTGGCACTACTCACCTTACGCAGGATCCAACCTGCAGTAGACCGCGTATCTCCCCCGTTACTGGCCAACCTACTTGGATCATACGCCACAATGGGCAATCCTATGAGAACTGCGAACATATCTTTGCAGGTTACGTCCGAGGAAAGCGTACCAAGGTCTGGTTCTCGTCGGACTCTGGACACCGCGATAGCAAAAGGTTCTATGTCATCAAGGAAGCGTATCAACATGACTCTAGAGAAGGGGAGTTGCTTTTAGAAGTTCACAGAGGCAATGCTTTCCCTGGTGTAGTGCGATTCGTACATGCTGGTCCGGTTACCTTCAAGGACGAGGGGACGGAATGTCATGTTAGCACTCTCAAACTTGAGGATGACACCGAAGTGACGAAGCGGCGACTTATACTGGCTAGTCTTGGAACTAATCTAGATGATGCTAAGACCATGAAGGACATTTTGATGGCTCTATATGACGCGTTAGAAGGTACATTGTATCAGTCAAGGTTTTGACAGTTACATTTCTGAAGGTGGTGATTACAGTTCATCGTGGCCTAGTCGATAAACACTTCTTGCATCGCGACATGACTGCGAATAACATCCTAATATACCCAAGACATTCGGAACGAGGATACCCCGGCTGGAATAAGTACCTCTTGAAAATCCCACACAAATTTATTGACGAAATTCTTGGAACTCCCCAGTAAGTACGCTACATGATCGTGTTGATGTAAACTAAATACGCATTGTAGCAAACATGTTGACAAGTCTCGTTGTCTCCTTATTGACATGGACTATGCAGTGCGAATGACAGAAGTCGAGACTGGTCGATTTGATGGTCCTAGTGAACGAAAATGTGCCGTGGTACGTTTTGCCTCACACAGCTCTCTGCACCGGCTTCTAATAAGGATGCTCTCGTCTAGGGCACGTCATCGTTTGTCGCGCGGTCAGTTTCATTGAGAAGAACCCGCTGGGATGATAAGAAATATCGTCCAATGCCTGAACTGACGGAACGTGCCAAGGAGCTGTATCTAGCGGCATATGGGCAAGAGAAATACTCGCAATACTGTGACAAGAATGGCACATTCCACGCGGGTCGTGAAGTCCAAGAAGACGATGACATCTGTGTTCGTCCATTCCTACACAAACCCGAACACGATGCGGAGTCGGTCTTCTGGGTTCTTATCTGGTACTGTCTACGAGCTCTCCCAAAGGGTTGTGACGAGGAATGGACTGTTGAGATCTCTAACGCATGGAAGGACTTATCCGATCACCATCTCGGCAGGCCTGAGACACGCGGCGACTTCTTCAAATTCACTGCCCAGGAATACAAAGGCATCCTTCATTCTAAGTTATCGTCTTTGGCACCCCTGTTGCATTCTCTGGCGGCGCAGGTTTTCCCGGACTACGAATACCTCAAGCCTACGCCACCTGAGGACCATCTGCATGAAGCGATGCGTCGATTGCTTCTGCAGTTCATTGTCGGCATGGATGATCCCATAGAGTTGACACCTGGAGTATCGCGACAAGACGTCGCCCGGGCTCGGCCTACTACAGTGCGACCTCCTACCCCGCCGCTTCCACCGCCAAAACCACCAACGCCGCCACCAGCTCCCCAACCTTCTCCAGCAAAACGCAAGCGTAGGGTGCAACCTGACCGGAAAGCGAAGAAAGCACGCCTTGCATGATATCTCTCGAACGTCAAGTGGCATGCGTCTCGTATCGCCAATAGATTATTCTTATTTATTCCTTGTCCTTCATAACACCTCCGGACATTCCAAGGACCGGAGTACTTATGTGCATTCGCCTTAGGGAAATCCGCCATAAACGCGTGAATTTATCATCTGAACTACTTCTAGTAGGGACGAGAAACACTCATCATAAGAATAGAAAGCACGAACAGTTCGAAACAGGCGCTGGTCGTTGGAAATATGAGGCGCTAATGCAATGATGGCATCAACGTGACCAAACGGGTAATCCAACTACGATGGAAACATGAGGTCTTTTTCTGGTTTGTCTCAAAGACTGCACTTATCCTTGTCGTCGAACGATACCTCAAGTTCACCATGTACCTCAGACCCCCCGCTATTCACCAAATCCACAACGAAGAATCATGGCCGGTACCAGTCAAGAAGCTGGCATCGCTACTTCGCAAACCGTTACCAAGCCTGAAGGTTGGTCATGTCACGTCAAAGTCAGACATATCTCCAGCGGCTGCTATGATTCTTGCTGAGCTGGCAGAGGGCGTGTATGATAATTATGTCTCGTCTGACGTGGTGTCAAACCCTCTGTACGACGTGCTCAATATCGTCCTCACAGTAGCTGCAGGCATGCGACAACTGGTCAAGATCTCAGACATAACCGGCATGTCGCATCGGACTTCAACACTTACCTATTCTCTGCTTGCAACTATCGGGCGCCATATGAGTCAAGAACTATGTCAACTGTAAGCTAACCTGTGCTGTTTGTTGAAGGTGAACTGAGATATCGCTGGTAGGAGTAATGTGCCCTTCATCCTACCTCGCACGAAGGGTGATGCAGGCGCATACCATAGTCCGACCGAAGGACCTCTCCAAGTGGAAGGGATTTCCACCTTACTGATGGCTTGCATCATCACACCTGAGCGTTTAGTCACTTCTTCGGCTGTTTCTACTTGCGAACCGGACAATTATACGGATGTTATATCTGCTGGAAACAGTGATTCAAATTCTTCGGAAGCGCGCAGAGCTCTAGCATTTTCAGGAAATGAGGATGCCGAGGTTGAAGAGAACAACGAGGAAGAAGAGGTAGACGACGATGACAACAGCGATAACAACGACGACAGCAATGACGAGGAAGGGGAAGAGAATGAAGAGGAGGAACAGGAAGAAGATCAGGAAGAAGATCAGGAAGAAGAACAAGAAATCGAAAACAACAACGTGAAACCTTTGCCTTTCCCAGTTTTGAATGCACCATTTGACGCACACGTACTGCCGGGTCGTGGAAACCGCTTCTGTGCAGCTCTTCCTGTGATCTCTGTCGCTGACTCTGCAAATATAGAGCCACTTTTGTCTAGTGTCTTGTATCAACGCTTTGTCTGGGGTATCGACGAACCCGTCGTCGGCTTTGTTATCTCAGAGTATGGCACTGTAGTGCAATTATACCTTGGATGGCTAGATTTGGACCATAATGTGGTAAATTAAAGCCTCTCCATTGAATCACAAAGCCATACTGACGATAACTCAAGCCCTCTGTAAATATTGGTTGCTCAACTACGTCTGGAGTGGGTAACCCTGCTCTCGGAGTGTTTGACCTAACGGTGCCCTCTTCCTCCTGTCTCTTGGCGCAATTCATCTTGAACCTGAAATCACACTGCGAAGAAATCGGGTTGGCTGCTACTCGAAACAGATTTCGCGACTTCTGCTGGCGATCTGATCATCAAGGAAAGGATAAGGAAGAATTCGGCTCAGATGATAGCGTCCATGCGGGAGATGCCCACATACGTCAATGGCTGCAGTCTATTCCCGCAGAAGGCACCCACAGCGACTCTTCAATGCGCCGTATCGGGGCGACATTGGCCTCAAAGCATGTCAACGAGGTCCACCAAATGACTACCGATGATGAGAATCTAGAAGCCCCTAGAAGACTTGAAATTGAAATAAATGACACCGTAGAGAGTGGCAGTAACATGATGCCTTCGTAGGTTCATTGCCCTTGCTACTATCGGCGTACTAAGAAATTACTAGTGACATTACTGAGAATAAAGATGACGTCGACGACGACGCGTCTCATATTTCAATCGATTCAAGCCAATTGTGAGTGCTCTAAGATTTCTTTCTCCTTATTAGGATCCTCATTAAGCACAACAATGCTAGATATGTGATCCATCAACGCTTATTGAGACCCGACCCGTACGATTTTCATGTTTTCTTTTGGCTTACGGAGCGAAATGTAGCTCTGATCGGTCGGTTTCCGCAAAATCCCAAACAACCAGAGTACTTGGAGATGAATCGCATGGTAGCACAATATGAAAAGGACGTGCAATTTCACTGGCCTGCTGCATGGCCACAAACGGTATGAAAGAGTCTTCGTGCTTTGAATAATTAAGAATATTTACTGCGGCATCTTCAGATGAAGAGTCACCATCGTTCGATGATTGACGTTGTGTCAAGAGGTCTCAGTAGTCTCAAGGAGAAAGGGGAAGAAATCAATGACTTAGACTCATCGTTACTGCCGTTCCTGCTACAAAAGATGGATTTCATGTTCTCCTGCTTCCCTGAAACGGCTGATGGATCTCTGGAACAGCATCTGAAGGATGCTTACGAGACTAAACAGCGCCTTTCTTCCCCCTGGGATTGTTTACTTTATCATTTCTACATTCATGATTCGACGGAGGTCGTTTCGACTTCAGTGCTGTAGGTGCTACTGGAATCTGTGATGAAAGCGGCCTGATTGTTTTATGAACAGGAGCAATGTCACCCTGAACCTCTCCCTCAACAAGGTTGCAAACTTCTTGCTGAACGGTGAAGAAGAACCAGCTCGAAACATGCTAGCGGCCCTTGTTGAAGAATGTGTTTTACGATATTTAGAGCAATTACCCTACCTGTCTATGGACAGAAAGAAGGAAGCGCTAGCCGGAGCAACGGTCGCCATGCGATGTTCAAGCATGGTCACGTCGGTACTAGAGGAGGGCGAGGCATTTCAAACACACATATTGAATCGCGCTTTGAAAGATCCCCTCACAATGGACTGTGATGCGGTCCTTGTGACGAGAGTGGAGGAGCACGTAAATTTACTACAAAGTACATCCCTCATTCTTCTAGCTTATCCGCGTTAGGCTTCTGACCTCATGCTAGCTCAAGATAGTAAAAGTACGACTCATTGCCAACAAACAGGATCCGCCTCTTCTCCTTGCTCTCAGTGGATACAATCCCCATCGACACAGTCATGCAATCCTCGCATGTCAAATTCGAAAACCGGTAAGGGAGGCGCGCCGGATTTGGGCAAACAAAAATATCCGTATTCGATCTTACCACGAATGATAGTGAAGAACCGCGAAAATGCCAGAGACGCCTTTTGGGATACGCTCATGTGTTGCGTCTCTGCTGTCGAGTATCTGGCCTCCTTGGGCATTGAAGATTTTCCTGTCTACGGTGTTTTTGCGTCGGGGTCAGTGGGTAATTTGATCATGACATGGCATTCATCGGCATCCAAGGTGTGTATTTCCGCGCTTTCAGATGATACTTTGAAAACTTATGTCTTATTATGTTTAGAGAATATATGTCTTTGAACGATATCTCAAGACATTCGATGTCTCCGATCCTGTAGATATTTTCTGGTTCTCTGTCTTCCTTCTTCGTTTGCGAATGAGCCAGGATCTCAATCTCTTGACTTACGCCAGCTCGCTGCATGTTGATAATGCCAAGACGTGGAGCCAGTATGACCAGACCTGCTTTCTTCGAGGGACCTCCCTGTAGCTGGTATAGAGTTTAACTTAGACATGTATTCTTGCTAAAATGGTGTAAAGGTTATTATATTAATAGACTAGCATTACCCATGCCGGGCCAAGGGTATATACACCGTGAAAAACAAGAAATGCTTATTCTACGCAGAGCTCACACTCTTAACGATCGCTTCTGCTAGTGACTACTAAGTCTCAATTGGGCCAAAAATATGACGTGATCGAAGGATGTTCCTCAGGCTCCGTCGCCATGAGACGGAGATTTCTAAGTTGGCAAGTTCTAGCAGATCTGAGCTGCAAGTGTTGACACGGCAAACATGAATGTGTCTGCCTTCTAGGCAGAGTCCATGCAGACAGGACGACATCTTGACAACATGTCAATGCATCTGTCCGACGACGAATTTAAACTCTGCAGAGTGAGTTGACCAATCAGCGCCCAGAAACGTAAGCAACCATCAAAAGTCTGCCTGGGGGACAGACAATAAAGACATGGTGCCAAGATGTTGGCCGCTCTGCATCGCATCTGTACTAACTACGGATGGGTTCTTGCGTGCCGTGTATGGTACGAAGTCGTCTTGCGGGAGTCCTTCAAGTTGACAGATCTACATCCGTACCCCGGCGCCTGTAATCTGACGCCATCAAGTAGTGTGTAACAAACTAGGAAACTCAACCATAATGCCCCTTCGTTACTTGTGCTCAACGCCTCCCACTCAATCACACCCAACATCTGCACGATACTGACAATACATGTTCCTCCAACCTGCTGTTATTCATGATGTCGCGGAAGAAGACTCGTGGCCAGGCCCTGTCAAGAAATTGGCATCGCAACTTCGTGAACCTCTCCCTGGTTATGCTAGCTCTGCGTCCCATCTTCAAAATTTGCAAATTGTTGCGGGCCTCCCTTATGAACTTGAGGCCAACACACGAACATCTGAACTGATGCCATCCTCTCAAACAGCTCCCACAACCTTGAATGACGTCCTCACTTTCGTACTCTCAATCGTTGCTTCTGTACGACATGCTACCGCTGATTCAGATGCAATCGGAATACCAAGACACATCTCTCCGCTCATATATACACTCTTTCTGGCATTGAGCCATTTTGATAGAGATGCATGTCGACTGTAAGTGGAAATATACATTTTCCTTGTCCAAACCAATAGCTTGTTGCAGGAGCCAAGTACCCTTCATACTACCTCGCATCAAAGGCGTTGCGATGATCTTTGAAGATGCAGCTGAGGACGCGTTGAAAGTGGACGGGATCGCAACTTTCCTGTCCTGTATCGCTGTTCCTCAATGTGACCAGCCTTCGAATGTTGATACTGAAACGACTCAAAAACCAGACCATCCCGCTACTGATCGGATTCTATCTATGAGCGAAGAGTCTGTTGCGGCACATGCAGCGCTATACTTGCCTTCAGATGATGAAGATGAAGAAATGGTCGAAGATCGTCCTGAAATGTCTCGAAAAGTCACTGTCCCTGTTCTGGATGTACCGTTCGATGCTCACGTCCTTCCTGGGCGTGGTCTGCGGTCCTGCGCGGTGCTCCCTATTCTTGCCGTGGCTGATCTTGATAATATCGAACCGCTTTTGTGCAGCATCCTATATCAACGATTCGTTTGGGGTATTGACGAGCCCGTAGTTGGCTTTGCTGTGTCCGAATTTGATCCAAACTTGCCATTATATTTCGGATGGATAGACATACAGAATAATAAAGTAAGTCGTTGCGCTTTTTTTGCGCTTTACGACTGGTTGATGATCGTATTAGCCCATCGTAAATATCTGTCGACCGTCCATACATGTGGCGTTTAACCCTGCTATCGGTTTGTTTAACATGGCAGATCCTTATTCAGCATGTGTTCTTGCCCAATTTCTTCTAAGCTTACAATCACAGTACGATGCTGTTAAGGAGTCCGCTGCTCAGCTTCGCTTTAACCGTCTTTGCTGGCGCTCCGATCATAGGGATGATGATGAGCAAGCACTGGGCGGTATAGGAAGTGATCAAAACTCCAGAGTACCGCAGTGGCTTCAATCACTTCCCCGAAGGTACACAATTTCGTGCTATTTAGTATTACCGTAGAACAACTCAAGTATTATTTCTAGATTTGACAGTTCAAATGACAAGATTATTCATAGTAGACGTGCAACCATCCATGTCTGCATCAAATCGGAAACGAACCAAGATGTTTTCCAGGAAGACACTGTCTCATCTGACGAACTGAATGAAGAAAATTGGGCCGAGGCGTATGTTATCCTTCCTCTTGCAGACGTTCCCACTCAACACCCTCACACCCTCCACAGGTCCCCCAACTGGCTTCAATATCGCGAAGATATCGACAGTCAGACTTCATATATATCCGCGTCGAGCACATCGTAAGCCTACTCATCCCCACCAGTTGCCGTATGCTTACATATCCTTCAGGTTCGTCGTCAGAAGGCGGTCCCCCCAGAGACGCGACGATGAGTTTTTGTTTGCCGCCTGGCATACAGAGAGGAATGTGGCGATGATCGGCCAGATGTATCAGGACAATAAACAGCCTGACTGCCACGAAATCAATGAAATGGTTGACCTTTATCGGTCTACACTTCAGTTCGCGTGGCCGAAGGAATGGGATAACTTGGTGGTATGCGATGGTCGCCGTCACTTATGATTCAACTAAACACGCATATGCTCCGGCTCCCAGAGTCCCTGCAGGAATTCGTATCTATGTTGGCCAACAACAAGGATGAACTGGTGACAAGGCATGAACCTGTGATGGATCTTCATCCGGATCTCGTATCTCTTTTACACGCGCGAATGCGCACTACGTTGCCCTGTCTTCTCGCCTTGTCAACGACAACTCTCGAGGAAGAACTTCGTGGTCAATACAGGTGCAAGAACTTGTGCTCGCCACTCTGGGAGGCTCTTTTTCAACTTTTCTATGTGCGAGAAGACGCGACCGACGCCTCCAATCTCACCATGTAAGCTTTCAACCCACGAGTAGCGATTGATTGTAAATCAAGGCCTACAGATCTCAGCCGGGCATCAACATGAGCCACAATAAGGCCGTTGATATGCTTCTGAACAATGATGAGACTCTTGTTCGAAAGTTCCTGAAGGACCTCGTTTCAGAGTGCATGAAACGTTACGGACAGATAGGCAACCTGCCTGAACATCTGCAAATGGAAGGCGTCGCCGCTGCGATGAAGGCGAGGGCTGTATAGCGACGTGTCGATGATGTACTAGCGAAGGGGGATCAGCTCAAGAGCTTCATTTTCTCCCGAGCACTGCGAGAGCCCGCGAACCTCAATTGCGACATCTTATTGACGGCTTCTGCCGATGACCATCCTTTCGTGAGTCGCCCATTTCAATTGCCTGCCCAATAACAACTGACTCTTCGGGTGGCATTCCAGGAGTTGTTTCATAAAGGGACGCATGGAGATAACAAAGCTATTTCTACCAGTCAACAATGCGTGAGCGCACGACTCAGTGACCCGTTTGCCATAGTGTCGAACACTCGCCCTTATTCTTCTGTGCCTGGCGGTGAGAAACAAGTGCGGCTTACCACCACAAAAGATGTGATGTTGGATGCACGAAACCCAATTGTATTGCCCCAGGTTATTGTCAAAAACCATGAAGACTCCTGGGATGCATTCCAGCAGACGGCGATGTGTTGCGTATCCGCGGTGCAGTATTTATCTGCGGCCGGAATCAAAAAATATCCGGTCTATGGAATCTACACTAGTGGCACTACCGGAGGCGTTATTCTAGCGTGGCAGTCTGCTTCCTCGCAGGTACTTCACTCTCTCTCTTTTTGCATTGTCATCCCCGTAATCAAGGTTTGGACACATCCCGCAGAGAACATATGTGTTCGAGCACTTCCTCAAGTTCTTTGATGTTTCGCGTCCCTTGCATGTATTTTGGTTTGCAACGTTTCTTCTTCGTCTTCGTGCAAGAGAAGGCACGTGGTTGAAGACGAACAATCATACCCAGGACTATATGCTTTCTGCGAATGTGGACTTGCAAAATATTGAATGGAGTCAAAAATCTCAAAATACGAAGCGTCGCACGTCCACTGTAGACTGATTCCAGTGTGTTATTGGCGTGTTTTTCGCGATATCACTGCCTGTATTCGTTGGTATCACTTAAAAGTATCCCTTAGAATGTGTGCCCCTCGTCTAAGGCTCAGTAAGCATTTCTCTTCAAATGACGTCTATAGGTGTAGCTCGGTCCTGTCTATAATTTAGGTACAAAGGAGGGCGATGTACTAGAAGACAATATCAGATGAACATGATGAGTTGATCTGTGACTGGATGCCCCAACATCTTTCCCTCAAGTGTATTGAAGCAACCAAGTGTGTCCTACATTTGTGTACAATCAGTCCCCGAGTCACAACCGATTAGCAAGGAAAAGTTTCAAGATGACATTAACCGTAGGACACTCATAACTTATACTCAACGCCAGCATTGAAAGCACAGCAGTCCAAATGAGCGAGTACAGTAGTGATAGGCTCATGTTATTATTCATCGTTCTCATCATGAGGTGAAGTATTTTGATGATACATTTATGGGTACTAAACAGTAAAAATACAAAACAAACATGATACACCGCTTATGATCGCTCTCCACGGAGACGACGGGCAAGGGCCAAGTCTTTAGGTTGACTGCAGAGAAAGACAACTTATGAGCATGTGGAGACTTAAGACTCGCAGAATCAACGTACATAGTGACACGCTTAGCGTGGATAGCAGCGAGATTAGTGTCCTCGAACAATGAGACAAGGTAAGCCTCTGCAGCCTCCTGAAGGGCCATAACAGCCGATGATTGGAATCGGAGGTCGGTCTGACAACACACAAGACGTTACTCTAGGAAGTATAACTCGGGCGTCTAATAACTTACCTTGAAGTCTTGTGCAATCTCACGAACAAGACGTTGGAAAGGTAGCTTCCTGATCAGGAGTTCTGTGGACTTCTGGTAACGTCTGATTTCACGCAGAGCAACGGTACCGGGACGAAAACGATGAGGCTTCTTGACTCCACCAGCTGCGGTCGCCTATATCACGAGTCAGAATAAAACACATGGTGAGCCCTCCTCCGGACTAGCGATACTTACAGGTGCAGTCTTCCTCGCAGCCTTAGATGCAAGTTGTTTACGAGGGGCCTTGCCACCGGTGGACTTTCGGGCAGTTTGCTTGGTACGAGCCATTTAGAATGTTGCAAAAAGTGGGTGGGGGGATGAGTAGAAATACAGAAAGGGTCTGTAAGTCTGTTGACGGTTGGTGGTGGTTGTGGGTTAAGAGGGAAAGCTTGTCTCGCGCAACGGCTATATAGGCACACGCGTGACGCGTTACACGTGACTTTAACATAACGCGCGTCGCGTGTGGTGTTGTTTGGCACCGCGTAAGCGCTAGCACTGACTGGCGATGGGTGGCGACGACAAAGCTTGGCGACCACCATGACACCGACATTTCTCTTTGGCTTTATCCTTGTCCAAATTGACTAGCTTATACATGGCTGCAGGAAAACACCATAACTCGCTAAGCTTGTGCTCATGCCCGCAAACTTGATGGTGGATGAAATAAGTGGTCTGAACGACAGTTGCACGTTTATTGGTGATCCTCCAGAGGCACGTAGTGATCAACGGGCAAATGTACTGATGACCATGATGGTTATGTTGTGGCCAGATCTTACTCTTGAATCTTTCTTTGTCCGGATGCCCAGCCGCTCATTCTCGCGTGAGATAGTCGGTCAGCCTCAAAAGTATATAAACCCTTTGATCTCTCTGTTCTCCCCTAGCTGCATCTCCTTAAGCTTCCATTCTGTCCTTTTATTACAACGACATGGCTGTTACTGACTACCCCACACCGCAAACGTTTCCAAAGTACTGTTTTCCAATACTCGGTAATGTTCCTTTCTGTCCACTGATAGTGATTCCAACAAGTACGTTTGCAACCCACACGTCGTGAATTGTCTCTGAATGATGTTCACCTATCCAGCGTTCTTTATCGCACTCGCGCTTCTCCTTGTCTACAAGTTCTTCAGTCCGTCCTCTGTCTCTACTCCGCATCCGGTCTTGCCGACCAATACTGTCGACCTCGAGAAGGCTGAGCTGCTCAGGGACATTGGTGAGTTTATCTCTCATATATGGCCTCGCCTTTCTGAACTTATGTTCCCTTAAATTGCAGCAGCCTCGGCATATACCCCGACTGTCTCTCGCCGTCGTTTCTCGCAACCATACAGTGACATGTCACCCGAAGACCGAGAAGAACATACTCGCGTGAAGTCCCGACTAGTCAAATTCCGTTTCCCGCCTCCTCAAGGTCCTCCGCCCTCTGGCCCGTTACCTAATCTCCCGCCATGCTCGGAAGCCTCTTCTGCTGTGCCTCGCTCCCTGGATGAGCTCTTGAATGAACCAGCAAGCCCTGACTCGCCTACTCTTCCTCCTGGTCTCTTTGCCGACGATGGTTCTGCCTTGAGTTTCCCTGCTCCGGCGTACTTGGATTATTCAATAAGTCACCTGGATCTGACTATCCGAAACAAGAGGTCTATGGACGTTGTTTGATATGTACAGTAAGCCTGACGATGCGTCATGAGGACTGGAAGTGTACGGTCTTATCTGGTCTACATTCTTTTGGACTCTGAGCGGCATTACTGTATTCTGGTCTATTCTATTGCTTTGATGTACCAGTCCCTCTCGATGCATGATACTACCTATTCCCTCTCTATTCAATTCTTTCTCATCATATGTCATGGAAGCAACCGCGCAACCACGATCATCGCGCAGGAAGTCTGGCCCTGAGGTATGTCACGCCAATTATAGGACTCATCTGTCTTCCTTCCATGAGTTGAGGATAGTTTTATGCCAATGCAATTGACATCGTGTTCTCAGAAGAGGGGTCCGAACTTTCAAGAAGATTTGCGTGCGCTAAGTTTACGCGGATGTTAAGGGAGTGAATATACGAGCACGTGCTCTACATGCTGCAAACGCGTGTTTCGTTCCCCCACCGCATCTTTGGTTTTGTCATTCTACCAAATCGATCCCCTCTATATTACCGCATCCTCATTGCATCCTCACCGCGCTTACGCACGCTATACACACGCTATAAGCCGATATTGTGTCAACTCCCGTCGGAAGAAAATATATCATACACACCATGTACTTGGCCGAAACAACAAACGGTGCGTGCTTGTTCGCTTCTCTGCCCTTGCTTCAGAGGTCACTGGCATCTGAAGGGCGGAAATTGTGGAGTACAGGAACAACAACTTACCAACCCCGTCGGTACGGAAGCACGCGTCGACCGCCTGCGCCACCGACAAGCATCGCTTTAGACGATCGATTCGACCAAATGACTACCGAGGTACCAACGGAGTGGAACGTGGGCGGAGGGAATGGTCGGGACTATGAAGAGTCTATTAGTGGATATCAGAACTACGTCAATGAGATGGAGATGATGTTGGGTGCGCAGGTGGATGTTGAGGAGGAAAGAGTGAGGGATAGTACAGCTTCGGTGACGACTCGTCGAGTTCGTCGGGCTAGTCCTGAGACTTGTCGCAGTCCGCTTGCGGGGGGAGGGAGACGAAGCTTGTCTGGATTCGCAAGTATGGATAATATCCGACAGGTGCATGGTAGGAAGGCATCAGTCGATCTGGTCGAACATCGAATCTTGGAAGATGGGCCGAACAGGAGCATCTCGATGTGGCGCGAACGAGTGGCGCGAAGTAACGCTACCGAGGACAGTGGTCGAATTCCTGGAGACGTACGTAGCGAGACCAACAGCCACGCGCACCGGAGACTTCCCTCAGCAAGTTCGCAAGCCAGACGGGCTTATGGTCAGGAATATGGCAGACCTCGAGCAGAGTCTTTGGCGAGCGTCACATCCCCGAGGAGGGGTAAGGAAGTGACTAGGAACTATGAGCGAAGCGAGGTTTGCGTGTCAGATTGAATCCTAATGAGACCGACGAGCTGATCACCCTTTGGAGCAGTATATGGTCATGTACCAGAAACCGACCAAGCATGGTGGGATCCCATCACATTTGCATCCACCATCGGAGGTGGGGTTTCCAAGGCTTGGCAGTAAACGTAGTATGGTGCCTTCAAGTCCAAGGATTCCAAAGTCCAACACCCGCGCCATCTCGCCAACGATACGAAAGACATCTGGACGATCGCAGCAAGTACGTGACAAAGTAAGTTGGTCTTCGATTTAGCACTGATGTTGCGACTGAATCCTCCGTCCAGTACGTGATCACATACCCAAACACTCCTCCCTACAGCCAAGGCAGTTTGCCAAGTTCATCCAACCCGAAAGGACCAATCGTTGCTCAAAACCACCCAAGCTCCCCTCGTCCATCCAGGACATACATCCCCATCGAGGGAGTCGAAGACGCAAGCGCTCTGAAAGCAACATCAACTTCCTCCGTGGAGTTGATCCTTGCTTCGTGTGAACCGTCCTTGCTTCACATTGCACCGGCGTTAGAAGTCCTAGGTATCACTAGGCTTGAGCATTTGAGAGCGATCAACAGGTTGAGCGACGAGACCAGAGATAAGGAGGTGAAAGAGGAAGCGTTGAAACAGGGAGTTACGGTGATGGAGTGGGCGATACTAGTAGACAAGCTGCAGACGTTGTAGGACCTTCGCCTGAAGCAACGCGGATACTTTCGATACAGTGCATATGCGACCGATCTCGTTGGAATACATGGTATTTTGCAGGACACAGAGAAGGACGAGACTCCGTTGCTACAGGTTTTACCACTTGATAGTCATGGTTGAAGCTGTTTCTAGCGCAAATACTTTGCGTTCCTCCCAAGCAAGTATTCAAAGTAACGAGTTTTATGATAGAATAATTGACGTACAGTTTGAACCAGATGAAGACATCGTTATCACGAGAGCGAGAAGGGCTGAAGGAGTCGGAGTGAGCAATAAATGTCTCGTTCGGCCGTCTCCCTCACGCCTACAAACGCCCATAAGCGCTACCGACCCTATATCCGAACTTGTCCGAAATATACTCTTCATTGAACGTTTTAACTCTCAACTCGCTACTTACCTGACCTCAGTGTAGGTGGAATGGGTGTACAAAATGCGCCAACCTTCTACCAGTCTCTTGCGGTGAGTTAAATGCAAGTCATTATGTTTTAATTGTCTGAAGAGGATGTGACAGGCTGGTGGTATGGCTGGCACAGCAGTCGACCTGCTCTTCTTTCCCATAGACACGGTGAAGACGAGACTGCAGTCTTCGCAGGGATTTATTAAGGCTGGAGGATTTAGAGGTGTTTATAAAGGAGTAGGCAGTGTAGTGGTCGGGAGTGCTCCAGGAGGTGAGTATTTCTCGCTTACACGATGCTTATGTGCTCACGAAGACTGCACACCACTCTAGCTGCTATTTTCTTCTGCACATATGATACCCTGAAACACACATTACCTATACCAACACATTATGCTCCCTTCACTCATATGATTGCAGCTTCAGTTGGCGAAGTGGTACGTGGTGGAAATTCAACATGTACTGACCAACCCTCATGACTTCGGAATGGTTCCATCCTAGGCAGCTTGTCTCATACGTGTACCAACTGAAGTAATCAAAACCCGAATGCAAACCTCAACCTATGGCAATCTAGGCAAGTCCTCGTTTGCTGCTGCTAAGCTGGTACTCGAAAAGGAAGGACTTCGCGGTTTTTATCGAGGTTTCGGCTCGACTATCATGAGAGAGGTGTGTGCAGTCATCTTGTGTACAGTGATTCTACAGTATTCATCCTATTTACTACTTCTTTAAAGATCCCATTCACATCGCTACAATTCCCCATGTACGAGTTCTTCAAACTCCAACTTTCAGATGCTTTGGACAAGAAGCCGTTACCAGCATATGAAGCCGCAGTTTGTGGTAGCGTATCAGGCGGTATTGCCGCTGCGTTTACTACACCCCTGGATGTCCTAAAAACTCGAGTCATGCTCGATCTTCGGGTAAGACCTTGCTTCGGGTATTTGAACACTTAACGATTGCTAATACGCTTTCACGTCACAGAATCCAGCTCATCAGCAACTTCCTTCGTTACCTGCTAGATTTAGGCAGATTTATGTTACTGAGGGTGTTAAAGCCCTATTTGCTGGCGTTGTTCCTCGGACATTATGGATATCAGCAGGAGGGGCTGTATTCTTAGGCGTTTACGAGTGGGCTGTGGGCACTTTGCTGGCGACATAACAGAACCTTCTAAGTAGTGACCCTCTACTCGGTTGTAAGTGATTGCATATGTGCGTACAAGAAGTCAAGTTTATTCAGTCGGGGTTACAATCTGTTACATATTCCAAGAAGTCAATCCCTTGGTAGTAATGAATCATCAAGAAGAAACTCGAGTGAACGAAGTCTCAAGTAATCAAAATCATCGAACTGTTAGCATAAGAGAAGTTGCCGTTACCGCCTGTTTTCTTTTTCTTTTTCTTTCCAATTTATTGTCCCGAGGGCTGCGCTCCATGTTAAACGATACATTATCGCCTGCTGTCTCCATTGGGATGTAGGTGGGATCCTTGGGTATCATTTGCCTCCTCAGTTTGAAGCCGTCATATGGCGTCTTGTTCCTCCTCCACCCCGTCATTCTTCTGGTCTTCCTGGTCATGTTCCTTGTCTCCAGTTTTAGCGGTCTCCTTCTTAGCTTTGGATCTTTCTTCAGCCGCTTCAAATGCATTGGCCAGGTCTGCCGAGTCACTTTCTTTCTGAGCTTTGATAGTCCAGTCACGAAATCTCTCAAAGTCCAGCGAAAGCCCCTTGGAATCCAATGCATTCTTTAGTTTCTCCTGATTGCGACGAAGTCGAATCAAAACAACACAGAAATCGAGCAGATCGGTAGGGATTGTAAGGTCGAATTTCTCTGGTACGCGATCCATGACAAAGATGGGCTATATCCGTGCATGGATAAGTATACCCCGGGACAGACAGTAGTATGCAAAGAAATCGTACCTTGTTGGTCTCAGATATCTCTACCTGGCGAGCCATGATGAGGTATCCCTTCCAACCGATAGTGTACAGACCAAATACTGGATAATCTTTGGTACTGATTCCTACGGCCTCCAGAAAACAGACAGCCGCAATGCAATACTGGCGGCATTGATTCAATGCCTGAAAGGGAGTAGTATTGACGCGGTCCCTTTTGTTCTCCACGACGAAAAGGGGGAGCATCATATCGCTAAGTTCTTCCGCCAAGTCGTCAACGTGGTCAACGGTCGCAGAGCTAGATTCAATCGCTCCTGCTTCAATTCCACTATTGCTGGTATCTTCCACTCTATCCTCTTTTCGGATTCTCTGAACCTGGCGATGTAGTGCTGCTTGCGACATGTCTACTATCAGCCGCTGTTTCAAAGTGGGTGCCAAAGACTCCTGAGCCTCTATAGGAGCAACAGACTTCCGGGCCTCGTCTGACATCTGGACGAGTTGGGAACGGTAGAGGTGCTGCTTGACATCTTCCTGCTCTATATTGTTGCCGGTGAGAGCTTCGAGATATGCGTTCATCGGTCCTTGATGTCGGAACGCGAACATAGCATCACAGATCCCAATCAGCGGTTCCTTGAAAGCGCGGTCAGCAATTATATCGATTGCCGTGGTCATGTCTTTGCCATTAAACGGGGGAAGGGCTTGTCCCTGATCAGAAATGGCGGTGAACCTGTTTCTCAGGTTCAAAAGTTCATTCCACGTAACGCCATCAATTACATCAAGGAAATTGAGCCTATATGTGAGATCTGAGAGCACGCGTGAGTGCTCTCGGATCGCGCGAATCATGGCACCGAAATCTTCTTTCGACTGCAAGACAGTGTCCAAAGCAGCGTTCCTGGGGTAGGCTAGCTTCCTTTCCGGTCTGGCAACGACATAATTAAGCAACGCAGTGACACAGACTGCTTAAAAATACTCACAAATATGCATGGGAATGCGTCTCACCCTTCTGAACATGAAACAGACGAAGAAGCAAATCCCAGAGGATTCGAGCCTCAGCTTCATAAATCGGGCGACGGAACTCCGTAGCATCAATGCACATGTCAAGCGCTGTGTCCAGCACATGCATCAAGGTCGAAATCCTTTCTTCGATAATTTCTAGAGCCTCATGATCACTCTCAAACTCCTTATCTTCGTCGTCGAATTGCTTTCGGGGACGGAGAGGTTCCTCCTTCGCCTGAATACTGGGAACGTTTGATTTATCTTTGGGCTTCTGACTTTCCGCAGGTGCTGGTTTAGGCTGCCTCATGGGAGAAGCATTTGCGTCGTCGTCCGGTGTCGGATGTTCCGTCACAGTTCGTCCAGAAAGATTGTCGAGGAAAAACTGCAACACATGTTCTACAACACGATCAGCTCGGATGTGTTTGTACTAACAAAGGCACGATCAGCGTACAGTCCTCGAGCATATCACATGTAAGACGTTAATTCACTGACCTTCTCGTCGGTACCCCATACGCCTTCGAATGCAATAGGTTTGACGAGCTTAGCATAGTCCTCTGACATTTCCTCGATAAGCTTCATATATGGGGACGTCACCGAGTTGGCCAATGCCGGGATCCTGGGAACAGTGAATGCCCAACGATCTAGTGCCCACGTCGCGTGCGACAATCTGGAACTATTCCATGGTGTATTGTTTGTTCGCGCGACCCTTGTAATATCTACGCGTTAGCTTTTGACGGACTTCAAAGGACATCCATGGCGTACTCAGCACTGGATTTGTGTGATCTTTTGGATCCTGCTGCAGACTGTGATTCTCCAGCTTCACTTCGCAGCCCGAGCTGGGAGGACGGACGTCCTACATCACTGTGTGATGCTCAGTCTTCGAGGAACAAGTTATATATACAACAGCCTTCACCTTGGAGTAGCACTAGCGGGCCGTGAGCCTAGCCGGCTTTCAGGTCGGTTGGAGGACCTGCTTGGAGCGCGACTACCAGCGCGACTGCCAGCGCGACTGCCAGCTCGACTGCCAGCTCGACTGCCAGCTCGGCTTCCAGGGGCCTTGGGAGGTTGAGTCTCTGAACGTTTAGGAGCCATGATGAGGTGGGTGGGAGCAGTACTACAGGTGTGATTGTTGTTGTCAATAGGTTGCGCAATATTGAGCCTTTTATATCAGGACCCAGCATGACCACACAATTGAGAGGACGTACTCTACATCAGCCAAGGCAGTGTCACTCTGTAGCCAACGCTCTATTCCGCTTCTAAGATCTTCACCGCTTGATACCCTATCGGGACACGTATTTCCATGGTCAGATCGCCAACATAGCATCTGAAAAGAAAGTTTGGAAGCCGTTGATATTACGGTTTCGAAATGATGCCTCAGGCCAAGTAAAAATTGAGCGAAAGCACATGCAGAGCGAGGGTCGGTTAAATCATATAATCCCATCGAAGGTGACGGTAGGATATCGTCCTCGGGGATAGCAAGATGCGGGACAATCTGCAATCGCCCAGATCAAACAATAAGGATCTGGAAAGATTTCAGAAACACACCTGAGTACTATTGTCTGAAGCATTCTCCTTAGCAATCCAACCCAGGACTACCTGGCACATCATTCCTGAATGGGAGACACAAATGCCAACAACCGGAGTCGCCTCGATACCCCACATGTATCTTTGGAATAGGACGCTGGTCATAAGCGCAGAAATGTTGTCGTGATCCGCGAGCAAGAGTAGCGGAAGGGCAGCATAATATCTTGGGCCTTCACCCTGAACAACGTGGGCATCCAAGGGCAGGTTGACTTCATCTGGCTGACGATATTCCGTAATCTCGCTTAATTTGGTGTCTCCCGCAGAAAATAATTCTTGTACTTCAGATTCCTCGTCGACATCCATTTCGGAGTCCCGATCGCTGAAGTTGGCCCTGACAATTGCACGCCGATCAGATAAGCTAGGGTCCATATCCTGGACAGCGGGTGCGCCACTCTTCTGGTAACGCAAGTCTTTCGCGATACCTTCCTTTTCGGCGCTATGATAAGTACTCTTGTCCGCTATCGACCCGGAAACACTATTGCATTCGCCTCCTCTCAGGGCAGAAATGTGCCGTGCTGACATCACGTAGGACGCAAGGATGATAGAAGAGCCTACGAAGTCAGCCTCCGAAGCTTCCATTCCTTCAGTTCTGATACGAGGAAGAATGAAAGATTCATAGGCGCTAACGATGCTGCATTAGCGTTAACAAAAGAAGCAGCATGAAAAGGACTCACGAGGTACGCAACAAGTCCAATTGATGAGCATGCAACAACTCGTGCACAAGAGTATACAAAAGGGGATGAGTGTAGACAGGTTCCATCTCATCCGGGATAAGGTCCCGCATCAAGGAGACAATCGTCAGAACGGTGTCTAAAACACCGCTAAGGTCCATTCTACCTGCAAACTCCTCCGAGGAGCAAGTATACTTTTCGGGAAGGAGTGACGGTTCGGATTGCAATTCAAGAAGAGCATCCCGAGCCAAAAAAGAGACATGTGGGTTGTGTGAATCTGTGGCGAAGCGGGGTAGAGGACGATGAAGGCCACGAGCCAATTGTCGGACCTGAGAAGGCCAATCGGCTACGCTTCGAACGCGATGAATTATCGGACCATTCAGGGACATCTTTTGTTAACGGACAGGCCCTAATTCTTAGAGCCTTTATAGAAATGGAGGAGGCACGCGTCATACGTGAGACAGATGAGAAGCGAGAGATTGTAAGAAGTTGGGACAACCACACCTTCTACAATGAGCGCCCATAGATGTTAGTAGGCGCTTGTTTTGCGTGGTTGGAATCACCGTCGGATTCCAATGAGTCGCAAGGAGGCCAACGGACTCTCAGGCCTTTAGAGATCCCTGAAGATAGGCAAATGGCCTATTTTGGCCTGTACCTTCAAACAAGATGCGTATACGTCAGCTATGGATCATACAATATGATTCAAATATAATAATTGACCTTGTACTGTAACTGATGTGATGGATACGAATGCATCATCGCACAAATTCTTTTAGTCAACCGTGTAATATAATAATAACAATAGAGCTCTGGATCGGGGAACATGGCCAATGGATCCGATGTAGTGCCGCCGACCCAGCCAGGAACATATGCGGCTTCTTCACATGTTGAAGAGCCGACACGGAGTGAAGACTGATCCAATCTTGTCCAATCTAATTCGGAATATATCTGTCAACCGGGGTGAATTCTACTGTGATGACAATATGATCAGACCCAAAATGAAAGAGGTTGTTCATTCGCCGGCGACCAGATGATATTCTTGGTTGCCTTAGACGGGTTTCAAGGGGTATGCACAGTAAAGGTGATCAAGGACGGATGACGAACAGCCGTCTGCAGTAATCGACGAACGAGGGAAACAAAAAGCATTAGCCCACCGCGAGGGTCGAACTCGCAGCCTTCAGATGCCAATCCGCCTATAGAGATAAGAGTCTGACGCTCTATCCGATTGAGCTAGGCAGGCAATATTAGTTGGGCAAATATCATTATCAACCTTTCAGAACTTTCCAAGCGCCCCAATCTCAAAACTGCACAGTGCAGAATGTCTGCGACCTCGTTTGCGAGAGCCAAAGGCGACGGTGAAAAGGAATACGATATAGAGCAACAGCATTACCATAGTACAAGCAGCTCAAGCAAAATTTATAATGTCGACAGAGATGATTCTTTCGTCATTCTCATCCAACTCCAGGTAGAAACAAAAATTCTCAGCATTTAAATCGCACGATCAAAGTAATGATGCTCACCATTAATCCAAGAATTCTTTTATCATCTACCAAGACTGCCCTATAATCATACATCTCCTCGGTCACACTCTCCACAAATGGTAACGACGACCGCACTTCTTCCTTGAACACGCCTAATGAAACCGGTAAGGACGTTGACTCCGTCACGACCCTTACAATGTTCCCACTCTCCAAAATAACCTCTTGTCCGAACGTGGAAGAATGTCCACTGGTGAGGTACGTGTCCAGTCTACTGGCGTCGAACGCCTCCACTTCGAATTCTTCCTCGCCGTCTTCATCAGCCATCTCCCAATCTTCGGCATCCTCCTCTTCCTCTTCCTCCTCCTCGTCCCGTACCGGTAATCTCGGCAGCACCCGCCAACGTATGAAACGTTGCGTGTCAGCCCTAGACTCAGCAGAGCCCCTCTCGTCTTCAGGTATAAGGACGAGTGCTCTTCGGGTGGCGTATTTGCCGAAGTCGCGTACGACGACCTGCCCACCGCCGTTCTTCGGCATGGCAACGAACCGTTGGCCGCATGTTGTTGTGATCCATCGCGTGGAGGAGTCGTTGGCGGCGAACCATCTCGTTACCAGCGGTCCCCATTCATTGTAAGGTAATGGAGTACTAAACGAACCTGGGTAAAGCAAGCACGTGAAGTCAGGTCGTGCAGTGTAATGTGTACTATCGACAAGTGACTAACCTTGTGAATTCGCTTCGGGAGAAGCAATCAACTTCGAAAGTGCATTGCGATGCAGGACGACCGTGATGTTGATTATACGACCAAATACGCCAATGGCAGGGTTTTGAACGAGAAGGTTAACGACGATGATTGCATCCTCCGCAGAGTCATAGAACGGCTCTTGATGTGTCACCGTCGATTTACTACTCATTGGATTTGGTTCTCCACGACAAGCCAATCGGAGCACGTCCGACCCTGTCGTGAGTTCTGGTAGAAGGAGAGTGCGGATGAGTCGAGGTGCGGTTGGTGCTCCTTTACCAGATACCGAAATGTCATACAATTCAAATGAGTGATGGGTGGTGTTAGGCAAGACGAGTACGTCGGGCGAAAGGAAGAACAGAGATTGATATGTCATTTGTGGTGCTTCAAGTGTCTATGAGAATGTTGCGTATCATGAGAAACCATTAGGAGATACTTAGCGCATGCATCTAGAACTCACGAAGTGAAGATGACCAGTCTTCCAATTCCAGACGAACAGCTTTACTATTACGTCTGGGCCGCCATAAGGGAATGTCAACAATAGGACAATTTTGTCACCAACAATCTCAATGGATAATCCAGGAGGAGCGATGGCAATGCTATAGCTGTCGACTTCTAATGTTGGCTGAGAGGCGAGAGGATGGTTTCGACCCGTCGATAGTTGGAGAAGTTGCACAGAAAGTTTCAACGTGGCTCGGGACAAATCGTTCCCATTTTGCTGCACTTCGCTGAACGAAAAAGGGACGGTAAGGCAGAATTCAACATGGTAAGGGGAAGGAACGTACAAGAAAGCCACAGCGACGAGATCATGTTCGTCCAATGCCAAACCCAAATCTGCGATGTCTTTTCCAACATCAATTTTATTCCATTGAATCTCTCTTTCCTCCCTATCTTCTTCGACAGACGGTAAGCGAATCCAACGAAGACTCCTCGTAAGCGTGGCCAGTTGACCAATATGCTGGCGTTCCCCAAGGAAGTAAACGCCTCCAGAGAGGTCATATATACCTGTTGGAGAATAGCTGATAGGCACAGTGGTACTTCTGCGCACAGAAAGGTCCCTCCAAGCTGCCTCCCTACGTTTCAGCCGTGCAAGGCGTTCGGCTATGGGAAGCATGCATTTTGGGTTGTTCGTAACCCTTGCGGCTAAAGTCTCGATGTGATATTGAATGCGAACATCCTCTACGACTAGCGTGTAAACGTTCCTGTTCGTGCGGCTGCAAGCGAGCACATCGCCGGGGTTGTCAAACAGCAAGAAAATTCGAATAAGGAGCTCTGGAGGTAAATCCAATAGTTGGGCCATACAGAGGGATGATTGTGGTAGTGAAAAATATACTGAAACGAGCCCTGAAGAGTGCAATTCTCGAGGTCGACTATGCTGCAGGGCACCGGAGCTAGGTCATTCTACTAGATCCGATCGTGAAATGACCCGAAATGGGCGTCACCCGAGGCGTGCAATTTTATAATGACTGATGCGATCAGGTATTTTCAATATTAATGATTGCGGACACCGACAGCAATCGTTCAATGCTCAATATTCGATGTTCGCAAAGTGCGCGTCCGTCATTATCAGTATTGACCAGCTGATTCACAAGGCCACCATCCTGACAAACCTTGGTGCGCGCAATTACTTGGGATTAACTGAATAGTAAAATATTCAAGGACGAGGAACTGGTAGCAAATTCAAGCCGCATTGTTCAAGTTCATACTTCGAAGGGATCAACTGTACATATTATCTGGATATGTACAAGTACAAATGTTGATACGACAAGAAACAGGGAAGATATACAAATATCAGTTCCGTACCATACAAGAAAGACGTAGAAACGCGATAAACATTATAATGCAAGAAGACATATACCCATAGGCAAGTTGCAGAACGACGTTGCAGCGGGGAAGCAGATGTACGATAGGAGGATGAGGGGATATGAGGATATGGTGGGAGAGGAGAGGAGGGAAGAGGACGACGGAATAAAGCGGTGCAACGACTTATGCAATGAGGGTATACGAGTGAAGAGGGGAATGGTGACATTGGCGACGAGAATAAACGATAACACGATAGCACTGCGCGACATGAAAAGAGAATACGAGATGACCGACGACGTGCATGTTACATAGACGGACGATGGAACAAGGACTGTTTCTGCCATATGCAAAACGCGTCAGTACACACGCGACGAAAGAAAGATGATCGCAATAAGTACTCACAAAGAGACAATGAAACACGAGACAATCAACAAGACTAGAGTAATCCCCTGTCCATGATAACGACAAGGTATTAGGGTTCTCACACAATTGACCAAGCTCCCTCCTCCCAGTCGGCCCTGGAAACACATCCAACGGCTCGACAAACGGGACAAGACACCTCTACATCCTCATCTTGCCCCTCCTCTCCCACCATTCTCCTATCCTCCATATCCTCCTCCTTCTCATCCGCACCCCAGCCAGCAACGCGTTCAGCGCTCACCAGGCAAGCAGTATGGAACTTATGATCGCACACATACTCTTCCCTCTCCTTCCCTGTACCCTGTCTACGGATGCCGATCTGTCGAATGTTCCTAGGATCAACGACGGGTTCAGGATCTTCGTCAGAGGGACCAACACCACAGCTGATATCAGAACACCTTAAACCAATCTCGCGTTCCCTCTTTTCAATACGTTCACGAAGAGTCAGACCAGGTGCAGGTGGGAGTGTCCATTGAGGTTTTCGTGGCGCATTCTCACCACCTTGACCAGTTCCTCGTCGACCGGCTCTAGGAAAGCCATTACCAAACAGAGGGATAAAGATTCCGTCATCGATTTCGCCATTCGTGGGATTGTGAATGTGAAAATGGGTATGCGGAGGGGCGGGGTGGCCTTGGGCATCGGCGTTGGCGTTGGTAGCTTGTTCCAGATTGGTTGGGACCTGGTTTGGCGTAGGCAATTGAAGATCAGCGAACGCCTGCTGAGCAGCTAGATTATGCAATGCTTGCTGTTGCTGCACCGGAGCTTGAGCAGGGCGTTGTTGACCGTCCGCGGGGGCTGCATGTTCAGCGCCATGGAGGTTCTGCTCATCAGTCTGTTGACCTTCGTGAGCCATCGCATCCGTCATAGCCTGGAACAACGCCCGACTGAACGCCTGCATCAAATTCTGAGCAGGGTTACCAGCAGGCGGAACACCTGCAGCCCTCTGCTGGGGTTGCCGACCTTGCCGAGGTTGTGGCTGAGGTGCAGGAGACACAACAGGGATCGTGAACGGAAAGCCTCCAACTGGGACCTGACCACGGTGAGCAGACTGGCCTGTAGTAGGTGCCGAGGCAGGTCTTGGAGGTGGGACTACGCCGCCAGGCAACCCAAGTCCGATATTGAATGCATGACCAACACCGACTGGTGGGATGTTGAATCCTCCTCCAAACATCTGGGGGACGACTCGAGGAATGGGTTGAGGCGCTACAGGAGGTGGATTCCCGGCGGCGTTGGCGGGAGGGGCTGGGGCAGGCTGAGGAGTGGCAGCGGCGGCAGCGTTAGCTTGAGCAGGTACACCTTGTGGCGCTCCAAATGGACCGGCGGGGGCAACAGGTACTACGAATGAAATATCAAAAGCAAGGTATGGTGGAGGGGCACCAGCGTCATCTTGACCTGGAGTCTGATTCGTATTCTGGTTCTGCGCATTCGCAGCAGGCGGGTTCATGGTCTGGCTGGGACCTGCACCAGCAGCAGCCGTAGGTGCGCCGTCGAGATTAGCAGCGGGCGTGGAAGCAGGCCTTGAGGCCGATTGTTCAGCTCTTGTCGACTGAGGGCGGGCATATGGCAAAGGTGGTACGTCGACATAAGCCATCTGATAAGCAGCGTGCCCAATCGGTGTATATGTGGTTGGTGCGTTCCCCGCATTACTTGTTCCGGCAGCAAAAGGTGACGTTCCCGCCTGAGTCATCGGTGTTGACATAGGGTTCATGGGTCTGTATGCATTAGGCCCAAGCCCGCTCAAAGATATAGGTACAGGCTGAGCAACAGGTCTTGGAGGTGCTGGTCTCGGAGGGGTGGGGATACGGACACCGGGGGGTAAATTGACAGGCGAGGGAGTGTGTGATACAGGTAGAGGTTGATGAAGAGGTCTTGGACCTGCTGGCATTGGAGGGGTGGGGATACGGACACCAGGGGGTAGATTGACGGGTGCAGGAGGGTGTGGGAAAGTGTTATTGAAACCGTCAAAGAGAGATGCGAAAGGTGGCGGGCGGGGTCCAGCAGGAGCAGGTGGAGGAGGTATATTAGGCGGTATATTGGATGCTGTAGTTTGTTGTGGAGGCTGAGTTTGCTGCTCGTTCGCCGGGACACCAGGAGTTGGTTGTTGCTGATCTTGTGCTTGACCAGCTGGTGTGGGTGCTTGACGTGTTTGTCTCCTGTGTAGTGGTCTAGGAACGTAAGTCAAACTCTCGGGGTCGATATCGAATCGACATGTGGGACAAGTCGTGCGATGAGGACGTGTGAACCACGGTAGGAGGCAGTTAGCGTGGAAGACATGCGAGCATGGTAAAGCGACGATCCTGGGGCGCGCGGACGTCTCCTCCTTAGGAGGTCGAAGATCAGCATTAGTTGCTGCAGCTGAGCTTGATGCAACTGGTGCTTCTGAGGGTTCAGATGTCATAGGCTGCTCGGGAGTCTTCTCTGGCTCCTTCATGTCTTTCTCGTCCTTGAGTTCAAAGCCGCCATCGCCATCCACGAGACTCTCCCAACAAACTGCGCAATTCGGGCCTCCCTCGCCTTCCTCGCCACCTACCCGCTCCAGTCGTTTCACCAATCCTGGGGGAACTTCTTCCAATCCGGCCACCAATCGTTTCGCTCGCTCAGGGTCGTCAGGTTCTTCTCCCCCAAACCCAAGTCCACCCATGAGCATTTGCATAAAGTCCGCAGGAGGATTTGCGAATTGCTGTCGAATGTGTTCGAGTAGATCAGCTGGTGTCTGTGGGTTCTGTTGGCCGGCTGCGCCACCTTGCATGTCGTTCGCCCCTTGACCAGCGTTCCCACCTAGAGGGATGTTGAATACCATGGCACCACCAGGTATATTGGGCATGGCGTGAGCCTGGTCTACACCAGTTGGAGGAGGTCCTGCGTGTGCGGGACCGACGAAGATATCAAAAACAACCCGGTGTCCGCCAGGTTCATCCATTATAAATTGGCCGTGGCCATGGTGTTGAGGGACGTCATGGATAGGTGGATGTGGGTGATCGTGGGGAGGAAGGTCAGGGCTCTGAACAGGCGGGGAGTTTATACGCTGACGATTCGTCTCGCGCATGTCTTCCACGTCCATCTCGTCATCCACCCTCGCTCTGCGATTGGAACTGAGAGAGGGGGGTGGAGGTGGTACATCATCGGTAGTTGGTACAAATGAAGATGAATCGACAGGGGTTTCTCTAGATGGAGAAGGCGGTGTGTCATCTAATGAGCTGGAGCTCGGACCCGCAGTAGATGAATGGTCTGTGCCTGCCATAACCACATCATTATCGCGGTCCTGAAGATGTCTGTTAGTAAGCGTTGATACAAAGGGGAATGAAGCAACACTGACTCTGAATGTGGAAGAAGATGCTTCCGCTGTCTCCGGTTGCAAGGCTGGTTCTAGTGAAGACATGTCGTTCCCATCATCGTCGAGATTGTCTTCTTGGATAGAACGGGGGGTAAATATGTTATTGAGCCTCTGCTGGAAAGAACCGTGGTCGTCGTGGTCGTCGTGAAGGTCGTTTGTATTGTTGTTCCCTGAGAGAGCCATGGTGTAGAGGTGGTGGTTGCTGGGAGAGGGTGCTTGCCCTTCGACTTGCAGATTACATTCAATGCGACTTGACTAAGCGCCCCCTGACATAATATATGCCCACAACCAGAACATTCTACATACTTCTTCTTACCTTTTTGGGAAATCCGCTCATCTCTCCTCCCGACCATCTTCTTTGTCGTAGAATGCGCTCGATGCTCAGACTCCTTTCATAACTGATCTTCATTCATGCAACATTCTTCGATGCTAGACATCTCTTGTACACTCTACTAGCGTTCTTTGCCTAAGCGCACCTAGTCTTCTTCACTTGTGGACATCTCGGCTTAGGGCTAGACTGGTAAACACGATATTTCGCATGTCCGTACGTACCCCTACGTCACACATCTCGCAATGGAACAGCCGCGTTCACCCCTCCATTGCTTTCACGTCATCTGATACCGAACAAGCATGCGCAAGCCATGCCTTTCTGTGTATAACGTCGAAGATTTCTCACACACTTGGTGGCGTTCCGCTGAATTTACTTCTCCGTTTTCGATTTTGGGTTCGCGCCTGCGTTAAACCCTACTTGTAGGGTCTGCAAGAGCATGTACGCTTATCTCAAATGCAGCTATGTAAACTCAATGTATGTCTGACTACACTCGTCTCATCCTCGCATCAAGTTACTTACGGTGACATCACCTGTATTATTTCCAGCTGCTTCCATGTTTTTCCTACCATTGCCTTGCATAAGAATCTGTGACGCCAAGCAGAGTCTCATATTCGACGTGGATGCAGTAACTTCATCTTCGTGCCATAACTAGAAATGTCCGACTCGTAATGGCTCTTCTACTCAAATCGGGTGGTTTTCCGGTGAGGCGTTGTGTGAATACTATTCGTGCTGATCTCAATGACCACGGAGGCCACCTCGAGAACCTCAGTGCTTGGACAATGGTCCTGGATGCATTTATGATTGATGAGATCAGCTCTTAGAATATCAACCCTCTCATAGGTTTTTAATTCGAATATCTATCGAGCCCGCCTAGCTCAATCGGATAGAGCGTCAGACTCTTATCTGTACAGGCGGATTGGCATCTGAAGGCTGCGAGTTCGACCCTCGCGGTGGGCTATTATCTGGCGGAACCATTTTTACTTTTGACTGTTCTTGATCGAACCATGAGTCGCAACGTTCACCCGGGCTATCAAGCGGAGAGTGTTCTCGTACGTATTTGCTATTTGCAAAATATATGTTTGCATGTTTTATTACAGTATTTAGCATCACTGTGTCTCAGGAAAGAGAGCGCAAACACCCAAACGCACCTTCCGTATCACATGGGCTGTTGCTTCCGGTGGAGACGGAGGATGTTCACAAGCGACAAATACTCACAAGATGCTGCAGCTTGATGAAAGAACCGTTGTTCGGTTACTTCATTATCCTGCAGCACGACGCATAACTGACTCCATCAAACTCTCATGTCCGGAGAATTGGCAAAGTTTCTGATCTCATGATCACTTCAACGCTCTCGTATAAAACATCCACTTTTGCAGTGGACATGTCCCCGCTCTCTCAACCAACGTTCCGTTTGCCGAGCGCGGCATGCAATTATTCTTGTTTTTAGTCGCGCCAATATGTGCCACCATTGCTGTACGCGCAATAGAAGCGGATCCCGCCGTGTTTGCCAACACAACCTTTGATTTCATTGTGGTCGGCGGTGGAACGACGGGACTTGGAGTTGCAACGCGGTACGAGAAGAGCCATCGTCAAATCTACTGACTGCAACTTACTTACATACGTTCTAACCTTCAGCCTTTCAGATGACTTCAGTGCAATTGTCGGCGTTATCGAAGCAGGAAAGCACTTGGCGGATAATACTATTCTAATACCAGGTATACAGCATGTCCTGCTTCTCGACCATTCAGACTCACGCACAAACAAATTTCCCAGCCCTTGGAGGTTCGGGAGTAGGTAGTAAGTCAACTGCCTGTTCTCAATGTATGAATTGCAGACTTGTTACAGATCCGACGTATGACTGGCTATTATCTACAACCCCTCAGGCTCAACTTGGGAATCGTACATTTCTTTTGGGCCGTGGCAAAGTACTTGGAGGTACATCTGCGATGAACCTAATGCAATACACAAAGTACGAAGTTCCTCCAACTCAGACAAAAGAGCAATGATATCTTACACCGAAAAATAGAGCTTCCAAGAGGGAGTACGATGGTATGTATGAATCTGCGGCCGAACTAAAACTAGTATTCATGATGAGCAGATTGGGGGCAGCTTGGCAATCCAGGGTGGAATTTTGATGACCTGCAAGGCTTTATGAAGAAAGCCGAAAGCTGGACGCCACCCGAACCCCGGACCGTATCGCAATTTGCTACTGACAATCATGCTCCTGACCACGGAAGGAATGGCTCTATACAAACTACTGCAAATGCGAATTATTCTGGTCTCATTCCGGAATATCTGGATTCACTGGAGAAGCTCAGCGGCCTTCCTAGAAATCTCTCACCCGTAGGCCTGAATCACTCTTGTAGTCTCTGCGGATCACAACATTACTCACTTTGCCTTAGCTAGGTGGAAATCCGGTTGGCTCCATGTCAGTCACTGTGACTGTGGATGCTCATAATCGGTCTCGAAGTTATAGCGCCAATGTACGATCTTTGATTTGACTGATGTTTCACTGATTAACATCTCACAGGGTTATTATGATCCTCGCTCGTCTCGTTCTAATTTGGTGGTCCTCACTGGTGCTGAGGTTATTAAGGTTGAGACAGAGAAGGGTACTAGCGGACTGCATAAAGCCACGAAGGTTCATTACATTGCTCAAAATAACGTTACATATGGTGCTTCCGTTTCAAGGGAGGTAATTATCTCTGCAGGTATTTAGATCTCTGGAGGGTACTCTGGTGCCGCTCTTTAGAGCTAATTGTCGACTTTGCGCACACATTAGGTTCTGTGAAGACGCCGCAAGTGCTGGAACTATCTGGTTTGATTTTCTAAGTAGCAGCACTGATTACGATGGCTGATGCTGGATATCCTAGGTATTGGTGATTCAAGACATTTGCGAAGTGTGGGGATCAGTACTGTCATCGACCTACCTGGTGTCGGTAAAAACCTCCAGGTCGGCGTGTTCACGGCCCCAATAATGCCGTAACTAATATACCATTCACGACTCAGGATCACGTTGGTGTCAGCCTTTCGTTTTCGACTCTACCGAATATTACTACGTACGACGCCCTTCGGGACCCTGACATTCTACCCATCTTGTTCCAACAATACGAGACCAACCGAACTGGTTTACTCAGCGGCCCTCCCTCCACTACTCATGCCCACAATAAGTAACCGGCGCCAGACGCGCGGCGCGTCGCGTCACGTGACTCACATTGATTTGAGGAGGAGACAACCGACTGTCTATGGAACAGACGGCACTACAACTGTATATACAATGTATTAGATATCTATTCTAGCTATCTATGTATTTAAAAACTCGTATGTCCACCATGAGCAGCCAAGACAGCCTCAACTCTGTCTGGCATCCGATTGATGTGCTTGTTCACATCTTCTATAGGTAATTCATCCCACACATGACGGACAGCAGCTTGAAGCTGTTCTTGGGTATTCGGAGGATGCCTGAGATTACGCAGAGCAGATTTGACCTCATGCCAAACACGTTCAATGGGATTGAGATCTGGGGAATTGGGGGGATGGAAGAGAAGTGGTATCTCATGATCAGTGAACCATCGTTGGGTTGATTTGCTGGTGTGGCATGGAGCATTGTCCTGTTGGAAGGTAATGGGACCCCTCTGTAGCTTCATCTCTTTATACCAATCCAAAAAAACCCCATCCAACACCTGTTCCCGATATCTAGCAGTGTTCATACCCCCACCTCTCCCTCCTGGGTATTCCAACACAATCAATGGCCCCTTGCGCCCCTGAATAATGCAAGCCCAGACCATAACATGGATGGAGGACTGCTTGAAGGTTGGTACTAGGCATTCCTCTCGCAAGACTTCATCAGGACGGCGTGTAATGTAGATTCGGCCTCGATCATCTCCCAAGTAAATATAGCACTCATCGGAGAATGCAACTTCTTGCCAATCCTGGCTTGTAAAGCTCTTGTATTTCTGTGCCCAATGCATGCGAGCCTTCTTCTGCTTCTTAGTAAGGAATGGCACTTGACGAGCAATCCGACGACCATATCCTCGTTCCTTGAGAATGCTCCGAACAGTGCCCTCACTGATCTTCGGGTCTACCTGGTTTCCAATCTCTGCAAATGTCACCCTCCGCTCTTTCACTGCCCTCCTCACCACCAGAGCCTTCATGCGATCCGTGACTTTGTGTGGACGACCAGAACGGGGGCGATTGTGTGTGGTGCCAGTTTTGATGTACTTGTGCCAGATGTCTGATGCTGTCTGGCGTGGGATGCCTGTAAGCCGTGCCGCTTCAGTGATGCTCATGCCGGCTTGGATGGCTCCAACTAGCCGGTTCTTCTTAGGAGAATCATGTTGAGAGCGAGAAGATTTAGTAATGAGCATAACAAGCACATGTGTTATAGGTGGATGCTGGAGTACGGACTAAACAAAACTACATCCGTACGCGACGCGACGCGCTGGGCGTCTAAACGCCGGTTACTTATTATGGGTGCGAGTACAGCCTTCTTACCCCTGGAGAGATTCATCAGTGCCGGTGACATTATGAGAATCAAACGTGACTTGGACAAAGATCTTTCGAAAGCGCAGTTCAAGACGCAGGCATATCACATCCAGAGGCAATGGCTTGATGACAACACTGTTCCCCAACTTGAGCTCGCATTTCTGGCCGGTTCGTGACCTTATCAACTCAGCAGTGATCGCCTGTCCTACCTAACCTAACGATGAAAGGAGGCATTGGTGCGAACATCACAGACCCCAAAGCAAAGTTCTATTCGTTTGATGTTGTCTGCTTGCATCCCTTCGCCCGAGGTGCTGTACGTGTGCAGATGCCAAAACACTCATATCCGTGTCAATTCATGTACAATTATAGGTCAATGTCGCCAATGATGATGGACGTTCTGCGCCAGTCATTGATCCTCGTTTTCTTGATTCACCAGGCGACTTTGGTCAGTTTCGCTTTTATCACTAAACTGTGTCATCGCCGCTTATGTATTAGCTATATACAAGATCGACAGATATTGCTGCATGGCCTCAGATTCGCATTGAATATGGCGCAAACAGAGCCACTTCGAAGCCTCACAACTTCAGTTTCTTCAGGTCCACCTTTCAACGCCACAGATCAGGAGTTAAAGGAATGGATTCGAGATAACGCTACGTCAGACCTTCATCCTACGGGTTTGTATCCTTCCCAGAACATAAAAGATCATTGTTTGACGCCTTCACTTTGCGGCAGGCTCTGCTTCGATGCTTCGGCGAGAACTAGGAGGCGTCGTAGGACCAGATTTTCTAGTCCATGGAACAAGCAACATTCGAGTTGTTGATATGAGCATCTGGCCCTTGGTAAGTTGTACTGCAAATTCGTACTCTTGCCAGCTCGGCTTACCGTTACAACCTCGTTATCAGCACTTGGGTACTCACCCCACTGCGACACTCTACGGGTATGTACACTGGATGTTGATCTTCCCGCGAATCTTTCACTAACAAAATGTAGGCTTGCCGAGAAAGCCGCCGATGTTATTGGTCAAGGCAATCTCAGTGAAGGTTGAGTACGTCACGAGACTCTCATATACAGTTGCGCAGTATGAAAGTGGCAAGCGCATAATGATATTCCTTGTCCGAGAAAGACAGACCTGATAGTTATTTGCTCCGACCACGCTTGGAGGGCATTCTAAGGGTATGAAGATCCAGAGTAAGCCAAACAATATGATCCCTGGCTGGATAAGATAACAGATACTAACCGTGAATTGGGCTTGTGCCAAAGCACGAGAAGATCTATCTGCACTGCATTGATATTATGTTGAGTGTCCGCTGAACGGACAGATCTCCGGAGGCGCTATATCATGTCAGATGCGACTGTTTCGAATCCCGTAGAATGCGGAGGAAGACCCAACGAAGATCCAAAAGATTTACCTAGGTCCACGAACTTATTGTCGATGAAACGAGGGGAGTAAGACCACTGGGGAAGCGGCAAAGATGGCAATCAACGCATCCTGGAATTATGCAGTGCATGATGTGAGCATCTATCTTGATGGGTGTATATCCCGATGTGTCGGGAGAATCGCCTGGAACACTGACCACGCCCTTATATCTGATGCTATGCATAGAACATCCTGCAACCGTGTGGTAGATAAAACATTTGAAACGTACGGCCTTTAGCACCTTCAAAAAAGTAGAGTTCTCATGAACGCTGTTAATCATGGAGAATAAGTACATTGGGAATCTCCGAAATGGCAATTGATTTAATAACTAGAAGCCCGGTGAAGGACAGCAAGGGGCAATCGATAGTTCATATACTTCCCGAATTCCCGAACACATTTACGATGGAGTCTGGGCAGCACAAGAACGCTGGACCTACAAGTGCAAGCGATCCACAACAATTCCTTGAAAAGACGAAAAATACGCACACGTGATCGGAACGGGTAATCCGAGTCCGAGTCTGGAAAAGTACGATCAGACTCCTGCAAGGAGAGCTTGACGCCTCATGTTAAAGGTGAGGGGATGGAGAATCCACGCCCGATTCCACCAGCCGTTCTGTCAGTGTTTCATAGAGGTGTAAGGGCCTCTCGGTCTATATCAGCTCAGGGAGCTCGACTGCGGGGCCCAGGAGAGGTATCCCCTTTTTCAATCGGCTCTATATCCTCCTAAACACTTCAGTTAGTGCAAGTTGCACCTAGGCGACGAGCGTTACTGATCTTTGCAAACTCACCGACCTTATCGGCAGTTTGTTTCTTTACACCATTCTACGCCTCACCTGAAATCAACTTCTCACTTTCACCATTACAACGGGACATCTCCTGCGATCATGTTGAAGAGGTTTAAGAGACACAGGGATAAGCGTCCAAACGTTCCAATTGACATGGCGCTCAATGCGGCACCCGTGCCCACTTCCCCCGTACCTCCTACTCCCAAAACGCCATATCTTGGAAGTCGGCCGCTGCCCTCTTCACCGGCTGGTACTTATCAGTACAACGTGTTCCCCTCAGGCTCATCGGTAACTTCGAACTCAGTGTCTTCTGCTGCTGCTGTCTCTGAGGTTCAGGCGCCACGGCCTCGTTATCGAAGAACGATTTCCGTGACGCCTTCGTCTCGCATCGCGACACCTCTGACGGCTGGCATTCCGATATCTGCACCCTCATCGCGCGAAGCTGCTCGGACAACTCGTGCTTTAGCGTCAAGTGGGGATCCTGCTTACCTTCCTTTCAATCCAGTGTCATCGCGCGAAGCTGCGCCGCGTAGTGGGACTACGCATCCTGAAACATCGAGTGGAGATCCTGCTGACTTGCCGTTCAATTCAATAGCATTTCGTGAAGCGCCACCACGATCTGGGACCACGCATCCTGTAGCATCAAGCAGAGATCCAGCTTACCTGCCCTTCAATCCAGTGCCTTCGCGTGAGGTTATGTCGCGGTCCGGGACCATGCAACCTATAACATCGAGTGGTGATCCAGCTTACCAAGCGCCACCACGCTCTTCGACTGCTCATTCTACTATCTCGAGAACTAACAGGGCACCATCTGAGGCTGTGCCGAGGGGTACCAACTGCCCTGTATCTGTGTCACCACCCCATTCTTCTGAACGACCAATGCCGAAGTCAATTCTGAAGTTACGTACGTGGTTCCACACTAATCCTTCAGCGAAATGATCACTGACTCTGATTTTTTTCATTCCCAGCGAAAACGCATCCCATGCCGTGCAAAACGCCTCTGCACCGGTTATTATTGCCATACAATCCTGCGTCGCATGGTGCTGAGCAGAGGCTTATATACTGGGACGTCGGGACAGATGCTGACTTCGTGCGAGATTGTACCCGCTGGCCTCCAACTGCATTCAGCAGGAAGCAGCTTGAAGCAAGGAAAGCATCTGTACTTGGTGATCAGCTGACACACATGACGATCACTTGCGAACGCTTGCCTTTTTTGGAGATCTATGTTGACAATCCACACGGTATCACTTGCAAGGATGTGTTCGAAGCAATATACAAGACTCTGAATGTAAAGCTTACCGAGGAGCAGAGAGTACACTGGGAACGGCTGCAGAGGAGGAGATCAGTGAAAAGGGTGGATTTACTCGGAGATGTCAAGATCTTTATGGGTTTGCAGAGGCATACAGATGATTCGAACCCCAATTGGCAGCTAAAACTTGGTCGGTCCGACGAGAATTGGATACACCGTTAATTGTAGTGAATACAATGGGTGAGCTGCTTTCGCTCCTGCATACCGCCTCTGGCCTGCCTAATCACGTCTGTATCAGCACTTGAAGTTGATTTGAACTTACTCCCCATGTCCACCTTCCTTTGATATACTAATTACTTTCCTGGACACTAACGACCTTTCTTTCGTCACGACCGAAGCCCACGCCACCATTCAGGACCACCCCTCACTGTATTTCATTTGTCACGTTGCTTCAATACTCACGAGACGTCCGTTGCCTAACGTTTTGTATTTCTTTCGCCTTGTAGCAATTCCTTTAGTTTGATCTGGAGATTTTGTAATGCGATAACCGTTTGTCCATCCACATAGGCACCCGACCGACTGTCCTAAAATGCATCATAATTATGCAAACAAAGACCAAGCGGCAAACGATTCAAACACACAAGGCGCGAGAATCAGCTCAAAATTTGACCTACAGATACTTGGCAAGTTTTGACGTACGACTCTAATCGGCCCCACATCGAGCGGATCGATAACCAATATCGGGAACGACTCTGGCTCGAACTTGCCGTTCGCAGCAACGTTATCGCTAGGGTACGTCTCTGCAGAAAGATGCATGGAAGTTCTGCATACCGAAGTAAGCCATCACGACCCATTCAGGCGGAAGCCTGGTCTCAGAAAGTCAATGGTTATCCCACAGAAATGGTGAACACACACCATCGGCAAACACGTTGGTATATATTGCGCCGCGAGGTAAGTCACTTGACAATGCAGCGTTCCCAGACATTCTGTATCCATTGGCCCAGAACGATATATCGGATTGTAACTGTGGCGTAGATTCTGGAAGCTTGTTAGCTGATATATTTGCATCCCAAGAAGTCAGCAATAGCACTGCAGGAAAATATCCCTCAGGGGGTGCCAAAAGGATATTCTGAAAAGCGATTTGGACGGGATATGGCAAAGCATTAGCATTGCGGACCAAGATATCGGACGCGGACGAGGGTCACGGATAAAATCCTATCCTTTATCAACACACTCTCACTGGCGCCACAGCTAGTTAAGCAACGTTGCACGGTAATAAAAATAGACTCACCATGATACAACCGTACGATTTGAGGGAGAGTCTAGTAAGCTTCGAACTTCGACAACGACTTCAACTTGGAAGTGTTCAGGAAACGGCATATTGTTTACTATTCATGGGCAGATAGTAGATGACAGTGGAGATTTAGGGGGAGAATATGCGTGGAACACGGTCGACGTTAAAGGTTACAACATCAACGGTACCTACTAGCACCAGGTTGTCCGGGGCAAGTGAGTACAAGTTCGAGAGTACACAGCTTTCCAAATACACCAAATATACCAAAAGAGGTATGCTGAAGTAAGCCGTATCTTGTGAAGGCAGTGCTACAGTAATTGTGGCGGCGGTCAACAGTCAACATGAACAGAACAGCGCGCAGACAATGGATCAAATCTTTACTCCCACCTCCAGCTTTGCTCCGCTGAAAGAGCTCAGTCATGCCTCTTTTTGCGTTTAGATCCAGGCATGGAAAACAGAAGGAGACAAACTTCCTCGACGCTCCTCCTGAATGGGCTCCTGCACCGGAAACGTCTCATACTCTGGGCTTGTATAATGAGGCAACAGACGATGAATACGAGTCTGCAGAGAGATTTTGTGAACACTATCCTGTTGATCAGCCCAAATTACTGCCTTCGGACATCGTAGAACGGATTGAATCCGAAGGTTGCAAAGCTTGGAAACTCGAATGGCCACGGTCTCCTCGATTTGTGGGACACGTTGAAGATACTGGCGAAAAGGGTGGGAACAGTGCAGTATCGGTTATGAGCAAGAAGGAATGTCGCGATACTTGCCTTTTCAGTGATCTGCCGATTCTGGCAGGTCTGTATGATATACAGGGCAAATCTGGCGTGTACTATGAGGTCGTAGTTCACAAAATGGAAGGGATTATCGCAATTGGTAGGAGATATCTGGCGATGGACTTGCTCATTTTGATATTAACTGGTCCCTAGGCACTGCGTGTCGGCCTTACCCCGAATGGAGATTCCCTGGCTGGAACAGATTGAGTGCCGGTTTACATCTCGACGATATGCGGAAGTTCTTTGAAGATCCAGATGGCGGTCGGGATTATAGCCCGCTACTCAACCATATCTCACCGGGTGATACAATCGGATGTGGTTACGATTTCGCGCGAAGTTGCATATTCTATACCCACAATGGGCAACGGTTATCCGATGCGTTCACAGGGATATATGTACCTCGCACCTCTTACGATGTCTATGCAGCCATCGGTGTAGAAGGCAACTGCAAATTTGATGTCAATTTTGGCGGAGAACTGTTTAGGTGGAAGGAAGGGAATGAGTGGAGTTGGAGAGTCGAAGGACATGTGGGACGTCTTTCTGGTGGATCCGGAATTGGAGGAGACGAATTACCAACATATGATGAGGTTCGCAGGAGATAGAGTCATGGATACACGTTATGAATGATCTCTATATATACCCTTATCATAGCTAACAAGGATCCGTATATCGACTCGAAACTAAACTGCAACTGAGTTATCAAAGAAAACTCTACTATGTATATCTAGGTGGATTTTGTAAGTTGCGTATCCAGCCGTGACAGGGCTGTAGCCTGATGCAAAACAATTAAGGAAATCGTCAGTACTAAGCAGTAACATTACTTCACACAAAAATCAGTCTACAATGCGAAGCTTCGTACTCTGAGCTTTTTGACTCCATTCAATACTCTGCAAGTCCTCTGTAGAGAGCATGTTGTCTTGGATGCGATTGTTTGTCTTCAACAGCGCTCGTTCACTTGCACGCAAACGAAGGAGAGATGTTGCAAACCAAAATGCATATATTGGACGCGAAACGTCAAAGACCTTGAGAAAGTGCTCAAACACGTATGTTCTCTGTGAAACGTGTCCAAAGCTTAATCGGGGAGCAACAACGCAGAACAGGAGGAACAAGGTACCTGAGAGGAAGCAGACTGCCACGCTTGGATAACGCCCCCAGTCGTGCCACTGGTGTAGATGCCGAATACTGGATATCCCTTGATTCCAACCGCTGACAAATACTGGACTGCGGATACGCAACACATCACTGTCTGCGTGTATGCATCCCAGGAATTCTCGTGATTCTTGACAATAATCTTGGGCCATACAACAGGATTTCGTGCATCCAACGTCACATCTCTTGTGTCGGTAAACTGCTGCTTCCCTCCGCCAGCCATAGAAGGATGGGAATGAGTGTTTGGAACTATGGCAAATGGGTCACTGAGTCTCCCACTCATCGATTGTTGATTTTCGGGAATAGCTTTGTTGATTTCATGTGTCCCTAGATGAAACTGTTCCTTGGATGCCAGATGAAGTCAAATTGACATCGGAGAGGCAGTTGAAATGAAGAACTCACGAGATAATGAACATCGGCAGAAACCGTCAACACGGTGTCGCAATTGAGGTTCGTTGGCTCTCTCAGAGCTCGGGTGAAGATGCAGCTCTTGAATTGGTCCCCCTTCGACAGTACATCATGGACGCGTTGTGATGCAACCACTGCCTTCATAGCAGCGCTAACGCCTTCCATTTCCAGATGTTCAGGCAGGTCAATTTGACCGTAACGCCTGATGCATTCTGCAGTGAGGTCCTGTAGGAATGTCCGAACAAGAATCTCGTCATTGTGTAGAAGCATGTCAACGGCCTTGTTGCGACTCATGTTGATGACTGGCTGAGATCTGTAGAAGCCTTGATTTATCAACAATCGCTACTCGTGGGCAGAAAGCTTACATGATGAGATTGCAGGCGTCGGGAGCGTCTTCTCGCACATAGAAAAGTTGAATAAGAGCCACCCAGAGCGGCGAGCACAGGTTCTTGCACTTGTATTGCCCACGAAGTTCTTCCTCAATAGTTGTCGTTGAGCAGGCCAGGAAAAAAGGCAATGTGGTGCGCATTCGCGCGTGCAAAAGAGGTACGAGATCTGGTTGAAGATCTATCACAGGTTCATGCCTCGTTACCAGTTCACTCTTGCTATTAGCTAGGATAGATACAAATTCCTGCAGGGACTGTGGGGGCTGGTGCGTATGCTTGTATAGTTGAATCATAAGGGACGGCGGATCATCACACACCAGGATATCCCATTCCTTCGGCCATGCGAATTGAAGTGTAGATCGATACAGATCAACCATCTCGTTGATTTCGTGGCAGTCAGGCTGTTCATCGTCTTGATACATCTGACCAATCATCGCCACATTTCTCTCCGTATGCCATGCAGAGAACAAAAACTCATCATCGCGTCTCAGCCGGGGTCGCCTTCTGATGATGAACCTAAAATATATATATATATATAAGCACACTACAACCGATGGGAGCGAGCGGGCTTACGAGGTGCTAGAAGCGACGATATATGATGTCTTGCTGTCGACGTCTTCACGATATTGAGATAAGCTGTGAAAGGTTTTGAGAGGACACGACCGAGAGAGAAGAGGTGACATACGCCTCACTACTTTCTTCGTAGAATGTACTATAAGTGTCATTGTCTATTTCATCGGATGAGACAATATCTTCTTTGGCAAGAAAATCTTGACTTGCTTCCAATTTGTTATCAGTGGGGATGATTGTATGTCTACCATGAATAATGTTGCCCTTCGAACTGGTGAAATGGAGGAAGGATACTTGAGCAGTTCTACGATGATACTAAATGGCACGAAATCATGTACCTTTGTGGAAGCGATTTGATCCACTGCAAGACTCGAGAGCTTTGATCATTCCCAGAACCGTTCAGTAATTCATGGTCATCATTCCTATGATCGGAGCGCCAGCAAAAAGGACGAAGGTGAAACTGACAAGCGGACTCCTTGACTCTATCATATTGTGACTGTAGACCCAGAAGAAACTGTGCAAGAACACATGCTGAATAAGAGTCTGTCATATCGAACAAGCCGACACCAGGGTTAGACGCCACATGTGTAACCGGCCGACAGAGGTGTACACGGGGCTGGTATGATCATCAGCTGGTCTTAAACCGCGAGAAAGAGCAACGGCTCACATTGCCATTCTGGATGTCTATCCATCCGAGGAATAATTGCAAATTCGGGTCAAATTCGGATATAGCGAAGCCAACTACAGGCTCGTCAATAGCCCAAACGAATCGTTGATATAGGATGCTGCACAAAAGCGGTTCGATGTTCTCAGAATCTGCAACGGCAAGGATGGGAAGCACCGCGCAGGACCGCAGACCACGCCCAGGGAGGATGTGTGCATCGAATGGTATATCCAGAACAGGGACAGTGACTCGTTGAGACATTTCAGCATGATTTTCAACGATTTCCTTATATCCACTGTCTTCGTCGTCTTCACTGTTTTCGTCATCTAGAGGCAGATCCAGTGCTGCCTGTGCAGCAATAGACCCTTCATTCACAGGTAGAATTTGGTGAGTGGCAGGACAATCTGATTCCTGGGCCGTTTCGGCATCGTCGTGCTGTTCACATTGAGGAACAACGAGGCAGGACGATAAAAGAGTTGCAATTCCTTCCACTTTCAACGTGTCCTCAGTTGCATCTTCATGGATTACCGCAACGCCTTTGATGCGAGGTAGGATGAAGGGTACTTGGCTCCTGCCACAAATGATTAGTTTGGACAATGAATATAGATGTTACCACCTACAGTCGGCATGCATCTCTGTTAAAATGACTCAGTGCTAGGAAGAGAGTATATATAAGTGGAGTGATATGTCTTGGTACGCCGGTTGCATCTGAATCAGTAGTCGCATGTCGTACACAAGCAACGATTGAAAGTACGAAAGTGAGGACGTCGTTCAAGGTTGTGGCAGTTGGATCCGAGAATGCCTCCAGCTCAGGCGTTCCTGTGTTGGTCTCAAGTTCATGAGGAATGCTCGCAACAACGTCCGAAAATTGAAGATGAGACGCAGAGCTAGCATATCCAGGGAGAGGTTTACGAAGTTGCGAGGCCAATTTCTTGACGGGGTTTGGCCATGAATCTTCTTCATAGACGTCATGAAAGACAGGAAGATCGAGAAACATGTGTGGTTGATATCGTGCAGATCTTGGGTTTGGTTGAGTTTGAGGCCTTGATCAAGGGAGCGCAAGGAATGGCAGAATGAGCATTCAGGTCACAGCGAGCGGTATGAAGGAAAAATAGGAAGGGATACATTAACATTGGTTGGCGCTTCTTCGCTTGTTGCGGCTAACAACATTTCACAAGGGCGCTTGACACTGAGACTTTCGGTTGGAAAAGATAGGACGATCTCGGTGTTCGTGTCAATGAGGTAGAATACAATCTTTCTAGAGAACGTTGTCATGCATCCATCCTCACTAGCTGTCCGTACGGTCTAGGGGGAGCTTGACATCGTCCGAGAGGTAGAATTGAAGACAGGCCCATATTTGGAGGGCTCATCGAGCTCGGACGTGATATGTAGACTAGTGCCTGTGTTAAGTCGGAAGGAGGGTAAATAAGGTTTAGTAGCCTCCCGGTCAAAAAGTAGCGAGCACGAATTACCTATAAAGTACCTGGTCTACACATCACTGTAGCAAGTAGCCCAAGTCGCCAAAAGGTTGGTGGTTCCACTCTCAACTCGGTATCTGGAACCATTTATCAATGATATTGGGCAGAGCGAACATTTAAAGCATGTAACAACAGGAAGAATCTGAATGAACAGTTGGAACGTCTCGCAATGAATAGACGCCCAAAAACGTCACTTAGTGGTAGATGAGTAATCAAAGGTTCTATGCACAAGAATTGCACGAATTGTGGAAATTGCAAAGCAAAGTCCGGAGAGCCCGGTATATGTTTTCAAATATAAGTATCAACAATTCAAGCCTCTAGTTTGCCTCCAACGGGGTGTTGCATAAAGCTCCCTGTCTTTGAAAACTGAATATGGCACCTATCAGGCTAGGAGTCGTTGGCCTCTCCACCCGAGGTTGGGCATCGCAAGCACTCATTCCACCCATCTTCACGCCGCCTCTGTCATCCCTGTACACGCTCACCGCGCTCTGCACGTCCTCAGAAGCGTCGGCGAAAGCTTCGGTAGAGAAATATTCCGGCCTCGCCGGCCATCCTGTCAAGGGATACTATGGAGAGAAAGGACCCGAGCAGTTGGCGAACGATCCCAACGTTGACATGGTTGTGGTCAGCGTAAAGATCCCTGATCATCTCAAAACGGTAACGCCCGCAATAGAGGCCGGGAAGAAGCTCTTCGTCGAATGGACGCTTGGTAACGGTGCTCGCGAGACTGAAATGATCGCAGAAGCCATCAGAAGCAAGAACCTCGAGTGTTTGATTGGTGCCCAGGCAAAACAGAGTAAGACGGTCAGGAAGGTGTGTTCTCCACGTCAACTCCGCAGCGATCGGTGTGTAAACCTGTTGTGCTAAGGTCAAAGAACTCGTTGATGCAGGAAAGATCGGGCGGATCCTTTCAACTTCGGCGGTAAGAAGTTTGGTTCAAACTTGAACAACGCAGATCCTGACGTTTTCATGAAGATTGTCAGCGCCGCGCCCGCAGAAGCGAATATCTGGGGGCCAATAGTAACACCAGATGCAGAGTACGCCAGCAGTGTTAACAATGGTACGCATCGATCACGCAACGAGAAGTACCGGTCGACATACGGATCATTTCAGGTGCCACTCCGCTGACTGTTGAAATCGGACACTTCCTCGTTGCTTTGACGGATGTTCTGGGCGACTTTAGTCAGGTTTGCGCCAATGGCGCCGTCAGGTTCCCCACCGCCAAAGTGATCACGTACGACGGACAGCCCACCGGGAAGAGTATTCAAAGTACCTCACATGACCAAGTATCGCTCTCGGGCATTCTTTCCGGGAAACCGCACAGTGAAGGCGCATTTGTCAACATACACTGTCGTTCCGGGTTAACGCATTCAGGAGAGGGCGGGAAGGGACGTCGCCAGTTCATTTGGGTCATCGATGGCGAGGACGGGTCGATCGAGGTGCGGTCCCGAGAAGCAGACGGACCGTACGCATTTTCTCTGACTATTGCCGACATCGAGGTGTTCTTGAATGGTGTTGAGGTACCGTTGGATGAGATCGAAGAGGACAAGCTGGGAAATACAGGAAAGGCATGGTTGCACTTCGCGAATGGTGATGAAGGGAAATATCCGACGATCAATGATGCCATTAGATTGCATCGCGTGTTGGACGCTGCGCTACTCAGCATTCAGGAGGGACGGAAAGTAAAGGTGTAATAGACCCACAAAATCAGTCAAATGTTTCTATCCGAATAGTTGTATCCTTTCGGCCGAAAACAAAGTGAAGGTCTCATCGAGGTTTCATCAATTCAACGACGGGTGGCATATTGTTCGAGACGTGGATGAAGTATGAGAATAGACCTAAGAAATAGGCACTAATATAGTCCCGAATTAGACATGGAACATCTGGACTGGCAGGGAAACCATCGAGAGGCCGTCACGGAGAAAAAAAAAAGTTGTTATGCGTCTGTTGCTCTAGATCCCCATCATAATTGCCTTATCTGGAGTATGCGGATCAATACAACGATCGACCGTCGTTCTCACTGCAGCACTGCTCACTTGCCAACGTCCATCCGTCACGCATATGACAACTGTCAGCCATATATTCTTATCCAGTCGCATCAACTGCTCCATATTATCTGTAGACTTATTGGAACGCATGTGCTGGTAAATATCTCATATCACTTCGAGTGAGAACAGAGTTGCTCACGCCCTCGACAGCTTTCAATGAGAAGCATAGGATATGCCCAAGTTTTTAACACTATCGCTGTCTAGAACTCTCAACGTTGTATATTAGTAGCTTGCAACATGTTTCGAGGAGATTTTAGTCATGAAGTGACTTGGACTCCGAGTCGCAGATAGCTCATTCAGCTAGGCTATGGGAATATATATCCCTCTCTGGTGCCATGCGGTTAGAAATTAGAGGTGCTGCAAACATCCCCGGGTATTTATTTCACGGTGATATCTTACCAAGTTTGACGTACGCCTTTGAATTTCATTCAGTCTCGAGCAACTGTCTTATTCTTATCCCTTAGACAACGGCTCCAATCAGACTAGGTGTTATTGGTCTTTCCACAAGAGCGTAGGCCTCACAGGCTCTCTTCCCGCCTTTGTTGGCTGAGCCGCTGACGTCGAAATAAACGTTTGCTGCTCTCTGCATGACGTCTGAGGCTTCAGCATAGGCGTCAGCAGAGAAATATTCGGAGCTATTCGGACATCCTGTGACGCCTTATCACGAGGCTCATGGCCCCCAGCAGTCATCCAACAATCCAGATGTGGATATGATGGTGATTAGCGTAAGAGTTCCTGACCGTGTCAAAATTGTCATGCCTGCCGCAGAGGCTGGGAAGAACGTCTTCATCGAATGGAAGCCAGGTAAAGGTGCCCAGGAGACTATGAAGATCGCGGAGGCTATCAAAAGCAAAGACGTGAAATGCCTGGTAGGAAGTCAAGGTAAACAGAGTGCGACTTTGAGAAAGGTAGAACAGAGCTCAAGTGACTCCGACGAGCTTTTGTGCTAAAATTTACCAGATGAAGGAATTCGTGTCATCTGACAGGATAGGGAGGGTTTTTTCGACATCGGCGGTAAGAAGACTATTACCAGCGACTATTCACCTCGTGACTCAATCCACAGATAATCACGGCTGGTTATGAAGAAGCGAAAAAAAAAACGGGGTCTTGTAACTGCTTCGTTTAACGCCTATGCAAATGACATCGAGGGCGGTGAGTACTTGACCTTAGTATAGCTTTATATGTAGGCTGATATTCAAAGGTGCCTCTCCCCTGGAGATTGGGACCGGTCACTTCCTTGTTGCTTTCACGGAAGTGTTTGGCGATGTTGTTGATGTTACTGCCAACGGAACAGTACGGTTCTCCGCGTCGGGCATTTTTGGTGCAGACGGGAAGCCTAGGAAGCCTACGGGAGAGACGACGAAAAATACTACACATGATCAGATATCCCTTTCAGGAATAACCACCGGGCGGCCCGAAAGCGAGGGTGCTTTTGTCAACATTCATTCTCGCGCAGGGCTCAAACATAGTGAAGAAAGTGGGAAGGGTCGATCCAACTCGCTCTGGATCATTGACGGCGAAGACGGATCCATCGAAGTGCAACCAAGGGAGGAGGATAGTTCTTTTGCTTTCTCTCTTGGCTTTCGCGAGATGAAAATACTTCTGAACGGCGTTGAAGTGCCCTTACATGAGGTCGGAGAAGTCTAGAATAGTTATGTTTGGTGGCTTTAGTACGTCGCCAGTTTGCAAGCAACTTGATGAGCTACATCAATGGGTCAATCACTGCATCAGGCTAAATCTTGAATAGTTTCGACGGTGGGTGCGATAGCAAGGCGACTATGCACATTGATATACAGCCGATTATACAAGGCAGAACGATGTCGACCACAGAGCTAGCGCTCATCACAACCATACAAATACATTGCGCGGGCATCGAATGGAGTCAGAATATTGTTTGACAGGTATCAGTTGTTGGAGGGTATAAAAGTGGACGTGATCTAGTATTCATGATGAAAGTCATGAGATTCGTAACAAAAGAAAATGTGGTCCTGATTCAAAGAGGGCGTGCAGCTTGTAAGACAGTAACACTGGCATGACATCTTGAGAGGATAACAGCAGCGCCGATATCCCCAACGGTCTTCCGAACTTCTGCGCCATAGGCGGCGGTTCCGTATTCTTCCATGATTGAATGGAGTTCGATATGGTGGTTCTCTACTGCCAGCCTCCTGGATCGTCCACATACCACTAAGAGACGCGACTTGCTTCCATCTCGACGTTGTACATCTAAAAGGTCAGAGCGCAATGAAGTGAAATGGCCAATGACTGAATGCAAAGGTGCTGGCGTAGTGATAGTGTCGAAGGACATACGAGGTAATGGCACTTCTGTAGATAGTGGCTGCGCGTACCTGCTCCAGAGCAAGCTGTCGGCAGTTTCAGACTGTAGTCGGGTTTGCGTAGAAGCTTGGACATAGACGGTGTCCGGGAAGATAGTCTCAGTGGCCTATAACAAGCAAAGTTTCGGTCTCAGCGCATTTAGCAGAACAAAAGAGGAGAACCCACCGAAGCTACAGTGAAGATGTTCTGGTGCCGAGGCTGATCATCTCTTGTATGAGCCGTCTGCGGTTTCTCGATGGAACTTATCGATGCAATACCATCTTCTCTGCTGACAAACCTAACCACCGTGGCGCTCACCCTAGGGTTTGAGGCGCAGATCTGAACGACAAACTCCACAGCGAGTCTATCATCGGGGCCACCAAAGAACGGAAGGAATATATGCTGCCTTCCACCAGGTAAAGACTTGGCGATGGGTGACGAGTCATGCGACGACTGATGATTCTGATCGATGTATAGCGCAACGTCAACTTCAGCCTGGGCAAAGACACCCCGTATGAAGTGAGAATGCAGAGCAGAGGTTGATGTCCCACCAGCAGCGCTCGAGCCGACACCACCGGCTTTGAACAGGGCCTCAAAAGGATTATTGGTGGCAGCACGAGGATTAACGGGCTCATTTGATGTACCAGCATGCGTTTCAGTAGGCGATTGTGCTTGTTGTGCAGGTACCCAAGGGAGGAGGACCATCTGGCTTCCTTGACGTTTGGCTTGGTCCGTGACGCAAGGTGCTAAACCTTCGTAAGAAACCATCTTCACTTCGCTACCCATTCCTCCTCCACTTCCGGTAAGTTCGAGAAAGGCTCTAAAGATTGACAGCAATGGATCTGTGTGGACCAGGGTCTCCGCAGAGAAAGACGAGTATTTCATGATGGCAGAAGTACGGTCATTCAGCTCAATGAGACGCAAAGCGGAAAGAGAAATATGATACGACTCCGAACGATCAACTGCTTTCAACGACGCTGAACGCCTATTATGATCGTCCGACCCAGAGGGTTCGAAGAGGGGATGAGGGTCTGTCTCAGAGTATGCAGGAGGGGATTGAATCAACTGAGTGAGCGCCATAATACCGGGGAGATGCTCGAGACGATCTAATACGACCAGGAAGCGCTCCTTCCTTTCCAACTCATCATCATGTCCACATCGTGAGGTGCTGTGTTCTTCTCCAAGGTCGTCGCCATCCCCGACATTGGCGAAATTGGGGCCTGCGGCATCAACGCGTACACGCATTTTCGGAGGGTATAGAAATGTGACCGCGGGCGTGGTCATGAAAGTGAGAAGGAGCGCCTCCAAAACAAACATGGAGAAGACTCGTTGGGAGAGGATCCCAGCTGAGAGACCAACATTGAGTACAATCAGCTCAACCAGTCTGAGAAAAAGGTAAATCGGAATGGTATATCGACAGTATGTGCAACACTTGCCCTTTGCAACTCATCAAACTACCAATAGTGCTAGCCTCACGCCATGTGAAACCGGAGTATCGGGCAGCGATCGTGCATCCTGCGAACTTGCCGAAGTACGCCAGAGTGCAGATGGCAACAGTATAACCCCAAGTGATTCCATTGTTCAGGAGACCCAGGTCAGTGGACAAACCGGACAGTGTGAAATACTATTGAGAGAAGCAATGTTCACGGGACATTCGCGCGGCACATCGGGTGAGAAACTCACGAGGGGCAAGAAGAGAATAGATGCCATGTCTTCCAGCTTTTCCGTGAGGGCAATTGCAAGACCGCCTTCGCGAGGAACAATGATTCCTGCCAAGAATGCACCTGTCACATAAGGAATAGATACGTTGGTGTCAGCTGTCAGTATACGCAGCAACGAGATAAGACACACCGAAAATAGCATGAACACCGATGATATCCGTCATAAACGCGGAACCGAAGAGAATCAGAATAGTAACGGTCATGAAGAATATCGTGGGTCCATTCTCGATTGAACCCGTGCGCCTTGCAAGCCAGCGGAGCGCGATCCTGATGGGTATCAGAAGTAATAGGGTCCATCCTGCGCAAGCGAGCAGGATCCAAAGGGCCGTGAGCCCTGATCCGGCGTTGACAAGCGCGACAGAGAGGGCAAGAAGCGTCCATCCAATAATGTCATTACCCACCCCAGCGGAGAGCACGACGATTCCAACCGTGGTGTCAAGAAGTTTGAGTTCTGTAAGGATACGACAAAGAACTGGGAAAGCTGTTATAGAGAACGCAACGCCAGTGAACAGCATGAAATGCGTGAATCTCACAGACTGATCGATGAATGTGTTGTACAGCGGTACAGACAAGGCTGCACCCAAGCCGAAGGGCAGTAACATACCCGCAAAAGCAACAGCGGCCGATAGACGGGCATTCCGCTTGATTACTTCCGAATCAATCTCAAGTCCAACAAGGAACAGGAAGAGACAGAGGCCAATATTCGCCACTAAAGACAGGTAAGGGCGAGAATCTTGGGGGAATATATGCTGTGTGAAACCAGGAATGCGACCAAATGCAGTGGGTCCTAAGATGATCCCGCCGATGACCTCTGCGATGACTTTTGGTTGACGGATTTTCCGAAGGCCAAGTGCAAGTAGCTGAGTAGTTAAGATAATAACACCTTGAGAACATGAGGTGAAGAAGAGAAGGCAAATCGGAAAGAATCGATAACTTACCCACTTGAATGATCCAAAGTCTTAGAGGATCTGTACTATTGAACGCGGACGGATCTTGTCCATTCAAAAGGCCACCCTGCAAGTTCATCGTCAGCACATCCCTCCTGAAGCCGACCACATCTTGAAAACATACCTGCTCTGGAGCCTCCCTCCTCCACAGCGCAGCTATCGCGACTTCCATAACCGTGTCCGAGAAGTCAGACATGGCGACAAGAGAAAAGAATGGTCTTGCCGGAGGCTGTAGTATACTGTTCGAACGCGAATTCGCGTGTGAGTGGAGTCGCTATCAGAACCTTCCGCTGGTAGCCGTGTATAACGTTAATGGGCACCGTAGCCCGGGTATAGAAGACTTTGAACGCTGTCGTTATTACATGTATACACTCAAAACGAGGATGATTAGAACGCAATGGTTTCAAACACACGACCAAGATGTAGGTATGTGGTTGAGGGCAAGAGCTAGTCAAAGCGCTTGATGCGAGCTACATGTACACACGCTCAATTGAGCAAGTAATATGACGTGAAATAAATTGAACAAGAGATAACGGAGACGCAGCGACCAAAAACGAAAGGAAAAAAAGAGCGACAAGATCTACCTCTACTCCTTGCTCTTCTTCTCTTTCTTCTTCTCCTTCTTCTCCTTCTTGTCCTTCTTCTTCTCGGACGTGGCACCCTGGACAAAAGGTTAGCAAGCTCATAGTCACAACAAGTGTAGAATATCCACCTCATCGGATGTCTTCTCCTTTTTCTCCTTTTTCTCCTTCTTCTCCTTCTTCTCCTTCTTCTCTTTCTTCTTCTCCTCCTTCGACAACTTCCTCTTCTTTGTGGGCGTAGTCTGCTCCTCGTCTACGTCCATTTCATCATCCAAGCTCTTCCGCTTCTTCTTCTTGTCCTTCTCCTTTTGGGGTGAAGGCTCAAGGAGAGGGAGAGCAACTTCGGCGTCCTCGTCTTCCTCGTCTTCCTCTAAAGCGAGTTGGTCGAGCACTTTGCGGATGGTATCGGCGTTCTTGGACGGTGGAGCGCCAGATTCGAAGAAGGCAAGTCGCTCTTCCACCTGTTGCCGAAGGGCTTCACCAAAAGCGGACGTGGGTTTCTCTGTGAAGAAATGTGAATAAAGTCTCAAGTCTAGAAAAAAGAGAAACACGAGCCTGAGTAGCAATCTATCCTTGATGCTATTGAACACTTGTTTGCAAGGAATCGAGAGATACGACCCTTGTGTTTGGGTTGTGCCCGTCCAATGAAGGTCGAGTGGTAGATCAAACCGTACTAAGGCAAGGGGGGTCGTCAAAAAATGAAGATAGTCAGATGGAAGGCGGTGCCTACCTTCGGTGTGTTACCCTTCGTCTTTAGTGCCCTGAAGAGAGCTTTCTCCGCACCCAGAATCTGCACTGTACTAGCAGGGTACTTGCTCAAGTTCGTCAAGCTACCGGCATGACTGATCAATCGTGCACCAATTCGCTCTCCAAGAAGAGCTGTCAAGCTAGGTGCGACAAGATTCATCTTCTCGGTTAAATATGACGTGAGGGATTTGCGGTATTCCGCGATGGAGACAACACGAGTCGCGAAGGAACCGATGTTGAGCATGTCAAATTCGGAGAGGGCTGAGCCCATAGACCCTCTGGCGGCGTCAAGAACATTTTGAGCACGGGTCTTGTCGTCGTCTAGCAATGCGGCAAGGTCGTCCAACCTGTCTTCGTTTAACGTCTCCTTGGCACCGATGAACTGGGCAGCACGGGCGTATTGGTAGTTGTCGGGGACAATCCTAACAAGTTCGGGGAAGTGGTATCCGTACCATTCACGAATACGCATCGAGAAGAGATTAACATCCTTGTCGAGCTGGTCAAGCAAAGCAATCGCTTGGATGATCATGTTGTCGATTCGGTTCACGTTGAACTTCAGCTTGGCACGAGAATACGAGTGACCAAGACCGAGTTGTGCCTTCATTAGGTCATCTCCTTGGAGTCCCTTGAGCAGTTTTGGCGCATGAAGTCGAATGCCACGAAGGATATCCCTCGTCTCTTCTGAGGTATCACAGTCAATTTGAAGCGTGCTCTTGATATTACTGGCAAGAGCAGGATCCGAGACAATGAGGACTACTCGTGACTTCTTTGCAGGCTTGGAGAGGTTGAGTTCCAACAGCGAGCGAAGATGGTCATTGAGCACTCCTGTTGCGATTCGACTGTTTAAGCGACAACTTTCAATAACCAAATTCTAACCACACACCTTCTGATATATCATTCGCATTCTCCAGAGCGTGCGCTGCGCTCTTGAATGGTGCGAAGCTGATGAGGTTGACCATTTTTTGGAACTTCGACAGGTCATTGATGGAATCCTGGACGGCCTTTGTGAAAGCACCAATGTTTTCCTTCAGTTTTATTTCAAAGATCGCAAAGCCCGAAGCAGATTCGAATAGAGCATGACTGGCCATTCTGGCTACTCCCCGCAACAATTCAAGGAAAGAGGAGTGCTCGAAGATGGATTTCGGAAGTTTTTGACCAGCTTTTTGGTGAATGTGCAAGAACTTAACGCCTGCAATCTGGGCGGATTAGGTATGTTGTTCCCACGCACTCTGATCACATTCAGTTTGTATTTCCGATTCTCGAGGCTTGATTGATGTTAATGATTCTTGAAAGTATATGTCTTGTCGATGGGACGACAGTAACATTTTCTCTTATATGATCGGCATTAGTTTGCGATTCAGAGAATCGGGATTCAATTTTCTCGATGTACATTCAAGTTCATTAGATACGCACATTACTACAGCCACAGTTGTCATACTTTTTTATCCTTAGCCCTCATCGACATCCCTCATTGCGAGGGGCCACACTCTGAACGAACGTGTCAAATTCTTGGTTTGTTGAGTTCCCAAGAAGTACTAGCAACCGCAACGTGCGCAACGCCTGCATCTCAGCGCCTCCTGTGTCATCCCGCTACAATCGAGAATGTCTGAGGGACGGCACAGCTTGACTTTGAACTCATACCACTACTACTGTAATGTCTACAAACAACCCGCCACTAGGGGAAGGAGAAATATCTCCTACTTCACCAATTACCTCGCCTGCTGAAGAATCCGATACCCATCCAAGTCAACCAGAACCCCCAGAACCAACACCTGGTTTGGATGGCACTCCCGTTCGTTGTAAGTTTGCCATAGGATGCTGATCGAGCCAAACTAACCATGAATCGATGCGGGCCTTAGGGTACGATGTACGTGGACTTGATCTATGCCTGCTTGCTAGTGCTAACATCAACTGTATTGCAGGCCGATCGTACAGAATCGTATACCAAAATTGAGCCATTTCAGGAAAAACACGATACAAGCGTGGAGTGCGTCTACAGTGTCTTTCGTTTCATATCGTGTTTTGAAGTGATCTGCAGGTTCTTCTACAAACCAATTACACTGACAGTCCTTAGTGTTGCTTTCGCGATCCTGGCCTACATTGCCACTACACAAGATGTCTTGGAGGAAGGACGAGATAAGCGGCGCGTGTAGGTCTGCCTTTGTTGCCTTTCCAGACCTTTCGTGAACGCCTTTTTATCAAGTGGTGCCTACGCTGCGATAGCCTCGTTCCTACTGTTTGGAATCATCCAATTCCGTGATGGACCATTCATTCGTCCTCACCCAGGTGTGTACAATCAGCCTATGTTTGTCAGTACATATTTCACCAACGGTAACCTTGATTGAATGCTAGTTTTCTGGCGTGCTGTCCTCGGCGTCAACCTACTATATGAACTGGCATTGGTATTCTTGCTGTTCCAAGACCTCGATTCCGCTCGCAAAATGATGACATACCTTGACCCCAACCTCGGTAAACCTCTTCCGGAAAAGAACTACGCTGACAACTGCGAGTTTACGGCCCGCAATGTCTGGGTACAATAACATTTCATTTCAGTTTTGGAGTCGTACTAAAAAGTGTATAGGACGCGATAGATATCTTCTGCCTGGCACATGCTCTAGGCTGGTTTGGAAAGGCTCTCATATTGCGCGACTATTGGTTCTGTTGGGTAAAAACATTCTGTCTCTTCTATGGAGCGTCTGGTCTCAATCGCGGTCTAGATCCTGAGCGTTGCATTTGAGTTCGCGGAGTACAGTCTGCAGCATCAATTACCCAACTTTGCGGAGGTAAGTCCCTTGTTTGTATCTGAAGCTCGGTACTAATATCTAGACCGTTTAGTGCTGGTGGGACCATGTGAGTCGTGTTGCCTCTTGCTTCCCATCTAGTCTGACATCGTGCAGTGGGTTCTGGACGTCCTTGTTTGCAATTGGCTTGGCACTTATCTAGGCATGAAGACCTGTCAGTTCTTTGAAGTGAAGGTGGCGGCTTTTTAGTTATTCCCTTATCCTTCATCTGTCTGACACTCGTGGCGCAGCACTACACCTGGAGAGGTCTCCGACAAACCCGCGGACTACGCTCCAAAACACGTCGCGTCATCTCGCAGTTCTCACCTGCAGACTGGACAACGTTCAAGTGGGAAGGTACCACGGATTTCATGCATTACTTCACGGTCGTTGCTCTGCTTGCTGTTTTCCTGGCTGCGGAGCTTAATCCCTTCTATCTCAAGGTACGCTTGAATTTGTCGTGCAATGTGGTGCCATTTGGCGTCAGCTCATTGGTCCTCAATTGAAACTAAATTATAGACGTTGTTATGGATGGAACCTGACCATCCTTTCGTAATCGCTCGCCTGGCAGGAGTTTTTCTCTGCGCTCTACCTGCGGTGCGCGAATTATACCAATACGTGAACAATCCAAAGTTAGTTCTATCTACTCCATTCCTGCGTGTTTGACCTTGTGTGCAACTCTAAACTCGACGTCATTCTTGCATTCGACCTACAGAAAAGCGGTCCGTATGGGTCAACATTGCTGGCTCCTTCTTGCGACTATCGGTACCGAGGTTCTTGCAATCACAAAGTGGAGTAAGGGTCAATTCCCTGAACCCTTACCGGTAGCGGTGAAGTGGGCATGGATCATAGGCGCCACCCTGTTGATTCTATATCCAACTGTTCGGGTATGTATAGTTGCTTGTTATTTTTATTCTTACGTGATGGTATCGTATGGGCATGGGATCGCTGACATGGTCTATCCCATAGTTTGGGATACCCAACATAAGGAGATATCTGAGGAAGCACCAATGGAAGACCAAATCGAAGGGTCAGTGAAGGTGGCTCCAGGATGGCGTGTTTATTCCGTTATTTCTGTCTCCAAGGTGCCACTATTTCAGTGCCTGCTTCTCTTGGCATGTTCTATGATGTCTCCAACTTTATTTTCTGTTTGTATAACGGTCTATGCAGGATTCCCCTCTGTCAAGCTCCCTTTCTGTTGCAGGCTTAGGCTGGCTCTGCAAATACTCAACGTTACTATGCGAACGGTCATTGCGCTACTTATCCTCGCCAACTCAGGAGATATCAGTTAACACCGAACTAAGGACGCATTGCCCCTGACCGAACGGAAGCTTCGAGCTTCTAAACTCTTTCGTCAGGAGGGGTAATGTTGACATTCCATGCTAACACGAACTGAGAACCTAGGCTTCGTTGTGCCAACCAGAACCTTACTTCCCCTAGTTCTTCGAATTCGAATCGTCTCTCGGGCTGTTTAGTGAGTAACCATTCTTCGTCCTCATAGTGTTACTGTTGTCACAATCAAGTCGGAGCGGTTGGCAACCATCTGACAACGTTCCTTCGTATCGAAAGGCAGTTCCAGAACACCGATGTTAGACAACAGTGTTTCCTCCCAAGCTTTCGGCCAACAACCTTCCGATCTTTGCCCGTCTCATGACTTCGTCCTGGGAATCGGTCAACTGCATCTGTTGATCTCTTCAAACTCAAACTTCAAGCTTCGAGGGCATAGGGTAAGCAGTCGCTTTTGTTCGCGCTTGTCGCGGCCTCTAGGCGTCTCTTCAGGATAGTCACTTTAGCTCTAACCAACACGTTCGCCGGCGGCGCCGTCGAGCGACACAACGGAGATAACGCTCTCGAACTCGACGACTGCAATCTAGACATCGCAATCTGAGCGAAGACGTCACACTGTACCTGACACGCACTGGTGCCGAAAGGTGACGATCGGGCCTTTGCGGCTGGTTGTGGAGATAGAGAGTCCCATCGTCGGTTTCCAAAGGAGTTGAAATGATGATGAAAAGCGGTTTATGCCTTTTGCCTTCGGCTACGGATGTATCGCAGGCGGCATGGCGCATCGAGAGTGATCGTGAGGATCGCGATGATCTTGATCACATTGAGGTCGCCGAGTAGATCGTGGACCCTCCGATCATAATAAAGTAGAAGGCCGCTTAAACCCCCCTGCCTCGCAGTAGGAAAACCTTGATCCAAAGTTTGGGTGGAACACGGTTCTCGCTCTGAAGATCAGAAAGTCCGCGGGCACTTGTCTCTCCAAGGTACTTTAACGTCAGAGCAGGTCCAGGAAATATTCTATCCGTAATCAAACCTTTGAACGTACCAAGACAGTTCTGATTTTGCACGCTGAAGGAGGCGAGACAGAACTACTCCTGCCACTGCGAGGCTAGTCTGAACGGAGCCCGGAACCTGGGCAAGTGCAAACGCAGCCGGTACGACCCCATGATGAATGATATGACGCATGAATGACTGACTACATGTTATGCCTCATGAATATCGAAAGCAGGGTCCCGCCTTCTCGTGCGCCGGACTAATATTGAAGCATAACATAGGAAACCGGCCTCTGCAAAAATTCAGGGATACACGCGTCAATGTCCCCACATGTGCTGGACTTGCCATATCGTACGAGGAGGCCGCGATAGAAGCATTCTACAATGACAGACTTGTTATTTTTAGTTATACACCTCCCGATACAGCGCCAGAAGTCCTTGGGGTTGTTCATCTAGAATTGCGGGCGGCAGGGCCGTCTTGCTTTTTGCGACTGCCAGGAACGGTGACCTTACTCAGACCTAAGCAGGGGGCGGCGCAGCAATACCGAGAACGAGGTGTACGTACAACACGGATGGCCAGATGTCAGCGCTTTGGAGCGGGGGACCAACGGATTAACTACTTATCGGGGAAATCGTTCGACCAGCTTCAAAGTGTGCTAGTTCTTCCTTTCGAGGCCTGACCAGCAAGACCCTGGACGCGCCGCGTGTTGCTTCTAAGGCTCTGCCAAGACAAGATAGGTCGGATTTCTGCAGCTTTGAGAGGTTGCTTCACATGGGAGGTAATTTCGCGACCAATAGTAGTTTGCGTGCCGATCATAGGCAGCATGACTGCCCAACGAGGGAACAATGTACAGGGAACAAGCAGTTGAACTAATAGATAAACTTCTTCCGCGGAGCACGTTGACGAGCCAATAGCATTCTAGCAAGATCCTGAAGTCATTGACGGCCCGCAAAGAAGCGGCATGTTAACCCGACATTCAGTATCTCTTATGACCGTTCTATATGAAACTGTGATGACGATGTGCGCAGTACGAAGAATAGGGAATCGACTTACAGAATGACTGACGACGTCGTAGAGAATTTCGAGTGTTACGCCACTGTGTCCTTTGGAGGTACAGAAGATCGCTGCCACCTTGGAATCCTGTGGAGACTGGTGCAAATGATTCTATTGATATCGCGACACAGGATACGTGTGGGACCACATACTCAGGTGAATCATGAGCTCAATTCAATATTCTAGGCTGACATTGGAGCGTCTGGAGTCAACAACAAGAAAAGAACTATAATTGAAGTATTTGAAATCACGGAACCTACAGAGAAAAAGAGTTCTGTGGTAGAATAATTTGAATACTGGTGGATAAGGTTGCCTTACCTCGACATAATGTGACCGGTGACGACTCGAGGCGGCCAAATAACTGTAAGTGGATGCAGATGAGAAAACCACAGTTCCAACTTGAGAGTGTGGACTTCAACTACCGCGTATACTTGTCTGGTATCGACTAAAGGCCGGTCAGTGACTGATAAGCACTGTACTTCCAACATGGGGAGTGATCAGTACATCGAAACGGGCCGTCATTGACCACCATCGCTATGTGATGGTGGCGTATGATGGTGGCTTGTTGGTGTACAATGAGAAGACAGGACATGGGAATGCGAGGCAGACAGCTTGATGATGATTGAATAGACTTCAACATGATAACAGTCGACAACATGATAGACGCATGTTTCCTTGAGATTGCAAGTTTACTATGTTCTAAAGGACGAGCTGATAAATGCGTCGCCGCTGCGGCGCTGAATACATTGCATGCCTGGTAAAGCATGGAGGGTTTAATCAGCAAAGTTACGGAATGGCCGCAGGTCTCTCACCGGATGCAATGAGAACGCAAATGACCCGGAAGTACATCAACCGCAAAAAGGGCGTCAGGATTTCTGCGGAGGACAGATCATTGCCAAGAAAGCACTAGTTGTACTTACCTGTCAACGTTAACAATATTGACCGATATAATCGCAACCTGCCGAGCCAAGCTTGAATTGTGAGCGTCACGTCCAACACACGATAATTCGAAATCCTTAACGTTAGGTTTGAACTTGGTTGAAACCCATTCCGTCCAATCAACAGAGTTCGGCGGTCGAGTCCTGGACGATCAGCGTTCTGCCACCAATCACAAAGCCGGCCAAACAAAGACAAACAGGTTTGTCCTTGCCACACGTCGACATAATGCATGCAAGATTCTTCAAGTTCTCCTTGAATGTGAACATTTTCTCATGATGAGTGAGTATCTCGAAGCTTGAAATTCTGCCCTCGTGTAGATCTGATTCCAACGGTTTAGTCTTCAGGCCCATAGGGTACGGATATGGCTTTATTTTGTGCCAATGTGGCGTCAGATCTGCCTGTCTGCCATTAGTATTCTCACTTATCCTGCCGATGTTCTGGAAACAATATTATTGGAGTATCCTTCCGGAAGCTTTGACGTACCTGACGCCCTCTTCTAGCTGATAGCCTCTGGTCTCTTCGTATGGGCTGCTTTGTACTCTTGGAGATCTCTAGGCGGCCCGTACACACTTACAACGGTCATGATCTATATGGAACCATTCTAGGGATTGTCGAAGCAAAATTTCTCATGTGTTCTTTACCAGCAGCTATGCTACGTCAGATCTACGTAGGTTGACTAGTCAAGGTGGCTCGTCAGGCTGTTCTGCACAGAATGGTATTGAGCGGAGCATGCATGCATCAAGACACGCGTTCTGGGTGTGTGTTGGCCAGCCAGTGCCGCTGGGATCTGCCTGACGCTTGGCTCGGACTCACAAGGTTTCAAACCTTGCGTTCGAGCGAGATTGCCTACAGATGAATGCCGATACTCTGGTCCTTCTGTCGCTTCTCTCCGACCGGAACGGCGCTATTTACATCTACAGACACATGTTCTCATTCACAATCCTCATTCGTCATATCCGTCGCTGAGGTATGGGATTTTCGAACCTTGTCTTCTATGGTTTCTACGCGGCTCTCCGTGCCGTCTGCCCATAATGAATGTACGTACTGTCAATGTGCTGCTCCACCTCCTGCAATTAAACTAGTCGTGAAACTCTAACGCCACATTCTGATATTCGGTTGTTCGCATAAAACAGTCTGTTGCATGATCGAGGTCACGTTAGGTCGAGGATGGCTTTACCCAGCTAGCAACATTTAGCAACAGCCTATCGGCCAGCATATCTGACCGGCAATTCAAGCAGGTAAAGAATCTCCCTACTACAATAATTCCGGACAGGGAGTCTATCTGTTGCCATATGGCTCATCATCGTACCTTCCCTTTCAAGACAGTCTGCGAGGCAGCCGTGAGATCATATTCTGCTTGCTGGAGCTTACGTTTCGTCATATAAGGTATGCCATTACCAGCCTTTAGTGCAACATATGGCTAGCAAGTCTCGTGGATTACGCTTGCCACTGTATCCACTAACGGGACGGCCCAGCCTCCCGATTACCATGGGTTCTTGTACGTCTTTTTTGCTATCAAATCTTGGGAATGCCCATCAGTCACCCAACACATAGAAGCTTGCAGCAGAGGCGATTTAGTTGGAGTATGCGCAAATTCAGGAACGTCTGTGCTTCTGGCAGTAGCGTGCATTCGAGACGGGAGCATCAGCTTTGTCAGCCTTTCTGGCAATGGTATCATATCGCCGTGTAAATCTTACTGAGGCCGAGATATACAGGAGCTTGATTGAGTGAAGCACCGGTGACCCTGATCAAAGACCTCAGGCGTCACAACTTGGAAAATGCCGCGCCACGGGAAAGAGGATTGCTCCTGATGATAGCGAACACTTGGGTACAAACAAGGGTGATCATGCCAGCATCGACGGCAAGCAATAACGAAAGGCAAGCCGACGGCAGGACGAAACGAAGCAGTAGTGAATTGCTGAAGAGCGCTGGGGGATATGGATCTCCTCTTTCCGGTTCCTTGAACCGAAACCACCCAAATCCAATATACTATTCCATGCCTGATGCTGATGTGGACGGCGTAATACCAATCTTATCAGCGTCTGTAAACGAGAAAGAGCCGGCCTAGGGGGTTTCGCGGGCTCACACGCTATGTCACGGGCTCGGCGAATTGCCTGATTCTTGGGCAATCCAGAAGCGAACCAGGGGTGCATATTGACAGCTCCCGTTCGTGCGGTTCGAATTGACGAACCGCAACACGTTAACGTTACACCGGTCAAGAAAAGATCAAGTGAATCTGGACCAGCGGATACTGGCGTCTCGCTGGCGCATAAGAATCCGAAGGTGAACAAGTTGTCCTTCATTCATCTTCCTCGTCGATATGTCCTCCGAATCTAGTTTCGACGCGCATATGCCACCTCTTCAATTCAAGGGAGAGATCCTCGACTTCGACCTCGGCATTGAAGTGGACCATCGCAAAAGGTACATGTCAAAGACGTCAGCCAGCGGCATTACCAATACTGACATAACGTCGAAGACGAAGGAATCGCACTACACAATCTTGTTTGAATTGCCATACTTCAAAACGCAAAGTAAGTTTCGTCCGCGTTCTCCATGTCCCAATTGCTGATTGCGTACTTTCCGAATCTCAGTGCGACCGAAAACGACCGTGCCAGCGATGTATCCAGTTGGGCTTGGTAAACTTCCATCTAACACGTCTATTTCAGTATCGTCCTCATGTGCGTCGGACGTCATAGACTGGCCTTTGCGTATATGAAGTCGATGATCCTGCTTTGAGGTATGACATATCTTCGCCACCATTTACAAGTAATTAATTTTTGCCTCAGAGATGATCCCAACCTGGATGAGACTACTCGTCTTCGTAACCGAATCGCAGAGCTCGAAAGCCTTGTACGAGAGCTTCGTGGTAAGTTCAATTATTCTCTCACACTATGCTTTGTTTATTTACGATAGTAAAGGCAAACCTCATCCTCGCTGGGCTGACGCGAACTTCTGTGACGGTGATGCATCAGAGAAGTGGCATTCTCGGTCATCTAGAAGGGGTCAAACTCAACTTCAGCGTCAAAAGCGAGAGCAACAGGATGACGCAAGTATGGACGGCTCTCTCATTCCGCCAGTAAAGGTTGAACAGGCTGCCGATGTTTCGCACCGTCAGCTCTACCGTCTGTCGCCATCACCCCCTATGTCTGCCAATCCTCATCACCAACAACATCACGGTGACTGTTCACCTATCGACAGTCCGACCATGTCTTCCTATCAGTCTTCGTCGACGATGAGCTATGGGCATCACCGACCACAGGCACCCCCGTCTCTTGCGATGCCAAATAACAACGACCTCTACTACCATCAACCTTACATCAAGCCCCCTGCATCATCGCCCATCCATCCAACTTGTACTTGTCTTACGAATCCTGCCGCCGCCCACCCTCTTATAGGCCTTATGCATCAGCTGCAGAACACCTTGGAGCTTCTAAGGCATCTTCCTGAGCATTCCGGCCGTAACCAATGCATTGTCCTAAGGCGTATCGCCGAGCTGCACGATCTGATGCAGTAGGTGCTAATTCCTCGATTTCGAGGCATTCTAACTGACATTTCAATGTTCTCAGTGGCGGCAGCGTCAATGCGGAAATAGATGTTCCTCATTCTCACTCTCATTCCCATTACGAGGCGTTACCCACGCCGACTGAAACTGAGATATTGTCACCTATCTCGACATCGAGTCATTCGAGTATAGGTAACGCCATGCATCACGAGTGGTCGGGTATGGGTGCTCCTTCAAACTCGCATTACGACTACTTCCCGGTCACTCAGGCAGAACACGGCGGTGTGTATCACAAGACGTATCACATCAACTGATCCGAGTCTTCCCTTACTTTACCCTTCTACCTTGTCATGGGAATGCTTTCTTATCTCGCTTTCGGCCTGTCTGGACTAGTTGTCTCGAAAATAGCTGCTCGCTTACGCTCGTGTCTTGCTTCGTCGCATGCTTTCATACTTACGACGGTTTGTGATATTCTTGTTCTCACCTTGTAGCTCTAGTACCTTATCCTACACTATTTGTCCTGCGAAGATATACCCAACCCCCGCTTGTAATCACTGCCCTTCCAATGTACAAATCGCCTGCGAACGTTTACCACTGAACACGAGTCAAGTTCGTAAAACAAAGCGAAAAACTCGTTGCTTCCCAGGGTCTGCCTTTATCACATTGTTCTCGTTGTCCAACATCCAGATGTCACGTTCAATGAACAGTGCCCGACCGTCGCGGCCAATGAGGATGACCGTGGACAAACGCGTGCCGTAATAATCAGGGGTCGTGTCTGGTGACTGCAATCCAATAGAAAAAGGCTCGATATAAATCATGTTCCTCAATTCGCTTCGTTCACGGGGAGGCGAATCACCTTTCCAGCTGTGGTATTAATGACATATTCAGCGTCATTCCTGTCCAATGAGGAGGACGGCGCGCTGATAATTACTCACGTCAAGAGTTGGAATAAACGCTCCGAGAGTTCAAGGTCGTCCAAATTCTCAGTGATGGAATCAAGAACCTCAGAGAATAGGTTCAAACCGTGTTTGACCTTTGGCCATGTATCTGCGTCCTTCCCATCTATTCCATTTGATAAGCCTCCGCGACGCCTCTCCGCGTCGGTAAGAGGTCTAGCCGCTATCTTTCCACCTCCTCCATGGTTTGTTACATACCCTCCCTCAAAGGACAGGCGGGGATGCGCGTCATTCTCAGACCACACTGCTGACAGCAGGAGCAGGTTGAATCCAGCGTAAGGGGTATTCTCGGCGACTAGCTTTTCCAAATGCTCCTCCAAAGACGTGGGCGACACCGCGTTCGGCCGAAGAAAGGAGGACACGAGTTGGCCTCTGGATGAATTATACTGGCCAGCTTCTTCCGTGATGTTTGTCCTACAACGCCTTCAGTGTTACCAGTCTAGGCTTGATAGAGTGCTGCGTACAAAAAAGCTGCCCTGCCGGCAAGGCTGACGCCAAGCCAGGTGCCACCAGCTCGTAGGTCCCGACCTGACAAAACCGTCCTATCCGATGTGACATCGGATTCTATATTTCCAAAGGAATGGAAGTGCGCTGCCGTGGTAGGTCGAGACAGGTACTCGTCTCGATTACTACAAAGAATCCTGCGAACCCGCGGACAACAACCAGTCAGAACATCTTCCAACACCCCCATTAGAGTCAACACATACAATGCGTAGTCTGGATGTTCCAGGGACCAGAAGCCTACACACATTGATGTATTCCAGTCAGGGAGCCTGCAGATCAGGCGTGTGTGCGGATGGCGTGGGTATGGTGCAAGCTGTACAGGTTGGCTTGACACTCCCTGGCAGATCGATTGAATGACAAGGCTGTATACGGAGAGATAGTTTTACCGTGAAGGTGCCCCAATTTCAGGAGAGAATTAACGGACACTGAATACGACTTGATGGCCCTGAGTTTCTCCAATACCTGTTCGAAGCAAAAACTGAGCAAAATATGCTAAATGAGCTGTCGTTACAGGTGGAACTCGTGTCCAAGCGCGGGACGTACTCTCAGGCTAGCGTATTTGATTATCTTGTGCAGCTTGCTATTGGCGGGCTTTAGTACAAGAGCAAGTGTCGCTAACCGTCGAAAGATGACAAAGTAAGTACTTTGTTTCACCGGCGACAATACAGAGCCAAAGCACCATGAAGTGCTTCGTGATACTTGTATACCGGCCAGTGCGCAAGAAAATGGAAACTGGTGAAGAACAAAGTTAATGACGAGTTAACCTAAAAGAGCCAAGTTTTCCAAGCCCGCGGCAATCACCGCTCTGGATGTTCTGGGAAGGTGCTGAATTCGGCGTGGCGGGGTGGGATTCGCCAGTCTCGAAACCAAAGCGCCACACATGACATATTCAATCCGACTAGTTCATCGATACAGTACTTATACTGAGCAGAGGAAGGAACAACCGGTCGCGGGTATGGTTGGAGTCACCTTCCGATGCACTATCTTCGAATCTCGTAGAAATCCGAAATGTTATATGGATCCTCAAGTCGCAACTGAGATTGATGCAAACGCGTGAGCTGAAGCTTCGTTTGTGTAGAACACCTCCAGCAACGGGATCTCGTCGTGCAAGCGTGTATTGGTATGAACGGCCTTCCGATATGAACTCACCTCCGCACTAAAGGACCTTGTGTTTACATCGGAACTCCGCACCATACTACTGCCAGCGACGGACCAATTGGTTCGGAAGTGCAACAATCCCCGGCTTGCGAAAATGGGCATGATCATTCGGATCGGAGGCGGAGCTGTACATTCGACGGATGTAATTCATTTCCCCCGTAATCCCCGAGCAATGGGGAAAGCGCTCTATTGCCAACCGTTCGGGCTGGGCCCAATCGACCTTGTCAAGTAGTCTTCTTAAAGTGATCAACTGGAAACAGTCTTCTAGTATCTCTATCAGGCAAGTACAAGGACTGAAGTACTGAAGTTTGAGTATTAGGCGTGAAGGTAATTGACTCGGAGGATGGAGAGATACATCACACTGTGTATGTGTAAGAGAGATAATTCGAAGAAGGCGAAGTGTGCCAGCATCTCGCTAGCAAAGTATAAGTTACAGATGAATCGATGAACGCACCGCCGTACATGTGTAGGTGTGCGCTAACCTATAAGACATAAGTATGTTCGAACTAATTTACATATGTCTCCTTCTGATCATCCGTTCATAGTACTGGTTCGTTCAATGCACTATCAGTACAGTATGAACTTGAAAGAACACACACTTGGGTTAGATGTGAGCTAGTAAAATAGAACATGCTCAGAATCGTAGTAAGTCCTGATTCGACAACACGGGCAAGACTTGTCGAAGAACCATCTGCAACTTCGTGCTCATTTGCGATGCTTTGGTGGCAGACTGGTCAATCATCCCAATATGTACGGACTCCAACAGAGGAAAACGCTGCATATCACGTTGGAAATTCCCCCAATTGAACCTGTCAAACCTCCCTGGGTCCGTGTGCTCTCTCCGCGTCATCTCCGAAGTCAGAGGAGGGTTTAAGCGCCTGAACTCCAGCTTAATGTTGCGAACGAATGAAGAAAGATGTTCAAACACGGTGAAGGCATCATCGTCTTCGACGAGGAGGGACAACGATTGAAGCGACACGTATCCGGCGATGCCTGAGTCTGCCCAGAGCGTTTCTGCGTTAGGGAAAGCTAATAGGTTCACGAGACAAATCAATGAGTGAAAGGAGACTCCCTTTGCGCGAGACAGCTCAATAACTCACCAGGAAATTGACCTGGCAACACATTAAAGAGGTCTCCTTCCGACCACCGCGCGCCGACTCGGAGACGTTGTAGGTTTTGCTTAAGTTGGGGAGGAAAATCTCGGAGCTCATGAACCTCGCGGTCATGAATCCATCCAAGATCCAAAGTCCTCAAGGAATTCACTGATTCGGTTGCGAAGAACACCCTCACGAGTTGTCCAAGCCGCCGCTCATAATATTTCTCCACATAAAGACTCAAACTCTCGAGAGCCAAAGTCGGGGGTAAGATGACGTCGGTAGTTATGTCGCTATCTGGTATTATGATAGAGTCCAATGATCGTATGTCCCGAATATTAGGGAATATTCGTAATAAGTCACAAAGCGAGTTGTTATTGGAATCGAACGTAGTACCCTGGGGAATGATTCTCTGGACAAGGGCCATATGGTTGAGGGTCATGACTTGGACGTTCGGATATGTGCGCGGAACATGTTCGGGGACGTCACGAAAGTCCTTGATCTTGAGTTCCACGGCGCGAAATTCGAGATGGTGGAGGCTAGGCATCATCTTCATGAGCACTACCAAGTCTAGAGTATCCAGCTTGCGATTCGCGGTCTTGATCGAGGCGTCCGCATTGACACTGAGATGTTGGGTATGAGTCGTACAGCTGTCCAATTCATTTTCCAGGAATTTGAACAGGAGGTCGGCAAGCGTCTCAGGCGAGTCCAACGCGTCTCAGAGGTTGAGCGTGACTTCATGGAACAGGTGGTACCTGCTACGAGGAAGCCAATCCTTGCCAACCAGGGAGCAAGCGAATAGGGTCTTTTTATCCCCGCCAACGTTGTCGATGATTTTTTCAATCAGTTCCAAGGGGAAGGGAGCTAAGCATCACATGAATGTGAACAGGACGAAAGATGGCACGCGCATATCGTCCTTACTACGAGCCATATCGGTTACGCAATAGAATGTTTCGGCGTTTACAGGCTATAAGCGGTCACTGGCAAAGCGAATTCAAGGGTTATACTTAGACGACAATACGAGTAAGTGCATTACCTTGCAGGAAAGCAGAGGTTTGGGCAGGAGTTAGTCTGGGGGTCCTTTCGCCCTCTATCTGTATTTATATCGCGGCTGACTGTGCTGTCGGCTTCCGCCGCAATGGGGCCGAAATAATCCAACATGGACGATGATCGGGATGCCTTGTTTTTCGAATAAACCTACCAGCCTCATTTCACACGAGCTGTGTTGCTGAATCGTTTCAAGTGCAGTGCCCGAAAGCAAGAACCAATATCGTCCACGCCCATAGTTTAAATAATTTTGACGAGACGAATCCGGTGCGATGAAAGTTTTGATGAACCCAGTGGCCAAAAGTCTTGCTTCCAATGAGAGTTCCAAGCACTGATACTTAGCAACAGTGGCATAAAGAGAATTCAAGACATTAGCGAGTTTTCAGACCACTCTATGTGTAGTGGTTGTTCCCAGAAGGATATAAGGGCATGAGCGCTGAGTTGATTATTATGCATTGCAATGTTGGGATCCTAAACAGTAATACAACTATCCTTTGAATGAATCAGCTTTCTGCACCGTAGTATGAGAAAGCCTAATATCCATACCCTTGCCATAGCTATTGTGAACAACCCGTTGGAGAACGGCATAGATCTAGTCCGAGTCAGAAAGATGTAGTACCTGGATGCTCACAAGTTGTGTGATCTGAAGGAGCTTGCCGAGCCATCATCCGAATGCTAGTTACCATCTTCCACCATCCTTGGAGTTTAGTCTCGACGCCTTTGAGCTCTCTTCACCATTATTTCGGTAATGTTGAGTGAGAAAGCAAAGGGAAAGCAGCGTGCAGTTGATATTGGAGAAGAAGATGTCGTCGTCACTCCCAGCAAATCGCTAGTCATACGCTTTACTGAAGGCATTCCAGACTTGACGATCATCGTTCACGAGAAGGATACAGTACGGGATGTTAAGACAAATGTATGTGTGTATAATGTTAGGGTGTACAGAGGACTTCAATGACCACGATACAGATTAGAGATGCTCGGCCGCAAGTGAAGGACCGTCGACTACGTCTCATCCATTCAGGTCGATTGTTAGCGGATGATACACTCTTGTACTCGTTCCTCTCTTCACTGGAGGAGAGACAGCGTGGTTCTGCTTCTCATGGCACTACAGAGCCAACCCCAAACTCACCCGCACCTACTACTTGGCTTCATTGTTCCGTTGGACCACACATGTCTGCCCTTGAGGAAGAGGAGACCAAATTGCAGGTATGTGGATCATGTACAATCAACCAGAGTACATTGCGCGGGAATGTCAAGGATGCTGATGTCGATCATCACCATATAGACTGCGCAGTTGAAACCATTGCGAGGGTTTGACCGACTTGCAGCAGCAGGCTTTTCTGAACAAGACATAGCTAACTTTCGAGCGCAATTTCACGCGCATTCTTCGGGAGACTATCTGGATCAGGACTTTACCAATGAAGAGGATCGTATGTTTCTCCGCCTGGACTTTCTTTCTGATTGAGCCCGTATGACTGACCTCGCAATCTGGTAATCTAGTAGACGAACATGCCCGCATGCTCGAAGAACAATGGATCGAATCATTTGACAGTGGCGGGGGAAGTGCACTCCTTCAATCCTCCTCAACGAATTATAATATCCTCACTGGCATTGTTATCGGATTCTTTTTCCCTCTTGTACCTTTCTTCTTCTTCCATCAAGACAAGCCTGCTGTCTTTTGGGAAGAAGGGGGAGAACATCAAGCTATGGGCTCCACTATGTTCTCGTTGAGTCATGTTCATATCTGCAGGGAAAAGCTTGGACTGACTTCATGTGTAGGAGACGAATGCAGATGGGTATCGTGCTAGGATTTGGGATGAATGTGTTATTCGGAATGTGGACCTACCTTCTAGCTTCGCCATAATGTGATATCCGTGAATACCCTCTTCTCACTGCTGTATATCTAATGCATAGGATTGTGACCTTGATAGAAGGGACATTTATTACTTGGCAATCTATCAACGTAACGGACAATAGACAAACGACAAATATCTCAGAACATGCAGATACCTCGACAATCCCAATTCGAAGGGGCGATTACAAAGTGCTATAGGGAGCATTTCATCAAAAGAAACATAAGGTTATGGTGAGCGTGATTGACGAATGGGTGTAGTGGAGGTGAATTCATGAGTGTTAAACGCGGGACATTAGAACAAGAGGACGGAACTGAACAGACGAAACACACGACGAGCACACAGACGTTGGACAGAGGGCAAAAGACAAAGCGATGAACAACTACAAACTACGGAGGAACAATTGGAGGAAAGTCACAGGTAAGCGAAATGAAGAATTGGAAGAACACATCTAAGGTTGGGCAGTAGGCTGATGTTGCTCGGCGATACGCATCACTTCCATAAGAACAGTCTGGTCTTCTGCTGAGAGGGAGGTGGTCGCGACTTGATAGTCCTGCGGGTTCTTCATTTGGAATGCTAGAAGGGATAAGATCATCGGGAGCTCTCAAACAGCATGGTTTAAGGAACCTACCGGTCAAAGCGTGCTTGAAAGAGACGTAGGGGTCAACGTTGTCCAGGGGACTGAGGTATCCAAGTTCCTCAGCGACCTCGGACTCATCATCTTCGTCAGAATCCTCCTCTTCCTCTCCATTTGCCAGCTTATCCGATTTTGCGCGAAGGCGGGCACCCTCGTTAGCCAACATCTCGAGATAAGCAGAATCCTGATCCCATACGTCCTCTAGAGCAGAAAGTGAGAATGACGAAGTGCACAGCGATTTTAAGGGTACTCACCCTCGTCCTCATTCAAGTTAAGAAGAGAGTCATCGATAATGTCATCCTCGTCAGATTCGTTATTATAGTCTTGCTCGAGTTTTTGGCGGGCTGTAGATCCCTTGTCAGCATATTGTACGCGACACATGCGATGCATCGTCTACCTTCGATAGCCTTCGGCAATTCCTTGAACACATGCAGAGTACCGCCGACGATAAGAGGCCAGCCCTCCTTGACCGCCTGAGGTACGGCGGAAGGCTCCAGTTCCAACAACGCAGACAGCGCCATAATGCACAGCTTCTTGTCGTGCACGCGAGGCAAACCATCGGATTTGTTGATTGTTTGGAACCACTTGTTGAAGAATGTACGTGAGGCACCGGGTTGGATATTCTCCATGATATGAAGTGCTGCCGCAGGGTTGTAAAGGACAGCATTGATGAGAACTTCAAGGTTGGCGAGTGCAAGTGCTTTAGTTGAAATGTTGTCTTGTACGCGCCACGCGGTTTCAATGATGATTTGAAGGGACTATAAGAGCACGGACATAAGTCTCCAACTCACTAAGAGAACGTAAAAGGGAATGTACATCGTCACAATGGCCGCGCAAGTTCAAGAGCAGCGATTCAGCCAACTTGCATCCGTTTACCCCATCGTTTTCACCCAATTGATCGCTGGTGAGAGCAGTAACGAAGATATCCACGATCATCTTGATATATTCAGGATGGGCCTTGAAGACATCCGGTCCAAAGGAGATGAAATTGTCGAGGGAGGGCAACATCTCTGTAAACCCTAAGAGTTAGGAGCCTGACGCGGACGTAGAAGTTGAAAATGCGTACCGTCCAAGAAATCGACAGCCTCAGACTTGAAGAGCTTGTAAGTGAGCTCGAAGACCGGCCACATACTTGGGGAGATGCTCCGCGACTTGTAGGTCAATGCATCAACGAGGTCATACATATTGTCATAAAGATCTACATGGGCATGTCAGAACGGAGAGCTGACACAAGAGACAATAAGTGCATACCAATAAGCTTGTTCTCGAGAGTGAGCACGATGATGGGAATAACAATCTCTTGAACTTGAGCGAGGATCTCAGGTGAAGACTCGACCGAAGAGATGATCTTCGGCGAATGAGTATACGGGACGGTCACCAAAGCTCAACATTGCTCACCGTGCTAATGGTTTTAGACACACCCATAGCAGCGAAGGTCTTATCCTCTCCCTCTTGAGTCATAAGCGAATCGAGATCAGTTGCCGTGGTGATGTCATCCGCTGAGACACTTTCACGAGCAAGACGGGTGTAAGTCTCGCACTGAGGGGTAATAAATAACCATTCAGTCAGCAACGTAAAGACGGACAGAGGGGAGGAAGCACGAACTAAACGAGCAGTGAGCTCTGCCGCGACTGGAAGAAGTTCGGTCTGGTACTGCTCAACCATCGTCTCCATGCAGTTGTTCAGGATATCCAAATCAGTCTCTTCAGAAAGCTTCAAGAGCGCTATAACGATAACATATATCAACACAGCAACAAACAACAGAGGTAGGACAACACGTACTCTGAATAACCGAGCTGACTTGAGGCGCCACAGCAGCCTTGACTATAGAAGAGAATCAGTTGACAAAACTTGCGAAACTCATCTTTGTAAGACTAACCAGAGTCGTGAACGGTGATCATCTCTGCAAGAGCAAGGGCAGCGTGAACACGAACAGGAAGTTCTGTATCGTTCAAACAGGCTGCGATTCCGTCAAAGTGAGCTTTCAAGGACTGACGACGAAAGAATTAGCACCTCCGAAAAGTTTACTAGTAAACGTGGTCGGAACCAACCTGCTCATTCGACCATTGCAAGCCGGATTTCTCAACAGTGCCCAGGACCTCACACGCCTGCAGGTAGAGGCAACCATCAGTACGTAACCCGAACAATTGACAATGATTGGGAACCTACGATCGCACGCATGTACGGCTCTGGCGTACTAAACTCGGGCAAAACGTGTTGGCTTAAGAATTGCTCCATGTTACCCTTGACGTCCGGATGACGCATGATCAGATGTCCTAGAGCACTTGTCATGTTGAGGGCACCAAATCGTTGGGGTGCTGCAGGTTTTGATTGCAAGACGCGGTTGATGAAGCTGAGAATAGGCATGAAGGTAGCTTTGGTACGACTGCCAGCGAGCGAAAGCAGGAAGGTCGTCGCAGCTGAGACGGGTGTGTCATAGGTCTCGTATTCGTCGACAGACATGCGGATGTAGTCGGCGGGGTCAGAATTCCAGAGCTCCTCCTTAGTGGCGTTGAAAGTGAGTTGAGGGAAGACATAGGACTGAACCAAGCTCTCGTAATGCGGTTTGAGCAGAGCCCAGGTGGACTTCGGCTTGACACTGTACACCTTTTCTCTGAGTGAATGCAGTTGAAGACCAAAAACACGACTCACCATTCAGTGAAGAACGTGAAAATCAGGTACTGGCACTTCTTGGACAACCACACCTGACCGGAGACATACATTTCGATTTGCTGCAAGTACACCTTGAAGATTTCGGGCGCAAACGTTTCCACGAAATGTCGCGCAAAATCACCATACTCCTCCTGCATGGAACTCGGCAGCTGAGAAGGGTTACCGAACCTATGGAAGAGGCGGCCAAGGATACCGTACGCCCACTTCTTCGCTTTCCACCACTCGCTCCGTTCGCGCTCGTCTTCGTCTTCCGGGACGGCATCCTTGGGTATCTGCAAGTTGACCACGCGAAATAGCAGACTTCCCCAGGGAACAAGGCTCTCCGGACTTTGTTGATGTTTACTCAGCTGTAGAACGATGCTCGTTTTGTAGGCCTTGAGAATGTAGTGAAGCATCATTGGAATTTCCTGTGATGCATTTGCCGGCGGCGTTTGCAGAAGGTTCGAGGCGATATTAACCAGCGTGGGCATAAGCTCCGCGACGAGGTGAGGAAGGACATCAGCCTGTTGTCGGAAACTGTGCAAAATTCAGGATCTACAGAAAATTAAAATTTGACAGACACTCACCGGAATGCTCTGATAACCTCCAACGCCGCAACACATCCTGCTGCCACCTCTCGAATATTACTGCTTGCAAGAAGTCTCTTGACGTCGTCCAGCAACGTTGGCCATCGTTCTGGGAAATCCCGGGCGACGATATTTTTGAGTGTATTTGCCAGCTGCAATGTGATGCTGCGGGAAGGGGAAACAGCTATAAGATGAAGGAGAGATGCCTTCAGAGCATCACGGTCTGAAGTCGCAATGGGTGTCTGATCCGCTCTTGTGACACTATCAATGAAATACGACGTGTAAACGCGGTTCTTGAGGTAGACTGCGCTAGCCTGACGAGTTGCACTGTCAAATTAGTGAGTGAGTGGAGGCTAACGCGAGAAAACGCGTGTATCACACACAGGTCGACACTGTCGTTGACAATGATTTGCAATAGAGCTGCAATCATGCCCTCCTGGCCACCAATCTGCAAGTCAAGCAAAAAGGTCGGAAGGTCAGAATCCTCACTGAACTCATAAGTACACGCTCATGCCTTGCGTATTTGCAGCTCTCCAGCCTTTTGAACATTGGGATCAGGGTTATAGGTCGTCGCAAAGAGATTGGATAGCGTCTGCAAATCCATCTGTATCGGGTGGAGTCAGACGGAGACGAGGAACTGCACACTTTGAACATACTGTTCGTTATTTTCGTGAGGAAAGAGGCTAGAAAATGGGTATATGATGGAAGTTGGAAGGCAAAAATTTCGAGGAGGGGCAAAGCTGCGATGCACGCCTGGCCGGCGTGTCTTATCACCAATCGCTCGGCTAGATCCTTTGTCCTTGAAGAACTTTACGAGTAATCCGGGCAACAGGGTTCGTCAATTGTGCCACAGAACAATTTACAATGGATAATCAACGGCAAGGATGAAAGGCACGCGAGACGTTGGTGGAGAGGCGAAAGGAAGAATACAGCCTTGACGCGTTTCACTTCTTACAATAAAGTCCGGGCGCTTCTGACATGAAGATGAAATCATAGTGGCATCCGACATTTAACCTTGCATTTGACTCAAAGCAAAGGCAGAAAGATATCAGGTGGATACAAGGAAAGGCAGAAACATCAGGTGGATACAAATACTATGAGCGACCACGCGAAGTCATCCGCCTGCTTTTTCCAAGTCGTTTTGAACCTCCCCTCGCTCCGCCTCTGCCGCCTCTTGATGATCTTCCGGAACCTCGAGAAACGAAGTCGTCCGTTGAATCCTTGGTATTCTGCTTGGCACGCTTTCCAGGTCCACCAAAGCCGAATTTTTTGTCGCGAGCAGGTCGAGAGATGCCGCGTTTATCACCTCGTCCTCCTCCGCGCCCGCGCTTGGAAGGTCGGTCGGAAATAGCATCTTCTACGGCGACGTCGAAAGCTCCTTCGTCTTCTTGAGCGTTATCCATAGCACCCTTGCGTTCTATGACGTGAAGGTTATTGCTTGATTAGTACAGTAACAAGGGCAGTGGTCAGGAAATGAACGTACTTCGCTTGAGACCTTTGAGCCTCTCTTCCATATCCTTCTTACTTCGCTCCCGCTCCTTGAGCTTTTCCATCTGCACTTGCTTTCCGAACTTCTTGCCTTCACGTTCCCTCCGTTTCTCTTCGCTTCGCTTGATAGTCGCACCCTCATCCAATAATCGTTGTCGTATCCGTTCCATGTGTGCGTCTGATTTCACCATCTCTGCGAAGTAATCTGCGGGACGGGTGAACGGGAAGTTGTGCTTAGCGGCAAGGTCCTTCGCAGTGTTTGCTCCGTGCAGTGCTTGCTTATAACTATCGAATTCGTGCGGTTTAGAGTGAGATGGATAGAGCGAGTTAACCACTGAAACTCACAAAGCAAGTTCACGGTTGAGGTCATCATCCACATCAACCTCGATGGATTCAGGATACGTCACAGTTAACGTTTCCGTCCATGGCATGGAAGGGTCCAACTGAATGGTCTCTCTTATGCGTGCAAGAGCAATCTAAAATACCAATATGAATGCCCAACGCATCTATAAACGTGATGAAAACACACCTTGTTGTCGATTTCAATTTTCTGCCGAGGAACAACGTCCTCGTCTACAGACTCAGCCTCATCCAAGGGTATATCCTGCTCCTCTTCATCCTCATCTCTCTCACTTTCTACCGCCCGTTCCTCGTCTTCGTCTTCGGAAGCACCTTCCTGTACTTCCTCGTCCTCATCACCAGATTGTTGTGCATCGACTTCGTCAACATCTTCCTCGGCAATTTCACTACCTTCCTCTGCGTCGCTTTCCTCCTCATCACTGTCCTCGTCTCCCGTTAATGCGCGCAGCTCGGTCTGAGCAAACTCGTCAAGTCCATCTTCACCCAAAGCCACCATTAATTTCTTCATGCCCTCTTCGTCGACGTCCTCCTCGTCATCTGAGCTATCCTCCTCGTGTTCCTGCGACCCGACCGACTCCTCGTCTTCGACATCGTCCTCAGAAGATTCCTGTGGTCGTTGAACCACTTTTGGTGATTTCTGACTTTTAGCTTGGGGTTGCAAGGACGAAGCTTTTGCTTTTGACGATGCAAGGGTGGCTTTCTTAGCCATTTTGATTCAGCAGAGAATATGAATATCGAGAAATGAGAGGTGAGTTTTGAAAAGATCGGTGCAGCGAAAGATTTCTGAAAAAGGAAACAACGTCCCAAAATGGAACATTGAGTTACATAAGCTCATTATCATTCCTTTGCAGTGCACCTGGGCTCTTGATGCTGAACGACCACCTTCCGTTGTCATTCCTCTTACACTTATCCCGACAATTAAAAAACTGTGATTGCCCATCATGCCTCGAGCAGAAGGTATGTACTTCTACATTCTAAATCACCCCGAATTTACTAACAATCATCACTAGTCGGTACTCCAAAGTACATCGCTAACAAGATGAAGTCCAAGGGACTTCAGCGGTTGCGATGGTTCTGCCAAGTCTGCGAGAAGCAATGTCGAGACGAGAATGGCTTCAAATGTCATGCACAATCGGAATCCCATCTCCGACAAATGCTCGCCGTTGGCGAGAGCGCCGGACGACACATTGCCGACTACTCTCAACAGTTCCAGCACGATTTTGTCCAACTTCTTTCGAGGAGGTTTGGTACAAAGCGAGTCAAAGCGAATACGGTATACCAGGAATTTATCCAGGATAAGAATCATCTGCATATGAACGCAACAAGATGGGTTACGTTGACGGAGTTTGTGAAGCACCTTGGACGTACGGGTGTTGCGAGAGTGGATGAGACAGAGAAAGGGTGGTTCATTGCGTGGATCGACAGCAGTCCAAAGGCACTGGCGAAACAAGTGAGTATATGCACTAATTGTTTATGAGGCAATCGCTGATTTTATGGACTATAGGAAGCATCGATGAAGAAAGAGAGAGCTACCACATCCGACGAACAACGTGAACGGATGCTCATTGCCGAGCAGATCGAGCGTGCAGCAGCAGACAAGGAGAAGTCTGGTTCACCCGACACCACCCCTCCTGCAGAGGAGGTCGGGTTGAAACGAGACGAAGGTGAAAAGGTTGTCTTGTCTTTGGCTCCTAAGACCGCCACCACATCCTCCATATCTATTACCTCCGCAAAGCCTGCCGCAGGTCTGAAACTTAATCCCCTCAGGGCCAACCCACTTAGAGCTAACCCGCTGAGACGACCAAACCCTCTAAAGCAGGCGGGTGCTACATCGTCACCCGCGCCCTCAGAAGCCGGAAGGAAGAGGGATGCTTCGTCGATGATGACCGCGGCTGAGCGGTTGGTCTTCGAAGAACATGAGAGGAAGCGGAGACGAATGGAACGGGAAGCTGTAGCATGATTTCTTCACTTCAGTTGAATGGACGGTGCGATCGAGTTACTTATTATCTGCTGTAATACTGTAATTGCCTTGTTGTAGACTTTCTCACCCAGAATGTATCATTATCGCCAATTGAAAGGTCAAAGAAGTGACGACCACAATTCAAATTCCGGAGGCCAAAGGCCACACAGTGGCAGAGCGCATGGACCAAGTTCATCCTTTGGCCCTAAGACATATAAATCCTCTTTTGTCTCTTCTGAAACCATTGTGACCTTTACCATCCCTCCCTATCTCTACAAGTCCAGCCTCATCAGTATGAAGAAAGTTCCTCACCTCGAGATCTCCCCGCCGAGCTTCGCCCGTCCTGTAACCCCTGGTTGCCCTACGGACAGCGGCGTTGAGATAAACCAATTGGCCCCATGGGCTACACAACCAAGCCATGACTCCATTCCTCCTGCACCACGCTCAGCAAATGCCCTCTCCCGAACAAGCTCTCTCAACTCGACCAACTTCAATGCACCTCCCGGCGCACAGTGGCGTATTCCCCCAGGCTCGTATATTGCGTTCGGGCTGGACACTCTTACTGTGGCCGCTCAATTCCCTGAGGATTCTGAAGCGTACGAAGTTATCAGCACATTCCCGACGGGCAAGTATGTAGGATGCGTCGTGACTTCGTATACACATACAGGACAGGAATGGTCCGATGGGTGTGACGATGGACCTATTGAGGAACTTGCTGTTCACTTCGTTGGTGCCACTCCGCCGCAAGAAGACGAAATGGCTGACTTCTGGATGCCCATTTCTCCTGCGTCCGACAACGAAACTACTACTAGAGGAGCACCGCTGAAGACCAAAACGTTGTTTCCGTGGAAAGACAAATTCCAATGGACCACCGCGGGAACCAGGCTTGCTGTGAAGACGGTACACGAATCATCGCTGAAGTTCATTCTGGAGGACGAGGAGTTTGGGAGGCTTGAAGAGCAGATGACTCATGATTACCCCGCTCTGGCTGATACTGCGTCTGAACGTATGCCTGTTGACGATGATGGCGAGTTTGAGAATGTTCGGCCGAGCTTTGAGAGACTGAAGGTCCCGATGTATGCTCTGCCTGCTGTCGTTTGGAGGGATGTACGGGAGGCTAATCGTAGAGATGATCCTACTAAGTTTCTGGACGAGGTAGAAGAATTGAATCGGTGAGTGTTTCTGCCATCCTTCTGGCGGTGAGACTTTGCTGACGGTGAATGTCAATAGCTTGGTATGCCAATACTCCACTCCAGAGTTTGAATATACAATGTCAGATGATATGACTCTGGTCGACGATTACATGGATACAGATGTAGACGAATGAGCTCCAGCTACCAATGGAAAGGCCATACAGTAGAATTCGACGAGAAATAGCATATACAGTGTCGCTTATCCGAGCGAGAATCTTGACTCAGGCTGATAAAATTCGAGTTCTGATGTGAGTCATCCTACAGTGAGTTCAGATATTAAGAATAACAATGAAGTAGCTGTCGCCATCTCTGCACATGTACCGCGTACTAGTACTTCCTCGAGTTAAAACATGGAATAGTATAAATAACCGCCTTTGCATTACTCTTACTTCCGCCTCGTCGAACTTGGGACACTAGCAACGGCTTTCCCCTTCGCCCTCGTACGTTTAGACGGCGTAGCTTCATCCCCTCCGGAGTCCTCCTCTCGAAGCCTCGCAGTGCTCTTGTTCTTCGTAACTTCTTTGGCCTTTGGCTCAGCCGTATCGGTGGACCGCCAGTCCCGGAACTTCCGTCGACAGGCATTGCTTCCCATCTCCTGGTATTCAGCTCGTGTGACAAGACATTGAGTGAACTGAGGTGTTCTTGAAAATGCGTGGGCGGCGTGGTAGGCTTCGAGGATTGGCCTGGCAGTTGCATCAGTCCTGAAGCACATATTATCCCAAAAATGATACTTACTCCTGAGACTGAAAAATATCCACTCCGCAGTCAACTGGCGCCAACGTGCGCAACTCAGAAAGCCTGGTAGGATTAACAGACGTCAGCCAACTTTGCTTGAGAATATAGTCGTCGGACGTACAGTCGCTCGCGGAAACCAGGGAACTTGCTCGACCCCCCGATTAGCCCAATATTCGCCCAGAACATGCCTTGCAAATCTTCGGGTAATAGAGATATGCTGTGGGCGATCGTCGTTGCTAGACCAGATTGCTCAAGACCTGCAGCGATGCTGGTCAAAACAGCACCTTGATACTGTAATTGGTCGACTAACCAATGTCGTCAGGATGAAAGAGAATTTCCGGCACTGAAAAACGTTCGTTCTCCATGTACAGGATCTGGTAGGAATCCTCGACTGGTTCGTCAGGTTTTCGTATACGTCCCAGGCGATTGGCAGAATAATCTGGCAGGATGTACTCTTGTACGATCGAATTTCTTCTGGGATTTTCTCTATCGGCAACAGAATGAGGTACACCAATCTGATATCTGGAGAAGCGAACTTGCCGGCAGATGTCGAGGTCTTTCTTGAAGTTTTGTGAGACGTAGCAACATTGCTCCTTGACGTCGTTGATGATGTATGTCTCGTCCATCATGTTCCATTGCCGGAAAGAGACAAGCTCTTTCAAATGGTTTGTTAGTAGTTTACCGCCTACATCAACCCTGGAATGGGATAAACTCATATCAAAAATATTCAAAGATATGAAGGAGGAAACGAACCTTTTGACCGCATTCCAGACGATGGCACCATTCATAATAGGCACCACGTGAGTGAAACTGAACCCGGCGTCGATCACAAGCATGCATTCTGGGGTAGGTAAAGCAGGCTCCGCATAAAGGGATCCATGCGGAATCAAAGAGGCAGCTACACGAGAAATGATTGGGGGACAGCCTAGTTTGGACCATTGTTCGGACTCACGTGTGCATCGATGGTATGCCTGAAACTCATATTCCTCAAAGATAAATTGGTCATATGTATCTTGTATGTTGGGAAGGTTGAAGTATGGTTCTGTGATGAGCAACGAAGAGTTCGTAGGATCTACCTATAGGAGTCAGGGTTAACATTCTGAGATTCTGAATACGTTGGCTCCCTACCCCCAGGAAGTTCGTGTTAAAGAGGCTGTCCCATATCGCTTTCTCGGCATCCCAGTCGACTAGATAGCCCTAAGAACCCTATTCGATCATTCTTTATGAAGTTTGCACAGTGTAGAAGACGCGGATACCTTCTCGAATGGTAGACGATAATGGAGAGACGAAAAGTCATGGCATTGTCGGATTTCGTCGCCAACATACGTTGTCTTATCTCCTTTGGAACGTACTATGGCGTTGAATATGGTTCTGAAGAAGTTCAACATCATTCTATGCTTAAGTATTACGCGGAACACTTACTTCGCATCCACCTCGCTTCCATCCGCCACGCCGAGTTTTATCGAGGATGCGCCGTTGTCTACCAAGATAGTTGTCTTCATGTCGGTGCTCGGAGACAGCGTTGTTGAAGATTGTATTGCATAGGTATTTAGAGACTACACCCACAACTTCACTTTTTGTGGTGGGACTCCACCGTGTGAGTGAGTGTTCCTAAATGCTCGGTCGTACCTCTGTTTACCACTGTTTATTAACACCTTCAAAGCAGTTGCCATTCCGGGATAAGACATTTAAAGTCCTGAAGTACTCAAGTAAATTGCGTCAACAGGTTTTCAGCAGCGTATCATATTGAACATGGAGCAGTACGCCCTTATGCAGTTGGGCGCCTTCAATTGCGAACAAAATCCCGTTTCGAATTTCGCACCCAACCAGGTCGTCGGCACAACACAACGCCATCAATGGATCGTTCACATTAGCCCTTCATATCCAATGTCGAATACTGCGGAAGTCTGGTAATGTATGGGAGTTACACAGAGGTGATGGCAAGCGGATGCAGTACATAACAAAAGATGATCAGAATCGGTGACGACCATGTGAAGCAAAGTGAGCGGCAAGATAGGTCTATTTCTTGGCTGTCTTCTTGCTCTCGACAAAGAGAACTCGGGATTTAACTAGAAGTTGTACAAAATTAATAATAACAGAAAAGCCAGAGTCAAAGCGACGTACCACGAGGATCGTACTTCACTGCAGACAAGCTAGCTCCCTGCTTCACTCGTTTTGTGGTATAGAAATAGCCGGTCTGTGCGCTGGAGAGCATTCGCACGATAATGGACCTGAATTTGATTCACTTTTCGAAGATTGCATGATCCCAAAATAGACCAAGAGCTTACTTTGCTTTGCTCTTCGCCGCCATGGTCGTCGAAACTTGAGGAGGTTTGGCGCTGTGACCTAATGCTACGAGCGCCAAATCTTAGCGTGATGTCTGTGACGTCTGCACGTGAGAGGCGCGTATACAGCGTCACGCTTTCTGGTCCCGACGTCCACGACGGCAAGAACGACAACAACAACGGCCGTAGCGACGCGTCGATCTGCTCGGGAACGCTCGTTACCTTAGTAGTCTGTTGACCTGGTTATGTCCTGACACGAACAGCTTTATTTATTCAACGACACGACAAGCATGCCTACAGGAACTCCTTATAACGCGTTCATCCACCCTTATTCTATTCGCGTGGATGACTTTTCTGCTCCTGACAATCTTCATACGAAAGCAGCTTTGCATCTGCTCTCCCATACTCACGCCGACCATATCAACGGACTTTCGTCAAAGTCATTCGCGTCCACCGTGATCTGCTCGCACGATGCCAAAGAAATGCTTCTGCGTCATGAAGTGTACTCGGAAAGAGCACTAAAGGCGATGGACATCAGGGCAGAGAATGTGAGAACATTTCAGCATTTAAAGGTGCAGCCCCGGATGATGGAGGATGGAACGCTGCATTACACTGGTTCCCGAGACTTGCTGGTACGTCGAAAGAATCCTCATTAGGTAGACATGTATCTAACCTCAAGATAGAAAACCATCCCCCTCAATACCCCTACTCAATATGAACTATCAGATGATAACAATGTGATCATCACCCTGTTGGACGCAAACCATTGTCCTGGCGCGGTCATGTACGGCAACTATTCATGCTCAGTATTCTAATTTCTGAATCATGCCATGCAGGTTTCTTGTTGAAGGTGAAAAGGGGGCAGTCCTACACACCGGAGACTTTCGTGCGGAACCATGGTTTCTCGACTCCCTCAAGAGGAATCCATATCTTCAGCAGTATGTTGCGCCACCTTCGCTACGACCACGTCACGGCCCCGGATCCTGTTCAGCCAGCCGAGGTATCACAAAAACCTTGGATGCGATTTACCTCGATACAGCATGTATGTTTGGAACAGAAGATGTGCCTTCAAAGGTAACTACCAGTCGCTACGTCTCATATAGTCTGACCTTTCTGCACATAGGATGAAGCTTGTAATGGTTTGATGTCGTTAATGGCGCTCATTCCAGACTCTTCTCTCTTTTTCATCAATTCTTGGACATGGGGTTACGAAGACGTGTTGAAAGCCGTAGCCCGCACTTTTCAAACCAAGGTAATATTTCCTGTCCTTGTTGATGATGTTTACCTTATTCTCAAGTCTTGCAGATTCATGTCGACCGTTACAAACATAACGTCTACTCGCATCTTTCCGGAGAGCCTTTCCTGCGTGAGATTCTCACCCGGGACCCAGCTTCTACTCGATTTCATGCATGTGAACGGTTTGACCGCTGCGATCGTGTAAAGGTGGAGGGTGGTGTCTCGCACACCGCTGACGGAAAACACGTCGTATACGTGAACCCTGTCACCATGAGTACTTCCGCCTGGAATGCGTACCTGAAAGAGACCATGGCCCAGCTACAGAGGGGTGAACCCGTGAACGTACTTGTATGTCGTTTCCAGACTTTTTCGCGGAGTACAGTCTAAAACTATTCTAGCTTGTTGCGCTTTCGCGTCATTCTCCTTTACCTGAGCTTCGCGATTTTGTCTCCTTGTTCAAGCCTAAACGCGTGGTACCTAATACCCTCAATCCCGCGTTAGGAGGGCTCGATTGGGCTTGCATCCAAGGAATGTTTGCAGGTTGTTTCTCGCACTCGACGCAATTGTTCGCACCCAATATCCCGCTATCCCCTGAAATCGATAGTACGATATTCGAGTCAGATGTCGATGTGGCACTATCCAATTTGGAAGGCAATGGTGCGCTCGAGATCGCAGAGCGTTGGGCAGACAACGGGAAGCTTCGCAAGAAGTTAAAGCTCATGCGTCAGTACCTGCAAGGCCCCGAATTGGGACTTGTGGAAGGTATAATGGGAGGTAAATCACCGAATCCTCTGGACGAATCGCCGGTGGAAGTTGTTTGGGCCGGCCACGAAAGTCTTCAAGCGGAGGTGTTCACCCAAAGATCGAAGGCGGTAACCATGGAATCCGAGAAACGCGAGAAGCAAGTAATTGGAAAAGCATCTTTCCAAGAAACTGCTGCTGCCATGGCTCGCCTGCGGACGCCGGCATACTATGTCGACAGCGATGAGGAGACGGAAGATCATGAGCACGAGCATGCAAGGGCCGCTGAGCTTTACTTTCTCAGCCCCTCTTCTCGACGATACTTAGGTCCCAGTTCATCACCCTCTCGTCCTCTCAGTTCTCCAGCGCAGAAGGAGAACATAAGGGAGGCTCCTAGCAATTCTAGTGTAGAAGATGCCAATCCACATGCTGGGGTTACGCCGCCGTTTCCGTTGACGCCCCAGTCACGATACGCTTCCCAGGAAGAGGTACGGATAAAAGCCGTATCTCTGCTCACCTCTTTGACCCAACACCCACCGCAGCGGAATAGTCAAGGCACCGGTTCCTCATCGCGACGAGTAGGTTTGCCGCGTACTCCACAACGTCTACAGGTCATGCCCCTCGGATCCCCTATCAAGTTACGCACAGCCATTTCTCGAGGTTGTGCCAGTACTAGTAGGAAGACACGTCCAATGGTACTCCCTCAAACGCAGATATCTCAGTCTGTTGGTCCTCACTCTCGACATAGCCAGTCGTCACAAGGTTCTGGTCTATTGTTCCCACTTATTCCTATTCAAAATCTTGGGAAGAGAAAGTTGACGGACGCACGAGAAACGTCATGGCAAGATGCGAGAACACCGAAGAAACGAAAGGTGGAGGAAGAAAACCCTTCATTCTCCGCCACTTTCAAAGTCCTTCGATGCGACGATCCTTTTCTTGAAGAACCGGGACGACCTCTTAGCAACATCGCTCGGAGTGTCAATGGCACAAAGACGCCGCATAACTACAGCGAAACCTCAGGACATTCGCCTGCTACCCACGTCGATGCAACCTCCTATACTAGTTTGAAGAAGCTTGTTCTTCAGACACCTCAACGTGGACATAAGCGAAAACGAGACAAGATCTCTGACATGCTCGTCGCAGCCTGTCCGGACATGGTTGCTGGTTCTTACCAAGCCAAACTGGAGCGCCGGCAAACCAAAAAGCGACGACCACTGCAAATGACAAGAACTGAACCCGTCATCCCCGTAGTAAAGGAACCTCTTGCTGTCCGTCTGCTGCGTCCACAAGTCACTCAAGTGAATGAGGAAGCGCAAGTGGATCCTGATCGTGTAGCACAGTTGACAGGTGCCTATCGAGCGAGGATCGCAAACGGTATAAGGCCCGGTCTAGCGATTCCCCAGTTATCGTGCCTGGAGAGTCAGGAAGAAGAAACCTCATAGCCTACCTTGAATGTGTCCATCCGTGATGTCATTCTCAAACCGGGACTATTTGCCTGTCCCTCTTACTGTATAGTGATCCGTTTATACTGCTGTCAATTTCAATTCGTAACAACATATCGAAGGAGCACAATTCAGTGCGTCCCACCGCTGTCTTCTGATCACATCAGGAAAACATTCTTTCTGACTTGGGTCCCTTGATACGAGATGACGGGTTTGTACCCCAGGACACGCTTTATTCAATGGCCGATGGTTCTTACGGTAAGTAAGACATGGGTCGACGGTAAGAACTGCACAGCGGAGAATTTGGCCCGTGTTGCTGCTGAGGCCTGACCCTCGATGCGCAGCAACTGTTATGTGTAGGTTAGCACCTGGGCTCTGGAGACTCAGGGTCGAGAGAGCGTTTCTGATATCTAATTACTCTCATCAGTATTCCATCTATATTCCGTCATGTCCAGGGTCAAACGCATCTTGGAAGCTGAATATTCTCTTGAAGAGGACGCCTACTTGATGGCGGTTAGTCATTAGTCATGCGATATGGACCCTGCAAGACCCTGCAGCCTTGTCGGATCACGCCCTGACCTTCGTCACCGTTCAGGATTCATGATGCGCACGATAGGACCTTAAGTGATGTCCGAACCTGACTTCGGTCGTTAAGCTATACGTCATGATGCGATGTTAGTACCTTGAGGTGGTGTGTCTGTCTCGTGAAATATCTCAAGTTCAAACTATGTGTACGACATGAGGTGCAACTCTAAGAGGACGTGACTTCAGACTTCCACTGGCCTTTCATCGTCATGTTCAAGTGTAGCTTCAACGGCGCGCTTTGCAGGGTCCGGTTAGATGCATTCTTTAAGTGAAAAAATTACGTGGTCTTGCCTACCTCATGACGACGTAGCGCCTTCACCTCCCCACCCTCGTCCTTGTACCAATCACTCCAGCGAAGGGCTTCAAAGGATGCAAGCGGGTCGTAGACGGTATTCTTGAAAGCATAGCTAAAGAGCTTCTGAGCGCATCCTGCCACAAAAATCTCACTTCCAAGTCCCAATTCCAATGTCATCGAAATGTGAGAGCGATGAGTCACTGATTCTGCTAACTCTGGGCGGATATCTCGAACGACAGCAAGATAATGGTCTCTGTATGACGAAAGAATTTCCACAGGTTCCCTTCCGTTGACCGTCTCCTATGAGTGAAATGTCAAAACAAGTATCTGAAGAATCCCTTAGAAAAGACTAAGCGTACATCTGGAAGCGATTTGTTTGCATTGTCTGGATCAATCGCATCTGTTCCATACAGCAAAGTAATCCAATCACGACATATCCAATGTGGATAGGAGCCATATCCTATGCTTCGAGGGACTGTGCGCGACACGCCATCCCAGTCGAGGAATCCTCGAAGCTCAAAGGTGACCGGATCGACTATCACGTTCTGAAGTTCAAGATCGGGATGGCACAGGACGAATGGTGCAACATTAAGGGATCTCTGCTGAAGAGCCGGGGCTAGGAGACGCATAGCGAAATTCCATACGAAATTAGGAAAGACGGTGGCGAGCCTAGCATTTGTATAATCCTGGACGTTTTCAAAAGGTCCCATCATGTCTACGCCATCTTCCGGATCGGGACGCAGAGGTCCCACTCGCAGAAGTCCATTGGGATCCACTGTGAGTGAGCCAATCTTGTCGTATTCAAATACTTCTAACTGAACCAGCGCACGTGCAATTTGCTCTAGAATGAGCAATCGTTGCTCCATAGGAAGAGCCTGCCTGTCGTACCACAGATCGCATAAGCGAACCCCGGCAATGAAAGAAGTGATCATATAAGGGTAGCCGAGTGGGTTATCAATGCTGGAGGAGTGCCCAAATATGACGGGCATAGGAATCGTAGTTGTGGAAGATATGAGCTTCATGATGGCAACATCGGCCTCGTATGTGAGAGCATCCACGCATTCTGGAAGCGCCACACGAACTACATAGACGGTCCTAGAATCCGCGTCAGCCAGGAAATGCGCAAGGTTGTACGATCCTTCTTTCGGGGCTGCGTGTATGACAAGTCTTGAAGAAACGGTTGCAGCAGCCACGACTGCTTGTAGTTTCTCGAACGGTATATCGCGTAAAGGACCAAATGAGTCGTTGGATCGGTTCGAATTCGAGGAAGGCGTTGAGGGGAGGTGCGGTGGTGACATGCTGGATTAAAAATTGGATTCAACAAGCACAGCGAAGAGAATGAGAGATGGGGGCTCTTGGATGAGATTTAGGGAAGACCCGAAATGCCGCAAGCGTTGTAGACAACAAGTCTGGCGTAGATAAAGAGCGCGCGCTTGCAGGGGTTGTCAACCTTGCAATCGAACACACGAGACTGGCAAAATCGCTATCGTGTATAACATGTGGATCCATAAAAGCGTCTAAAGGCGTGTCCTAGGACTTCTCTTCTCAGTGGCGGTTGTCATTGATCCGAATCGGAGGTAATCCCTAAGAAATTAGAAACAAACAATACCGTACTAGTCACGGAATTCATCATATAGCTTTGGCTAAAAAAGCCATGATATCAGCGAATATTACCATCGGTCATCAACATACAAGGGACGAGACGAAGGCAGCGTAGTCGATAGATAGCGCATTTTTGTTTGCAACGAGAGCATGTGCCACGTCGTGTTGGAGACCTTAGACCACAGTAGATTCCATAGACATATTTGAATGTCTGATACGATAAGAGCAATGCGTTCATCTGTAAATATATAGAGGGTGATGCGGCAAGTTGAGAAAGACAGGCAATATATAGCAGTATGTGCAGATGACGGTGACATCCCGAGGGAAGCTTTAGTTAGTACGACGTAAGCAAGCCCTAGTAAGCATTTTGGTCATGCCGCTTCGAGCCTTTTGACCTTCAGCACTGAACGTATCTTCCTCAGGTTCAGGCGTTCATCATATTGAGCTGATTTTTCTGAATCTGTGCTACCCCCACTGAATCTGGGGAGTCAAAGGTAGCCTGTAGGTATCCATTTACTGTTGGTCAAATCGTAAGCATGCTTATCCGTATATTTAGCGTCTCAAACCCGAATGGCAGTAATCCAAGATCTGCCTTTAGAACTGATTCAACAGCTCCTCCTCGAACTAGACCCATTAGACGTTGCCAACGTCTCCCAAACATGCACCACTTATGCAGCACTTGTCTACGATCCCCATGGCATCTCCTTCTGGCGCGAACTTTATCTCAGGCAACCATTCGATGATCCTCGTACTTGTTACACTGAATTGGGGGACCCGGTTGGTCCTCCCATCGACTGGAAAACCAGATTGAAACGCATCATCAGAGCCCGAACGGTTGTGAACGACCCGAGTAAATGCCGGATTGACGAGCGACGCCAGGTCTACCAGACGTTACTGGATATGGTACGAGAGATCCCGCCAACGAACAGCGACGCCGAGCAATCTCTCAATGCAGCCTATGTTGTCTCTCTCCTGGACGGCCGCGAGTTTCTTGATCTCGAGTCTTGCTGGACAGAACCCCTCGATCGTGAAGAGCGTCAGATTAGAGCTCGGATTCACACTTATTTCGGTCTGACTGCGAAGGATTTGCAACAACCAAGGAGGACAGAGGCTCGAGGGCAGGTCTATGCGATGAGGAACTACAAGCCTCTGAACTTCTATGGGCCGTTTTTGAAAGATGGAAGTGCAAGAGTAGATTGGGAAATGATGTCGCATATACATCTGGTGATGTCTATTCACGTCGTTCCACCCATCATATATGATGGATTTAGGTATATTATATACCCTATGTGCTTGCCATATTGTCAGAGTGAGATACCCCGGGGTATTGACCTTGACAAGGAGGTGGATTGGGCGGGCATCACTGGCACTTGGAAGTGCTCGTTCTGCTTCATAGATCATCGAGAACTTCTCGGTTAGTAGTTTGCGTTCACATGAAGTATGCTACTGATTTTGACATATTTTGCCAGTGTTCAATAATTATAACGTACGTGCATGTAAGAACCTATTGAACATGTGCCGCTTATTTGTGCAGCTCTCCGACCAGATTCGCCTTGATACATCTCTATTTGACGATCCCAATTTCATCGAAATATTCCGCACGATCAATGTGAAGTTCCATGTAAAGGATTCCGAACCTGATCCAAATCACCCCACACGTCCGAAACTACATTTCGACGGTGAAATCGAGGGCCATGCTCATATGTTTGGCTGGGTTGCAATCACGCCTGACGACAATCTCAGATGGCACTTTGTGAGTTCTGTTCGCGTTGCAATGTATCTGACTGTTGATGTTTTTTTTTAATTCTTATAGGAATCTGGAGAACCGGGAAACCCTGTATGGAGGTATGTACTGGTTCGCAACCTTTTGACGACATCCCTGTGAATGTTACTGTCGTTTTCAGCTCCGAAGGGGTGCAAGTTGGCGGCGTTCGTTCATTGTATGGCGTCCTCGGTGTGTGGACAAGCGTAGAACATGATATCAATGACCCTGTTGGCGAGTATAACTTTCAGTACATACTTCTATACGTAGTACTGAGATGAATTGATATAGGCCCTTTCTGGCTGCGCAAGGTCTTGGAGCCAGGCGATTCTGGTGCTGCCTTCGAGGCTTCTGCTAATCGATGAGAGTGGACGCTTTGCTGGGAGTCTACAATACGCTGGGACTTTGGAAGAATCAGTTGTTTATTGTATTTTCGCAACCACAGTGACATATTACAATACTCTTAGAGTCCAAGACGACGTAATAATCACTTTGTAATGCTCGTCAGTAAAGGAGGCTTGTGCAGGAATCGAACCCAAAAGAGATCGAGTAAGTGTATCATAGAGTATGTAACGCGTCGGAACTGGTCTAGGCGCCAAGCAACAGAGGACTCAACTTACACATTCACTGAGCGAGTACTCACCATTCTCTCCTCGTCGTCCATAACGATGTCGGACCCTCCAAAGAAACTAGGATCGTTGAAGGATCGTATCGCTGCGTTCGAGAACAAGGGCCCTGCACCAGTACCCGCAGCAGCACCTGTTCCTCGTCCAAAACCAGCTGGCGGCGTATCTTGGAAACCCAAGGCACCTTCGCCGCCATCTTCACCACCTGCACCTGACAATGCGGAGAGGAAACTCGCGGGTATGTCTGCAGAGGATGCGAAGGAGAGTATCGGGAAAGGTGGGAGTTTGAAGGAGCGTATGGCGGCACTCCAGGGACGAGGTGCTTTTGGCGGCTTGCCAGGTGCTGCACCCGTCGCACCACCGAAGCCCGCAGTAGAGAAACCAAAGTGGAAACCACCTCCACGACCTATTGCTTCGCCTCCTATCGACGACGTCGCAGACGTTGCTCCTGAAGCACCCCATGCTTCCCCACCTACGACTGCGGCAGATAGTCAGGAGGAATCTAAGACCGCTGAGCCGTCGGGCGAAGCTGAGCCCAGCCCTAGTAGGGCAGAGGAAGCGCAGGAAAGTCAGGAGCCAGATCCAGAAGAAGAGGAGAGACAACGTCGTGCAGCGATTGCTGCTCGTATGGCTCGTCTCGGCGGTGCTAGGGTCGGAATGGGGCCACCTCCAATCTTTGGTAAGAAGCCTGAAGTCAAGAAGGCAGAGACACCTAAGGAGGAAGCTAAGGAAGAAGAGCTGAGAGCTCCTGAGGAGCGCAGCGAAGGGTTGTCACCCCCTGCAACTGAACTTGTAACTGAGCGCGGTACGTTCTTCCTAACAGACTCCGTGTAGCAATAACTTATGAGAGTAATTGTCACTATATTAGGTACTCCTTTGATTCAGTCGCCTCCTGCTGAGGACGCAGTATCCACAGAGGATGTAGAGAATCGTCAAGGTATATCTCATTGTTCGAGGATCATCCACGAGCTAACCTCCAACAGAGTTCTTCAATACTGAGCAGACATCTACATCGTCTCTCTTGTCTTCCGATTCTGCGGCTTCATCAGGTCGCTCGCCGTCGATGCCAGTACCTTCAGTACCTCGCCGTACTGGACCCCCTCGCAAGAAAGCTGCGAAGTCACCTTCACCTACTCCTCCTATACAGGTTCTCAATACTGAGTTCACCCGAAGTCCCTCGACTACACCTGCTTTAGACGTGCAGGGTCAATCCAAGGAGGCTGTGGAGGAGGCTATCAAGCAGAGTAAACAGATCGAAGAGGCTGGTTCCAGGGAGCCGGAAATTACCCCGCAGATTCCTGCCGAAGTTGAGACGCAGATCAGGGAAGAGACGGAAACTGAACGTGAACCTACGCGTGCACCAAGTTCGAACGTTATCCCTCATGCAGAAGAATTCTCTGAGGAAACAAAGTTGCCTACAGGCGAATTGGAATCGCTCTCCATCTCTGATGACATTGTTGAGAAGAAAGTTGACGAACCTGAACATCATGGTCCAACTCTTCCTGAATCGGGAGCCGATGCCCAACCAAGCAATATCGAAACTGAGGAGGTAGTCAAAGGCGAGCCAGACAATGACAAAGTCGGGTCCCCACCGAAGGAAGTGGAAGCCCAGATCGAAGAGCCCGAGGGGGAAGACGAAGCTGGTCGCCGCAAGCGCATCGCGGAACGTTTGGCTAAGACGGGCGGAGTGAATCCTCTTGCTGGTCCGCCTCCACCTGCAAGGAAACCTAGTTTACCAACACCGGTTTCCCCAACCGAAAGTGTTGGATCTAGAAGGCAGGGCAGCATCGATGTAGCACAATCCCCAACTATCTCTCTTACGCAGGAACGCCAACTACCCCTCCGACGCGAAAGTACAGACTCTGCTATCCTCGGAAAGCGCACCAGCTTGCGCAAGGGATCTGTAGACTCTGTCAGTTCTCAGCCGCTGCGTTCCCCGCCTTTGCTTCCTACATCTCCGAAGCCGACTTTACCTACTCGCAAGGATAGCACTGGCTCGACTTCATCCGGCCCGCAAAGGAGGGCTTCTCAGGATGGTGAATATTAATTTTCTTTACCCCTTCCGCTTCTCGATTGCTCGGATAAATTGTACAAGTAGCGTTGATGATACATTTCTATTCTTTCAGATCGTAAGGAGCCTCAGGCAGACATCGGCAGCATACGCCATCGACTCAGTACATCTGAAGAAATTTCTGAGGAACCCGAAGCCTATGAAGACGATGTGCTGAGTGGAAATGAAGGCCCAGAAGCTGAAGCTGGCCCACGTGAGGCTCGCGACTATTCTTCGGAAAAGCCCACTGCTCCCTCACGTTCAGTTGCTAATTACCCTGCTGACGAGTTGTTCGTCCCTGCGAGTGTGCCCACGCAGGGAGACGATGACGATGATCGTGTATCGTCTTTGCAGGTTGAGGATGAGGAAGTCGAGGAACCTCGGGAATATGAGCCAATCGATGAGGAATACTCTCCACCAGAGCTAAATCGCGTGCCTAGTCCTGTGAATGACGACGTAAACCTGCAAGAGGATGTACCTGTGCCACTACTACCCACCGCACCTCGTCCTCCTGTGAAACGTACATCAATACCTCCTCCTCCACGTGCTCCTCCTGCCGTCCCCGAATCGCTTGCAGAATCAGCTGCTGAGGCCGAACCACGAATCCACCACGTTCGTCCACTTCCGCCACCGCCGCCGATTATTGAAGAGGTACTAGATCGTGATGCGGACAAGACACCTTCTGTGCTCTCTACAGCTGTTCCCCCAATACCTCCAAATCGACCGCCGCCTGTTGCACAGGTTAACATTCTACTTTCCGAAGATGACGATGCGGAAGAGAAGGATTCGCCTTCCTTGTCACCCATCGACAGTAAGGATAACGTTTCGGACTTGGACATTCAAAGCGATATGGATGTTCCAGACTCCCCACCACGTACCTTCGATGAAGAGGAGCCATCAATCATATCTAGTGCCGAAGAAACCCCGGAGTACATTGACCAGGACGAAGAATCTTATCAGAGCGAGCCTGCAATTTCACAACGCAGGGCGGCACCACAGCGACACGTTCCTGAGCCGATTTCCACCACGTCCAAGTGTAAGAAGCCGGAGCAAGAAGTATTGGACGATTCAGACGGAGGTGAGTAATTATACTCTCACTTCTTATTTACAATTTAATTCGTCTTTAGATCCAATTGATCCTGCATTCCATTCCCCGCTTAAGTCTCCAACTACTTCCATTGCAAATCCTCCCTCGTTATCATTGTCTCAGCCCCAATCCCCTCCACCTGCAGCATCTTCACCAGAGGAGGAAAGCGAAGATGAAGAGCAAGCTCGTCGTCGAACCATCGCTGAGCGAATGGCCAAGCTTGGTGGCATTCGTTTCGGCGCACCTCCGGCCCCAACTCGCCGACCCCAACCACCACCACCTCCGACTGAAGAAGGTGCTGTAGAAGACAATGAGCCGACGGAATCCAAGGCCGAACCCGAAGAACCCCCCGAAGAAGAGGATGAATTTTCACGCAAGCAGAGGATTGCGGCTCGTATTGCTGGTATGGGTGGTATGCGTTTTGGCATGTTACCCACCCCCATGTCACCCCCTGTTCCACCTGTGCGAAAGGAAAGCGTTCACGAACCCGTTTCGGTGTCTTCCCACGCAGTGCCTGCTGTGCATCCTGCCTCTGGTGACGACATCGAAGATGAAGGTGTACAGGTTGATGTGGAAGAAAGTGAACTGGAGGAGGTTTCTCATTCGGACATACCAGAGGAAGTCCCTCCCCCAGTTCCGACTCGGGCTGGCAGACGTTCATCAACGCAAACGCCTGCCAGTGCTCCAGAGCGTGTACCACCTGTACCTTCTCTTGCTCGTCCTCCGGTACCGCTTGGACGACCGCCCATTCCTCCCACTCCATCCGGTAGCAGAGGTATCCCTTCGCCCGCATCTGGGAGAAAGTCTTCGGCCAGTACCGAAACCGGCCACCCATTACCTTCTCCACCCGCAGTGCAATCGTCTCTTAGTCCTGCAGGTGACTACGTCTTGGTAGATGAGCCAGAAAGCGCAGAGGAACTGCCGCCACCTCCACCTCCTCCACGCTCTGTTCGAGTACCTCCGCCTCCTAGGTCTGCTCCTTTGCCTCCGCCGCCTCCCGTGCATGGGTCTGCCGACGAGGTATTATCTGATTTCGAGGCAGAGGTAGATCTCTCGCTGTCTGGACAATGGTCGGAAGACTCTACCAATTACCCTATCTCTGTGGCACCTCCACCGCCGCCGTCCAAACGTGCGTCCACAAGCCGACCTGAATCCCAGCGGCCGCCAAGTCATCAACCACCCGTAGCGGATTTGCAACTCTCTCCAGATGAACTAATGGCACTTTGGGGCCGGGTTGGAGTTCAAGTTAATGAAACTGCTGCAACTTTGTTCGACAAGTCAAGGAAATCTCTGGTTGGCGATGGTTCCTATGTCGGCTTCATTAACGCAACACTCAGCCAGGTCCCGAACGCTGCCAGGCCGTCAGCTCAAGATTCTTTTGGATATTTGATATATTCTCAAAGCGGCGCAGCAGTCCAGAGGCGTGTTACTGATATTATGCCAGGCGATATAATCGTTCTCCAAGATGCGAAGCTGAAGGGGCACAAGGGCATCCAAATGTATCATCAGACTGTTGGCGCTGGTGAACCTGTCGTGGCGATTGTTGCAGACTTCGAAGTGAAGAAGTCGAAAGTCAAAGTGTTCCAAGCGAACCAGCATGTGGGACATCAGGTAAACGAAGTGTTCTCTCTCCTGGATATCTGTGATCTCATGCCTTTTATTATGACAGAGCGTGGAATCTACAAGCTATCGCTTGGAAGACTTAAAGAGTGGCACTGTTAAAGTGTGTTATTTTCTTCGACTTCCGTGGATGTTTACTGATTTTCATACCCAGGTTTTTCGTGTTTTATCTTCGTAATATTCTTCTCGGAAGGACCCTGGAATTCTCTCTTCAATTTGATTTGTACCATATTTCTGTCTTCGTAAGTTCATCTTGGATTGGATAATCAACAAATCTGTCAAGCATCCATGAGATACGATTGATATCGGATGTACAGTATACTTTTATGACCTGAAGTTCAGCCTGAAAGACGCCACGGCCTTCAGAAGAAACACCAGTTGGGCAGATGACGACGACAGCCGTGAGAGCCTGGCTTTAGGTGAACAGTCAGTTGCTACGACCCGTTCTATCCGTCCAAGCAAGAAACTTTGTCCTCGATAACAAGCCTTTCTCGCAATGCTTGCCTCTCCTATTCTGAGAATACCCCTTGCTCTAGCAAGTTCCTATATAGCACAAAGGTCATCTACTCCTCCTAACCCACCTGCAGAAGTGGTGGAACGACAGAAATACCATGCAAAGGATACTTCCACGGATACCTTAGGCAGCATTTTATGGTGGTGGTTGCCTTCGTACTGGGTACGCCTTTTTCCATTAAAAAAACGTACATGGAAAATAATTGAATCGTGTAGATTACCCTGCACTTCATCAGTTTCCTCGAAATATACACCATCCTACAAGCCGAGATTCCCATACTACCCCGTCCTCCTACTCTTCTTTTGCCTCTTGCTACAGAACGCGGACAGTTGCGTCTTTCCATGGTCGCCGCAGCCGGGATCTTGTTTGCTTCGGTAGGATATAATATACGCATGTCTGCCGTTCGCCATCTCGGTCGTCAGTTTACATTTGAGCTGTCTATTCAGAGCAAACATAAGCTCGTCACGGACGGTCTCTACAGCCTCGTGCGCCATCCAGGTTACCTGGGTGCCATCACGATATGTTGCGGGAATGTCGTCTTTCAAATGGGTCCAGGGTCAGTCTGCTTGGAGCGTGGTTTGTGGCACGCAGCCCTTGGAAGAGTTGTTGGTGTATTCTGGATCTTTCTAAACATCGCGGTATCGAGCATAATGGCTTTCAGGACCGCAAGCGAAGATGCTGCACTTCGGAGACAATTTCCGGAGGAATGGGACGTATGGGCAGCAAAGACACCATATAGGCTGATTCCGGGAATATATTGATGGTACGAGAGTACTTATGCTATCCCTTTCATGCGCCTGACGTAGATCTAACTCTGTCTAGGACCCTGTGTTATGGCTCGATATACTGTGCTGGACCCGAACGACATCATTTGCGTCTATGTCATTTATACTTCCTCCACTGTTATTCTGCAGGTGGAACAATCTACGCTGTGCGGCTTTATAAATGTTGAACTACCTGTACTGAAAATATGGAGCTCATTGTAGTATCATCTAGAACTCAAAGCCCGAAGCTTCGCTTGTGTATGTAGTGCAACTTGCCCGAGATGTCAGAAGCTTTTTTCTTTGCTTCACTCACATTCTCTCTTGACGTACGTAGGGTATGTCGGGAAATGTGTAGGTCCGGCGGTGCTTTCTTTCTGTAAACATTTCGAGTGGTTTTGTTGACATACATTAACTTCGATTCACCGCTGAAGTTCGAATGTAGGAAATGACATATCGCTTCAAGAATGGTATACAAATGAGAATAATAGGCAGGAGGGTTGTGCCCGTGCATGCTCAGGAACTCTACTCATTCAGATGTGTAGTTTGCCTGCTGGATGAAAAGAGCTGAGGAAATTTGCTCGCACTGGGGGATGTCTCGCGTCCAATATGTCATTGTATGGTCCATAATTTTGACGAGTTCGCCGCTGCAGAACACCCCCGATCCCTAAATGCTCTGATGCCTCACGTACAGGCTCGTCTCGCTCGAAGGCTTCAGTATTATATGCGCTAGTATTTCCACCTTCGGCGTTTCAGAGATTGTTCAGCATACCACTGGAGAAACAAAACCCAAAACGTAGTCAAGATACAGAAATTAAACAGAAATGAGTTGCTCTAACCGCCAGATTTGTAAAGCCTCGACGGTCTGGTAATAGATAATACTCTGCTACAACAAACAACTGTATCGAGGTATCAATCCAGGCACGGTAAGCCGTAGGAAACATCAATGCCCCTCCACGGGGCTCATGAAGGTTCAGAGGACCCGGACAAGATGCCTGCAGCCCAATCGCGATCAAACAACAGCTGTTCAGCAAAAAATTCACCCAACGTTTCCTGCAACTGTGTGATAAGCGGCTGGTCAGTATCTGCATAGGTGTTCAAGGGCAGAGGATGTGAAGACGGAGGGTGTAGGACTTTGAGCGCTGCCTGTGTGGGATAAAATACAAGGACCCAGTCAGAACGCAGAATGTCATAGTGAAAAGAAGCCAAACTGACTATGACAGAATCCACAACAGGGCTTTGTTCTCCAGGCATGCATTCACTGCCAACGACTTTCGCGCCGCCACCTTCCACGAGACCTTTCCGAACTGCCTCCTTCCCAACGCCCATGAGACCTCGAATGGCACCTTCTCGGGTACCTTTACTCTTCCCCGGTGATATCAACGCTAAAAGAAGTGTCTTCATGATTCGAGGTGAGAGGGATGGGTACGTTGTTGAATGCTGTCTGAGAACGCGGGACAGGATTTGAGAGGCAGTCGTTCGAAGATAGGTGGCGTAAGTTGGCGGGAGAGTGGAATGGAGAAGTGTGGATAGTATTGGTGGAAGGAGTTGATGGAGCTGGAAGCCAAGGGGATGAGTCGGTAATAAGATCAAAAAGACAGAAAACAACGCACATATGGCTCGACAAAGAGTGTTGGATTGTCAAGTATGGCACCTATGACATCCAGGAGTACCCCGAGGACACGGCCATCGTTGTCAGTCTGAACGCCTCCTTTCAGTGCATTCACAACGCCCTCTCCTACCCATCGTACAAGGTATGGCAGTAACGCTTGCAGACCAGCATCGTTCCGCAGACTGGCCAGAGCGGCGTTGCGTTTTGTATCGTCGGATGAGGGTGGCAGTAGTGAAGACGTGAGGCGAGTATAGTATAGCTGTAGCTCTCGTGACAGAACTTGTTTGACAAGTGGTTGTTGCTGTTTCTTAGCTCCTTGCATAGGAGAGGGTCGATCTGATGACGGAGGCGTTGGAGGAAATAATCCACCTGGACGAGCAGTCGACGGTTCTCGCTTGATACCAGATGGTTCTCCCTCTATATCCCGCGGTATTGCGGGTGGATTTTCTGGTATCAGAGGTTGCACGCCTTCCACAGCTAACCAGTGTGCGGTCCAATTGACACCTTTCGGCATAGTAATCTTTTCTTCGCGGATAACGCGGTCAAAGTCGATTTCCTCATCTTCGACAAAATAGACAGTCCCCACTGATGGGGCTTGAGGGAACGGGGGAGCTCTGCGGAAAGTAGGGGGGTTGTGCGGGAAGTGGCCATACAAGGGTTCGATGTTGAGAACGCGTAGAGCTTGGTCGATGTCTGATGTTGTTATGGTTGTTCGTCTGGCATGACGCATAAATCTTCCCGCTTCCTGGGTTACATTTGACCTTTTCATGTACGTCTCGCAGGGAAATACGCGCAAGACATACCTCAACTACCTGGTGTATCCGGTACTCAACGTCGCTCGCTAACGCTGAAGCTATAGCGTCAGAGAGACCCGTAATGTTAAGTGATTCTGCGACATCCTGTTCGCCACACATGTGAAGCGTTAAGTATATGGTTCAGGGATGAATGCATACTTTGACAGCTTCTGGTTTATATAGTCCAGTGAGTTGTGCATTTGTGGCTCTTGCCTTCTGTTTGCTCATGGTTATATTCAAAGAGTTTCACGAAGCAATAATTTTGAGTAATTAGATCGCTAGACTGGAGAGCGAAAGCAACAGTTCGCAAAGGTAAGTAGAGTGAGGAGGGAAGCTTCAGTGACTAGCGCCTAACTGCATTGATGATCGAGCGTCTATTTCTATATGTTTGTCTTTCGAAACCACCATCTCAGGACCTTGACTTCGTCTATCAAATGTTCAGAACGTAGAGCGGGATTTTTAAAATGTCGCTCTACTAAACTCGATGCTTTCAGAAGGACTAACGTCCTTGAGCTACATGCCTTAACTGCTCGGCTATCCTTCCAGAGTCATGCTGTGACACAACGACCACAGGCCTACGTCCTGAGTGGATTATTATCTCTGCAGCCCAGCGGAGAGGCCCCTTCCGTATGGCTTGCACTAGGCGCATTTATTGGGCTCCCAATAGTTTTGTGGTTGTATAAGGTACTATATGTACCCTAGTGCTATTTTTGTTCATGCTAACGACTCTCAGTCTCTCATGATGATAATTTTTCAACGGAAGATAATCTACATGGGTCAATATATTACATTCCCCCTTTCTTACGCCCTATATAACAACAATTGTTCGCTAGGCTATGTCCCATTGGGCGCCCGCACTGAGGAACTCGGCCGCGACATAAGACCCTCGTCCAACCGTATTATGTGCGACGAGGTTCAGATTAATGGCGAGAGAGGTGCTCGCTTATTTGGCATCTACCTTCGTCGGGAAGAATTAAATACTCCCGCTCGCCAACCAAAGACCGTGATGATATACTTTCAGGGTAAGTGTACATGATTTATCTAGCCATCACCTGCCTGGATCTTATGTAGGTAATGCTGGCAACCCACTCGGAAGGATACCTGTGTTCGAGCGCCTTCTCTTGAATTGCCCTCCAGAAATTGGCATCCTCGCGGTTGCTCCTCGATCATACTGGAAGTCTACCCCCAGGACGGCTACGGAGCGCGGCCTGCTTTCTGATTATCATCACGCCCTGTCCTATGCGATCAACCGATTCCCTGAGTCCAAGATCATTTTATATGGACATTCCCTCGGCGGAGCCATCGCTGTATGTCTCGCCGCGCGACTCAAAGCACAAGACTTCCCGACCGTGAAGGGCCTCGTACTGGAGAACCCATTCGCCTCCATTCCTGGCATGGTCAAGGCGCTGTATCCTCAGCGTTGGCTACCATACCACTATCTCAGCTCACTTGTGCTCGACAAATGGGACGCGCTTAGTGCGATGCAAAATCCACAGCAAGATTCTCTGTTATGCAACCTTTCGAATAATATGATGGTCATGCTCAGCGAAAAGGACGAGTTGGTTCCGACATCGATGGGTCGCTCACTACTCGACGCTAGCAAGAACAAAGTTGGGAATGACTTGGCGAATCAGCACAAGAGAATAATTGTGGTTCGGAATGCGTTGCATGAGGATGCTTGGACGAAAGAGGTTTGGTTAGTGGAGATGCGTAGATATTTGGATTTAATGAATTGCACTCAATATTAAATATTTGAGATGGTATTCTCCTAATTTTGTACATTTTATTTATAACACCGATGGTGAAGTGGTTATCATGCTTGCCTTCCAAGCAAGCGGCACGGGTTCGATTCCCGTTCGGTGTATTGTGCATCTCTCTCCTGTACGAATCTGCATCAACTTTTGCTCCTCAACTGCGAACACTTTGTAGACATTCAGCCTAGTTCTTGCACTAGTTTAAAGTTAAGCTAGCACACAGAAGTATGACATTATTTTGCAGGATCACGACAATCTATTCTTGACTTGAATGTTTTGAAGATGAAAGCGTACAAAGCCAATCTACAAGACCACATGATCGAAGTCGAGGATGGTTCGACAACGATGGCAGACGGGAAAGGGCACTGCCTACCTGCTCGGACAATTGTGCATACTCCTTGCGGTCCTTCGAGTCAACAGGAAAAGCCTAGTCTCATCATGAGCGGATGTAATAAAACCACATAAAAGTTCACTCACTTCGAGAGTGTCACGCATGGCTACGAGCATCCTGATGATGAATCCGAGCCAAAGTTGGTCCATCGTTTTGCGAGCCATGTCACGAGCATCAATCCTAAGCCCATCAGCCAGTCGAGAGAATATCTCTAAAAGCATAATCAATGTTGTAGATCGTGCAGGGGTATTACTCACTCACGTTCGATCCAAGATAACCTGTATTCGATGAATTCCTCTGTGGTCAATGAATAGCCATGTAAGAAGTCGCGGTCGCCGATGTGTAGCCCTTGAAGGAAAGGATGATGTAGATCATCAATGGTAAACAACAGAGCGGCATATTGGTGTTCAATTGTCACTCTAGGGGTAACGAGACTTTCCATGAAGACTTCTAGAAATCGATCTTGATGGTCCTACACACAGGGTATCTCAGGGCAAGCATTTATTTGACCAATCATGGGGACATACCGTGTAAGCCGTTGGATCAAGCTCGAGTACCTTGAACATGAACCGCAGGCCAACGCGACGACGCCAAGAAGCATCTGAGATACGCTCCCAAGACTGGGGTCCGAGGTTGAAGTATAAGGACCAGTCCTACAAAATTCATATTCAGAGTAAGGCTCAGCATTTGAAAAAAGCTCACTTACTCGTTTGCCGGTCTGCACCAGGACACTTGCACAGCCCACCCAACAGTCAATCCAGCTGTCGGTATCGTTCGAATCCGCCCGTGATGTTTTGAGATTCTCTTGCTCGTTGAAGTGTGTACAGACCAAACGATAGATAGCAGGACTGATGTGCAGGTCGATCAACTGAAAGAATAAGTTCTGAATACCTGAAGCCCTGTTTCAGTAAGGGACATTTACCTCAGATACCCGTTGTTCTTTTCCGAGCAAATCATCAGAGAGTGAAGATGAGTTTGATTCGCCAAGGGCTGCCAGCAACTCGGGATCATTCAAGTCAATGTCAAATTGGCCATAGTCGTCCTGGCTTTCTTGACTCTCCTCAAGTACGACGGAAGGTTTCCGACTGCGAACAGGCTTAGGGATAACAGCGGCACGAGCCCTCAGGAATTCATGGACGAGTCGTCGAACTTCTGTTCTAATCTTCGACACTGACGTCAGATCTGTTTCGATGGAAAAGATCCGCGATATCCAAGCTAATAAAGGCTGTCAGCTATAGAGTGGGAAAGCTCGCGAATTACTCACGTCCGTCAAGCAAGGCGGGATCGGGGTATGGGGTTGATTCTACTCCAGACTCCATAGCAGGTATCTCGATAATTTTGCGGACAGCTCCGAGGATCAAACCAACACAGATAATGGTCGATTCACGAGAAGGGTTCCAAGAAGACCCATTGGTACCGGCTACTGGCGGATGACCAAAGTCTCGATACTCTTGAATCAAAGAGTTAGTCATTTCGGCCAACCAATCCAGAATGTCATTGAGAGGCAAGCTAAGATGTCTCAAGAGAATGCAAAGTTGCATGAAAGCGCGGATACATGCCCGTCTAGTTTCTCTGTCTGCGTTGCCGAAGTTCACGTATCGACGCGCGAGTGCTAGGCGATACTTCGTGTTGGAAACTGTTGGTTCGAGATAAATTGCTATTGCGATAGCGCTGAAGCGGTTGTACAGCATAGCGAGCTCCCCCTCCGTCGGCGGGGAGGTCTTGGTAAAAGGGACAGAACCCACCGGAACTGCGAGTTGAAGGATCTTTTTGACAGTCATAGGCAGTCGTCTTTGTTGAGGTTCTTGAACTTCGGGGTTCGCCTGGACAGCTGCTTGGACAACAAGTTTGAGGAAGAGGGTAAAGGCGCTATCACTGTTCCTATGCTCCGACAAAAATTCCAACTTATTCTGACGCAGAAAGCTGGGAAAATCGGACTTCTCATCGGTGAGATTGGCAAATCGCCGGCTCTTGAAGATGGTCGAAAGACGGTTGAAGAGAACAGAGGCATCGTCTAGTTTCCAATGCCATCGCTTGTTCAACAACATGCAGCGGGAGACCAGCAAACGAATATAGCTGTCGCCCTTTCGGAGACTGCGACGAGTAAGTTGTTTGTCAGGTTCGGTATGGGCCTCTAACCGTATCTGTTCTAATGCGAAGGTGACAAAGGGCCAAGAAGCCGGTAGTTTTGGCGTTGAGGTGGACATCCCATGGACCGAAAATTGAGAAAGACTGCATAGTTGGAATATCGTCCTCCAAAGCAGTTCACTGATGGCGATATTATAACTGGCAAACCGATGGAAATCCATTGCTCTGGCACTCTCCAAGACGATATGCCAGAATGATGGAATTGCGTGAGGGGCTGATGCAGGACTGTTCCAATGACCTATCAGATTCATCACAGCAATCCACAGTTCGGCAATCCTGTAGACGTCATTGGAATCGTCCACACCCAGAGTGGAAATCGCCTTCATTGGTCGATCGAGACCGAATGCGAAAAGATGCTTTACCAGAGCTTTGACGTGATGAAGTGCGGATGTGGGGTCGTCACCGGAAGCTGTGTCTCCCAACCCTCGACAACGCCATGCCAACTCGAGGTCAAACCATTGCGCCTCAAACACCAAAAGATTCAAAAGGCTAAGGTCGGATCGCACAGCATAGTGCTCTTCAACCACGGTGCTGATCCGGCGAAGGTCTTCGTCGATTTCCAGTCGAAGTGATGCAATATCTTCCGCGTCGGAATGGGTCAAGAACCAAGTGATGTGTTGGGTTGCAGTAAGAAATGCTTTCTGCCACTCATGATAATCTTCTGATGAGATTGATTTTGACGGATCGGAGATAGTCTTAACGAGTTTACTGACCAGGCCCTCGATGGCGTCCTGAAAGTCATGGGCTGAAGCGAACGATGTGATATGGAAGTCGAAGACGATGCAAGGCATAGGTCTGGCTTCGTCCTGTGATACTGTTGGACCAGTGAAGAGTTCTTGAAGCCTGCCCTTACCAAGGTATGTCTTCCCACCAAATACGAGGCCAGAAGGCAAGACCTGCACACCGCAGTCTATCTCCACATGGTGCAGTACATCTTCGTTTGGGCGATGCTGATCTTTTCCCCTGTGTTCCTGAGGAGCCGGTGAAGATGCCTTGGGATCTACGATTCTCTGCCATATAAGGTCTAACGGCAATTCACTACCGGTCGCTGGTGGTTTTGGCCGTCTTTTCCGGGAGGAAGATGGGTGGCGATCACCACGATTCGGAAATGCGACCGTTGTCCTAGATATTGCCTCCATTTCGGTGTCAATCGTGTATGGCTGATGAGACCGGCCGGAAGTCAAATGTTTTGCATTCGAGGGCAAAACGAACACGCCAGCGGCGTTCTTGACAATTCTGGTATTCTTGAGGGCCTTCCGCTTCAAAACATCAGTGACCGTTTGAGGATCAACGTGATGCTGAAAAGCGTCGCCTCTCTCGTCGTCCGAAATTTCAAGGATTTCAGTGTCGGCCGCAGCGGCGTGGCGCTCCAAACGTATACTTTTCTTCGAACTGGGCTGTCGCGCGAACGGTAGACGCGTCTGGTGGCCTTTCCCATACCTCTTCGAGCCCCCAACAACCAAGTCGACAGCGTTACGAGACAGTTTGGGCTGGCCAGTCGAACGCTTCTTCGTCCGAGGTCGCTTAGCTTTCTTCGGTCCTGATACTCGTGACCTTGAAAGCATGCGGTCAATCAAGTCACCTTCCCTAGCTTCGCCTGAATACACATTTTGCTGTCGGGATGACCCAGATACCCACTCTTCGCCTCGAGGTTCGTCAAATGTGTTCACACTTTCCACATCATCATGTTCGGATTCAGAAGACAGCAGATTGATAGTGTGTCGGGCACGACCAACATAATCACCAACGTCTGACTCCGAACCCGAATCCTGCGACGGTAAAGGAGAAGGTGACGGACTTCCGGAAAGGCTTCGTCGGATATCTCCATCAGGGATCTCGATGTCAGAACTCTCCGAATCTCCTCTGATGTGGTGCATAGAAGGGGGGTTGGCAGCTCTCCGTATTCGCGACTGACCCGGAAGGAGAGGTCTATCCGAGTCGTCGTCGCTGTAGTCCCGGCTAGGTGAGGCACTTCGCTCTGCACTATCTCTACGTGGCCTGTCCGTCCCTTTAATATACTTCTGGATGAGTCTCGGTGGCATCATTCTTTTCAGGATCTTTAGCCGTTTTCGCTCCTTCTTAGACAGTTCGTGGTCTGATGAGGAGCTAGAACCACCTTCATCCTCTTCTTCAGATGACTGACCATGAGCGTGATCCGAGCTATCTATAAGTTCAATGATCGAGGTCGCCCTAATTTTCGGATTGTCATCTAGAGGAAAAGTTGTATCGTCTAGCCCTTGATCAACGGAGGAGACATGCGAAGACGAAGGTGGGAAATCGAACTCGCTCGGAATGATGACATCGTTTTCAGGCCGAAAATCAATAAAATTGCGATCTTGCATGTCATGTGAGTCCTTCTGAATAGGTGAATGTCGCACGGCTGAAGATTTCGGAGAGTCGCCAAAATTGAGTTGGGAGGCAGGAGACATCACTCTAGCCACCGAGCGGCCTCGATGACTGACTGCCACGACTGACGGTGGAGGGGTTGGGTCTTTTTGTGGGCGAATCAGGGTCTAGAGGAGGGCAACGTGAAGATACTGCTTAATCGCTGACAATGCAGCTTACATACCTCGTGTATTGGTGGCTTTCTCATCGGAAAGCGTTTAGGCCTTTTCAATTTAGCAGCAGGTTCAGTTGATTTGGGCTTTGCGAGAGGCCGCAGAAGAGCAACGATATCGTCATCCTCGTCGCTGCTACTGCTAGACAAGTTGAAGGCTTCCGGATACCATAGAGGGGCAGCTTGAGCAGGCGTAACTTCTCTCTCTGCAGGACGTCTGCTAGGTCCCTCGCCTCGATCATGGTCAAGCAGGCGTTCTGCCGTCTTTTGACGTTGCCGTTGACGTTCGGCGGGCAGATGAACAGGTCCGGAGGAACTTCGAGAAGCACGTCTTCTCGCCCTCCTTCGTTCACCTTCAGAGAGCTCCTCGTCGTCCAAATCCATAGGTCTGACATCAGGATCACTCGTCAGCTCCCTATCGCTCTCAGGATTAGGCGACCTTCTGCGTCTGCGAAGCTCTGGCATAGGTTCGTATGCGTCAGGTATTCCACGAATTTGAAGCTTGTATCGCAGTAGGTCGGCTGTGTACGGTTTTAACTGAGGAGCTTTCCGAGGTCGAAGTTGTCTGACTGGTTGAGGGCTTCCAGTCTGTAGTTCAGGGGATTGTTCATGAGGCGGCTTGGGAGGGGCCGTTGAGCGGGGGTTGGAAGGGCCGGCTTCAGGTTGAGGAGAGGAAGATCGATTTAGTGACGAGGAAGACGATGAAGGACGTCCTTGCACAGGAGATACAGCGGGAGTTAGAGGAGATGATGCGACAACAATATGACCTGATGAGTGCATGGGTGACAGTTCTGGTGTGGAGAAACGGTGGGGCAGAGGGCTCATCTGTTGCGTGAACAGAGCTAAAGGATCGGGAGAAGACGACGGAGAAAGGATATTCATTTGTCGCTCAGGAGTCTTGGGCATAGGACTACGTGGAAACAATGGTACAGAGGCTTCCTGGTCATAGTCTGGTATGAAATCATGTTGCAGGTTGTTGTCTCTAGCAGAAATAGCTGCCGTAGGATTCCTTCTATCATTTTTAGGATCAGGTGTGACAAGGTGAACATCAGGAGGAGACGAGATTCGCAAAGCTGGGGCTTCGAGTGAAGGAGGTGCAGAAGGCAAAGAAGGTTGTGATCCCGGAAGGGATGGTATATGGTCCAGATCTGGAGAGCTAAGAGAACGCAATGACAATGCAACACCTGATGTTCTCGGGCTCTGCACATGGTTAGAGACATCCTCGAAAATAGATGCGGTTTCGTCAAATAGTTGAGTAGAAACGTGTGATCGTATCATGTTTGGTGGTCTTGTGTTTTCCTGCACCTCATTATCTAGCACTGTGGAGTCACCAGAATGTCCAAATGACTTAGTGACTGCTTCCACTATCGGTGGTGGATGTGTCGTATTCTGAGCCACATACCCCACACAATGGTTAGAAGCTTATAATATAACCAAACCAAGTGAAATAAGATACAACGTCGCTTACCTGATAATTGCATGGGGTTCCCGATCTCTCCAGTACATTCTCGTCTAGCTCTTCTGGGATAGGACGCGTCGTAAGGGCCGCGAATTGATGTGAGCTTGACAGCTATACCACACACTCAGAAAGATATGCCGTACGTTACGAAACGGAAACATACTCGTCTGCGCTTCCTAGGGCTTTCATCATTGAATTCTCGCCTCTTCGAAGGCGTATTCGGTGTACCAGTGAGACGGTGATTATGAGGAGCATCAAGTCCATTTGTCAGGTTGGAAGAAAGGTTTAACAAATCGCATTCGTTCAGCTCTTCTTCTTCGCAGTCAGATGTTGGTACGATCTCGTCCAAGTCCATGGGAGCACAAATACAGCAGTCGTGAAAGATGATCGTGCGCGAAAGACCATTGGGTAAGGATAAGCGCCAGTGACAACGCGCCGTGACAACATCATGTGCTTTGTGACTGACCTAGCTAGCAACGCTTTGAAGCTTGGTTTCTGAAAAATGTCTTCAGCTAACGTCCTCCATTAATCTGTGTTGCGTACACATATGGCGTATCCACATAAAACCACACCCAACACTAATGGTAATCAACTAATACTAGGACCAGAAATTCTTAGTCGAGTCTTTCAATGCCTCAGCAGGATAAGCATCCAAAGATGCTCTCTGGCATGTCGCGAGTGGCATACCATAGCACGTCCGGTGGTCTTCCGAAAAATAATTATCAAAAACGAGAAGAAGTACTTACGCGTTAACAACCTTCTTGAAGAGCAGCCAGAGGTCTGTAGTTGGATCAAAGAGTTATGCTTCGACAATATGCTGGATGACTCGGACAGCGCCGCCATATCCACCCCAGAGTGGGTATATGCGTTTGCTACACAATTAGCTCCCAAAATGAAGAGATTGGAGTGCCTCGAGTTTGTTGGACTTGAAGAACTCGAAAGAGATAGAGTCTTCCCCTTCATCACTGGATTACAGGTTCTGTCTTCGATACGTACTCTGCGCTTCGTCGACTGCGCGCTCTCTAGCAATTGCTTGCTCGCCGTAGCGTGTTCATTTTCGAACCTTGTTACTCTTTCCATTATCCAGCCTTCCATATTTTTTGACACCGACAGCACTCCGCGTCCCGCGCTTCCTAAACATCACCAGCTTCGCCTAACCGCCTTCAAATACCACGACTATGATGATAGAATAGACGACGAGGACAAAAACCTATTGAAGTCATTACTCGCGGAGCTCCATTCTTCTGGTTCCCTGCAAACCTTGCGGTGTCTTGATTTCGATATCAAGGACCGCTTAACGTTACCACAGGTCGGCAGGCTGCTGCAAGAGGTCGGACCTTCTTTTGAAGACTTTACTCTGAAGCTCCCGATGTCACTCAAAATTTGGGGTAAGGATCGAGGACAAGCAGGTTCGTATTCATTCTCTTGTATACCATATGCATATCGTTGAGTTATTGAATCTAGAATTCAAGAGACACCTGAACTTCTCCTCAATGAAGAGCTTGCGTTCGCTTCGATTTGAAGACATCAAACACCCTGTAACCCTAGATCTCCTCAAGACACTTCCCAAGCCTATCGAACTTCGTCGACTTACCTTCGGAATCGAGTTCAACCACGTAGCGTCTCTTCGTAATAAAGATTACGCTCAGCTGGACGAATTCCTTTCCAGCGAACATTTCTCCAGTATGACCGAGGTCTGGTTCGACTACAAAGGTGTTCTTGACGACAACACCGTTAGGAAGAAGGTCGGACGTGCTTTCAAAGGCCTGGATAAGAGGGGCATGCTGGGAGTATCCAAAGTTGTGCGAGAGTATTCATATGTTTTGGGGCTTTTATCGGTATGAATGGCACTCATATTCTGGTTTCAACTTTTGATCCCATTCTGCTCTTGGCAGGGTTTGGGTACAGACGACGAAACGTGATGTTTTCCACGTCTGTAGCGTTTGGATGTTTCTTGTGATACAGCCTCGCTGCTTCGTCGCACCAATACCATGCATATAGTCACCGAGTTGTTGGCAATCCTCAATCACCGTACCCACGGGACACTTCCAAATTATTATCTGTGTTCTCTTCGGTGTTACTGATATCTCATTCTTTCGGCGACAGTTCGTTCACGACATCGTCTTTTTATTTTATTTTAGCTATGGCATTGGCAGACAAGCGGCATTTCAAGAGTGATGCGTTGGTACAATTGTTACTCGATCACGTTGAAACCATCAGGATGCTGATTTTGATGATGTTGGCTTCATCTTCTGGATGAATTTGAAGACCTGTATGCACCACACGATCAGCTAGAGTAGGTATGCAATACCTTTCGAGTTCATTCTCTCAAGCTTATTGATAATTCGAAAGATATCTCCCCTGTAGACGTGTCTTACTTTTATCAGCGTTAGTACGTGTGCGTGCATATACAATTTCGTCGATACTAATGACTGGTAGTAGGCATCACAGGTAAAGCCTGATAAAGTTGGGATTGATCAATCACGCGTGCATTTCTGGATCAGAACGTCGTTCGGTACCTATGTGTGACATACAAGATATCTGCAAGAAGGTCATCTCGGCGAGATGGGACCTTATGATGCAAGAATCGGTTACTATTATATCTCCTTGGGCTGGAGATGAACCCTGAGCAGCGCCGATATGGCATATATGGTCCATATATAAACTCCTAAACTTCAACTAGTTTCTTCAGCTTTCTGGTTCGTCGATAGCTCACTTCTTTCATTCACGTACACAAGTTGAGGTGCTGGTCGGTGAGTAAACATTTTATAGTACAATCGTCGTGGTACTGACTATGCATTTACAGCCTAACTTCCTACTCTTGTATCACAACCCTTACGAGACCTTCGTCCAATACCTGCACCCTTCCGCCCTCATATCTCGCATCCATTTTCCAAGATGAAGTCTGCTTCTGCTGTTATCCTCGCAGTCACAATCAGCTTTGTCCCCGCCCTTGCGACACCAGTCAGCATGTAAGTATATGTCTTGCCACATCTATCAATACCGTTCGTGATCGTATATTCTAGGCGTGCCGGAGACAATATCAATAATAGTGAGTCTGGTGCATTAAAAATCAATTTCAAGAAGATTGGTGATTGGCGGTGTCGCCGACGCTCTGCCTGGCATTATCTCTGCAATCAAGGGCCCTACTCAGCCAACGGTTTCAGCTTCGGCACCAGCCCCTTCCCAGACTGGTCAGATTGACCCTAATGCCGTCAACCCCAACGCACCGGTGAAGCGCGAGATAGAATACGATCACGAATTCCTCACCGGGCTGGTCGCACGAGGGAGCAAATCCAATGGCAAGTCCGGGTCCAGACGTCGCGTCCGCCGACATTCACCTACTACATAAGATAGGGCCGGCTCAAATCCTACTACTATCACGTGAGCGCCTCTGTCACGCTTGGGCTAGTTTGGGTGTAACGAAAGTAAAGAAATACTACTCCTTGCAATATATTGAGTCAATAAAAAATTGGCCACGGATAAGTTCAAGAGTGACAACAGTCCGATTTTTGTTCCGTCGTAGAATTGTAAACAGAGCCTTCGTTGGAGAGCCTTAGTGGGTTGGAGGTCTTTGCATTCGGAGCAGTGCAGGACTTATATGGGGATAAATTACATATTATATTTACGGATGGCTGCTGGCAACAAGACAACAAAACTACAGCCGTTCCATGCATAAGGCATGCCTCGTGCAAAACGCAAGGTCCGTTCGGCTTTAGAGAACCTTGGAAGACGTGCTGTGAAGAAAGTCAAGACAATTCACAATGTCCTCACTGGACAACGGACACAAAATGACCTGCAAGGAATTGAGAATGTCAGTGCTACTCACTGACATCATGATAGAAGCACTGAACATGTCAACTCACCGTGTATATAGCCGGACCACAAGAGCCCAGAAGGATTCTCTCATGAACGAGAGAACTTTCCCAAGACCCTGAGGGTGATTTAGATCGGAACTGTGCTAACGCACTTGAGTCTGTTTCACTGAAGTCAATGCGCCGGTGAGTTCCAAATAGTATCTACCCAATTTTCAAGTTCCACCGCTAACATTGATCCTTTGGTTAACTAGGTTCTACACTTGCTCGCATCAATTCATGGATGCATATCGAAGAGGGCTCAATGGAAAACAAGCCGCTTGGGCTACCAAACAATATCATGGCCATCGGGTCCTGCCTAACAGTATTCTCGATGAACTCGAGCTCAATGGTATAGACCCATAATCGCACAGTTTCTGATACTTCAGTTGTTACTTTACTACTCATATAATTTTATTTCCTGTGCCTACTGTACTTACACTTCATTTTATTGACTTATCCTACCTTGCACATGATAGTCACAGTGTGACCAACCGGCGCTGAGAGTAGTAGGATTTGAGCTGGCCCTATCTTAGTAAAGTTGATTTATCCCATGCGCCGACCACGACGGCTTCATAATGCTTTGTTATCACTCGTACACTTGGATCTCGATATCTCTGCATCTATATTTTACCGAGCCGCCCAGTCTTTTGCAAAGCCTCGATGAATCCAGCGGTAAATTTCGAATCAATGAACTCCTTCACTTTCGTTAGGACCAGCTTCCCTCCTTGCTCTGCAATGAAGAAGATTATGATGTACTCATTGACGTAGTCAAAGTTGATCGACGTGTCTGCAGTCGCATTTGCCTATGCAATGTTAACTGTCTTGCAATCAAGATAACATCTAGGGAAAAGAACATACGTGGATCACCAGGTGTATCAATGACTTCATTGATTTTGGGCTGAGGCATTCAATCGATAAGCTGCCATTCTCTGCCACAGTGACCAGTTGAGGCTCATCTGGAAGTTCGAGAATACAGGAAGGATTTGCTTGACATGGTCAATGAACGCAGTCTTGCTAGTCAATGCAGGAAGTCTGAGATTCACAGGATATGCTTCCTGGATGAAGTCGTCCAAAATCACACTCTCCAGCATGGCGAAGTCAGCCTTAGCCATGCCTTCCACCCATTTCAAGATGACCTGGAGCTGGGTGGAAGGGTTGATGATGGCAGAGGTAGGTTCAATGCTCATGATGCTTGAAGGTATGGTCAGCGTCCTGGGGGAAGTCGAAACCTTAGCAAGGAGCAAACCTGGTGGAGGATGTTCTAGCAAGCAGCTGTAAGTACAACTGCTTCAGGCTATGCTTAAACAGGTCTGCTTACTTTTGAGTAGGTGCAGGTACGACAAAAGGTATTGTGACGATGCGAGTCCAACTCGGTCACCTTATATGTACCTCTCGCATCCCAGTCATTGGGAAAGAAGCCGCGAGCGGTCTCCATCGCAGACCCTTGGTGGCAGACCAATGTCCATCGGAGCTGGGGGTTTCTTGCCAGTTCACAACATCATAAAATGCTCTGTATCGGCTGAGACAATGCCACATCTCGATTGTGGCATGGTCGCTTCATCAGGAAAACCCTGATAGCAAATATGCAGAGAAATTTGGATCCCTTGCATCTACGACCTTAGAAAGTGATGAGGCCAGGTAGTGTTGATAGTGACATTTAATCAACTTTGAGTACAGTGCTAATTGTGAACTTCACGCAGTTTAAAGTCCTCAAGCAGGAAGAATCTGTCTGCCCTAATTTGCTTTAAACTGCGTGGATTGCGTTGTTGCCACACATTTCATCTAACTCAGTTTGTGATCTGCTCAAGCATTTGCAGTACTTTGTAATAGGGAATTGGGTCTCTATCAGCCAAATCGCATCAAATAATGCGTGTCTGCCTCAGTCCGGTCTCTCCTATATCAGAGGCCTGAGTTGATTTATGGTCCAGTCTTCTCAATCATGTTGTCCAAACAATAGGGCTGTTCAATTCTGACCATCTCATCATTTCTGGTTGATGGTCAGCAGCGAACGTCCGACACTGCTCCAAGCATTGCCTCTCCTGTTTTAGACAGCTATACTCATAAATAAAAATAAAAAAAATGCAAGAAATATTGAAAAATAAATGACAGCATATCACGCCAAGTGACACTGGGTAACAGCCGCTCAAGCGGCAACACTGTCCAAATTCAACATCAGCCTTGAGCTTGAGTTTTATTATCAGCTTTGAAAACACTTTTGTCATTCCCTCATCCACTATGTATTGAGTATGTTTGGGTCTGCCTGGAATGGAAGATAGTGAATAAGATGATAGTTGTAAGTCACCTTTCATATTGAACACTATCTTCATGCAATTGACTTCTTTTCTAATGAAAGCCTTTAGCAGACTTCCTATATGATGAAAATCTACCCTTAAAGCCTTAATGTGAGTATGGTCATGCTGGATTAAAATATTATTACTTTATTTTTAATAATGTCAGATGAGAATTGAACTCAGAATTTTTCAGAATTTATTTCTAAGAACTACATGAAGTTGTTCTGCCTTTCTTGCATCTCTGCAATCTCAATGTCCCATACTTGCTGCTCATAGCATCTGATATACAGCATTATGATACTGAGCTAAAGGTCTCTATACTATAGCTAACTACTAATATAGATATATATAGTTATAGTCAAGATCTATAGTGTAAAAATTGGCAATCTACTGTCATTAAGATTATATAAACTATTTTTAATAGCATTCAAGGATGGATGTCACATTTACAGTTGATTCTGTCTACTTCTCAATGCAATGTGCCACTTGTCAAGAAGGCCAATATTGAAATTAATAAAAAGTGTAGACACTCTTCATCAACTATTAAATGTGTAAGTCAAAATGAGTGTATGAAAAAAGTACATTTGTATATACAGATCAAGAATTCAGCTGCCCAATTATTGACTAAGCTGCAGAATTATTGGCATTGTCTTCAAGTGATTACTCAATGCTGAGAATAATAAGGGCAATAATGACAAAATAATGAGAGAAAAAGGTGAGGCAATTAGCAAAATTAGAGATAGATAAACTCTATAGTATATTTTGAGATAGACTATTATATTCTATTCAAGTAGAAAGTCTCATTACTTGAATGTTACATGATTCATTATTGAATAGATAATCACAGAAAAAAAATATTCCACTACTTGAGCACCACTGTCAAAACTCTTAAAAAAATTTATAATTTGATGCAGTAGTATGACAACAGTGCAATACTTATACTATACTATATATCAATATATTACCTCATTACTGAATATTCCTTCACAGATTTCTTGTTTGATAAGTATGGTAGTGTGCAATCTAGTGATGCTATAAAGCTAAAGTAAGGTAAATCTTACCTTGTTAAAGTTTTAGCTTTATCACAGCTTGCTTTGAAGCTATCTTTGAAGCTGACAAATAATATATCCTAAATTGGATATAAAATTAGAGAGCTGAATATTACATATAAGACTAGTAATAGTGAGATAGAATATATTTATCTAACTATATACTACCAAGAAGCTTTCATAGTTCAGCTAATTGTTTTTAGCTAATAATAACTTGTATCAGCTTGTAGTGATTCTACATTCTTTATCTGAAAGCACTGCAAGATCACTCTCAGATAAAATTTAGCCCTCTATAAAGTTAATGCTATTACACTCCTAGTGCATGAGAAACTTCAAAACTTGAAGTATCTTTATAAGTGATATTGATATATTTGAGCACTACAAGATATCAGTTTTCTTGCTTGATGAAAAAATCTGTTTGTAAAAAAACTGATAAGACTTATATTGAAAGCATATTAAATATAATACAAAATAGAATAGAGTAATCAAATTTATATTTCTAGCAATAGAAGAATGAATAAAAGCCAATTAAATTAGATTAAAACATACTTACCTTTCAGAAAGTATAAAATTGAAATGCATGAGCTCTCACTCAGATTGTACTAATAGATCAGCAAGGTATCTTTTGAGTTCTTTCTCAATAGTTTTTTTTTATCTGCTTTGAGTGACAATTGCTCATATTCTGCTTTATCAGTCTCCAAATTTATGCTTTGCATTGGCATAGCTTAAAACTATAAGAAAGATGGTAAACTACTAGTATATGCTGTCAAATAATTATTGTACTTCTATTGAAGTGCTGTGACCTCTAGCTATACTGAGTATATCTGGATACTTGAGCTTGAGTGATATAAGACTGAGAAGTTAGTGTTATACTAGAAGATAAAGTTAATTAGAAAAGTGACATAATTATTGATACACTATAACTATAAGCTAAAGCTTGAGCTCATATTGCCTTTTGATATAGAAACATTTAGTTGTAGAATAGTCAATATACTAATAAAACTATATAGAGAAAATTAGCATATATAGTATCAAGAATAGAGATTCACACTACTTTTTTCTCTATTTCATTCTATTGCCTATTAATAAAAAATATCTTTATTGCTGAGTTAGAAACTGAAACTGATATTTAAAAATATTAGAACTAGATATAAATAGGATAGACTCATATTTATAGTGAGAGCATAGATGCATATCTTTTGTATTAACTTCAGATACTTCTTCAGCTTCTATTTAGATGCTCAAACTATATGGCCAATCTTTGATAGCCAGATACTCAATTATTGAAGTTTTCAATTAGTTTCTCATATATAGATAAAATAAATGAAAGTGTTAATATGCACTTTGCTGATAAGAGCTCTTGATAGCTATATAAGTATAAAAAACATTCTCAAATATCTTCAAAAACTGTGAGTTAGATATTGTTAGTCAGAAAATGGATTTTCTGTAGAGAATGTTCTGAGTAAAATAGTATACCAGAGCTTTTCTGTTATTTGTCTAGGATGAGGGTCAGATTTACCTTGTAGTGTGACTAGCAAGTAAATCTAACTAGTTTATATCACAAAAAGCATGCAAAGTCAAAGTTCAGTAAATTCTAAGCTAGGTTGCTTAAGAATTTATAAAGGTAAGATAGAGTAAATGAATTTAATTGAGACTGAATATGATAGTAACATATAATAACAAGACTTTAAATACTAGATTGTAGTGTAATGTCTGAGGTACACTAGATTATAGTGCAACAATAGAAAGTGAAAGATAATAAATAATATAGACACTTTATTGAAACTAAAGACTAGAGTTATTCAGAACTTGAGAACTAGATACTAGGGCTAGAAACTAGAAAACTGGGGGCTCTATCTGTCCTTAAGGAGATATATTTATACATAAAGCACAAGAAGGCTATGCACTATTTAAAACAAACTGAGAATATTATAAAATATATTGAGACTGAAGTAAAATAAATAAACTAGATAAAACATAGAAACTTACCTGTTGAAATATAAATTTGATACTAGAACTCTTGCTGAAACTTTTTCTATATTCTAAAATAATCTATTCAGTTCTAGGCCTTTTTTAGAAGTTTCTATAAAGTTCTATAATTATTAACTGTGCTCAGTGCTTATTAATCTAATGTAAACTGAACTTGATGCTTATTGACTAAGTATTTTAAGATCATATAATCAATCTTAATTATATATCACATATTCTTTAATGTATTTAGAACTTATCAGTATCTAGATCAGTTAGTAGGCTTATATATGCTTATGCTATATTGTTTAAGCCTTTTATCTTATCTAGACATATAGTTAAGAAGATTGCTGATGACTGAGCAGTTTTGATCAATGTCAAGTCTTGATATGACACTCTTAAATCTTGTACCTATCTCTCAGGAGCTGCATAGAGTTAGTTTTAAAGAATAAATACTGATACATGCAGTTACTATTCAGTAGATCTTTTAATCTGTCTTTAACTAGTCTGATGTACTAAACTATTTTAGATTTTTGAAATAGTTTGTATACTTGCCTAATACTTATACTATTCTTTGTTCTCTAAGAAGTAAAGAAATGATATAGGGAAATCTTCAATTTTATCACAAAAAAGATTCAGTATATATAAGGATATCAATCTATTTCTTTTGTACTCATTATTGCTTCTATTATTAGGATATCTTAATAAAGGATCTACAGGTCACTTTCTTCAATAAGAGTATTATAGTGCCAATTGTATATACAGTATCTTTGGAGTTATAGCGATAGTTATTATTATGTTTCTTGAGCTAAAGTTTAAATGGCACTATAAAGATTAATTCAGTAGTAGTATAATAGAAACAGTTTAAGTTTTAATACTGTCTTCTTCTTTTAATACTATAGAATCTATGCACTCACTTGTCTTGTCACTCATTTGTATCCTCATTTGTTATTTCAATTATATCACTTTTTTTTTTAGAATATGTGTACTTAGAATGTGAAGAATTTATCTATATACTAGGTATATTTAGTATATGTAAAGTGAATACAATCTTATCTAAGTGCTCATAGAAATTGCTAAAACTAAAGTCTAATTAAATATTTATTTTTAATATAGCACTGTTAGACAATGACATTTGACTTTTAAAACTACATACCTTCAGCAGAAAGTGTATTAGTTTCAGAACTGCCTTAATATCAGATAAGTGTCTCTTTATCTTGATCTGTTGACAACTCTTATTCTTGTACTTATAGGCACTAAGTTTCTACAATATTTTTAGTATACCTAAAAGTGTCATAATATTTATATACAATATCTATAATTTCAAGACTATTTATATGTTTTAAAATTCTCTTCAAAGTTTAAATTTTAGCAAGAGTGTATTTCTGTATAAAAGTTATCTCAAATTCTATATTATCTGCCAAATTATAGAAGATATAAAATGCTAAATTTGATATAACTTTTTTGCTTCAGAAAATTTAGAACTTTTTAATATAAAAAAGATTACTATAAAAGCAAAAAATAATTTGAAATTATATAATAGAATTTTGCATCTTAAAAAACTGAACTCATATTTTAGAATATGTAAACTAATATTTAGTGATCTAATTTCTAAGCTATGCCTTATAAAAGTAATTAAAAAAAATGATATATGCAAAATACTAGTATAGAGAAGAAAATATTGAACCTATATTCAGTCATATTAAGAATATTTTTTATAGCTAACAAAATCTTGTCAATAAAATTTTGCATTTATTTTATATCACAGGCACCTTTGATGAATTCAAAATTTTATCAGATTATATCACAGATCACATGAAGTGATAAACTATTTAAAATATGATAGTGTATTGTATAGAGGAGAGAAAGGAAGAATAACAATATGCAAAGTAAGGCATATTCAGAAATATTGCATAAACTCTCAAAGGACAGTCAAATATTGATAAGTTAATTTTATCAGAGGCTTAATCATAGATATAGACTTGAAAGCAGTGAGATTAGATTTATTAGTACAAGATCAGCTCTGATGAAGCTATCTTGAAGTAAAGATGAGCTTCAACAACTGGCATCTCAGCTTATCATCTTTAAGGCACCTTCAGCTTTGAGGCACCTTAGCTTTGTAGCAATACCATTATAATTACAATAATTATGTGTGACAGTATTTAGTCATACTAGTTATAAAATAATAGTTGAATTATTTACAAATATTTATATAGTTCACAAAAGGATTATGTCCAGAATTTGCTCTTAACCACTAATCAGAAATAATGAGATAGGACATGATGAGACTGTAATAGTTAATATTATATATACTGACTATGGCCAATATTCCATTCAGACTCTAAGTAGTTATTTATAACTATTATCTTATTTATATTTATATATTTCTTATTTAAGTAACTATCTAGCTATATTTCTTTTTTTTTATTCTCTTGTTCTTCATTATTCATATTCTATAGATATAAAATGCTCCACTAGCTACATATATTTTCATCATATCTTACTGTACTTTTTTTCTCTTTTTAATGTCAGTAATCTCACCTCTGCTCTTCTACTCAAACCTCTGGTCTAAGCCTCTTAGCTTTGTATCTCAGTTAGTCTCACTATTACAAAGATAGTCAGAATTGAATAGCTCTTATATGCTATCTCTTTATCACATTAATATTAGAGCATTATCAAATAGTGACCTTCATATGTAGACCTTGAGGACACAAGGAATATAAGTCATTGAGTTCAGTACTCCTATGATAGTATCAGCTGATCTGATCAGAGCTCTATGACCATACTGCTCATACTCGATTTATCACAGAGACTGAGAAAACATGAATCCTATTGATGATCAATAGATATTTGAGATATTCTGAGAGCTTAGTGATATAAGATGCACCAATTTAGTGCATGAAGCCTCCATCAGAAAATTAGGAAAATCTTCTGAGAGGTGTCTCAGAAGGCTCAGAAGCACCCCCAGACCTCTTAGAGCCTCAGCTATCAGAAATTAAGTTTCTGACACTTTGGGGCTCTGGAATGCTTACTTGTCTAGGTATTTTACAGCCAGCATATCACAATAGGGCCAAGTTATTTAATATACACTATCATCTATATAGAATAAGTATTTACAGCCCATCTGCTAACCATTTGAGTGTGCTGCATAATAATAATGCACTGGCCAAAATTATGATGTGGGCACTGAAATGCTCAGAAGCTCAGAACTTGCCAGTGAGTGTCACTGGCACTTGATCGATGATCGGCGATCCTTTTGTTCTCGCATTTATCCCTATTTGTCCTTGTTCGTGGTCATTGGTTACGCTGTCACATTGCATGAGATGCTTAAGTCAAGTCTCATCGAGACTAGTACTCTTTTTTTCATCCCGATTCCTCACGCGTATCTTCAACCTACATACCCCTTACACCACAACATCTGAGACTGAGGTTCCTACTTCACAAGCAACATGCAGTCTAACATCGTCCATCGTGAGTCTCCCTCTGGTGTCATTCGTCGGCACTCAAAGTCTGGATGTTCTCAGTATTGACTGTGTGCGGTCTGACCGAGGAGTTCGCTACTGTAGTCGCCACCAAGTATGCGTCTGAGAAAGACGAAATGGCTCAGAACCCGGTGCCCTTTGTTCAGGACTACTGGTATGCGAACAACCGCGAGGCTTTGGGAGAGTTGTTCTACTTCCACGACAGTGCGCCACATTCCTCATCTCATGGTGTCCATGGTCTGGTTTACTGATGACATATGGCATTTTCTACAGCAAAGGGGATGCGAGAGGCTCTATTGAAGCTATCGGTCAAGCCCCAGGTCGTCACCCAAGTGATGTCCGCCCCTCACAATGAAGAATTGTTCTTACATCGAGATGCGATTGAGTGGGCCAGCATGGTCATCGACGGGCAACGCAAGAAGGCGTTCAGGGGGGCGGATCACTGACATTTTTTGCAGACATACGAGACTCTTTACTCCTTACTCCTTCCTGGCCTCCTGTTCTGATGGTGATTTACTTGTAATATACATGTTCGGGTTGTTCTGAATATCATTGGCCGCCTTCTCGGCTAACTACATATCGCGCACCGCCGGGCCTTTCCAGTTTTAGGAGCAGTATCATTGAGCAATTCAAAGATGATTGATGACTCCTTAGATGACTCTCTGTGATTTGTGATACAACATGATTTGGCCCTAAAGATCTCTTGTGCTATCCATCTCTTTAGCCCTCGTCAACACATCTTCCCACCTAGGATGCTCGCCCCAACCACGAGCAAAGTTCAAAGCTGCAAGGAACATCTGTTTCGCACATTTATCGAATCCTATCCGGCCATGACCAGTCCCAAGCCCAGTCAATAGCACCTTCTGCACCTGTGGCGCGGCATCAGGCCGTTCGCCTTCGTTCCAGCGCCAAAGCGCAGCGAGCAGGTTCCACATGCTCTCATAGACGAGATCGCGGTGCCAGGAGACGCTCTCGGGAGTGCGCATAGTCGGCACGACCGCGAGAGTGGTGCAACCCAGCGGGTTTGATGTGGTGAGGGCAGGGGAGAGCGGGACCATCGTACACGATCCGGGAGGGAGATACCCTCTATATCGCTTATGGAGCACATCTTGTACGGCGTTCGTTAGTGCCCAGATGTCATCGTCCACAATGAACGCGCGCGAGAGCGCCAAGTCATACCTGGGAGTACATTAAAGGATTAGAATAGGGCAGTTCTTGAGTGTCAACCTCAAGTTATACATACCCGCCGTCCATAATTCCAAATGCATTTGCAGGAGATACGAGACAATCGAACGTCCCAAACTCCTTTGCCAGGGTTGCTGCATTGAATCTAGCCTCCTTGATTGTGAATTGTGCCGCAACAGCGGGAGGCAAGTCGGCGAGTGCAGTACGCCACGATTCGCAAAGGGATGGCGCTGTTTCCTTGGTACGCGGACTTGTATAGGGTGGTGGGGCAATGAGAACAAATGAAGGTAGAACGGATATGTCAGGTTCGGGTATCTCACGGGGAGGACGATGGACGTGAAGAAGCTGATCCATACTGCCAGTGCTTCGAGGATGGCGATGGTAGCTGCAAGGAGTCCATAAATGAGTGGCCTTGTAAATATTGCTGATATGGACCGTGAGAATCGACGATGTGAACAAAACTTGCCGGATGCAAACCTTCTAGTTAACGTCAACGCAGATCTTACACTGTAAGGTTACAGCTTTGTAAACGATAAGTACTGTACGGTCGAAAACCTACACTGTAGTCGTTCGGCGCTGGCGAACAAGTGGCGGCTCTAGACGCTGGCATCATTGAAGCGTTTCCGCTGTATTTTCCAGCGCAGTCCACGAGTCGAAGGTAACGTTTGAATGTCCATAGTTCATCAACCCACCAACCGCTTCATGTATAGGAAATTTTGCGAGTCATTGAGCTGCGAAACAGAAGGTCGCCTGTTGGGCCATACGGCAATTAGCGGCAAGCATTCCATAAGAGGGAGTTGAGTCCCAGGAGCAGTACTACTAGTATAGCTTTCGGAATGGGATTCTGAAGGCGTACCTTTACTTTTGCTATCTGCGGTTTCCTGTGCTAAACTACCCTCTACCCGTCTGTCTTTCTGTGCATCTATCTATCTTGTTTGACTACCGCCGCGCCCCAGGAGGCACGCCGTTGTCTCCCTCCATCTTTTTCCGCATCCTGGACGACCCCCACGCCTCTTCCGCCCGACTATGCACATACACATCGTATTCGCGTTCCTAACGACCACTCTCATTTCTGTTGTTCTTTCTTCTCCCGCTGGATTAGATAGCTCTGATTATAACCAAGTCATCCTTGGGTCTTCGTCGATCGCTCGTCCATACCAGTACGTAGATGGCGAGTTACCACCCACGAATGATACCGAAGGATGGATCGATCCTCGTCTTAATGGTGGACGACTTCTTGATGTATGCATCTCCATGGTACCTTTTCGATGAGTATGTGTTAACCGCAAGGCCTAGTTCACGACCAAACGACTGGGCGAACCTCTCAATGTAATTATCTCTTCCCTTTCCGATCCTTTCATTTTATCCGAGACCGGTCTACACATTTATGCCAAGTGCGTTTATTATATACAGAGTAATATTCCTTCGTTCCTCTGGTATCCTGACCCCTCTTTTTTATTTCTACCTGCAGATCTATTGGCTTCTCTGAAGAGTGTCTCGGGCTCCATTATGGCCATCTCCACGAAGCGGACCTGGGGGACGGCCTTGGACGCAAGCAAGAACATTTTCTTGCTCGCCAGCATTACTTCCCGATTGGCGGAACATGTTGGGAAAGCGTCCGAGGTGGGCATCATTTCCGTGCTTGGAGACAGAACGGGACGCTAGCGAATAGCGGCGCCTGGTTCATCGGGTAAGTGCACATACGTATATATTCATTCCATACGCGTCGTAATCAATCTAAACCTTCTTGCTCTTTTCATTTTCTTTTCGGGTGGTGTAGGGCTTCCAAGGAGCAGGTACGAGACCGTTCTGGTATTTATATGTGGTACGTAAGGCAACTGGATTGACGATCCAACGTGTGTAGGATTCCTCAAAGAATCACAAGATTGATGAGGATGGTTATAACCTCGGACGCGATTATGTCGTCGATCGTGCTGTATCCGGCAGTCGCTCCAACGGCGTTTGGTGGAAGGCAGAGGTCGAGTGGCGTGAGGGCCTCCTGCAGAGAGGTCGCAGCGGTATGTCTAACATTCCCTGAACTTTTTCTTCTCTTCACTCGCATTCTGATTCCCTTCTGCAGGTGTCAATCACGCCATTTCTCAGGACGGCCGAGTTGCGATTCTGACTGTCCACAGACTCTAAGAGTTCTCCATGATTGTTTCTTGCACATCGCTTTTACATTGGGATTCTGCTGCCCTTTTGAATCACTTTTTTGGGAACTCGGGACTCGGGATTGGATTTCATACTACTACCGTTCACGACTTCACGACACCCCCTTGATGACCATACATTGTCTCGATATCCATCATTTCACCAAGTGACTTTGTTCACATGTAATCTTATGTATATCTGTATGTACCATACCGATCTTTTTTGTACATTGTTATTTATTGTTTGTAGATCAGCACTCTTATATGTAGACTTTTGATTTGATAGACTCGTAGCGAGTAGTTTGTAGCACGCATTGTTTCTATGGAGGATGTATATATTCTGATTGTGTCCTTGCACCACATCGCGAACCCGTCTCATGGTCGCTCCTTCTCCTGAGAATCAAAGGCAATCGAACGAGTAGTAGTCACAGGTATCTGTTGCCCTGAATAGAAAGATGTACGTTACATGCCCTGTCTTTACCAGTAAGTATGATGCAAAACCGATACACTATACGGAACAACAAAATAAAAGCTAAAATTCCATGTGAGGCGTCTTATGTGTGTGCCTAGCTCTATAAGGTATACCACTCTATGCCAAGAAATATCATGATAGATTCCCAAGATGTGTCCATCTGCAAGCCATAACAAAGCAAATCACACTGCGCTCGTCCACTCCCACCCACACGATGATAATACATTGCACCTCACGTATGCACAGGAGTGGCCGCGGTATCAGTCGATTTCTTCTCCTCATCTTGTCCTTCAACTGCCTTGCTCGCCACCACGTTAGGGATGAACCTCCCAGGCCAGAAAGGTACGTACACGGCAATAGCGATGAACAAGGGAAGTGTATCCAGACCGTAGAAGAAAGCTTCGGTGGTGGCGAGATGGCCGTGGTAGCCTTCGCCGAGTTCGATCGTACGATAGATTGAACGGATCTGTTAAAAAGGAAGGAGGACGGAAGCGGAACGAGTTTAACTCGAGGGAATGGAGAAAAATGTGGGTCATGACACGGCTTACCAAGATTCCGAGACAACTGAGGCCGAGAGCGAATGCGAGTGCACGCCAGTCATGGTAAAATGGCTTGCCTGAGTCCTGCGCCCAGACTTGAGGTTCGTGTTTGTAGACACGGTATATGAAGCGGGCGTAGAGTATGGTGAAAAAGAGGAACGAGAGAAGTTGGAGCGCGAGACCTGCGAGGAATATCTGAAGAATGGCAGGCTGAGTAAAAAATAGACTGAAGAATGGGGGGAAATAAATGTTGTATACGCACGCGAGAGCCTGCGAGGGCAGTGTCGGGGTTATTCGAAGTTGAAGTCGATCCACCCGCTGCTTGAATCAAGAAAGTCACCACATCCGAGAGGACGAAAACAAGGGTAATACGCTTTGCACGAATCCAGAGGTGTGCGTCGCACTTTAACCAGCGAGACATGCGTCCAAGAAGGACGTAGTCGGCGGCGATGAAACCACATGGTGACAGCACGACGAAAAGGTATTCTGCAATATAAATCCCTTTACTTTCTGGCTGCGCGTGAAGGCCAAAGCGAAGGCCTATACCGACTGAGAAAGCTGAGGCAGGTATGAGAACACTAGGATGTACGATAAGACGTTCTTAGAGACTTACTATACGCGGCAATAACCATGGCAAGCATGAACTTCCCGCCGATACGCCATGTCATGAACGTTTGTATTATTGCAACAAGCATGATCAATGCTACAAGTAACAAGAAGTTGACGTCAGAGCTTCTATGGAGCTTCTTTCGGCAGAAGCGGACGTACCGAATGCGACGGCGGTGAGTGCATTGGAAGCGATGTATCTCAATGGATTGTAAATGTCGTTGGCTGGGTCTGCGTACGGATCCGCTGGACGTGGGGGAAGGTCGCCAGGAGCTGCGAGAGCGGACGACGCCAAGGACAACATGACAAGCAATTTTGAGAGAGTTTCCGCATGCTTGTAGCGTGCTCCAGAGAATATCCTGGTCATGAGCGGATTACTGGAAAATTATGGTATAGGAAGGAAGGTAGATATTTTTGAAGGACTAATATCCTTCCGAACGTAGTGGTATACAAGACAGAGGCAATCAAAACCATGGAGAATAAAAAGCGGAGGCATTGGTTTTTGACGAAAGAGCAAGGCGGGGGCAGTTCGGATCGCCCTACCCCGTTCATTCGTGCCTGACCGTCATTTGATCGAGGGCTTTAACTTGGCGAGATCATCGATCACACAAGCATGGCCCGCTAGTTAAAGACCACGAAATTCGGCGTCGCTTTCGATTGAGAGGGAAGGGCAATGCATGCATCGAGGTCGGCCCGCCCGAAGCGAACGCGAATAATGTTACCTTCTAAATTTGAGATGACACCCGGGAGGACCTGTGAAGTCGATCAGTTCTCGATCAGGTGCAAGGGTGATCCAGCTAGCGAAGCAGCGGGAATAAATAAATTTGCATAACGTTCTGCGTTCAAATATCGGGTTTTATCTACGCCACATTCTCCAGTAAGGAGCAGCATGCATTCGATGAGGATGACATGGCACAGAATTGCAAGATCATCGTGGGCGACTCCAACATACAAATCGGAATTGAAGAACTTCGGGATCCTAGGATTGTATGAACATCTATGTGCTAGCTAACGTGCGTCAGCTACTATCACTCCATACCCCTCATAGATGCATCTTACAGCTCAACCCGTGAACCTCGTGCCTCACGACTCAACATACCAATCCTGTTCATTTCTTTATCATTCCTCTCTTGGAATTCAATTCTCCGCAACTCTTTGGTGTCGGGGATAAACCTTCCAGGCCAGAACGGCACGTAGACTGCAACGGCGAAAAAGAGGGGCAACGTATCAAGGCCGTAGAAGAAACCTTCCGTGGTGGCCAGCCGCCCGGAGTATCCTTCACTTAGTTCGATTGTACGATATGCCGAGCGAATCTATGAATGACGGTCGCATCAACAAATGGGACAGTGAGCGGTCAGCCGGTAGTGCCGAGGGAGAATGTGGGAGACTGACCAGTATACCGATACAGCTGATGAACATAGCTCCAGCAAGTCCTCGCCAATCTTGATACCAAGGTTTCAGGGAGTCACGGCTCCACACCTGAGGCTCGAGTGTGTACACGTGGTACAAAAAGCGAAAGAAGAGTAACGTGAAGAACGCGAACGAGAGTACCTGGAGAGCAAGACCCCCTAGGAAGATCTGCAGCGATGATAGACCATCAATCGAAGAAATATACATGCGAGTATTTAGGGTGCGCACGTTAGAACTCAGCTTCGCGCGATCCACATTAGTGGTCACTGACATCCCTCCTCCGGTTGCCTACAGGACACGTCAACCATGTGAGCTGTTCCGTCGTCAAAGAGATACACAAGGAGATATACGAACCTGCAGTAAGAATGTGAAGACGTCAGAAAGAACGAAGACCAACGTGACGCGTTGAGGTCAAATGAAGAGGTGCGAATTGCACTTCAGCCAGCGCGCCATACGTCCAAGGAGGACATAGTCTGCGGCAATGAAGCCAACCGGGGAGAGCACGACAAAGAGATTCTGGGCGATGTACATTTCTTTGCTTTCGGGACGAGCATGAAGACCCCAACGATCACCGATACCGACGGCGAAGGCTAGTCAAGCGAAGTCGGGTTAATTGATGAAAAATATATCCATGTGCAAGGAGACCTTACTGTATTCGGCGATGACCATGGCTAGCATGAACTTGCCACCATACCGGTGGAGTAGATAGGTATGTGCGAATGCGACGAGGATGATGAACGCTAAAACGAAACATGGGTGAGCATACAGATCTAAGACGATCAGATAAAGGGTACATACTGAATGCAACAGAGGTAAGTGTGTTGTTGGCGATTTATTTCAGAATGTTGTAGGGATCATTGGCTGGATCCGCGTATGGGTCTGCGGGATGTGGAGGCAGTTCCACGTCAGCCTGTTGAGGGGCTGCAGAAGCAACAGATGCCAACGCCATCAATGAGACCAGGAGAGACGACATGTCTGCGGTGGCTGCACTTCGTTCGGGACGAAGAGAAAGGGGGGAAACAAGGGGATATGGAAGAACTCCTTAGCAACACCTATTTCAGCGTATATGTAATATCAAGCAGACATGCCCCGCGGCAATATTGCTCTGACCCTGGAGTTGAACCGCAGCGCCTTGCTTGGATTCGTGTCAGCACGATGACTTTTCCGGCCGCCAGGATAAACCAAGGAAAGAACAAATGATGTCGATCGAAGAAGGTTGATCATCCAACCATTTGAACGGCCCATCCCGCAACAGTTCAATTCAATCGTGAATAAGTTGTGCTATTGAAGTTACTGAAAAGAGTTGCCAGTTATCCGCTCTGCCGCCATAGGCATTGTCAAGTGCAAGCTAATGCATTCTGCTAAAAAAGAGAAGAATGAAGGGGCTGCGGGCTACATGATGGTAAGTAGGCATGCAGGCTTCGGCCATACGAATATCACTGCGCATTGCTTTCTCACACATTGATTCGACGTTCTGACCGCAGGCTCCATATCATCTCCTGAATCCGAGCGAACATCTTCACCGCAGTCATTGGCTAATCAAGATCTGCCGGCGAAGAAAACTTCTCCAAATGCTCACCAAAATTCGAACCTGGAGTAGCAATATTTGTAATATCATGTCTATACTCGGTCAGATTGGTACTGATGAAGATTGCTAAAAAAATTAAAAAAAGTTCGAAATTCGTTAGAGATTCGTGCGCAGAGTCGAAACATCGGACGTACATCGATATAGAAGTCACCTCTTCTCTAGCGCCGTGTCAAAGAAAACTAGGAGGCTTGTCATGTACGATCTCTCATTTATCAGCCCTAGGATACAAAAACGTCAACTTCAGCTGGCCCATACAACCTTCTAGCTAAAGTCAATACACAGTCTGCCGAAAGGTGGCAAACCTTGAGGTTGGCAACCCGAATGGCTGCGATGCGATGATTTCCACATAGACAGGTGGTGAGACCTTGGAAGAGATAAATGACTGCAACAGCTCGGGCCAAGCGAGAACCACATACGACAGGAGAACCGGGTAAACATACTGTAGATTCGTCTGACCACATTGTCGCCACGATGCGTTGTGGTTATAGTCGAAATAGCCGGATTAAATTACGACGCAAGTCTCCGAGCGCAAGCAACATGCCTGTACCAGCAGACTAGAAGCACCACCTCCTCGTCTTTGTCAGAAGATAGAGTGGTATATTCCTCAAGCGTTACTGACAAAGCTGCTGGTCGAAGACACGCTTACTGATCGGAATGATCGAACCCGAACAACAAAATGTGATCGCATCAGTTCAATTGCACTCGAACCGATGCCACCGAAATCGACGAATGCTTTCCAGTGAATGTCGGTATTAGAGCATAATCTCTTGATAAGTTGTATCTCTTCAATCCTCAGCTTGAACTATCGTTTGTGAGCGTCCCATAGGTTTCGCGACTCACGCTGACGGAAGCACCTGGTGTATCAGTAGGTTCATATGGGAACTCCTATACCGCACCAGTCATATACTGTATAACAAGAACGCTGGTGCCTCGGTATACGGCTCCCCTACGCCGTCGGACCATGAGGACTACGGAATGCCCCGTCCCATAGTACTAGGGTGTGGCCAGACGCCGGCTCGAGATGGCATTCATTGTAGGTTCGGCTATAGCGAGACTTCGCAAAACATGAAGTAATTTCATTTAAGGCAAGTCTACAGCACATTTGCACATTGTGGTATCTTCTTGTGAGGGTTTTCAACACGGAGGTCATTGACTGAACCGAAATATCATTACCAAAGTCCCAATTAGATACCAGAAGGTATGAAAAGTGGAGTATGCACGAATATCGGACAGCGGTTGCCCAGTCGTACTTGCTACGGAACGCGAACCCTTCAGCATAATTCGACCCGTTTACTTCGACCTTCTCCCCTCACCTCTCAGCTGTAAGTCCGACCCTCTCTCCTCATGATCCAACATTCTGATTCTACCCATCTCGTTATCATTTCTGTCATGAAACTCCATCCTTTTCAATTCTTCCACATTAGGGATGAATCTGCCCGGCCAGAAGGGCACATAAACCAGTATGGCGAGGAATAGCGGTATAGTATCAAGAGCGTAGAAGAAGCCTTCGACCGTGGACAAGTGACCAGAGTACCCCTCGCTAAGCTCGATGCATCTGTATACTGAGCGAGTCTGTGTCATGGTAGTGGCACAGAATTCAGGCGATGGTCAGTTCGAAGTACACTTGATGCAGCGCAGGACTCACTAGGATCCCGATACAGCTAATGCTTAGAGCAGCAGCCAGTCCATGCCAATCACGATACCATGGTTTGAGGGCGTCGCGTTGCCAGACTTGAGGCTCAAGCGTGTACACACGATACAGGAAACGAAGAAAGAGGAGGGTGTATAATGCAAACGAGATTAGCTGGAGGATAAGGCCGGCCAAGAAGATCTGTAAAGGCGGTTGGCTAAGAAATACGGCTAATAATGAAGGGTGTAATGTACGTACATGGGCACCGAGAGTGACACTGTCAGGGTTGGTCATCGCTGACATACCTCCACCAGTTCCCTATAGATTAAGTCAGTCAACCTATGTCGAGGACGCATTACAGTGGAAATACATACCTGTATCAGGAAGGTGAAGACATCCGAAAGAATGAAGATGAGTGTAATCCGTTGCGGTCGAATTAATAGATGTGAGTTGCATTTGAGCCAGCGAGCCATGCGACCAAGGAGGACATAGTCTGCAGCGATAAATCCGACTGGGGAGAGCACAACGAGGGTGTTTTCGACGATATACAAGCCTTTGCTCTCCAGGTTTGCGTGGAGACCCCAACGACAGGCGATGCCTATGGCGAAAGCTTGCCAAGAAAAGTGAGTCTTTATTGCTGAGATGTCAGACGTTTGAACACTCACTATATTCAGCGATGACCATGGCTAGCATAAACCTACCACCATACCTGCGCAGCAGGTAGGTGTGTGCGAGTGCGACGAGTAGGATAAACACTAGTTCGGGCGATTAAGTCAATCCTTCTCGGTAGGAAAGTGGCTGGCGACCCACCGAATGCGATAGAGGTAAGCGTGTTGCTGGCGATATACTTTAAAATGTTGTAGGGGTCATTGGCTGGGTCCGCAAACGGGTCTGCCGGTCAAGGGGGGGCAGCGGCTAAGGCAGAGGTTTCTAGTATCGCCAGCGAAAGTAAGGAAGACATTTCTATGACTGAGCTTGTATCTGACAGGTCTGAGCTGCTTTAGAGACTGGTTGGATACGAAGAAGGGATGGTAGAACAAGACGGCTCACCTGTGAACATCTCATTATAAGTACAGCAGCGGGTGGCAAGTTTGGGTGGGTGTGAAGGTTGCACAGGAACTGTTGGGGGAGGACCAGTCGCTACATCCCTGGAATGTGATGTGGCCGGAGGCAGAGTCTAACCGCAGTTCAGAAGTGAATACCATGCTGGTAAGGTGACCAAAGTAGGACAGCTCTTGATTCGGGTATTAATCGAACCTGGATAAGAGATATGGATAGATTGCAGTCATTCTTCTTGAGGTACATGTGAGTTGTCATTCGAAATGCTTCCATAGAGATTGACGGGGTGAAATGTTCATCATCCAGGAGTGGAATTCTGCATGTGCCGATTCAAGGGCTTCGTTGAGCAATGAATGGAAAACTCAAACTACATAGTAGACATCGAAGCTTATGCGTAATATGACTTCGCCACCGACATGGCCCATTGAAACTTCATCTTCTGACCGCAGAGACATTCTCCATGCTGCAGTTTTTAAAGGTAGATCCAGACCATAATAACCCCACCTGAGCCGCAGAATATGGGTGAACTGAGCGGATGCTGGGTGGCCACCAGAAGTTGAAACACTACAAGAATTCTCAGGCTGGGTCACGCTGAGGGTGTGTCACCGGTCTCGATGCAGGGGCAAGGGGATCAAGCTCAAATCGACGCACACGATCTCCTTGAGTTGTGCACCATTCACTCTCATCCATATTGGGTCTCAAAAAGCAGATAAAGACTGCCCAAAGGCTCCAGCTTTTCTTCGGCGGATGGGTACGGAAGCGCAATATATATATATATAAATCACCAGAGGTAAACCTCTTGATCGATGCAACTCTGATACTCGACCCCTCTTCATCGCTGGCCTTGCTCACTCCAGCCATTGTTCTGTGCCTTGGATGGAAGAGTTGAAAAGAGCGTCACACTCAAGCGGGCGATAGGAATACAAGCAATTCTCATGAAATACCAGGAAATGGGTACATGACTAAGATGTTGCCAGCCAAACATCCCTGCACTAATGCTTGCTCTCCGCATATCTCAATCGCACATACGCCACACTCTACCCGCCAACCTATTCATTTCCTTATCGTTGCTTTCTGAGTATTCCATGCTCGTCAACCTCAAGGTATCGGAAAAAATCTTCCAGGCCAGAGCGGCACGTACACCATTACGGCATGGAACAGGAGCAAGATTCGAATAAGTAAGACTAGCTTTCAGCCATGGACAACTGACCAAAGCAGCCTTCGTTCAATTTTGATGATACGGTAGATTCACCAGATCTGCGGGTGACAAAAGAGATGGAGACAAACCGAGGGAACCGGTGAGTTTCATGACACAGATGGGTGGTGTGTACTCACTATGGTTTCACCACAGATGATGTCAAACACGCCTGCAAGACTTCGTTGATTGTTGTACCAAGGCTTGAGCGTAGCACAATTCCAGACTTGAGGCTCGAGTTTGTACATGCGGCACAAGAAACAAGGAAGAATCAGCCAGAGAATTGAACCGACTAGGAAGATCTGGAGTTATTGGTCATGAGTAGATGGCTAGTCAATAAGGGAGAAGTGACAATCCCCCACCAATTTTCTATGGGATGGGCTAACAATCTCTGCCAGTCGAACAGGAAGGCTAACAAGAACGGACAATCTGACCTGGATCAAGGAAGTGAAAATATCTGAAAGAAGGAAGAGATGCGTGATCCCTTGAGGATGAATGAAGAGATGGACAACCTGACCAAGGGGACCAATGCCATCAACGGAAGGAAAGTTCACAACATTTTTAAGATGCCGCCAAGAGTGTGTAAAGGCTGCGAGAATCATCACAGCTGAAGACGAGAAGTGACGAAAATGGTGCAAAGCAATATGTTAAAGCCCCATCACGCATCCCACAGTATAAGTACCCTGTACGCCTAATAGAACCGTAGAGGTCAAGATCATCGATAAATAATCAAGCACACCAACCATTCTAACATTTCCGAAAATGACCTTGCCTGCGGCGTTGCTCGTTATTCAGTATAATCACAGGCGAGTTTCCATCAGACCGCCGGGGCCAAAAATAGCCCAAAAGGAAAAGGACTCGATCGTGGTGGTGATCAACATTAGAAATTGGGGCTTAGCAAGATCGCAGTAGTCCAGTTTGAGCATGCGAGTTCTTTTCCACTTTACTGCCGCAGTAATCAACTCGAGGTGCAACATTCATCCAGGTTTGAACTCTGTATAATTCGGCTCAAGAGGTTTTTCCTGCCAATGAGAGCGAAGTGAAAAGGTATAAATACGAACTTACTCAAACTACGCGGTTCGAGATCATATTGGACACGCAAACTTCGTGTGTACAAGTTTGCTGCGCACAGCCTTATCATGTCCGATGCATCGCACCCATCTCTTAGTTCTTTGCAGCAAATCTTTGAGAGGTTGAATTGAGTCAACGACAATCGTACCGCAGTACTATAGAAGCCTTGACGGAAAAACATCATTGGAAGCTTACCGGAACTTTCCGAAGTTTGGTTCCTAAGGCGTTGCGGCGTGAATCACGATGGAACGACGAGCGAGGATCAGTACACAGTTCTTTAGACTTTTGAGGCGGTCATGGATGGCCGTGAGCTTGACAATGATTTCGATATGCACTGATGGGCAGCGTGTTGAGTATAATTTGAAGTAGAAAGCCGAGGGAGACAATATCTCACTAAGAGATACATTTGGAGGTCAATCGAGACTTGGCAGCCTCGAGTTCTAACTAGACGCATAGGCGTCATCCCAGCTCTGACTCGCCAGTTTGACACTGACATCCCCAAACCCTTTTATCATTATCCTCATTCTCCATCGCCTATGGGCACGGAAATAGCTCGAACAGCTGAACGTCCAACATACATACATAAGTAGACGTATCATAATAATCAGATATAAACCTTCCACGCCAGAACGGCACAGCAATGACAGGAAAACTACATCTCCTTATTCTCTGTGTCCCAGTGGAGAGTATCATGAAGTACTTGAGACTTTCACAGCTGATCATAATTGAAAACACCGCCTTTTGCAATATTCACAGAGGCCGCGCCCCTCATCTCAATCTTCCTTGCCCATTTTTTGGCATGGGATCGAACAGAAAATCGTGACTATGACCAAATAGAAGAGTCCCAGTTTCTCAAACACTACAGAAACGAAAGTACATCTGTATTAGACGTCCATTGACAAGTCCAGCTCGCAATCAACCCTCGCGCGCCGCGACATCGAATGGCTCATGGGTTTAGAGGGACCATGTTCATATACTTCGTGTTACTCTCCACACTCTCAAGTCTCTTCATCTCACCGTCATCAGCTATGAACCTCCCTGGCCAAAAGGGTACATAAACAACTACTGCAACGAAAAGTGGCAGTGTGTCGAGACCGTAGAAAAAACCTTCCGTAGTGGAAAGACTTCCGAGGTACCCTTGAGATAGTTCAATGGTACGGTATGTTGAACGGACCTATCCAAAGAGGAAACGGTCAATGATCGATCATGAGGGAGGTTGAATTGGACACGAACTAGAATTCCGACACAACTGATTAAAAGAGCGCAAGCGAGAATACGCCAGTCTTGATGAATCGGTTTACCAGAGTCGCGAGTCCAGATTCGGTGTTCATGCTTGTACACGCGGAACACAAAAAGAGTGAAGACCAACGTAAAGAACACGAAGGACGCTAGCTGGAGAGCAAGTCCCGCTAGAGCGAGCTATGGGTATTATGAATATTTGAAGCCAACAATAATGCTAGCTAACTTACATGAGATCCAAATTTCGCAGTGTCGACATTGTTTGAAATTGAAATCGCTCCACCAGCTGCCTATCGGTAAGAGGTCAGAACATAAGAGTCCGAAGATTTTAGAATCGAAGCTTTGACTTACCTGGACGAGAAACGTTACCACGTCTGAGAGGACGAAAACGAGGGTGATACGTCGAGGGGTGATCAAAAGATGGGAGTCGCAGTTGAGCCAACGAGACAAGCGTCCGAGAAGAACATAATCAGCGGCAATGAAACCACACGGAGAGAGAATGATGAAGAGATATTCCGCAATATAGATCCCTTTACTCTCCGGATTCGAATGGAGAGCGAAGCGAAAACCAAACCCAATACAGAATGCTATGCAATAAAGAATATTAGACAACATTGCGACAGGTGAAAATCGGTCACTACTCACCGCATTCCGCAATAACTAAAGTTGTCATGTACTTGCCACCTATTTTCCACATCATAAACATTTGGGTCAATGCAATGAGCAAGTACAAGACTATCATAATCGTGACCATCAGAGATATACTGGCGATATAAAGAGTGGAGGATATGGACGCACCCAATGCAAGCGCGGTGAGTACGTTAGATGGAATGTACCTCAGAGGATTGTAAGGATCGTTGGCAGGATCTGCATATGGATCGGCTGGACGGGGCGGAGAGTCTGTCTCCGGTGCTGCAAAACCTGAAGGCGCCAGTGCAAGTGCAAAAAGAATGATCGACAAGACTTCAACGTGCTTGTAGCGTCCTCCAAGAAAGGCAGGAATCATGGCCAGTCGACGGCGTGAGCTCAGCTATCAAAGGAGTGTTGACGAGTATTAAGGGGACTGAGTATATCGACACCAAGGTGAACTGGGAAAATGATAAAGAGTGACTTGGGATAGAAGAATTTTCAAGGGGACGGCTGCTTTCATATCCATCTTGAGGGGCGAATTAAAGTATTGAAACTCAGGATGATTCGGAGCGCTGTTGGCCGTTTCGGTCAAATGGGGATCCTGGTATCAGCATGGTGACTCAGCTGGGTGATTATGCTCTGGTCAAACTGAACATCTCACCATCGCATCCCGGGCAGGTGCCACGAGAAAGATGTTAGAAGACTGGATTGCGCAGCTTTGAGGCCTTCTCTGGCTGTGCACGTTCCTATCAATTATGGCGCGCGGTTGCAACCTTAGACCGCAGTCAAAAGTAACCAATCTATCAAGTACACCCTGCCAAGGTTGTCAACGAAGAGGCATGAAACATATAGAATAGGACAATATTTAGCAGGCGGAATTGTTTGGTAGCGGCACTGAATTAATGCTTTGCTTTGAAGACCTAGAGAAACCAGCACTGCAAGAATGGGAGAATGCAAGAAACTATGAAGATCGTGCCAGAAAGGTAAATTGACATCGATGCTGATTTGGCAGTCAGGCTGATGATGGGATCCTGGCTAGAAAATTCTCACGAAGTAGAGTTACCAACTCACCGTGAGCCCGTAAGTTAAACCTTTTTACCCGGCTTGCCTAACGCCCTGAGGAAGCAGCTTCAACAAAACCCTGAGGGTATATTGGTTCAAAGTACACTCAAGCGCCAGCAAACGCCAGCGCCGTCCGGAGTCAGGTACCGAAAGGTTTGAGTAGACTTGCAGCGAGCTGAACGCGGAACATCAGATGTGGATGAACGTCATATTACCATCATGTTTTAGCTATGCACTTGTTGTTGTTACATGTGGTCAATATAACCAAATTCAAGCTAAGGCGAGTCGGAGCGGCTTGATCTTTGGATCTGCAAAGACATGCTCAAATTATGGATGAAGAAACAGAGGCCATACAACAGTATATCATCATCGACTAGATTGATGCTCTTCCTCGAGGCTCGAAGGGTAAGAGCAGTGCGATGAATCCCGATACAATGAACAGAGCACCCGAGACATAGATAGGCACCGAAGTCGAAAGGTCGGCATAGAGGGCGATAATGGGAGCCTATACAAGTAATATCGCAACGCACATCGAAACCCAATTCTCAGTAAACGATAGGTCGAAAGCTGAGTGTGCTTACCATGATTCCAAAAATACGGTTGGCAGTGGACACAATGGCATTACCTGTGCCACGATCCTTGGTGGGGAACAGCTCAGGCGATACAGCATAGAGAACACCATACATGACATTGCTGGTGAACGTATATCCACAGTTCCATCCTAACAAGGCGTCAGATGTACGTGCCGTTGTTCCGGCAAACAAAAACGCGCCAGTAAGGACTGCAGAAGTAGTTTGAGCATAGCAAGGGTTCTGATAGAACTTTCACTTACGGGTTGAGATGGCTAGCGTGCCTTTACGTCCAAGGTATGGAAGCTCGACGAGCCACCCCGCTAGAAGTGCACCTGGTACTCCAATGACGCTCAAGATGACTTGCTACGGGCAAAAGGTTGGGCGTCAGCAGACTTGACAATGAATCTCCCTCATGACACTTACATTTCGGTAAGTGAGATTCAATGAACCATCTCCGAAGTCTGCACCACGGGTTTGAAGGCTGCGGTTCATATTCAATGAGAACTCAGTTGGGGTGCGTATCAAAGTTAAACTACGTACAAAAAGGTCACGAAACCATTGTACCTATCATTGTTGCATTGACTTAGCGTTAGCAAGATCGGGAGACGAGGGAAAGATGTACTCACAGCGGGAACGCAAGTCCAATAAAAGCTGATACGGCATGAAACGTGAGCCATGGAAACTCATCAAACATCTGAAGATCACGTACCCCATAAGATGATGAGAAGGGAAGTGGAATATGCAAGCTTTTTTCTCGCAAACAATGACTTGACATGTCCGGCGTTAAACTTTCTCAGTTTCCTAAGCGCAGCAGCTTTTGCACTGGTATCCATTTCCGCCTGTTCACCCTCCACCCCGGCAACCTGACCTGCTCCTCTCAACATCTCGATAGTCAATTTGCTCACCTTGCCGTTATAAGCAGCAACCTTGTGTACGACTTCGACCGCTTCTTCATCTCGGCCCCGACCCATCAGGTATTTGGGTGACTCATAGAGATGGAAGACGAAGAAACGCAGGACCCAGAGCAGGAGCATGAGACCGCCCATGGTATACATGAAGTAGCGCCATCCTTGATTTTCGGAGCGAGGACATGTGTCCGGAGTTGTGCCCACGCAGGAAAAATTGGCGATAAGAGGCCATGCGATCTATAATCATAAAAGGGATGAGATCCTCGAAGGTGCCAGTGAATGCTTGCGAAGGTAAACACGCACTAAGCTACTAATTAGCTGACCAAAGGCCCACCAGATGGAGAGTACGGTGAGCAAATACTGATGGGAAGCAGGAATAAACTCTGCAGTATTCGTTACTCAACTAGATATATCATTGGAAGTACAGTAAAAGTACGTACCAAGGAATACGGCAGAATCGACAGGCAGATTGCCCCCAACACCGATACTCCAAACAGCAGCCAAGGAGCAGAGTGCGACAAAACCAGGAGAAGCTCCTGCCGCCGTTGCGAAGACGCCCGTGATGAAGAGCGTGATGTTGAACGCCCACCTTAGAAGCCAATCAGAATGTCAATTGTACGTACTCAGCTGAAGACGATGATACGCACTGACGGCCCCATACGTCACAAGCGACACCCCAGAATGCTGCACCAACGAGAAGACCGATGTTTTGTCCAAGTTTAAGCCAGGGTCCTTCAAAACCGAACTCGTTAACCACCGGAGATAGGATAAGGCTCGTGACGACCTGCAGCTCGAAAGATATTTAGACAATTCACGAATGCAACAGCCCAAATGCTCACAGGCCATAGGTTATCGCTAGAATTTCAGACAATCTTAGAAGATGAGATACAAACGAGTTTCGGGGAATACTTACGAGAACCAGCCGAATCCAGTGACTACAAATAGATACCACTATTTTTGGATGCAGTGTAATGAGTATATGAGCATCCTTCAAGAATGAAGGCTATTAAATTCAGAACGAAGCGCCGAATGCACAACAGGGCGTTCCTCCGGTTTGATAATCGAAGGTTGCAGCGGTTCAATGGCGAACATCTAGGCACTCTTCCGCGGTACTATTCGACACAAAACTCACCTGATATTTGCCCATTCCAATTTCCTGAAATGCGTCGTTCAGGATTTTGGCTTTGGCATGATACACAGGATCCACGCCCGAGTCCTCGTCGAAGATGTCTTGAGTGTCCACATCGAAGGCGCCCTTCTCAAAGTCTTCGTTATTCGCGCTTTTAACTTTCTCGTCATGAGAGGCATTGCTCATATTTTCTGCAATGAGAGGATTCAATGAGCTGGTCAATCGATTTAGCAACTTGACGGTGGAGGCCAAGGTTGAAGGCGCGAAGAATCCATGTCAGCTATGTCCGGGCCTCTAGCTATACAGTATTTGCCGTCAATAGCGGATTTGAATGATGGCTGCTACATGTGCATGACCCACCCAAGACGCTTCTAACTCCACATTAGGAGCTTCGAGTGCCGTGAACGAACCAGCAATCACGGCAGACGTTATCATGATAGCGCAATTGATGGAAGTGCCACAGCGGTTGCCGCAACAATGCTCTCGAAATGACCACATGGCAAGACTAGCATATGGCGAAAAGTTACAAGGCAGATATACTTGTGGAGTACCGATTGAGCGGTAAAAATATGGGCGCGAGAGAGCTAGAGTCGGGTGCACATAGTAGTTGGACAAGCGGCGGCAGGTGGAAGAAAACCGTAAGGCTAGAAGTTAGGCGCTGACAGCGCTTTTCAACTCTTCGTGATCAAGATGGAAAAAGCCTCACTTCATGATCAGGAGCATAAGGAAAAGGGGATATAGGCGATAGCTTGTATCGTAGAGTACTGGGCGATTGAACGTTGTGCTTGACGACAAGTGCTACAGTAATACCAATTGAATGATGTTCCGCCGAACCACAACGACTGCCTAATGTGGATGTATCGTTTACGGGACAGCATGATGCCGGCGTCTCCGCGACGACTGTACGCGTGTGGTCAACTTCACTCTCAACACCTTCCTCTCAGTAATTGACTTTATTGAAGTCAATTGCAAGTATTGCTTTCCTTGCATGAAACCTGTTAGCTGAACTGACGCTATGCTTACAGTCGCTTTCCGCAATCCTCGTAGGGGGTCAATGAATTTGGCGGGAAAGCGTAGCGCGATTGACTCTTACAAACTCATCCGGCTCATATTGGATCTAAACCTCACGTGTCAACGTAATCGGTGAGTGTGTGCTCTATCATTTGATACTCACGAAGATTTCATACCTCATGATCGAAACATTCAACAGCTCGATATGTTCGAAAACCAATCTGCACTCCCTCCCGAACTCATCACTGAAATCACCGGATATCTAATTGATGACAAGGACTCGGTGCTTTCCTCCGCGTTAACGTGTCACACTTGGTATAATGCTACCAGACAATGTTTCTACCACAAGATTAGCATTTCTTCGAAGGAACGTCTCGAAACATTAGAGGAACTCGTGGATGAGAATCCGACAATTGGATGTTGGGTTCGTATCCTACGAGTCTCCGAAATGCATTCGGTGAATTGGGTCATTCACATCCCTGGCATCGCTCGTAAGCTTCCGAACGTGCGGACTTTGGAGATGTCAAAACTTTGGCAACATATAAGTCATTCCAATCCTGAATGGTTTGAAAGCTTGTCCCAATTCACCTCCATTCAACATCTTTCGCTCGACCGCTGTATGTTTTCAGTCAACTTCTTGAAGAGTTTGGTTTCGTCTCTACCACACGTCAAGGCTCTTTCTCTCGCCAGGACCAATATCGATGAATACAGTTTCGACATCGGGAGCATTTTTGAAGTTCCGTACGATGAGAAAGATCCCGAAATGCCTTGTCTGCACGAGCCCCGCCTTGAAGAGTTCTCTGTGGATACGTCTGTGTTCTCTAGTTGTGAGGGAGTTTGCGAATGGCTGAGAACCACAGAATCCGTATCCACGCTTCGAACTATCATCTATCCCATCGACTCGCTTACTTCTTTTAAGGAGATAGGGGATCTCCTTGTGGCTGCTGGCGGACAACTGGAGTACTTAGAATGCAGCATGGCGAAGGAGGTTAGCAAGTCCGTATATCCAGAGAACGGCGAGTCTGTCATTTCACGCCTTCACTAGTTGTTAATATTGACGTCCATTACACAGGATTCGCTCAGTACTTCAAATTGAGTCACCATACAGGACTTCGTCACATTAAGGTTAACTACCCGCGTTATACCGTGCCCTTGTTTTCCGCCCTTCCTGATCCATCTCCCCTCCAATGCATTACATTCAGCATATACTTCAAGCGCATGGCTCAGTTCAAGAACAAAGATCACAAGGCACTAGATGACCTCCTTTCGAGCCCGCAGTTTTCCAACTTGCAACGAGTTTGTTTTGAGTATACAGGCACTTTGGACTACGAGACAGTGTTGAAGAAGATGCAGAGGGTCTTCAAGAAGCTTGTTGCAAAGATAGATATTGAAGTCAAGATGGTCGCTACGAAGCCTCCCAACTATTACTTGTATTGAAGGCGAGTGGAGCTAATCCCCATGAGCTAGACTTCGTTTGGCGTCTGAAGTGATCCAGGGCTTCGTTCTACCGATGTCATATTACAGTATACCAGTATCATTGAGAGGACTCTGTAGTACGCGCATTAACTTATTGGCCATTGTACACGCTAAATCGCGATAAGTAAGGCCGTTTCTTACTATTGGTATAGCTCGTCATTTGGCCAGTGGTTCTCACCGTGCAGGCAACACCATCGCGTAGGCCGACCGGTAGCGAGAGGGATAGGAGTCGCCTCCTCCTATATCCCCAATACTCTTCGTGCGTCATCCTCCTTTTCGGACACGTCTTCCTTCCCCTCATCCTCACATTATACTCGTACCATCACGATGGCCAACGTCAGCCGTCCAATCGAACTTCCACTCGAAGTTCTCTACATGGTCGCAGAGTACGGAGACGAGGATCGCGATGTTTCCTTTATCCTCAGCTCGCTAAACAAATCCTGGTACACCGCTGCCAGACCACTAATATATCGTAGAATTACCGTCCGAAGGGAGGAAAGACTGGCTGAACTGGAGAAATACATTCAACAGAACCCCATTGTAGCGGCTTGGATCCGAGTCCTTCGGATCGATCATCACTTTCGAGATAAATGGTTGTTGGATGTACCCAGGATACTCAAGCCTATACTTCCCAAACTCCAAACCATCGAAATCGGTCGTATTAGCCATACTCCAGTCATTCATAAACCTACGTTCTTCCATGACCTTTCGTCTTTCGACTCAGTACACAAGTTGATCGTCGAACGTGTCAATCTGGAATGGGAATTTACCAACGCCCTGGCATGTGCCTTCCCAAATCTCAAAGTTTTGCATTTTCGTAAACTGAACAGAGAGCATTACGACCTCGCCGAAAAGCATGCCAATATGCATGCCGCTCTCGACGCTGCTATCAATTGGCAACCCCCTCCTTCGATCCCACTTCCCATCCTCCATAACCCTCGATTTGAGGAAGTCATTGTTGCTCCCGAGATGAGTGACTACGGGGTTCGCGTATGTGGTTGGTTGAAGAAAACGGAGACTCCCAAAAGTATCCGCACTTTCAGATATCACATTTTGTCGACGAAGGATTTCGAGTCCCTTGGGATGTTCCTCAGCGAGGTCAGGAGCAACCTGCAGCATTTACACTTGTCTATCAAAGATTCCGTGACCCGTCCAAGTTATACTTGTCGCCGTAAGTCTCACTTTCTTCCTTCGGTCTTTCTCCTTCACATGACGGTGATCTTCATATCTGTCTTTAGTCTTCATGGACCCATGGTACCAGCTCAACAAACTTACCGGTCTTTGCCATCTCCGACTGAGTCATCCTGGATTCATGAGATTCTTTCTCGCGCATCTCCCCAGCCCTCTGCCGGTTGAATTTGTCACTTTTGACATCAGCTTCAAGAAACTGGAACAGTTCAAGAATGGGGAGAACCAAGCCGTGGATGCACGTCTCGCTGGTTCGCAGTTTCCGGAGCTGAGGAGAGTTCGCTTCGAATATTCAGGTCCGGTGGAGTATGATGCCGTGTGGGCGAAGATTCGGAAGGTGTATAAGAAGCTTTGTGAACGAGAGGTGGTTGTTTTGGTGAAGGTAGGCGATGAAGTTCAGTGATCAAATTCGGTAAGTTTGGAGACGTTAATTCGAGTGTATAGTAAATCACCGGCTGATACTTCACATAATAGGATGTGAATCTTTTGTATGTTATGCATGAAGGGAAATGTAATTCGAATACATGTGAATCCTCACAGATACCTTCGAATTCGTAGTTCGCGAATCCACTCTCAGCCTTCGTCAAGCACCCCTTTGTCCATCGTATTACTACTGTGATGTCGATGCTACCATGCACAACACATGCGGTACTCATAGGCCAGGTGGTGCTAACTGCATCTAAGGTCTATACTTGATCGGCACTTCTTGACAGGGTTCAGACTAGGGGAGTGACATGGGCGTTAAGTACACGGCCTTGTTCGGGAGGACCTAGGCGGATATCCCGATATCGCTCGTTCGTTTAAATGGTGAAGCTCTCCACTCAAGTCTTACATATCCGCCGTCAGGCCAAATGATAACCCATGGCATGTTTAGTGCTTTGCCATCTTTGAAGAAGCCAGTGGATATGAAATCTCCCCATAATCGGTGTAAAGAACAAATCCGGCCTCTCTCTCCTTCCGACTGAAGCTAACTGAGTCTAGCTCTACAGGACTGACATTGGTGCCTTAGTTTACTGTCTCCTGTGCCTGCAGGGTTATCAAGTCATGTTTCGGCTAACACTCTTGTCTTGCCAGGAGAGGGCATAGTCCCTGATTCCCTCGACATTTCCTATAGGCATCATGACTGTATGAATGTTGCTGTCTCGGTGCTGGAGTCGTTCCGATAGGAATACAACTGATCTCATCGCAGACACAGGGATATAAGGCCCTTATGTGTTGGAAAGGCATTCGCGGCCCATCTTCACTAAATAATCGCTCATCTCATCACCATGTCCTACAAGCCGCCATCCATCCAGGAGGTAGTACATTTTCTTGAAGCGATTTCGCACACATAGCTGCTGTCTGCTCACATTATTTCCAGATCAACTGGCTTGTTTCGGGGTACAAAATCACTTCGGTCTGTAGTCTCCTGTCCAACCGTCTCCCTTCTGCTTAGTTCTGATCTCCCTATCAGGCCGATGAAGAATTTATAGCGAAATCTCAAGGGAGCTCGCCTTTCCCTTCCGGTTCTGATTCCGATGTTGGGATTTCGATCTTTAAAGCCACTATGGGTGCCCTAGTCGCTCTCTCAGCCCTGGCAGGGCCTATGGGCATTGTCTTTGCAGCTGGTGCAGCAATAATAGATGTCACACTGGACACGGACCCCACTGCGCCATCTTCGGCTCCTACATTGAGCCAGATCTCCAAGGAAGTTGGCAGGACCATTGAGGAGAAGCTTCAGGATCGAGATATCGCTCAACGTATCGCACTTGTGCGAAGTGTATTGGACTATATTGATCAGAATAAGGAGATTCTAGAGGCATTGGAGAAAGATGAAACAGGAACTAAAAAGGTGCGTAGAACCTTCACTTCAACTTTTGAAACGAGGTCATGTTGATCTGATTTTTTTTTCCAGATTTATCCACGTTCTACTCACTTGGAAGACAACGTAGACTATCTAAAGGTGCACCTTCTGCCTATTACCCTCTTGTTTCTCTCGTTCTGACACATGAGCCAAGACGCAAATCATCCCGCAGCTCATCAAGTACAGCTCTCCCGGAGGTCTATATGATGGACTCACCGGCCTCGGCGAAGTTGCTACTCACCCACCATGGCATAGACCTGATATTCGGGCCGCCCATCTCCTCGTCTTCACCACTCTGTTTATTACGCAACAATACCTCAGCCTCATTTACTCTCGTCTTGCTGCACTCGAGAGACATCGAGGAAACAAGAGCAAGGCACAGAACTACACAAGCTCGTACTACAACCAGTTGGACGTCATGCAGGGCAAGGTCGAACAGCAACTCGCCTTGCTGAACGAGAACATCAACCGGTTGAGGAAGTGGAGACGAGACGAGATTACAGACGTGGCCGAACGTACCCCGGCTGTCGTTGAGGATTCGGGCTGGACGCCACCAGGAGCGTATGGTGCAACTGTGCCCGTCTCCAATGGCCGTCCAAGCAACGTCATATCCTGGAAGGACAACTGTACGGGCAACAATCATGAACGTCGAGCGAGCGAGTATTACTATGGGTTGTTCAACATGTTGAGGGGATGGAGGTTCGACGATGCTTGGAGAGATTCTCGGCCGGAGCACGATGCATATATGGACAGACTGAATGCTCATATCGATCGAGTGTTGAAACCGGATATGTTAGTCGCCCAGGGTTGGCAGGCTACCCTTGAAGCAGCGACCAAGTTTCTTGTGAGTCTAGATTGTGGATTTCCTTACTCACCTATAGTTCTAATGACACGAACTTACCGTTGCAGAAGATTGATCATTAATTTCTTCGTCGCTCCATTTCTTGTGAAACATTCAAAGCTCTTGTTAATATTTCTTGTAAAGTTGATACTTTCCTTGCATGTTAGCCCTCCGCGGACAAGGAATGGAGAAGGGATAGTGTAAGAGAAAATGCCGAATGGAGAGCGTCGATCAATCTGGCTCCATCGGAATTCACATCTAGAACACTGTAAGAAGCCGTGTCTTCTCCGTGAAGTACGATTTTTATGTTAAGGACCTAGTTCGACGACACATACTAGTATCTCTGCAGGAAATCAGAGTTTATGACTTGCGTACAATCCGACAATGAACTGAGGATGCTAGTAGCGAGGCAATACAAGACGACGCCAATACAGTCAAGACACGTCGACGTTTCTTGATATGTACCGCCAAATAAAATCCGGATAGCGCCTATTTTTGTCTAAGGCTCAAGAAGCGTCGAGAAGCATATTCAATCACTCATGAGTCGAAGAACACATACGAATTACTTTGGCTAAGAGACGCAGACCATGTTCAGCATCAGACGACGCCCCCATCGAACTTCAGGATGCCCCTTTGGTCAAGCCCAGGCAATCCGGCCTTAACAATATGATGCAGCGTCTCATCCAAGCCTTCAAACCTAATTTCCGTCTCTTCACTCTCACCTTCATCACGAGCGACGTGGCAAAAGCGGAGAGTCTTGAGGTGGGGCGATTCTCCGTCAGCAAGTTAGAGAGTGCCGTCCAATTCCAGGACGAGAGTATATGTCTGATGGGGTCGATATATTTGCGCCAATACGTGACGATCGAGAGTTCTTCAACGTTGGGTGGAGCACGAGCTAGAATAGTGTGGACGCTATGGTCAAACGTAGGATCATCATCGTCATCTTCTAAATCAGATGCGACTTCAGAATCTGAGTCTGCGTCGGCTCCAGTATGACTAGGCGGGATGTCTCCGGCTGACGATGGCAGTGAAGGAGGACGATAAGGATAAACTGCACCCTCCGTATCGTCCAAACTTGAGGAGATATTTTCTACTGGTATCGATGGCGGAGGAAAGTCGAAATCTGGAGGGGCACTGTTCCATGGTTGGAGAAGAGTCAGATACCGGAGTTCGGTGCACCCTGACAAGTCGAGGTCCTCCCAATCCGCCGTACCATGCAAATCAACATCTGCAAGGGTAACATTCCTTGATAAGTACTGTCCCTATCCCTAATGTCAAGAAAGAATGACAAACCGAACATGAGATTTTTGAGAGTGGGCACTATAATAGACGTAACGCCCCAAAGTCCGCGATCAAAGACGTACAGGGTGCGCAAAGTATGCAAGTCGGATAACATAGAAGGTGTGATGACGTGGAGCAGAGATTCTGCATCTATATAGACGGACAAAGTCTCAAGCTTCAACTCCGAAGGTATCCAGTGTTCCGATGGTGGCGAAGGTGGCCGTGAGCGAAGAATTGATAATATCGGCACGTTGGTACTCAAATCTTCCTCGGTCCCTGTCTGAGCAATACGTGTGGCAACAGGCCGAAAGGTAATTGAGGATAGTACTCACTGTGGACAGAAGCGGATTCATCGTATCTGCGTCACCTTCATAGCTAGTTCCGGGGAAGCGGCATGAAAGGGCAACTCGATAATGTCGAAGATCCTTTAGTCCAGGAAGAAGACTGAGAAGCTGAATGAAAGCGAGGGTACTGATGGACCGTTCCATGTCCACGAGAATTAGTCGTTTGAAAGAGCTGTTAGTTCCAATCTTGTCGCGCTCTGTATCACCGCACCCATTCCAGTGCACACCTTCCAGGCGCAAGGTATGGAGATTAGGAAGTTTCCGGACGAGAGCACTAAGATCCGTCAGATAAATAGAGGATTGTTTGACCCCGAATCCTATCGGAAAACCCTCATCGTCGGTGAAGTCAACACGCATCTCCTTCGCAGCAAAGATGTGCAATGCGTGCACGTCTTTCTTGACTCCGGAATTGGCGTCTATTTAACGCGAGAGTGCAACCTGATTACGGGCTTCGCAGTCGTCGTAAAGAATCATGGTAGGCTCTGAGAAAGACCTGCGAGATTCATCCTGAGTGTCAATCCGGTTTGGTTTGTTCATCGCATTGGTGGACATATTGAGAGTTTGGAGTCGTCAACTTTCGAGTACAATGGGTGAAGGCAAAGAGCAATGTCGAGAAAGCCCAATTCCGGAGGCTCAAGATGAGAGACCCAAGTTGGCGGCATCATATTATGCTGCCATTCTGTACAAGTGAGCTTATATACGTAACTCGCAAAAGCATTGGCAGACATGAGGAAGACGTGATGCCGACGGCTAAAGCCCTTGCTGTTTTGGGCGATCGTCTCTGATTGGAGGAATATTGATATTGTTCCCGCATTCGCAACTGCAGTGTGGATGACTTCGGCTTCAACGTCAACGTTGACTCTGCTGGTCAACACTGCAATATATCCTTTGTTTCCACATGTCGTGTTCTCATCGGCTCTAGAACTTGATCTACATTGATTATTTGATAAACAATGCAAAAGTCACAGTGGCTGCAGTCAAAGGTGCGTATGTCCATTGTCCTGGGGTGGCCACACTGGAGCAACCATTCTTAACTTCCTACATGTACGAGTTTTCTCCGTTATCTTTCCAAAGTGCTGACGACAAGTTTTAGATCGCCTTGACTCATCTGAAGACTAACAATGCCGACGGATACCGCGCTGAAGCTCGTCGATCGTTTCTTTGGCCAGTTATCCTGCGACGTAAAGACACTCAAAAGCTGCGCTCTTGTTTGCCGGGCATGGAGACGTATCTCTCAACGACATCTGTTTCGTGATTTCTACGTCGACTGGCAGCACCCAAGTGGTTCCTCCCAAGATGTCCCTCAGTTGACTCGCCGACTTCTCCGCTTTCTCACTGTTGTGCCTCACTGCTGCATACATATACAGTCTTTTTCCTTGACCGGCCATCATACGCTGGCACTCCATCTAGATGACTTGATCGGGTTTGCTCAGAAAATGCCCAATTTGAAGACTTTGCGGTTGCAGGGGCTCCGATGGAGCCTGGGTACAGTCCCTCTCGATGCACTCAAATGCACACGCGTCACCAAGTTGGCACTACTGAACCTTCGAGTGGAGTCGCTCGATCATATAGCATGGCTTCTTGAAGTCCTCCCTTGCGTAACACGTCTGGATGTACACAACGTCTTACAACACGTTCTCGAAGAATCCGAATCTTCATGTTTTGGCTCAACACAATTGCCCTATCATACACGTCTTCAACAACTGAACATGAACCAGTTTCTCCTCGACGAGTCGTTCACCGCAGCTCTACGTTTTACACGGACTTTAACCATGAAATCAATTCGACGCGCCGATCTCCATTGGATCTCTTCAACAAATCTCGGACCTACTGGGCAATTTCTTTGCAACTTTGCAGACACTATTCGCGATCTACGACTTGGCATCAGGTATACTCCTATGTATAGTGAGTACCAAATGTATCCCCTTGAGGAGCGCTCACAACTCGTCTTGTAGAGAACGGCTACGATGTTATTCAGGCCCTACGTCTCTATGCATGTGTTTCTCTAAACCATTTCACAATGCTCATCTCGGCCGCAAATCTAAATCAATTCCCCGAACTTTTGATCGCTCTAACCGCAGCTCTCTCACCTGCAATACGGGCTATTACCTTTCAATTGGTGGACTCGGAGGAAACAACCTTACCTGCACAAACTAAGCGGCGACTTGTCGACCAACCCACAGGTCGCGAGCCTGTCAATGTCTATCCCTTTGAGAACCAGCTCTCCAACTTGGACAAAATGGACTGGAATCATCTTGATCTGGATTTGATGAGATTCCGATGCTTGGACGCAGTGTATATCCAAAGCGTCAATGATGAAGGGGTGGACCGTCACTTCGAAGTTCGACCAGCACTCCAACACTTTTTGCATGACCGTCTACCGAGGTTGCACGCTGCTGAGCGTTTGCGTTTTCCTTAATCTCAACTCAGGCCGAAGAGAGTGTCTTTCGGATGAACGCATGTTGTTGTAATCCATGTACTTGTAAATGGAATACACGGTGGTTATAGGTATACAAAGTCGAGCCATTTCATCTGGACGACTAAGTGCGCGTGACTCTCCTTCCTCTGACTCCACCTCGTCGATCCTTAGACAAAGCCGAAAATGGTGTGCATTTGCGACTTTGAATCAAGTGTTCTGGTACCTTTTTACAGTCGCCATCCGAGTAGGGTTTAAAGCCCAATGAATACTCATGATGGAAGTCTGAGCGCCAATAAACGCTCATCGTCCTCAGGCTCTTCAAACTACTACCATAACGCTACAGTGGCTGAAACTGACCCTGGCCATAACGTACACTTCTTCGTCGTAATATTCTATGCCCCGTGTGCCTCTACCCTAACACCGGGGATTACAAGAAGTTAGAAGTCGCGCATCCAAAGAATTAGCGTGGTGTCGTGGCTTCACGTTGTACACCTCCGTATGTATCTCCATACGAAAATGTTGACCGATTCTACATGACTTGAGTACGATTTAGGGGCTTCGTTTTGATGTTCTGAAAACATGCATCGTATATTCTATGTCTCCGAAATTCTGGACAACGTCTTCCATCGGCTGGAATACAGAGACGTCGAGGTCGGGAAGCAAACTCTTGCCGGGCTTGCCAGGACATGTCGGGCTTTTGAAAATGTAGCTTTAGGCGTTTTGTGGGAGGAACAGGCAGGACTCGTACCCCTTGCACGTTGTCTCGGAGATGCGGTTCAAGAACGGTGGAAACCTGGACTAAGTCCATCTGATGGACTTACAGGTTCAAGACGTCAAAATGAGAAGAAAATTCTGGTGAAGACAGATCACTTGTACTTTGAGTGTGCCGCAATGACTTATTATTATTATCATTACAGTACTGTCGAAGGCTTCCAACTGTATCTGAATGGAAGAGGATGCACAGATACGCGAAGTTGGTTAAGACCTTCCGTGACTTCGGAATTCCTTACCCCGGACAAGATCAAGCGATCGATACGAGCATTTTGCTCGCTATCTTTTATCACTGTCCTGGTCGATTATCTCTGTTCTCAAACCTGCGCGAGTTAAATTGGCCTTTACTCGGCGTCGGAAAAGACGACATTCCGTTTGTTACTCGATTCTTCGGGCCCAAGCTAGAACAAGTCAACTTCATAGGACGGGGAGATATGGAGTTAGATCTTCCGATTATGGATCACTTGCTTTCGTGCCCTCTTTTAACCACTGTCAGCCTGTGCTGTAGATCCCGCCCAGTTGTCACATTGCCGATTCGAGACCTCCTGACGACGTCCTTCCGGCTACGATATTTCTTTTGTAAAACCCCTCTGGATTCAGTGCACGTTCAAGCTCTTGCTGCATTACCCTCCCTTCAAGTCGTCGACATACACCTTTCCGATACAGCAGAGTTGCCACCCTTGCTGTTAGCACAGTGCGATCACGCCTTTCCTGCGCTGAGGTCGCTAACACTACATGTTCGTGATGTTGTGGAGGCTACTCGATTCATTGAATTATCCCCCCTCCCTCGCTTGACAGACTTATCTCTAGCTATACGAGACCAGAGCTTCCCGTCTAGTCCCACACTAATTCAAACTCTGGGGGAAGTCATGGCTCGCCAGTTTTCGACAACCACCTACGAGACGTTTGAGATATCCTCGCAATGCCCGATGCGTTTGCCTTGGGATGCTTCCAAGGCTATTCAGCCCTTCATGCTACAGCCGTTTCTCAAATTCCAGGCCATGTCAAGTTTCAAACTTGATGCACAGTGGTGCTACGATCTCGACGACGCCTTCATGGATGTCGTTGCCAGCGCCTGGCGTCAACTACACAGCCTACGTTTAGATCCAAATGGTTCCTGGCCTTCACATAGAGTCTGCAAATTGACAATTACGGGCCTTCTGCCTCTTGTTCAACGTTGTCCTTGCATTTCAGACATTGAAGGTCACTTCGAGGGCAGAGTTCCAGAAATGTCGGACACTGATAGACCGGGAAATGGTTATGAAGCGCAGGATGTCATGTCAATCAATGTTGGGGATGCAGAAGTGCCCAACACGAGGGCTGTTGCAGCTTTCCTTTCGGATGTATTCCCTCAATTAGACTTCATTTTCTGTTGGGAGGATGAAGAAACGAATCGACACGCCGGGCGGTGGGGGAAAGTGGTAGACCTGGCGAAGAGCTACATAATGGTACGTCAACAAATGAAAACATGGTATGAAAAAGATGAAGCTGGTTCTGAGACTCATGGGTCCGAGACTGGTATGTTCCTTATGTCGAACCTGTCCTTTCATATTTCTCTGACTTATCTCCAGATACGTCGGGCATTTCATGATGCAAATTAGTTTCCTGATCTGTTTGAAAGCAGAGGTGTACTTGGTTCGTTGTATATCCCTGTGCCGATATTTTCTCTTATCCGTTCTCAACGTTGCGTGTCTAGGAGTCAAGGTTGATTTATCAAACGAGGTCGTGAAATACAAGTATATACCCGAAGTTTAATGGAGCGAAAAGCCTGCTAACATTGGTATGGATGGACCGTTTGAGAATCGAGTCCTTCTGCGCCGCAGGTGCTCGTTCCTCAGTCGTATCCAGTTCGAGGCACCTATAAGAATGCTTTCCCAGAATGCGTTCGAGGTGCTCTTTGCGTCGCTGATGTTGCTGATAATACCTCCGAGGCTTTTTAGGGGCGTGATGATAATGGCAGTACCATGCCGTGGTGTGGTGGGCTTCTCAAACAATTCATGAAACAGTGCATGAGCATCAAGTGCAACCGCATGCGTGATGAATTGGCGAGGTTGAGTCTACCCGCCTTCAAGCTTCATTGGCCACCGCCATATGACATCATTCGAGGTTTCGAAATCCCTGAATATCCATCCTCATCCGCCCATCGTATTCAAGGCATGAAATTCAATGGGAACGCTGGTCATCGTGTGAGAGAATGAAGACATTCGACTTCCAATAAACTCGAACGACGGACACTATACTACTGTGGTGCTAAACGTATTATAGACTCAAAACATTCTGTCCGTAGGGTATACTAACAGTCCAATGCTAAGTCCGTCCGTGCATGATGGTATGAACACTACCGCCCGCCATTACACACTCCATCCAGTCTGGATTAGATGATGTTGACCGTGGTGTTCTGTGTCTCGAGGAAAGGGAATGGACCAGCCTATTTAGAAGCAGTAAGTTAGCAAGGTCAATTCGTAAGCAACACAAGAATACAAAGAACACGCACGCCAACAAGGGAGAAGTGAGAGACGGTCAATGAAGCGTCTCCGAGAGGGAAATTAGGAGGAATGTCAACGCTGAAGTTCTGGTAGGGTGGCTTGTTACTCTCTACAAACTTAGGCGAATAGCCTCCCGCATAAAGGATGGTACCCAGAATCTGGGAAGTGTCGACAGATCCGCATGAACCATTCGGAAACCTCGAGCAGGAAGAGAGGCCAATGGCAATGGCGACTTCCTGCGAGCCCGTAAGCGAGTTCTAGTATAATTATGCTACATGAGTTTCAACCAATGCGAGTGCGTAGATGAGTAGACTTACAGGTCGATCAACCTCTACAGTAAGGCTAGTCCCTGCAGGCACCTTTGTCCCGTCCGCGGGGGCGCCAATGGCAATACGCTGAGCGAGGGTGGATGCGACGAGAGCGGCGAGGACGAAGAAAGACTTCATGTCGTGAGTGATCGTGAGCTGCTTTAGAAAGCGGTTATATGGTAATGAAATGGAAAAAAAGAGAACAGTGGAACTTGGGGAAGTCTGTGTGGTTGACCATTCGATACATGAGGCTTTCATAGAGATTCTAAGGCCGAGTCGCACAAGGCGCGCCCCGAGGTCGCGGCATCGGCATCTTGGTGTGAATTATTGAAGTGGGACGGTGAAACGTGCGCATGACTATAGAAGAACGGGAGCTGAATAGCCTTTCAGCAATTCACCTGATGAGCGAAATGACATGCAGCTCCACACCGGTTATGCTGCCCTTCGATCGCGCGGATACTGTTCTGTGGGCAATGAAATGGTCTGCTTTCACCGCAGAATACTGTACACTTTTATAAGGTGGCTGGAATGCTTGGAGATGCGCTCTCAAACTGAACGGCGCTGGGCGAGTTGCGTCGAGGCGGTGAATCAAACTTTTCATGATAAGATTAGATCTCCGTTTCCGAAGATCATGCGTTGATCCGGAAACGGGCTCTACGGGAAAATTTTGAGGTCGGCCATCTCAACGATGTGCGTAGTAACAATACGGTGGCTGAAGCCTGTCTACTGTAAAAGCTGAGTCTATTCACGTTAATATTCAGCCTTCACGTTGGCTGTCATCAACCAGGGTATATCTCCGAGTCGTCATTTTGCCAAGTACTTATCCTCCTTATTAGGTCCAGCCTCTGGTATACTCTCGGAAGACAATCGTTCCATTACCTCTCCATGTTATTGTTGTCGTCCGAGTTCATAATCATCGAAGGAGGACAGGTCAATTGTGACATTAACAGCGTTACATGTCCTGCGACTCCGACTGCCACTATAAAGGTTTTCTCTTTGCGTTGTGGTTGAAATCACATCCTTTCTGATTTCTCATCTTCATGCCTGTCTCCATGTCCCGATGGATGGAAGACCCACACAGGTGAGCATGTCCACTCGCAGCGAGATCAGCTGCTATCGATCTCACTCTAAGAATAGCACACCTAGATCTCCTCGTATACCGATTTTCATCAATACCGTACTGCCTTCTGAGCTCATCGACAGGACTCTGGATCATCTCCATGATGATAAACCATCGTTGAAGGCCTGTTCTCTGGTCTGAAAACACTGGCTTCATACCAGTCGCTTCTATCTCTTTCGCCGGACGCACCTTGGTTCCAAGTTGACAGACGTCTACAAATATTTCTCGGTTTATATGACACTCCTCACGCAGGAAATTTCACATCTCTGCGCCAAATTGAAGCAATTACGGCGCATGGCCAAGTCATGGAAAACTTCACCCTGAACGTGCTCGATGTCATTCTCAAACATACACCCGGTCTGCAAAGCCTCACACTTCTCAATGTGTACCTGAGAGCTAAAGGCAGCAATGCTCAACTGTTTCATGTTTATCCGTCAGTCCGTGATTTAACGCTGGATTTCTGCATGGTTACTTCGGGAAAGGCTCCTTATGATATGTTCTCCCGAATATCCGACACCTCTAAATCGTCCGCCTTCTCTTTCTTGGCACATACGACTACTCATTCGAAGCGCTCCCTCCACACGTTGCCCTAGAGTCGTTCACACCTCAAGTTGGTTTTCCTGCGAGTCTTAGGCTTTTTTTTAGAGATGCATGCACTGCGCGTTCTCTAACATGTCTTGATCTCGGCCGTATGGATGATTTAGACACACTTCTCGGAGTGCGGCATTTCGATTCTCTCGTCATACAGAACCTTCTTTCGCTCCGCCTAGGCCTTGGTGCAATGCTGAAAAGCCGTTCGAATCGAAATTTGATCATTCTTGACCCACAAGATCGTTGTAAGTTCTGATAATACAAATCCCATGCACTACGTCTCACATTTCGTTTTATGCTTCAGACATCGAATCGATTTGGGAAGCCATCCCCTTACAGCATTTTACATCTCTCATCGGCAGTTAACGATGCCTCATATCTATGTCTTCGACTTCGTGTCAACCACAGTACGCCACGTTAGGATCGACATTGTGCTTCAGAGCACAGAAGACCAAATTCGCATTGATGATGCTGGGCCAGAGATACTGTATGGGACTTTCTAGACCGGCTTCCATCTCGTTTTGCGCACCTGGAATCTGTAAAACTCCAACCAGGTCTACAACGAAACCCTGTCCAGGAGACAGGCGATCCAAGGCCCGAGGTAATATGATAACAGTCTGAGCAAAGGCAAAAGCGGAGAGCGGAGCAAGCACAAAGAAAAACTCCATGCCTTATTCACAACGTATAGTGTGGACAATTGAGAGAACGGGGAATGAGAAAGAAGTTGCTATCTTTCTACCACCTCTGCATGCGAACAACTTATAATATGTCCCAGATAAAGCTTACCAGTATATCACATTGCAAACACTCACGTCTCAGCTAGGAATCAGGCCTCAGGTTCTGGGATGAAGGTGACCAGATCTGACCAGATTCGAAACAAGCTTCAGACTTCAGTGCTAGCGATGATCGATTGAGATCGATCTCTATCTGCTTCAGACCCTCGCTGTATTGAACCTGTAACTAGTCGGCGACGACTATGTAACTTTCACATTATCGTCTCCTTCAGAAGCACCCTTAGCTTCGACGAGAAGATGTCAGGCATGCCCCGTCGAATGGTAGTTCTGCTTTGGACCCCTCCCACCAACATCACGATCTCAGCGCAAGTTGTGAACAACGACTGAGAACAAGAGCGCTCCTTCGGTGGTAGGAATAACGACGCATCATTGCTGACTCCTCGTCGGGTCCGAATACATTCGTCTACCCCCTTGTAAGGGCGCGCGACTATTCATCCGCCCATCCGTCAATACCTCATCGCCACTGGACTTGTTTTGGCCCCACGCGAGTACACCACGAGTATGAGAACCTACGTGGAATGGCAAGAACCGCAGGTCCACACGATGTTCATGTACCTTTGAACAATCCGGAAGAGATCACCGGGTTGGCACTTCGTTTTCTCCGAACAACTGAGCCGTACGTCGTGCAGTTCTCAACATTATATCTAATGCGATTAATCTGATTTTCTCCAGTAATTTCCCACTTCGCCTTTCTTGACACCAAGAAACGCAGGGAACTATCACCTGTGCTACTAAGCTTATGTATCCTTGTCGAGGTAAAAGAAAGAAAAAAAGAGAAAGAAAAAGGTAATTTATGTTTGTGACTTCTATAACTTACCACCTGCTAAATTCCAATTTGCGAACGATTCTCGAACACACAAGCTCAATTCATATAGCATCATCGTCTGGTGTATGGATCGATATACTAACTGCCGACTCGATGCATCCTCCTCCCCTCCGCACAAACCAAACACTAACGCCTCTAATGACCGTGCACCTCCACTTCCACCTGATCTACTTCAAACTTTACGCCTGTGTCTTCCTGGATACCTCATTCTGTCAACATTTGGATTTGCGGTCGTTACTACTTCCTGCTTACCTTGATGGTGAAGTAGTGACCTACAGTCACCGTCGCGCCACCCGATGGCATGTCTGGTGGCACAACAATGAAATCCTGGAACTTCGAAGTGGAAGAAATAGACGAGGTTGGATTGAAAGTGCCGTTGTAGAGCGGTCGAGAGACCCGATCAATGAAACTAACAATGTTGATTTTGAGCCCAACGTCCTCTTGGTTGAGAGTCGTGTTCTATGAAAACTCATAGTCAGTAGGTGCAGGGAGTTCATGTACGGCCCTAATGCATACCTTCAAGACCTCTACCAGGAACGGTACGCCTGAGGTGACGTTGGTTCCGACGGTGGGGGCGACTATGCTGATGCCTCGCTGAAATTCCGCCAACACAGTAGTGGCTAAAGCTGCGAGGATGATGTACTTCATAATATGAGTAAGACTTGTGATGTGCAGTTGGGTGAGAGATATCCTGACTTGTTTGCTTTGCTTGATGCGTTGACCAGGCTTATATATCAGGAAACGGCAGAATTCTTACTGAAAAGACACATCCCGACCCAGTTGAATATGCATGGCAATGCGGGCTAAAACTATCTCAGTCGGGTTGCAGGTTGTGAACGAAATCTTGCGCGGCTTCTGGAAGCATGTATTGCGATCTCGAGTATGCAGATCCCGCGCAAGGCGAGTGAAAGACATTCAATTCGGCCATCGAGACATGTATTTATATCGGATAACCACCAAACATCACACTCGACACCGGTAAGGCTCCTCCAGGCTGCATCACACTTCAGCAACGCTACCAGTCTCAGCTACACTTTCGGATGCCAATTATACAAGAACGCGACTTTTCATGGATACTAACGAGTTGAGAATAATGACGTGATGGATAAATATGAATGAAATAATGACATGGATGACGCTATTTGCTCGTCCAATTGTTCAATCCGCGGAAGGATCTACCCTATAATTTTTCCCAAAAAGTACAAACAACAATAGTCCAGTTCTTCGGTCCATACTTTACAATAACCCGCAGCTGAAACCCGGAGATTGAACAAAGCTAAGCTGCCTGTGTCTCACTGAACACATCAACCGCAACTTGGTCCTGCTCCCATCGAACAGCGGGGTCGCCCTGTGTCAGAACATTCAGTGAGTAACAATTGAGTCAGACCTAAGGGCTAACCACCCACAGTAAGATTGAAGAAATGAGTAACGGTCACGTCGGCGGCGCCTGTGGGTATACCAGTTGGAACAATGGTGAAGTTCTGGAAAGGGGGGCCAGTACAATTATGCTGGGTTGGCGTGAAACTGCCATTGAAGAATGTGCGCGCAACTTTATCGACCAAGCTAGTAATGCTGATGACGATCCCGAGGTCTGTTTGTGGAAGGCCATGAGTGTCCTATGAAAACGTGTTAGTAAATATGCAATAAAAGGTTAGAACATTTGTAGTACGTACATGCTTTTCAACTTTCACAACTAAACGCTCTCCTAGAGTAATATCGGTTCCAACGGCAGGGGCAGTGATTGCGATGCCTCTGAGCTGCGCAAAGGCGGTGGCAATCAAGGCAAGTAGGACGATAGCGATGTTCATTGTGTGGATGAGGGATATCGTGAATGTGCAGGATGTAAAATAAAAACTGTACAGAACTTCTCTTCTAACGGCGCAGCCGAAGAGAACAGAGAAGTGTTCGGGGACAGGTGTTGGTTCCGAGCAGACCTTGAGGAGTACTTATGAAAGCGCGCGAGGGCCAAACCTCAACGTCCGGGCTGTTCATGGATCAGAGCGTGGCACATAGCGCTCATTGGACGCGGTCAGTCTTGGCCTATCCGCGCCCATGAGTCTCACCGGTCACTTACAGCATGTCCTCTTCTATTGTCGTCCTAGCTTCCTATTATCGTTCTAGCTTCCGGTTGTCGTCAGGTCGATAAAGGCAATCCAGGACGTACCAAGACATCTGATGTCCACAAAGAGCAAATTCGTTCACTCGTTCACTACGAACTCGCAGCTTGCGTCAAGCGTTACGTCGAATTGGTATCAGACCACCAACGAATACATCTTTGTGGATGATTGAGCTTATAGGATGCCGCACCGGGTTCCTATTTGTCACTCTGTCTCCCAGCCGAAGGCCATCTCACTCTCTCCTAAACGCTGACACACATGCCGCACTTTGTCATCGCTCACATTCGCAACCGAAAACCGGATCCATCGGTCTTCGACATCGCGTTCATCAGGTCCGACGTTCTCACTCTGACCAGGTCCAAAAAACCCGGCTGGTAGACACAGGACGCCCATCTCTTCTGCCAGTCTCCTCGCTACTTTCGTCGCGCCAATTCCGATGAAAGGGTGCTTCACGAAAGCATAGTAACCGCCCTGGGCACCGATGTGCCATTTCGGAGGAAGCAGAGATTTGAAGAGGGTGTGTCTATGTTTTAGAGCTTCATTATTGGATTGAACGAAGGGTCGGAGTGCAGGAAGAAGGGGCGCTAGAGCAATCTGGGGCGGACGAGGAGCACAGATTTGGACGTTGTCGAGAGCTTTGTTGAGGGATGGCATGATGTCGGGGGAAGCACATATGAGCCCAAGGCGGTGACCTGGGATACAGTAAGATTTCGAGAAAGAGAAGAGGTGGATGATAGTTTCACGCCAACACCAGTCTGTTGGCAGAGCGTGATGCGATGAAGGATCGAACGGGCCTCTGGATGCTGGAGGAGCAAACAACTTATGTGGAGGAAGAGATTCGGTCGATAGGAAATCGCGGTACGTCTCGTCTAGGATGAGTGCGAGGTTACGCGACCTTGCGAGACCTGCGAACATTGCTATGTGAGATGCCGGATAAATGGCTCCAGTCTGAAGTTGAGAGAATGAGACCTCGATAGATTTCAGTGCAGAGTAAAAGTAGCATACGGGATTATTGGGGGTGACTAGCACTATAGCCTTGGTCTTTGGGGTAACCAGCTTTGCACATTGCTCCAAAGAAGGTAGGAATCCGTTATCCGGATCAGTGGGTAGAGGGACGACTTTGACTCCTAGCATGGTCAAAGTCATTCTACAGAAGTGACATTACAAGCCAGGTCCGTATACCAAGTTGGAATAACGTACTCGTGATTGAAGTACCTAGTTGTAAAATGACTTCAGTTCTGCCACTACTACTGAAGAAGACGACCAAGCTTACCAGGGAACTGGCAAAATCACCTCATCCCCCGCCTCGGCAATCGTCATTATCGTAGCCACAAAAGCCATATTGCAACCAGCAGTAATGGCGATGTCTCCTGCAGTCACGTCAATGTCTTCGCCATAGGGTATTCTCATCTCTTCCGCAATCGCTTGCCGAAGCGCAAGTTCTCCAGCATTAGGTACGTACCCGCAACTTGACGGAGAGGAACTGGCGGTTCCAAGAGCATCAAGGAAGATTTTAGGTGGAGGAACGCCTGGTACGCCTTGCGACATGTCGAGGAGTGGTCGCGTCGGCGTCGGTTTGTAGTGCTCTGCCCATGAATATGCTTGTGGGATCCTATAGGAAGTAATATTTAACTTTTATTGAAGCAAAATAGAGACCATTGAGGACTCACGGAGGGCGATTAGTACGTTCGATCGCACCAGAGAGACGGAACCGCAAGCCAGACATTCTGAGCGGCAGTGACAAGCGCATGAGGGTGTGTACTTATAAAGCACCTAGTATTTCAATTAGTCTCAATATTACTGGTCATGGATATATTAGAAAGTACCAAGAGAAACGTACGGGTGTTCAGAGCATTCAGATAGCGTATCCGACTCGAGCGAGATAGCAGATTCGAAAGATACTAGGTTGCTGCATTGTGACGCCTTCCACGTCGTCGTTCCTATCTGCGTTCAATAATGTACATGGTCACTTACAAGTCTCCTTTCCGTTGTAATTATTTAAGACAATGCAGGATGCTAATAGCCAACACTGGAGGTAACGGTACAAAGAGAGGAGAGTGAACCAAGTGATCGGCTGCCAGGCTGAAGTGACTATGAGCGCCTTTCAACATGGTCAAATTTGTTGAAGGATAAGTCCAAAACGGTACTGCAAGTAAGCATTCGATATCCTACAGTACGTCTACAAGCAACCGATACAACTAATTGCCAGCACGTAGCATGTACAAATACTTTTCGGGTATACTCTCACCGAGCACCCTCGACGACAGCAGGCTGGGTCTCGTTCTGCTGCATCGTCGGTGGTGGCTGCTGAGAACGAGACATGGCGGCACCAAGAGCCTGAGTACGAAAGGCGAGACCGCGGGTCTTTTCGATGACAGTTTGATAGATGGGTTGTGGGGGTCGGTTGATCTCGATGACGTTCTGCGAGGAGGAGAGTTAGTAAACTGTGAAATAGGCGAAGGAAAGGACGAACCTTCTCAAGATCGATCTTGGCATCAGCACCCATCCGGGTCTCACGGATGAGGTTGACAATCCATTTCTCGCCCTCATCGTGGGGAAGGTTCAGACGGTCAGAGAGATCACTGAATGATGTTCAGTATGTAATGAATTAAGAACCAGGTGTAAAATACGTACTTAATGTCAATCCTCTGGTGGATGCGGCAGTAAGCCTCGCTGATGAGGTACCGTGCGTTGTCCATGAAGTCATCTCTGAACTCTCCAAGGAAGAAATCATTCGTGACCACCGTCTCCGCCTTGCTCAGCTCCCTCTGGGCAGCTTCGAAGTCAAACTCTACATAAAGCTCCTTGAGGAAGTTTGTCACAGGATCTTGGTACTGGTACTCTTCCATTTGGATCACACGCACAATCTCGCGGATCGAGTGTCGAACGCGGGACGAGAGTGCGCCTGTGGATGATTTTCGTGAGAGTATCGCGGCGGTGGCGAGGTAACGGAGGATCCAAGGAGATGAAGTTTGGATGGTGTTGAGGTAGGTAGGCGAGAGGAACGTTTCAAGGAGAAGGGTGCGTCCTTCCGGGTGGTTAAAGTAAACGAAAAGCGACCAGTGGAGGAGCCATGTGCGTGAATGTAATTGCATGAGTGAAGGGTCGGTGGTTGACGCAGACGTTGCAGCGAATGCGCCTGGAGCAGTAGGTGCACGGGAGTCGATGGCTTCGCGGAGGGTGTTGAGCTCCTCAAGAGCCACGTCCCACTTTCCAGTGAGGATATCTGAAGCGAGTTTACCCCAGTGAGAGGACATGACCAAATCGGAGTCCGTGGAGAGCACGCGGAAATGGTATAGGTAATCAGCAGCGCCGCTGTAGTTTCCATAGGTGTATTGGAATTTGCCAAAGTTGTAGAGGGCATTGATTTGTTCCAGGGTAACCTGTGAAAGATTCGTCTAGGGTTGGAGGAGAAGCGAAGAGTAACTCACATTGTAATGTTCCTTCAAGTATTGCAAGTTCTGGTTCTTATCCTGCCGGAGTGCCTGTGCAACTTCAGGATTCTCAATCACGTTCAGCACCGCCTGAGCTTCCAACTGTAGCCTCTCGTTTGTTGAGACGGCATTTTCACGTTTTGCGGCAAATTCTGAGCGATTGTCAAGACCATAGTAAACATTCGATCACAAACTACGAAGTACCTGGGGGGACCTCTTCGTCTGGATGCAGTTGCTGGAAGAGACTGACAGCATAGTCCACCATGTTTGTTCCCTTTGCGAGTTCATATTGGGCAGCCTGAACGTGCTCAACAGGGAAGAGCTCGGATTCAGCAAGGTGAGCAAGGAGAGGGAAGACAAGATGACGATCGAAATATGGGATAATCTTCTGGGTGAGGTCGTATTCGGCCATTTTGGATGGATCTAACGAGATTGAATGAGTTCAACAGTATTAAAGAAGAGAGTAGAGAACATGAACATACCTTTAGGATGAAAGGACACCGTCGTACAAGACAAGCACACTTTGAAAGCCGTCCTTTGAAAAGTTGCCGTGCTTGAAAGCGTGGGAATGTGTTTTGTATACTTGATTAGATTAGATTAATAAGAGATCAGTATGATCACTGAGGACACGTCTTAGCCCTGCCAGAATCCTGCCAGAACGTTTGAACCCAAGGGGTTAGTTTAGTTTGAACCTGCTCGAGGCCTGCTCCCTCGTGTCCAACTTTCGACGCTCCCTACGCCATGACGGCTATCACAAGAAATTTACCCTGGTTCGTAAAAGACTTGGGTGTATCAATCGTGGGACAGGTACAGTTCATGATGTCGTATGTGCGATCAGTGTCTTAACCTACCGGTTTAGAAATGCTACACCACTCTCGTGGAGAATCTCGACGTTGACGATCTCGAATGTCTGAAATACGCCCTCTCAAAGGGTCTCGGACTAGGCATTGTGGTCGGCGGGTCGATCATGAAAGTGCCCCAACTACTTCTCAGTATGTTGGCATTATTCTGGTGATGATGGAACCTAGCTTACACCTGCATTATTCTAGTCGTGTCTGCGAAGTCGGCCAAAGGACTATCACTTCCAGCATACGTACTCGAAACACTGTCTTACGCCATCACACTTGCGTATTCTTATCGGAACGGCTTCCCGTTCTCGACCTACGGCGAGAACCTCTTCCTCACTCTTCAAAATATCATAATCACCCTCCTCATTATATACTATCCTACATCCCGACTTACTCGCAACGCCTCCGTCGGCCCGCGTCTTGCTCTCGCAACTGTCGCTACGGCTGTCACCGGCGCTGCGCTCTACTATATTCCCCCATCTACTCTCGCTGCGCTCCAAGTCGCCACAATTCCTCTTTCTCTATTCTCCAAGATCCCTCAAATTCGACAAAACTATCGTGCGCAATCCACGGGACAACTCTCAGCATTCGCCGTGATATCGCAAATCGCAGGATGCCTCGCGCGTTTATTTACGACCGCAGCTGAGGTCGGTGACTCTATCATCACCGCAGGATTTGCTCTCGCACTTCTTCTCAATATCGTCCTTGGGATTCAAATGTATATCTACTGGGGCAAGGATGAGCACGAAGAGTTGGGCAAACCTTCTGGTGTTTCTCGTGAGCAGGAGAAAGTGGCTGTACCAGTACCCGCTGCTTGGCAGCAAAATGGTCAGGTCGAAGTTGTCGTGCCGCCACAGTCACCAAGGGCTGGGTCACCTCAAATCAGACATCCGTCTGGAAGGAAGTGGGCGAGAAAGGTAGACTAACGCTGTCTTTCCTAGCAGCGCGACCCGCCTTGTATTTATTCATACCGATATTCTATTGGCCTTTATATTTTGGATTATGCCATTCATCGGTTTCGATGAAGATATTCTCTATTCAGGTCATGCGAAGTCAGATTGCAACGGCTCCCCGTACTCGTTCCCTTCTTTCCACATCTGGGCTTTCGTTCACAGACAGCATATAGATTCAAACTAGAAGCTTGAGCAGTGGGAACTGCTCATTCGCGTTGCGATATGCTGCTATCATAGGTTGATCCCCTTACTCGTGTTTTGCGGAGACCGTCACTGACTAACCGTTGACTGAACTGATCCGTGACTCTGATTTGCGACAATGCCTACCGCGCAGGTGAACGAGGAAGGAGCTGTTCTCTTCTATGAAGACAGCGGTCCACCTGCTGATTCAACGACGTACACCACAGTAGTGCTTATCCACGGTCTGATATTTCATGGTGGTAAGCATAATCAATCCTGATGCCCTCCTAACCCAACGTAGCTGACGTTGTCACTTGCCTAATCAGCTGTATTCCGTCGTCTGTTGCCACATGCTGTCCCAAAGAACCTACGGCTCGTCTCTGTGAACTTGCGCGATTATCCTGGATCTTCACCTTATGCTCAATCGGAGCTGGATGCTTTCAGATCCGCTAATGAGAATGTTCAAACTGAGGCCATAACGAATCTCGGTCGGCAGATCGCTGCATTCTTGGAATACTTTATTGCGACTTATCGTATACCAGAGAAGCAGCGCAATGAAGACGGAACTGTCTCGGGAGGACTGGCTCTTATCACCTGGTCGATGTCTAACATCCTCTCATTGTCTTTCCTCGCGCATGCAGATACCTTACCACACGCCACCAAGAGTCTCCTTGACAAGTACCTTCGTACAATCGTTCTCCACGGCACGTCGTATTCTTCTCATCATAAACATAGTCACATCTGGTATTAACAGAGCCTGCAGATGCATCGATTGCGACCTTGGGCGTGAACCCATATATTGCCGCAACCTCCCTAGGCTCTTCTTCGACAGTCCTCTATAGTCCTTTGCGTGACCAATCACTTCCCTTCCCCGAAAGAGTCAAACGTTTCTCGACTTGGGTATCATCGTACTACACCAAAGTCGATGATCTAGCTACCCTGACTCCAGACCTCATTATTTCCCGCGAACCAATTCAAGGCGCGGGCAAGATACCGACTGTGCAACGCATGTCGCCCGAAGAAATCAGAGCCACGACTGATTTCGGCGTCCTCGAACGATCTCACGATAGTATACGACTTGTGAACTCGCGTATTTATAGTCGGAACCTTCGGCGTGCGCTTGGTGTTGGAATGGAAGGCGAAGACATCCCTTGGCCGAAGGTGAAGGTGTTGGCTCTTTGGTGTGATACGGGGATAGTAGATACTGTTTGGGCTGCGAAGGCGATATATGATCTCTTGCATGGGGAGGAGGGAGTAACAAGGGAAGTCGCCTTGCAGAAACTCGAAGGTGCAAACCACTTTGTAAGTGATTCTGTTCGCTCTTCTCCGAAACGAAACCAATGAACATCATATAGGTACATTGGGATGAACCAGAGCTCTTTGTTGAAGCGGTGAGTAGGCATATCTAGCCGTATCCGATGCGTTGGCCCTATGCATCCAAACAATGTACATCGTCCCCTACTGGGGGGCTAAACACGGGGGATTGGTATATCTGAAAGAGAGAAGGTCTCGGTTTGACAGAGCTCTACGTGTTTCCGTTGTCCACTACCACATTCCCATACCAACATCGCTCTTGAGAGCGAATTGATATTGCCCATCGTGCAAGGCTGGCAACCTCCTGCCATCGACCGCTAACAGGGGAATCCTGATCGCTCCACGAGCACACTGACCGTAAATTGGGAAATATGTCCGAAAGGAAAGCTGCAACGTCCCGGACATCTGCAGCACTGATACCGGCGTTCCCGACTTCTATGGAATGAACCTTGGCAGCATGATGACCATTTCCCGGACGATGAGCTTCGGATACGGCGGGTGCTCGTCCTTCAAAGTGGGAAGAAATCCATGTGATGGAAGGGCAATACTGCGTTATCGAGAGAAGGCTCATCATGGTAGCATGGCATTCTCCAGACGGTGGCCATGTTCCATAAGGATCCAGGGTAAACTCTTCCATGCGAGGCCACGCTTTGGCTGCCGATGCTATGAATGAATCATCAAGATCATAGCACCAATGACAGTCTAATTCCAGCTTTTCCAGGTTCCCAAACACGAATAGCGGCTCGAGCGTTGCGGCACGAATAGCCTTTGAGGCATCCCACGGTAGGTCTGAACAACCCGATGATATGGAGAGAACGGTGAGAGTCTCGTGTGTGATTTGACGTGTCAATGCCTTCTCCAACTTCTCTAGTAAATGGAGCGCGGGATAATCGTCGTCGTCGAGAAGGATCCATAATTTCTCTAAACACGGCATAGGTGCAATCCCGAAGAATTGGATGACCCCATGAAGATCGATTGACGAGATGGTGAGCTGCCGCACCTGTGGGAATAGACCTTCAGTGCATGGGATTGGGGGTAACATTGATGCTTCTTCTGAGATGCGAATGTCCAACAGGTCTACATGCGGCATCTGTGCGAGAATCAGAATGTGGACCATGTCGATAGAAGCAGTACAGGTGAAGTCCTGTAAGTGCCCTAAGTGCAATAAACAGTCTCTAAGGGATACGGCAAATCCTGGGCCAGCTTCGCATTCGAAAAGAATACTGGTCAGCTCGCGACAGGAGCGACCCAATAGGTCTAGCATTAGCATGTCCATGGCGTATTCTGGACAAAACAAACTGAGAGAAGTTAACCGTGGACTGAGGAATCGTGCCAAGAATGGAAGATCTCGTGCTTGAACTCCCCGCAGAGGCCATTCAAGTGTACGCAAGTTAGGCAGGATTGGTCCTTCGCTGGTCGAAAGAAGTGCAGAAAGCGCACTTGGATGAATTGTCTGCGTGTGCACAAAGCCTCGTGTCAACGTCTTGATCTTGCTTGTGTATCGGAGAACCCGCTGTATATCTTCTGTAGTTGGAGGTCGTAGCGCATACTAAGAGACAGCAAAGTTTAAAACTTGACTTGAGAGGCTTCCAACGAAAAGACTTTGCAACGCATACCAATATTTTCCCCCTATTTATTACTGAAGTGGGAAGCGATTCGGACGGAAAATCATCTTCGTCGGACTCCTGAGATAGTCGTCTTTCCTTGATAGCATCCCCAAGGCAAAGAAGCAGAGGTACTAAGCTTTCTTGATGTTTCCAAAGAACGGATAACGCAGTCTCTTGAAATGCTCGACAGGTCATTGCTAGCGCAACGAGCGCATGTTTAGATTTAGCGTCGTCATAGATATATCCACATATAGCATTCACGATCTCCACTATGTGGAAGATGTGATGCATGTTATTGTTCGAAGCGGAAAGGGTTTCTAGCAGGAGTTAGTAATCTGACACTTTCTTTTATCCAAACTCTAACTTGAGAGAATCAAACCTACCGAGAATGATTCTCCTTTGGTCAATATTGTGACCGTTTTGCTAGCTGCCCGTGAATAGCTCACGTTGAGAAAAACTCTGGATATAATGAACGAGGTCACTGCTGATGGAACACATGTACGACGGATCTGAGTTGGACAGTTCAACTTCAACTAGCACCGGATTGATAAACGCCCGTACATATTTAAACGTTCGGAACAGCTTTCCACCCATGGCAAACATTGCGTACTTTTCGGGCCTCTTCAGCATTGTAGAAAATCAATGCAAGAGAAGATAAAAGATATCGTAGATCGCTACTACGTCGTAGCGCAGCACTTATAGTGTATGCAAGGCGGAAGGATCACAAAAGTGAAACGTGTACGTTTGTCGGACAGATTTAGAGGGGACGGTAATTTCAAGTGCTCCGAGACCTCGAGATAGAATTTCCAAACGTTGGACCCGCATGGAACGAAGCATAGAAGCAGAGAGGGCGAGCACACTAACATATGGTATTACGGAAGTCTATAACTCGAGGTCGGAAAATACGGACCATGAGTTTCGTGCACATCATCACTCAATCGTGGAGAAGCCCTATCCACAAAGTATGGCTTGACTTGGTTGGACAATGCTTGAGACACTAGCTCGTATCAGCCATGAGTCAATTGCCTCGAGGTTGTCTGAAGCGCGGGTTCACATACACCTGGCTATGCTGTGGTATTGCCGTGTGAGTCGAATGTACAAAAACAGAGATCTACGACTGGCAATTCTTGTGAACTTGAATGGAGGAAGCGCGGACTCTGCAATGCATGTTTGATGCTGAGAAGATCCATCGCCGCTCAGAATGGAAGTCAAGTAAGAAAGCACATCACAGTAACCACATTCTGCTCACGCCTCGATGCCTCATGCACTCAGTCTCATGCCCAAAAGTCGTGTTTGATAGAGGATCGTTTATGTAACGAGATAAGGATCACATAGCAGGGAGGGAAGATCGCATAGGAATGAGTGACAGTATGGGAATCGCAGGGCGAGAAGCCCGGAAAACGTATCAATCAACAACTTTACTTAGGGGTGTCTTGGCCATAACGCTCAAAACTTCGAAGAGAACCTATTTAAACGATGTCAGCGTGACCTAACCGCAATTGTCAGGCAAACGGTACTCACGTCTGCTGCTGCCATTGTAGTCAGCTCGGCATTAGTGTCATACGCGGGAGCAACTTCGACTATGTCCGCCGAAACGATGTGCAGTCCGTCAAGACCTCTCAGAATCGTTCGAAGCTCTCGAGTAGACCAGCCGCCGGTCTCAGGGGTACCTGTGGCAGGCGCAAAGGCAGGGTCGATAGAATCAATCTTCATATGCCATTAGTTGCTGGTGGTCGACGATAAGGAGAGAAACTCACATCAATTGAGAGATAGACTGGCTTGTCACCGACAGTCTCCCTGATTTTCTTGATGATTCCATCGGTACCTGCAATAGCTCTGATGTTAAAACCTTTGCCATGAGGTGGGCATGTGAGGACGAACCTAAGGTATCAATCTCACGGGCCTCAATTCTTTGGAACCCAGAAGCGTCATCGTTCGCGTAATCCGCAGGACCGGAAAGCGTGGTACGGATAGCGCCGTGCTGTGACAAAGAGGATCAACTAGGATCAAGAGCTCCAAGCGGACATAGAAGGGAAAGTCGGGAACGAGGGATAGAACAAAGACACTTGCAATTGATGATCCGTTCTTGATCAGGCCCTCCTGACTGGCCCAGTAGAAGTAAGTTCCGTGATTGATAGCAGCTTGGTCAGATGGAGCACCACCGAACACCTGAGGTTTCCAAGTGTCGAGGTGAGAATCAAAATGAATCACAGAGATGGCACCATAAGCCGTGTAAATGGAACGAAGAATGGGAAGAACAATAGTGTGGTCGCCGCCGAGAGTTATGACACGGGGATGATTCTTTCCATCAGTAGAGATAGGCTTGAGTGCTTTACCGGTAAAAGTGTCGTTACCGAGAGTGGAGAAAGTCTGACGGTGGAGAAGGGCCTTGTGACCATCCTCAATTTGTTTGATAGCATGTTTGTTGTCATATGGCGTCACAGGTATGTCGCCACAGTCTACAATCTTCAGGCCGGATAGGAATGGGTTGACTTCCAGAGGGACGTTGTAGCCGCCATACAGCGTGAGTCGGCGGGAACCAGCTCGGATCCCGGAGGGACCAAAACGAGCCCCGGGACGATACGAAGTTCCCGTATCCTGGCATGGTATAAACGCATTAGTCAAAATGACGAGTATATCAACACGGTGACGTACAAATGGTGCGCCGATGAACGCGACGTCGAATGCAGCGTCCTTATCCTTGCCAAGGCATTGCACCCAAGGCAGCCTCGCGAACGTGGTGATACCAGAGAAGATGGAGTCCGCAGTCACTGATAGGAATTACATTGAGCGTAAGAAAAGCTTAGGGACAACATTAATAACTCCTTACCTTCATCGTCGCCTGGATACACTGCTTGGTAAGGAAACTTCACGTAGTCCAGAGGCATCTGTAACCCGTGGTCATGGTCATCGTGGGCAGATACAAGGGTGATGGCAGCGAGGACAAGTGCGAGAAGGGGAAAAGCCATGGTTGCAAGCGCAGTTGATGAACGCCTCTGTCTGAGAGTTGAGCGGATTTAAATGCTCCTGGAGAATGGCCTGGATGCGATACGGCGCCCAGAATATAGCATGTTTTGCCGCATGACTGATGTTTAAGCGCATGCTGGGCACGAGATAGAGTGGATGAGAATTTTAGACTACAATAGAGTATCAGGGGGCGACGCCCGATGCATATGGTGGAGTAACGTACACGTCCGCCTGGTCTGTAACCTGGAAAATCTTCATGCTATGCACACTTAGTAGGCAAGGGCGTATCAGAATACTGATATAGAAACGACAAAGGAGACGAAACGAGATATGCAAAAAAAATCAAGGGTCCGAACAACAGCAGTACATACCTGTGCCGAGTCAGGAGTAAGACCACGAGGAGGGAAGAAACGTTTCCCTATCTTCGGATCGCCGTCCAAAGACCTGACATATAGAAAGGGAAAGATGAGCACGGGTATCCGACCCGCTATCGAAACTTTTGACGGTCATGTCGAACATACCCAACCTCGACGCCTCTAGCGAGGAGCAACCACTGCTCCAGGACTTCAACGTTGACCGGTCATACGGAGGAATTGCCGGAGGAGAATTGCTATCTACGGGCATTCAGCTGCCTAAAGAGGTAGCTTCGGAGTGGGCGCTTGCCGGAATCGGTCTTTCTCTGCTTGTAGATTCGATACCAGGTCTGTTGTTGGCCACTCCAACGTAGTCGTTGAAAGGGCCCTGACATAAAGTCATACAGTTATACTGTCTTATATCCTCCAGAATTCGATACAAACCGTCTCGATTTTAGTCGTTGGTCGGCTCGGTCCCAATGAACTCTCTGTGGCCGCATTTTCGCTCATGTTCGCCATGGTGACTGGCGAGTGTTTCTTCTGCGCTACCATACTTTGAATCCCACATTTTCCTCGTCTAGGGTGGTGCGTTGCACTGGGCGGAACCACGGCTCTTGATACTTTGGGCTCTCAAGCTTTCACTGGTGGAGATCAACCCTCAGACGTTTCTATTCATCTTCAACGATGCGTTGCACTGCTTTGGCTCTTGTTTGTGCCTGTTGCTGCCTTGTGGTACTTCGTCGAACCTGTGCTGCGTTTACTTGGTCAAGAAGAATCTCTTAGTTCGGACGTACAGGTTTTTCTCAGAGTTCTAATTCTGGGTGCTCCCGGTTACATCGCTTTCGAAAGCTTAAAGAAATACTTGCAATGTCAAGGTAGGAATGGTCCACACAAAACCATCTTGAATTATTTCATTGTCATATGTTTTAGGAATCATGCGAGCTGCCACGATGGTACTGCTGGCAGTATCGCCATTGAATCTTGTCCTCAATGTTTTTCTAGTGCACCATACTCGTTTAGGCTTGCTAGGATCGCCCGTCGCGATCTCAGTTACCTATTGGGTTGCTTTCTTGCTTCTTTGTGTCTTCACCGCTCTCTCTCCTACTCACCGTCATAACAAAACATGGGGTGGATTCCGGCCATCCATCGTCTTCAACCCGAAGAGTTGCCTCATGTTTCTGCAGTTGGCTATTCCCGGTATCTTGATGGTCGGCACAGAATGGTAACAAATGGCTTCTGTTCTTGTAACGTTATTCTGATGCGGAATCACTAGGGCCGCTTTTGAAATTGTGGCACTAGCTGCCGGCCGGTTAGGCACTCTGTCCCTTGCGGCTCAGTCTGTTATAATGACAACTGATCAAGGTCCTCTACACCTACCGTACCGCTTGAATTTCACTAAAAATTTATTACTAGTTCTTAACACAATTCCGTTCGGCATAGGTAAGGTTTCTACCCGTAATTGTCGCTTTCGATTTCATTGAATAATGTCCAGGTGTCGCTGCGTCAACGCGAGTTGGCAATCTTATTGGCTCCCGTTCAGCGACAGGCGCGAAGTATGCCAGTCACGCCGCAGCGTCCCTCAGCGTTGTTGTTGGCGCTGTCGTGATGACGGTCATGATGGTTACCAAAGACGTACGTGCCTCCCCTCTCACTGTCAAACGGGGATGTCAAATCAGGGATATATAGCAATTCGGTTACATTTTCAGTGACGATAGGGATGTCGTGCGGCTCGTGAGCAAAGTGATGCCATTGGTTGCATCTTTTCAGGTGCGTCATATACTGCCCTAACCGGTTCTGTGCAAGCGTTGACGAACAACATCAGATAGCAGATGGTCTTGCCGGCTCTTGCGGTGGCGTTTTGCGTGGTCAAGGTGAGCATACTTCGTATATACCAAGTGCTTAGATCAAATGCATGGCACCTAGGTCGACAGCATCTTGGTGCATTATTCAATTTGGTCGCATATTATGTTCTGGCCCTACCCCTCGGAATTACCCTCGCCTTTCATCCCCGAACCCACCTTGGCTTGCAGGGCTTATGGATAGGTCCGTGTCCTTTCATATGATGTACCCGTGAAAACTGATTGACTGATTATTCGTATCTTAGGCCAAGTAGTCGCGCTATTTATTGTCGGGATAGGTGAATATGCCGTCGTATGGCTCGCTACTGACTGGGAGAAGGAAGTCCAGAAGGGGATAGACCGAAATCACGAAGAGTCGATGAGGAGACGCCAATCTGGAAGAATTGATTGACCTTGTTGGCCTTGGTTCGTGAGGGAAGTATCTCATACAATACGAAGGACATTAATGGTTATTGTCCCATTTTTTTTTGTATACCAAGTGAGTACTTCAGACAGGGGTCGTCACTATAGATAAGCTTTGACCAGAACGATAACGTCTGGGATATTCAATTCAAGAGCCCTTCGACTTACACCTCCACTTTCCTTATCTTGACTTATCGGTGGAAGCCGTCCGATAAGTTCACAGTCGTAAGCCAACCCGCGTAGCAGCCCTGGTAAGAACTGTATCTTGTTGGCGATTGACGGGAACATTCCAATGTTCAAAGTAGAATGTCCCAGATCGAATGGCTGCGATGCCACATGCCCTGTACGTTTGTTGATGCTTATTGAGCAGTGGCTTTATCATAACTACCTCATTTAGTCACTGTCACGCCCCTTCAATCCTTCGCAGAACTTTTACATCCTCCTGTTATGTTTGAGCCACGGAACTGTATCGTAAGTCTTCTCAAGAGTACTGAGTCATAACTGAGGATGTTAGGAAGCTTCCCGGAAAGATAAGTACCTCTGCCTTCGGACGAAGCCAAAGTGAAATGATTCTTCAGGCTTCAGGGCTCGGAAGTGCGTCTTCCGCCCCGATACTATCTGAAAGATAAGGTTATAGTGAAGCAATTTTTACCAAGACTTTCCTCTGGCTCATCGCTGCAGATGAGAAGATATTAGCCGGGACTGGGCTTTCTGCTAGGCTTTCTCTCAAGGTCACTAGACAACGACTAAACGAAGTACCACTTATCCAAACTTTACCAACGATCATAGCGAAGATATCTGTGTCAAATACGTGGGCCGTCTTAACTCCAGATAATGATTTTGCCAAGGTCTGCTCAAAGGTGGGACCCCGGGGATGTCTCTTCCAAAGTTTGCAAGTTTATCCTGTTGAAGGCCATAAGCTTCGTGCCAACCACAACCTCATCCCTGCACTATCTAATTGCTGATAGATCAAGGGTGATCATTCGCGACGAAATACCTCAAAGGGGCTTTCTGTCGTTCTCTCCTTTCTAGATGTTTAGGAAGCTACACTACTTACACCGTATATGCACTTCCCCATAAAATAGAATTATACTTGACAACCTCCACGAACCCAAAATGACATCATACTCCACCCTGACCCTAAGCCTGTACAGTGTCAGCTCAGGACAGAAAGAACCATACTTGAATGTGGTACAGAAGGCGAGGTACGCCATCTGAAGACCCTGAGACCCCGGTTGGTGACCCTACTACACAAGACATTGAGTCTGGCAGTTTAATCGGGAATGCAATCGTCCAATTCGCTTTGAAAAGAATAGAGCTTGTCTTGTTATGCAGTCCACAAGATCCCAGAAATACAGTAGTTACTTTCTAGTCATAGTTGTACACAATGCATCCAAATCAAGAACATTTTACACGTACTGTAAACTGCAATACAAAGTCCCCATGTCATATGACGTCATTCCCATTCACTCATCTTTCTTCCAACCCGTCCTCCGAATATACTCCCTTCCAGCAGCATCTGCGCCTTTCAGAGCAAAGAACACGCTTTCCTCAGTCACAGTTTCCTCCATGTTCCAGATCGTCTCGTTCTCCGCTGTGGCGAGCTTGGCAACAGCACGGAGTTCGTCATCAGTGACATTGGGAATGCCAAGCTGCTCGAAGGTGACGGGGAGGTCGACGGAGAGCATGAATGAGATGTAAGTATCGAGGGTTGCTGCGGTGGCGTTGACTAGGATTAATTGAGCGACGGTTCCGAATGCGACTAAGCGGAGAGCACATGTTAGGTAGAGCTGGCGAAGAGTGACACGAGACTTACCTTTCTCGCCGTGGAGTAGATGATGAAGTGCTTCAATCGCGGTGAATCCATTATGGATCTACAAACGATGTCACGGATTAGGAGGGAATTTCAACGATGGATAATAACTGAGCGCGTACAGCGTGAGCAGCTGCCAATCCTCCGGACTCAAAGCCTAGTCCACTCAGAAGTGTGTTGGCCTCTACAACGGCCTCGAATGCCGGAGTGACTACCTTAGCTTTGTTCGCCTCGTACGCCTGTTTTCCATACTTCAGCAGGATCTCCTCGCACTTGGTTCCGATCGCAACGGAGACCTCAGTCGGTAATCCTCCTCCGAAGTTCAGGCTGTTCTTGCAAAGTCTAGCCTCAACGTTCGTAGCGATAGCATCACCCATACCAGCAGCTAAGAACCGATAAGGGGCCCTAGCGATGACACTGGTATCAACGAGTACGATAGCAGGGTTGGTATTGAAGAAGGTGTAGCGGTCGAAATGACCCTCAGGGGTGTAAAGAACGGAAAGTGCGGAACATGGCGCATCAGTTGAAGCTGTTGTAGGCAGAATGGCAACTGGAACTTTGAGTTCATTTGCGGCAGCTTTGGCAGCATCGATAGTCTTTCCACCGCCGAGTCCGATAACGAAATCGGACGAGTATTGGAGTCCGAGTTGTCTGAGACGATCAACCTCCTGCGATGAGGCCTCACCGTTAAACTCTGCATGGGTAACCTTGAAGTTAGCCTTCTCGAGTGCCTCGATCAATTCCTTTCCAGCTGATGAGTACGACTGTTAGCGTTGAATCTAGGAAACATGCATGCAGACTGACCGATCTCGTGGACGATCTTATCGCAAGCGACGAGAGGTGCTCGACCAAGCGATTGGAGATATTTAGCGGCGTTGTGAATGGCAGAGGGGCCTTGAATATATTTCGAAGGGGATTGGAAGAGCCTCTCGGTGACTCGCTTTGGGTTAGGCATGATGGAGTTAGCTAGAGATCAGGACAGGGGGTCGGTTAGGGGAGATCGTTGCCGAGTGAACAAAATATGGTACTCACTTTATACCACTTGGATGTTCACAAATAGCTGATCCAGTTTCAGTCTCGAGCAGAAGTGGATTCGTACAGTGCTCGCAGCATGCGGATTGGTCCTGTCCCGTTCTATAATAAGTATGGCTCGATGAGTCTGCACCACCCTATGGCCTCAACCGGCCCGCAAGAACGAGCAGAACAGCATTCTAATGCTTGCGAATGTATACAAGGAGCTGCATACCCACGTTCAAAGGCTACCGCTCACTAGGATAGACTAGGATGCTTTACCAGCGGTCTTGAAGCTGTAAAGATTTAAGAAGATGTCAATACCAGATGAAGCGTCTAACTTATATAGCAGCGTATCCTTAAGTATAAGCCAAGTAATTTTATTATTTATGTATAAGAATGCTAACTCCCGAGTATTTGTTTTTTTTTTCCTAAAATCCCGAGTGAGTAACGGCCGTGCTTCAGGTCCTTGGAGTACGATGTGGGACAATCATTGAATTATCTACATGCAAACTCAAGTTCTGGGTCTCCTCCAGACTTCTGCTGTCATCTCAGCTCACGATCCTCCCTCAGTTCTCACAGATAAGTGTCGCTGGGAGTAGAACCGTGTCAGAAGTACAACCTTGTCAGTATGTCAGCAGCACCAAAGTCCCTGAGAATGGACACCATCACAGGGTTTTCGCGATCATCCTCCGGTGATTCGCCGATTATGATGAACGACAGGCGGAATCTAGAGGGGCAAGTAGATGAGGCTAATGCTAGTGAGAGAATGTCGACGGTGGATATCATGTCCTTTTGTGTTGGAATATTGAGTACGGCTGGGTTCTTCTTGAATCGGGAGAAAGCGGTCTCGCGAACATATGCAATGTATTCAAAGCAGACGTAGTCAATATAGGGCAAAACCCTCAGCGACTATACGGACTCTCTAAATGGTCATCATGTGATGCCCAGTACAAGTGCCTCTAACATAATTGTACATGAGCTACTAGGCAAGTCATGATCAGCGAAGAATGGCGACTGAGAACCAGAAACTCACAAAGACAGAACGCTTGAGTCGGAAATAACCCGCGCCTCTAAAAAAGAGGCGTGTGGACGACCTTCAGTATCCCTCGTTTAGCTAGTTCTGGGTAGCCCTCCTCAAAGAAGGAAGTCGTAAGTGCATGGTCCAGAGGAGCCTCGTAGGCAAAGATGACTTCTGTTAGGTGTTTCTTCAGAAATTTGTTCGACAGCAGCTGGTCAATCTCTTGATGTTGTCCTATGGTAGCCAGATTACGATCTTTCATTCGCGTACGAATTTGAATGGAGCGAATCGAAGGGGAGCGAATGGTGGAAAGCAGCGTATCGTAAAGAAAGAAGGTTCCATAGTGTACCGAAAGCTTTCTTAAGCGAACGAGACATGATAAATTCAGATGTATCTTGATGACTGTCAAGACCATTGATCGTCACGAACAGAAGGAACATTGTTATAAGTACTCACTATCATCAAATGCCGGATCAGCAATCGCCCCTAGTCCATCGCAGATAATCTCAAGCTCCTGAAGGGTAGGACCGACCGCACGCAAAAGGTCTCCAACGGCAGAGATATGGCCGTTGGTCATGCGTAGTTCCAAAACTTGTAGCGTATCTCGGGTCCCAGTGGTGAGTAGCCACGGAATGAAATTAAGTATCTGGCCATGCGTTTCCATTGGGCCTGGAAAGCCTATCCCAGAAAAGGGGAAATCAAAACTGTTGACTCGGAGACGCTTCAGACGAAGGTCTGACTTGCATGATTCGCTAGTGAGCCTCCTCCGCGGATCATAATAGACAATGATGTCTTCAACGATGCATTCCTCCAGCTCGGGGAAAGCGGAGATGAGGGCACACAATTCGGTTAGTGACATCCCACTTTTCAGAATCGACAACTTCTTCACTGTGTGACAACGAGAGAGGTGGACGAAAGATTCATCCTTCCATATCTCGGTAGTCGAAGTTATAAAAAGTTCCTGAAGGTTTTTGAAAAGCTCTGACAGCATGGGGCTCAGCATCTCGTTGACCCAAGTGAAGTCCAGTTCGTGATTAGTGGTGGTCGAAAAGGGAATATTGACCTGCAAGGATTGCACATATTCCTGAACAATAGGAGAGTTCTCGGCCAGTTCTTGAAACTCCACGAAGTCCATATAGTTCCGAAGGATTATGGAGCGGAATATGTGGGGCCTGCATAGGGCGAGCCACTCCCTAGAAACCATCGCGCACGACTGAAAAGATGCTGTATCATCTTGGAGTTCGGAGACTATCTGGGAGACTAGCTCAGGGGGAATGCATCGAGGTTCTTTCGACATGAGTAACGCTGTACGATACTATGAAGGTCAAAAGAAAGGCCCGGCCACACGAAAACTTGGTCGACTTACCCAATCTATGAGATTATTCTATTCTGGATGCAGCGTTGATAGAACGACCAAAAAGACGTCAGGGCATGTATCTCGTGGAATAAGGTGAACGGTTGTCGCAATTGAGAGTCAAGTTTAAGGGAGGCCGAGAATAGCGGATCTTGAGCAGGCTCTTGACAAACATGAACAAATTAAGACTTTCGAAAAATGATGTCAATGCTCTCGCCGATAGTGTTATGATGTGTTATCCCTTTCCCTTTTCTTTGGTATGCAACTCTTGAATACAGTACATCTAGGGCGCAGATTCGGCTGCTGAAGATTGTTAGCGCAATCTTGCCGTATTTTGAAACCAGATACATGGGGCTGATTGCTGATCTGAAACATAGCTGCTACGTATTTCTACATAAGTAATCATACATTCTCATCTTATGCCTTGACGCCGACTTCTCTCATCCAATGTTTGTTATATTATCTCTGACACATTCTTTGCCAGTTGCAGGACAAATACTGAACGCCTGTTGTTGTTGCCGATGTGAGCGTAAAATTACCAAGTTGAGGGATACACCACTGACCTAGCTATTCCCAAAAGGTACCACAAGTGTAGCGGCGAAGCTGTCCTAACGTTATAACGTCACCGAGACCGACAAGAAGCTTTCCACTACCATACACTACAGCGCCCGCGGCGAATATCCCAACTCCGGCGAGGGCAAGGGGGGCAATAAGTATGATGCCCAAACCTTGAAGAAGAGGGTGTATCATCCTCTTCCGAGTACGTGTATCGCCTTTCTCCCATGTGTCTGCATTATGTCTGAACTTCTCTCGGGTCTTTGGCTCAGGGTGGACCTCTGCGGCGCGCCGCATGAGAGAGATCACTTCGCGAGAGTGCTGCTCCGTCCCGTTCGCATCTTTGCTTTTGACGGCCTGCTCGTAGCTCTTCGTCTCGCTGGACAATTGGTGAAGGACTATCTTCCACTCCTCTTCATCCTTGGATTTGATGTCTGAATCCTTTCCACCGAACAATGTCATCCTGTGGGTGTATGCCTTCAGTGTGGCGAACACTTCGGAGAAAGTAGTCTCACTCAGACTTATATCAGTCGTATTTGCGACGGCGATGGTCTGAGGGGTTCTTTATGAGTATAGGGGAACAAAGCGAGGACGATAGAAATACAAGGCAAGAAATGCGCCGCAGCAAGCGGCGTCGCCTTATCAAATACATTACTTACAATCCTGGCTCCTGTCGCATCGGGTTCCCCCTGCTTCGTAAACCAAGTGAAGGTGAGTCTCTCACACGGGGTTGATACGCCTTGCTGACAATTCCGCGCAGTGATCTTGCGCAGTATACATCGTATTGGGATGCAACCAAAGGCCCTCCGAATGACCCCATGACGTGCATCTGATAGATATTGATCGTTAAATGGCCTCCATCTCAGCGCAGAGTGACGTCTTACCTCGAATTTTTACCAGGAGACCGTCCTCCATTGACTTGCGAAATCCGTCAATCTTCAAGCATCTCGTAGACTTCAGAGTAAGTCAGTGACTGCACGAAATATTGATATCACTCCGACTTGCCGAACTCTGTTGCACTACGGACATCTTCTAGCGGACGTTTTCCGTTCGACGTTGACGACATTCGATAGGCTGAGTTCAGTCTAGTAACATTCGCTACGTACGTCCTCGTATTCGCATCGAAGGGATGGATTGGTCATATTAACGTCGGACAGAATATCAGATAAATACAATGTTACAAAGTAGTAAGTGAAACGACATGCAGCATGCAACACCCTGGTAATGTAATGGTATATTTAGCGTCCAGACCGAACAGCAAAGAGTGAATCATCCCAAAGGTGTTCAGGATCTCAATCGACCGAAGGTCAAGGCATCCCCCAGTCCAACGAATACCATCCCAGCTCCGTATAAAATGGCACCTGCGGCGAAGACTACACCGCCCGCCATTACAAACGGAGCTACCAGAAGCATAGCTAAACCTTTGGCAATGGGATGCGTCATCTCTTCCCTTTCGTCCGTCCCAGCTCTGCCCCAAGTCTCAGCATTTTTCCTGAACTTCTCTTTCACTTTCGGGTCGGGATGGACATCTGCCGCTCGATACATGAGAGCGGGAATAGATTCGGAGTGTTGAGCTATCGCGGACGAGTTCTTGCTCTTCGAGGCATCTTGATACCTTTTATTCTCGATAGTGAGCTGTAGAATTATTTGTCTCCACTCCTCTTCGCCTTGTTCATGCGCCCCTTTCTTGGACATGTCTTGGTAATGTGCGCTATACGGTCAATAACGGGTCACCTTGCGTACCAGCCTGAATCTCATCGTACTTACAGGACAATTTTCTACTCAGGGATTGCACAGGTAGAGGTGACTGTATGGGTAAGGAGATTTGGAGCGCGAAGGGATGCCAACTGCTACATGCATTAGAAGGCATGCATATTGATTGGCCTCGGGTTGGCAGCATGCGCTCAGCACCTGGTTAATTATCTCTGTGTTGCCATTCACAGGCCGTAAATAATGTCCCCCTCGAGGAGACCTTAATTATGGTTTGACCGTAAGATCTAATCTAATCTACTATAACTTCGTCCAGGGCCGCATGTTCATGTCCTTGACTACCATGGCGTGTTGCATCTTCAGTCACTCTTTCACTCTTATCCACTTTAATATTTGCCATGAAGGACGCATATTCGGAACCTAAGCTTGACGAAGCTGCATATAACTTCACCTCCGAATATTCTGTCACGATTAATTGTCCCATTAGCGAGGTCTTCCCCATTCTAGGTCATGGCGATAAAATGAAAGAGGTCGTTCTTTTGTACGATCGCTGTCCCGAATTCAAATACCTCAACACGGACTCTGTCCCTCGTCCAACATGGGAACCCACCCCTCCTGCCAACTTCGCCCGCGAGGCACCTTCAGTTCCTTCAGATGGTGTACAGCCAACAATCTCTCGCCAGTTCTTCACTCTCTATGAGGAAGTTCACATACTTCCTGGTGTTGTCAAGAGGGTTGAGATTAACGGTGCTCAAGTTTGGGACGTCGATGCAAAGATCGCTCTATACGAAAGTACGACTGCGCTTGGGGTGACGGTATGGAAATTTAAGAAATTCGAAGAGTTCGAAGAGGATGGGAAGAGGCGCACTCGGGTATCGGAGAGGATACTTGGGAAGTGTTCACGATGGGTGAGGTTTATTGTCCAGTCTGAAACGCAACGCGGTCATCGGTATGTTTTCATTCTTCTTCAGCCGGTTTATCAGTTGAATTTTCTATTGTAGAGCGCAGATGGATAGATACCATGTCTTGTTCTCATGATTTTGCTTCTGTATACCTCTGCTTGTTTGTGTAAGCCACGAAGCTGTTCGCTCACTCGATGCACTCCCTGTTCGCTCTAGATGTACTCCAACTGGCCGTTCCCTCGCTTCTCTAATGACACTGGGATTCCTGTTCCTTCGTATTATTGTACCACTAACTGACTTTCTTCCTTTGGCAATGAGTCTGAAGCTGGCTCGATTGACCAGTATACGCCCTTTATTTTATCTTCGGCCGCTGTGCTTTGGAGGAATTCCTCTGTCTCAATGACAGAACATTCTTTACCGGTGACCTCTTTATTGACTACTCTGTCGCCACTCAACGGCAGACTTGCGACTACGATTCCTTCTTAATTCGGCAAGAGGGTCCTCGATATCCTTCAACCTGCTTTCCCTGGGCTGCAGCCTCTCATCTTCTGATCTGCGTGAAGCTTTCTTCTGCATCAATTTCGAGAGTACAAGCGACTTCTGTATACTAAACCCAAAAGCTTGGATACACAGCTTGTAAGAAGTGACCTACGTCACGTCACAACCATTCGATCTGTCTATGAAGGACGTTCGAGCCAGAGTGAGGTAGTTCTGAAGATCCGGAGTGTTTACATCTCTGCATTCTCGCAGACTTATACATATTGATATTGTCTGACTCTTGTATTGTTTACGGTAATTGTGTCTTTGCTCTGGAACGTACTGCTGTACTGTGACCAAATGATTGAGAATCTCATGAATCGGGCATCTCACCATTGTGAACACACTTGCTTATGTTCATGATCTGCAGTGACGGTCAGCTTTCCATTGGCAGTCAAAATAAGACTCTCATTCGATACTGATGAGTCGATACATAGATATGATCGCGAATAGTTACAGGTCGTAAATTACGAGAGGTTCCCATTGCTCAAATTTTATATATCGAGGATAGCCAGCATTCGTTAAAGGTGAAAAGAGAAAAAGAAAAAGACAAACCTAAACAGCGGTCCACGACGTCGGCATCGACAACGAGCTAATAGATAGGACAAGTGCGACGGAAAAGGGGGGAAGGAGCGAGTGTGATGAGAAGAGACGAGACGAGACGAGCTTGTCGAGCTCGGGACATACCTACTGGACGACGTCGTAGAGGAAGCAGCTGGCGTACTTGGCCTTGATCTGCTTCTCCACTCACCAGTAAGGGGTGAGGTAAGTGATATTGGTCTTGTCGGTAGAGCCTGCACCGCTGGTGAGGATTCCGATAATGCGACCATCCCTGGCGAGGACGATAGACCCGGAGTCGCCAGCATCGGAAAACTTGCTGCGCATCTTGTCGTAGGGCAAGACGGCGATCTCAGTGGAGGTGTGCTTGATGTCGTAGTCATCATAGATGCGGGTGAAGGACTCGAGACCATTGGCGCGACCGACGGTGGTCCCCGTGGTCAACCCATTCTTCACAACGAGTAGGCACTTCTCATTGTGGACGTCGAGGTGCTGGGGGTCGCGGAACTCGTCATCCTGGACGACGCCGTAGGCCTGGAGGAGACCATCGCGGGGGTACCGGTAGTTCGCTCGATCGACGGGCTGAGGGAACATTGTGTTGCCAAAGTCAACGTTCACGAGGTTACCGCCTGCGGAGGAAAGAACAGTAATAGTCAGCTAAAACTGAAGACAAGGAGACGGGAGATGGAAAACGCGACGAGAGATGAAGAAGATGAGAGATGGAGATGAGATGGAGACAAAGATATGGAAAAAGACGTACCGACGTAAACCTTGTTTCCCTTAAACGTAGGCCAATCAATCCTCTCGTCGTACAGCTCGATCAGGGCCCAGTCTTTGGTGAAACCGTGGGGCTCGACTGAGACCTCGATCTTCTCAGAGTGAAGCACAAAGCCAATGACGCGCTGGTCAGGGGTGGTACGGCGCTTGGTGACCTCGTCGTGGATCGCGTTCACCTCCGTGATCGTGCTTGTCGCCTTCACCACCAAGTCCACGTGCTCCTCGCGCCTCTTAGTGATCTTGCTGTTCTCTCCCTCGACGGGCACCCCCAGCCTGCCAAGCACGTCATTCCAGATTTCGATGGAGTGGAGGAGGTCGCCGATGGTGCCCATCATGGACTTGATGGCATTGTTGTAGCCCCTGTTACCGAGCGCGACGATCACCTCATGAGCTTGGCTTGTGTTCTTACGCGTCATGCCCATGTTGGCATAGACAGGAGGGGGACGAGCGACGTGGGCGCAGGTCAGGATGGCAGTGCGCTTGTCGTCTTTGCTAAGGCGGAAGTAGAGAGCGCCTGTGCCCTCGAAGTGGGGGTACTTGAGGGGTGCGATGGAGAGACCGAGAGCGGTGGTGAAGGGCTTTCGCAGGTCAGGGACATCATCGAGGAGGGGGTCGAATGAGAGGAGCTTGGGGCCAACAACAGAATGAGTGACTATCGACTCGACAAAGGCCACCTCGATGTCAGGGAAGCCAGCCTCGGCAAGGATCACCTTGACGGCGGCGGCAGCGTCAACAGCGGTGTCGTAGAGAAGGGAGTCGGGCTTCACACCGATAGAGAGGATGAGAGAGCAGAAGGGCTTGGCCTCCCCAGCATCGGCGTAGGCGAGGGGGTTGATGGACGTCCACTTTACGCCAATGGAGTCGAGGTAGTCATAGATGCGCCTGCCGATAGAGAGCCAAGTGGGCCCAATGGGGTGACGGTAGACCGGGCGAGCCTCACGTTCGATGCCCCGGGTCTGAGGGCCCTTGCGGACGTGCCAGTCAGGGCCAGACTTGAAGACACAGGGAGTGTCGCTGCCATAGAAGTCGCTATAGGCGTTGGGGTACTTGTCAGTGAGGCGAGTCGCATTGGAGACGAGCGTTTCGGTCGGGGAGAAAGGAGACTGGTTTCTGACTGGCTTGGGGATGGCCAAGCAGGCGGCCATGAACTCTGGGTCGAGGTTCAGAGGGTGAGCGCGGATGGACGACACTGTCGACGAGAGAGCGGGGGGAGGGATAGGGAACAGAGAACCAATGGTCAGTAACGAGGAGGGACCAATAAAAGCGAAGGGAACTTACTTGTAAACAGACAGTCTTTTTTCATAGTAAAGGGTTGGGAGGCAGAGACGATGTCATTGATAGGCGACGAGACCTGGAGAGGAAAAAAGGCAAGGTCAGTATACTACGAGACAAACAAGAAAACGCAAAGGGACGTACTTGGTAGATGCAGACGCAGACGCAGATGCAGAGAGGCACTTAAGTAGTTACAGCTTGGGCTAACGGCCTCTGCTTGATCGTCTCAGAACGCAAAAGCTGTGGCGGAACCGGGCGGAAGCTGATCCCAATCGATACATTGACAAGCCGCGAGATACTGTAGCTGTAGGCACAGGAAAAGCAGAGGAAAGAGAAGTAAAGTAAATGTAGATAAGGAAGTAAAGTAGAGTATAGGTGAGTAGAATAAGTCAGCTGCGAACGAGAGGGAAAAGCGTGAGCTCGATACTCACGCAAACGATACTGAGCCTGTACAGAGGCCTCCAAAATCGCTCCCTACCCCTGGGATCCGCGATTACTTCAAATAGAGAGATCCCGAGATGAAGGCAGACGCGGAGGCAGATTCGACTGGGGTCGTTCTGTGTAGCATTAGTGACAGCGATACCCTGCTTTGATTCGGTTGGTTAGTATACCTTACTGCTTAGGGAATGTTTGATTGCCAGGAGTTGGTGCACCGCCATGCAGAACCCGAAGGATGCATTCAAGATGCATTGATAAGATAACGACATAATCTATCCGCCCCCGTCGCAGACATTATCGAGAGTGAGAATCAACTACTGACAGTCTACTGTAACATGGTCGCTTCAGCCAAGCTTCAGCTCGTACAAAATGCAGTAGAATCAACTCCTCGTACTAGTCGCTCACATCATTAATCGCCTAATGATGTTTCGACAACCTCAGTGTTTCAAATCTGCCCGCTGATCTCCAAACAATGCCGAGCCAAGTACTATTCAATTCCAGTTTTTCTCTCATTGAACCCGCCTCTCTACGACACAAAGATGCTAACCTCTCACTTGCTTTCTACTGCATCGCTTTGGAAAGAGCTGAAGCAGACACTTTTCTGAATCATAGAGTTTCGCTCTGCCTGTCATTTTGTTTCCACCTGGGCCTCTTTTCTAACTGTTATACATATCTGGCACTGTTACCCGCGATACCCAACTGCACGACGATGACGATGTTGGATGGCCACATATGACTTCATGCCTCGCAGTAGTAGTAATTCTCGGCGACCTTCTACTAATTGCTCTGAGTCCCGTAGTTGGTATAGGTACTATTCACAAAGTCGTCGTCGATTTCGTCTGCACGCTGCATTGACGGAGGGAGTCAATGTTAGATACCACAAGATACGTAGACTTCGTTACCTCAACTGGCTCGTACTCGTTATTCCTGTAATTCTCCTCGACAAAGTCGTCGTTTACAGCATCTGCACGCTATAATCAAAGATGAAATACTCGTTCATTTCCATTACAACACATATCTCACCTTCTCGACAGGAGCAGCGGTTACGACGCCGATCAAAACAACAAGACAGACGATGGCGACAAAGGTCAGTTTCATTCTGTGCGTTAGGTAAGGATTCCTGGAGCGGGTCTGCCTTGTCAATAATACTCGGTGCATACTGATCTTTTATACCTTCAGTCTGAATCAATAGTTCCAATGTCCGTAATTAAGTCAATAGGCCCCTTCCCATGTCACTGTCACCGATGGTCATTCATCGTCCTGTCGTCCCTCAGTTCGCCTTCGATGGCGAGGCACTGTGGTGAGTATGGCGATATTTCCTGCAACAGCTGGTCAGTTACCAATCAATGAGGTAGACTCTCATGCTCTCGACAGCCCTGAAAGCCATTTTTTGGATGCTTGCATGCATCCATGGCATTTGGTACTTTGGGTAATCGGTGGTCATTCGTACCCGGGACCTCATCTGACCTTCACTGTTTGTATGAAGTCTGGGTAATTTGGGACGCTTTTCGAGTTTAAATGATTTCTGTGAGTCAACGCTCTCTTTCCTTCTGACTCGTAAGGACTCATGCAATTTAATTCAGTATAGCAGGCCTGAATGTAGCTGCTATCGGAGCCATTGTTATCTTACATGCTGTTGACGATGCTGAAGCTGAGCCGGGTTCCTTTCTCACCGCAGCTCTTGCAAGCAAGAGTCATCATATTACTTGATGTCATCGAAGAAAGCCAGCTGATGAGCCGAATGACCCAATTAGTAGGAACGCAGACGACGACTCCACCGTATATCTCTCACTAATATGAGATTCTGACAGCTTGCTGTATCGTTTGCGCTCTCCTTCACACTGTCAACGTTTGTTGGATATCTTTGGATGTCAGGGATTTATCATACCATATGCGGCCTGCAGTCTTGCCAAAATGTGTGGACTTGATCCGAGCTGCTTCAACCTTGCGGCGACACGACGTCGGGCAGAGACAGTCCGAGTGACATTGACAGATCGTTCCAGGTGCCTGATTCTATTTCTATCTTCGCACGTTGTTTTCGATCCCTGTGAGTGGCGAGTGAAGGTCGTCGCTTTCGAATGAAGCAGACACTTACCCCAGCAACATCCCAAGACATGGAGGTCCGCACTATCGCCTCAACAACTTTGCAACCCGGCGACACTATAGCAGTGTCCCGACATCGAACCTGGTGACCTGTTCATGCAGAAGAGGCATCTTTCCTGACTCCCTAGTGGATGCAATTGACGTACATTTGCAAGCATGTATGCTCTGAATACCGGCGCAGAATGTCTCATGATTACGACTCCAGATGCCTTGGTGGTCAAGAATTTCAAGGCCATCTGTTCAGTCGTCCTGTTCTCTCGTCTCACATTCTTCCCGCTCCTCACTGCGAGTGCCTCTCAGAATGTCTCATCGTAGTCAATACCACCCTCTACTTTCTGACGACCCTGCGAATGTCGAAGAGAAGCAGCGCCAGACACCCCTGATGCAGTCTTCTATTTCTTCGCCGCGCCGCCTGTTACTCATTTTCGGCTTCACTTTACAAGGCATTCTTGTTGTCACGCTATGTTTTGCTCTATGGGTGAAGAACAAGCCGGACTGCCCATTCAATCCCGTTTATCCTCAAGTTCTTTACTGTGAGTATGACTGTCTGTTTATTCGAGGAGTATGCTCTTATGAGAACTTATGAATACAGCTCCTGCACAAGAAGCTCTGAAGTATCAACCGAAGACGTTCGATATGGGCTTCGGTCGAAGCAAGACAATTTACCAAGGAGAGCCATCTGAAGAAGTCGATAGTGCCTGGCTCGACTTGTATAATGGTTAGCTCGTGCACTTTCGGACGACCGAAAGCCAAAAGATTAATAACGTGGTAATAGTGTTTGGCTTGTCGAAGATTCCCAAATGGCAGGCGCGACTCTTGCCCAACAAGACTCTGCCTATTCCGGGTGACGAGCAGAACTATGCGGTGGGCCTAGCGGTATTCCATCAGCTTCATTGTCTGGTGCGTTCTAAGAGTCTTCAAGGTTATTCTATTCAATTAACTCAGTCTCACTGTCGCAGAATATGATTCGGCAAGGACTATACCCAGAGTACTACAGAGACCCAGTCACCGGCTCTATCGCTGGATTCCCCGCCGAAGAATGGCCTGATCATGTTAGCCACTGCTTAGACAACATTCGTCAGAGTATCATGTGTGCTTCCGATATCAGGTACGTAGACTACTATTTATCATAGTTCTGACCAATGATGAGTTTCGCCAGTTTGATTGTCTGGCAATGGTTCGAAGAAGACAACCGTGCATCTATCATGATGAATACTGTTCACTCGTGCCGCAACTTCGACAATATTGTTGATTGGGCTAAGGCCCATCGACGGGGACACAAATTTGACTTAAACGTGCACGTACAGGATGATATCGAGATTCCTGTGTTTTAGACAGTCTATTATGCGACAGAACAGTGAATGGTTCCAGCAAACTCGTTGTAATTTGAGGAATGGTCGGATTCTTGAGTCTTATGGCGTTAGTGAACACCTGAAGTTCGAATCTCGAAACGGGCTAGTTCTTCTTATGCCGCCCTTTGATGTTCACGGTGTCCAACGGTCCACCACACACTCGTCACCGAAGTCGGCATGCATCGATCTCCAATATTCGGAATTCGTTCAGAAGGCCTGCTACAGGTTGGGCAAGGGTCTGGATTTCACCATTCCTGAAACACCATCCGATTTGTTACCAGCACATTCTATGCGTATACGAAGGAATAATTGTCTTTCCGAGAACGAGCAGCACACGTTTTGCCCACTTTCACTCTTCTATGTCGATCCTTCCTCCTCCTTCCTCTCGTTACCTCCACGCTTGCTGAATTAAGCTTTTGGCTTTTGAAATACACGTTGGGTCGTTGCCTTGGATATCTTCTCTCGCCTCAAATCCTGGTGTCATGACCAAGACTATACAATAACTCCGAGTCTCACCTTTGATATGATTCCGAACGCGACGTGACAGAATGCACATGACTGTGGTCACATCACAGTTGTGGCAACATGAGTCGATGGACTTCAAGTCGTCTCCTTTCAACTACACATCGCGACACGGACTAGTACTCAAGTACTCAACGTTCAACGTTTAACGTCCACGTTCAGCAATAAATATGCCCCCAAAACGCCGTCGCCCCGTAGATTCCAAAACAAATACGGCAGACCAGATGGAAGGTACGAACTTATGGCCACTGTGCATCCGTCCTGCTCAAACTCATAGGGGCGTGGTACCTGTAGGCAAGTTGGTCTTCAAAAGACCGAAACCAAGCTCGAACTCTCGCATTTTTATGGAATCCCATGCTACTCCGTCCAAGAAGCCAGTGCGTGGAGCTCGCAATGCTGGTAAGCTAGCTCAGCTCAAGACTATGCCTCTCGAGGTATTCTATGAGGTGAATTAATCTTGCTCACTTACTGGTTCCTTGCTGACGCTGCATGTAGATTACGTCCTGGCTCCATCCTCTTGACCTTCTGAAACTCTCCCGCGTCTCGAAACACCTCCGCGAGATGTTCATGTCCAAACACTCTGAAGCACTATGGGTAGCTGCTAGACGTAATGTTTCCGGCGGTCTGCCTGACCCACCAAGTACCATCAACGAAGCACAATATGCAGCACTTCTCTTTGAACAGAATTGCCAGGTTCGTCTGAATTTTTTGTGATTGTTTTCCCTCTTAAATAACACTGAAGCGTCCATTTTTAGGCTTGCGGGGTCGGAAGGTCAATCAAAGTAGATTTTAGCTTCTTCGTACGATTCTGTGGGGCTTGTTATCATGAGAAGTAAGATTCCATCCTCTCGTAATCATGTCGGCTTAATGTACTTTATGTCAGTGTTATGAATGGCAAGAAGCTCCTAAGACAATTTAAAGGCCTAGATCCTGTCATTTTTTCAATGATGCCGTACGCCGCTATGGATAATTACTGTATGTTCTACGGTGTCTTGAAGTTACTTGGACTCTTGCTGAATGTATTCTTATTTCAACAGACATTGAAGATCCCGTCCCCAAAACCAAGGACAACACATCATGCCTGCGATATTACAAACCCTACTTCGACGCCGTTGCAGAACGACTTCGACGCCTTCCTGCAGGTTCGGACGAATTCGAAATCTTCGTCAACGAAATGCGCGCCGTAGCTGCAGAGATGTTCAAGGTATGACGTGTATTATTGTCCCGACATCTGCTATTTTACCCTCAACTGTGCAGCGTAATCATGACATGCACATGTGGTTGGATCGGGTTGCGCGAGATAAAGAAAATCAGGCCAAGATCACAAAACGTGAGCGAGAAGCCAGGTATGCACCTCGATGTTTCCGAATGTGCAAGATCATTCTACTTTTCATGCCTACAGCATTAAGAAGAAGCTCATCGAGATGGGTTACACGGAGGCCGACTTCCCGCTCCACGATTACTCTTGGGTGAATATCATGAGACAACCTCGTGTTTTGACTCCTCGAAGTACGTTTCTCTTTCTGTCACTTTGATCGCTTTGAACTTAATGAAATTTTTACTTTTTCCTCGTCAGTTTGGACGCAGGTGAAACCTCAACTCGTCTCCTTGATTGAACAGAAGAGAGTGCGAGACCACCAAGCCGCAATTGTAGCAAGGTTGAAGACACTGACTAGACAGGTTAAGTCGCACTATGAGAAGCATATTCTTGAAGTACCCGAGGACGAACGACCTTGGATACTTCCGTTAGTGGACCTGTTGAAACTACGAGAAGTGGACAATTTGCTCAAGCAGGACGAATCAACAATCAATCTGACGGAGGATAACTTTCGATCCATCATGAACATTGCTGAATCGGAAGGGGAGAAATTCAAGGCAACTACTGAAGCCAAACTACTTTCCCAATTGAAGGAAATTTATCATCTTCATGATGACGACATCTTCTCCATTCAAACTTCTGCCACAGAAAGCCGTGACATTCAACTGCTACATCGTGCTACGTCAGTGTTCGAGAGAGGCTCCTTTTCACGTTTGGAACAAGGCAGAGCACTGAATTCCTTTGACGGACTCATCGAGGCCTACGGTCGTCTCGATTTGAGGTTCAAGAATCGACCTCCAGTTGTCTCGGTCGATGCTGTCAGGATGGCGCAACTCATCCTCAAGACTCTTGGACTACCAGAGGATTTGCCTCTTAACGAATTGCCAACAACGTTCTCATGCGGCTGTGCTGACCCTTCGCTGTCCTATCCCATGGACTTCCATCAACTTGTGAGTCGAGACTCCCCATAATCTATACTCGGCTCTGAGACATATCACGTTGTAGGTGCAACATATTCTGGAAGAAACGAAATATTACAACGATATTGTTTCCGATGCGTAAGTCAACCCCGTCAAACAAATCTGCGTCAGTTACATCCTCATTGCCTCAACCTAGATCTTCGAAGGGCGATCCTTCATTCAGGCCGCAGAACAATCATGACTTGGAGACAGCTAAGATGCCCTTCATTCACATTTGTGCTGACGGACCGAGGCCCGCTTTCGACTTTGGCCAGTGGCGTCCCGAAAAGACGAACAGGCGAACCTTGTATTGTTTCCTATGCGCCAAGTTCGTTGGTTCATGGGAAGCTCATATACCGTCATTCGATTTCATCACGGGGGAAGAAAAGCGTTTCATACATCATGTGAAGACAAAGTACGTATCGCACTCTTATTGGATAATAGATACTGAATGGACCCTGGATTCCACAGGCATCTGAAGGAACCAGGCCCTGATGATCTGATAAATCCGCAGGATCTGAGCATGTACTTCAAGCAACTAACATGATGTTTGGTAGCTCTGAATCATTGCGATGTATCTTACGTATGTCGAGAAGTTTCCCTCTATACAAGCTCCATGACTCTTAGACATTCTTCTCCATCCTGCGAACCCGCTAGGCCGGACTCGAAGATATGCAGACCAAAAAAAGTGGGCCAACAAGTACAACGAACACCCGTGTAATTACCGTGAATCGACGCTTGCGCGACACGCATTTGACTCAAATGCGCTACGTGTCTGAATTGATCCAGTGCGCCACCATAGTATTCGCATTTAGAGTGGTATGTACATACGGGAAGACCTCTAGAGTAGAACAAGTCCTATGCCCTAGGTCGTGATCTGGTCCCCTTAGCCAGTATCATCAGCCCCGTTGTCCTCTTAGCAGTAGTCTTTGAAGTCTTTCCTGGCATCTTGGCACTCTTCCGGGTTACCTGAACAACACTGACACAGATATCTTCTCCCTCTTCGGGCTTGAGATTGTGCTCGTTACGTAGCCTCGGCAAGTAGTCCAAATCGTCAGGCCTGATGAGATTTAGGTTAATCATGCAGGACAGACGGGTGAAAATAAGGGGCCACGTACATTGCATTTACCATCTCGTTGTATCGATCATTTTCTGCAACGAGATGCGACACCATTTGAGCGAATGTTGCCGGCCTTGGTACCGAAGGTTCGTCGCACTTGCACAGTAACTTTGATGGCAATTTGTCCCATGGTGTGTCGACAGGTATACCAAGTGCATCGAGCAAAGCCTTAGCCGTCTCAACAGCGGCATGCGATACGACTGGCTGCCTCTTAGTCCAATGAGTCGTCTTACCTAGTGCGCAAGGATGCTTGAAGAAGTCATAGTAGGTGTGAAACTCCGGGCTCCACTCAGGCCGGCAGTTAAGTCCACATTGGAAGAGACTGATACTCGAGTTGAGAACTTTGTCGTCGTTCTTAGTCTTGAAGTCATGTATGGCCCGCAAGTCTGCAACTAGCTCATCTTCAACACACTCCCTTAAGTTTCGAGTGTGCTCCACAATCATCGATAGCAGCTCATTGAATCGGTTTTTCAAGATCGGAAGCTTCTCCTCCGGCGAGAGAGCGTCCTTGATTGAAGGTATAGAACGAAGGTCTGTGCCAGGGGGTGGCATGAATGGTAGTTGCTCCTTCGGCATTTTCGTTGCCCAATATTTCTCATACGAAGTTTTCAGGCCTTGCGCGACTTGCACCAGTCGGAATTGTCGTTCAGCCTCCCGTTTACGATTCAGATTCTGTTCGATAACGTCCGTGAGCTCTTGTCGGATTTCGGACCAGACTGCAGAAGAACCTATTAGCGTTTGTCAATGAGCAAAGCATCAAGAACATGCCGGTGTCTGTCAACGCCTGAGGCTTCAGCACTAACCGTTGCCAAGAAGGTTCATGAACAGGGAAGTCGGTCTTGCGGTATCCTAAAGTGCGAAGTTGGATATTTATGCTGTGAATCGTTCACGAAAAATTGAGTGATATTATATCGCATGTGAAAGAGGATACACACGCTCTTTCTCTATTCTCTATGAGCCGCTTTCGTTCAAATTCTCGAGTGCTCTGATACCATCGTGCAAAGGGTTGTATGTTCATATGAAACTTTGTAAAATGTTTCAGCCTGAATGGAGTTGACATAGGATGACGCAACAGACCTTATAAGCATCGCGGGCGATTTTCTTCCGAGACTTCACGTAGTCCTTGTATTCATCCGAATCAATGGTCAGCAGTTTCAATTGTTGTCCTACTTGAAAAACTTGGGATTTCAGATAGTGGTGGTGACGAGTATTTGTTGAAGGTGAGGGTAAAATATTGGCAAGATCTTAATGATCCGCCATATGAGTACGAGACCGATTCGAAAAAAAGTAGGAATGTAAACATACCGACAACTCTTTCAAAGGGGATTTGCCGAGGGACCAACGGGAAGATGCTATTGTCCAACTTCCCGAGTTTGAATTCAATTATCAGTTCCCTACCAGGACGAATGCTAGAGAATGGTGAGAAAGAGATCATTAATATTTGTCTGGAGGATAAAAAGGCTCAAACTTACCGTTCACGCCAGCATGAATCACAGTAACGCACAGAGAGCGCGTAAGAAGTCTTACAATTCTTGTCCGCGCCACATCCCTGTCACATTCTCGGCATCGCCTGAAGAACACGATACCAGTAGCGGCACATACCTGGCAATGGTCCTCAAACAGCAAAGAAATGAACTGCATATTGTTTAGATGAGGCGGACAACGCGGCAGCATGCAGACGTTCTTATTAACTCGTTCCCATAACTTCATATAGGACTTGGAAGCGAAGACCTCATAGAAAGATTTGGAGATACGCGTTAGGTGAAGGAGATCTAGAGGTTCTAGCCATGTTGCAATCTACATTGCAAAACGTTCATATTTCATGAGCCACGAACAAGCCTGAAGATATTGATACCAACTTCGAAGAGCACGTCGAAAGGGAATTCTGGGAACTGGGAAAAAGTACTTTCGGGGTTAATAGTGGTTTGCCTCTTGTCGAAGATGTGAACCGCCGTAGGAGACATATCTAAGTCTTCCATTTCGTTCGCAGGCGTTATAGCGTGTCGCGCGGTCTCTACGAGAGAAGACGATTGAGGAAAACTGTAGACATCTTCAACTTTCTGACATACCTGTTGCCCAAGCTCTGATGTCCATTGCTGCGGTCCTGGCCGGATATAAGACAGACGCAAGCTAAACGAATGGTGTGCGGATGAAAACCACGACCCGACGCGGTTCGGATATATAAGTACGTCCTTGTGACTGTCACCAATCACGAGGAAATCGTAACGCGCTCGTGACAACGCGTCCAAGAACATTTCCAGGTTCTCGAGTGAAAGCAGATGGGTCGGAACATCATTTTGCTCTTCGAAACTTGCATGTGGCCTCCACCGCTGTATTTCCAGCCTGAAGGTACTTCGACCCGCGAAGCTTACTGAAGTGGAACAAAGTAAGATGAAAACGCGATCAAGTATTTTCAAAGGATAACAAAAGGGCTACGCAACGCAGGAAGCTTGGGCATCGTTCAGAAAGTCGTAGATAAATGGGTTAGGATGAACACAGAGGCCAAGTCCAACATCCTTCAACTATCTGTGGTGACGATAATCAGCGATGCATGCATAGGGCGGATGCAGAGAGTCAGCGAAAATCTCTTACGTTTGCTAGCACAAAGAGCATTATTTTACATAAGTACTAACCTCAGAGGAACATTGCTGTTAAGGTTTCGCGGGGGCGAGATCGAATCACATTTCGTGTCATACATTTCCATACATATTCAAAGAGACAGGGTCCATTACAGGACTGCCTAATACACATACCTAAAGCCCGGCATATCTAGGTCCGTCTTCTCGTCATCTTTGAGATTGTCCTCGACTGCATGTTCGGAGCCCAACATGCGCCGTCTGCGATTCCTCATAACATATATCATCAATAAGACGACGGTGAGAAGACCGGAAAGACCTGTCGCAGCAACCATAGAAATCTTTGCAGGCCAATACCGAGGTGCGTCTTTTGCTCGGAATGTTTGTGGACCACATATCTATTAGGAATCGGTGGTGAGCTCGACGGTATACACGAAGGAACCGGTCTCCTTACATTTCCCACACCAAACGCAATCATAATAACAGCGTTATAGACCACACGTTTCGTATGGCCTGCGCACTGAGTGCCGGACGTTAATCATCGTTGATCGCAAAGCCATCGAGTACTTACATTTGCTTGCGACCAGCTCATCGCAACAATTACTGAGTGCAGAGAATTCTTTAGCAATGACGCAGGAAGGAGAGAACAATGGCTTACAGATAGGTGTGATAGTGTTGATTAGCCAGATTCCAAGTAGCAGAGCGGCTTTTGCCTTTGCGAATGACATCAAGGCCGCACCAGTAATGGCCGGTGCTACAAGAACGAGCATAGCCACGGACCGAGGGACGTTGTTCTCGACGAACCAGGTTGCTGCCAACGATGAGATTATGCTCACTGCGCCCGAGGGCATATTAAGCAGCGCAGCCTCCTTGGAATTGTATCCAAAGCCTAAGATGATCGTGGACGAGAATGTACTGACAGCTCCGCTTTGGAGGGAACAAGCAGCCGAGATGAGAAAGGCAAGCAATATAGCGACATCGGAGGTCAAGGTTGAGATGACTTGAGAGAATCGGAAACGTCTTGTATTCACGACGTACTTATTCTCTGACAGTAGTCTGCGAGAGAAGAAGGCACGTTCCGCAGGAGACAGGAATTTGGCGGATGTCGGGTTATCAGTGAAAACGAGGAATATCCACAACGCGACAAGAATATTGAGGAATCCAGTAACAAGGAACATCCCCCTCCAACTACCGAACGAACCTCGCTGGACATGCTGAAAACCTACAAGGTGATACGCCGACTTCAAGGATGAACCGAAGTCAAATTTTGTAGGTGGCTTACCAAATGACATGATACCGCCAATGATTTGTCCCAATCCCAAACCGCAATACCACACGCCGTATCGCTTCGAAGCCTCATCCCGAGTATACCATTTCATAGTGACCAATGATAGACTTGGACCCAAACCACTTTCTCCTATAGCAAGGAGTACGCGTACTACAACGAGCGAAGCGTAATTGTTGCATGCTGCCGTACATGCTACAGCGATACCACACAGGAGCATATGGCAGCCAAGATAGATATTGACCGGGATCCGCGAGAGGAAATACACTTTAGATACTTGAGTACCTGCGTATCGCTTGACATTATGAGTGATGACGTACCGCCGGGAATTTGAACTATCGAGAACACAATGAAGAAACTGGTCGCCAACCAAGAAAACTGATCTCCATGCAGGCCCGTGTCTTTCTGCAGACCCATAATGTTCGCGTAATTAAGCACAACTTTGTCGATGAACTGAAGCGTCCAACAAGCTAACATGATTGGAACCAATCGGAGATCGATCCTTCTGAGCGAAGCCTTAACTTCGTGCTCATTCAATGGACGCTCCAGCGGCTCAGCCAACTTGAGCTCGTCCACGCTGTCTGACTTGGTGTCAGAGATCGAAGCCTTCTCGTCGGACATGGTGGCCGGAGGGGAACCTATAGCAGCGGTCAAAGGAATGCGAGCCAATCAAACGGTTTATATAGAGGAAAATGATAAGGAGCGTTTAACGTCGGACATGAGCTCGATTTGATCACACATTGCGATGTAGGATATGAAAACGAGCCAGAAACTAGATTGGCGGATATCAGCGAGCTATAAAAAACCGACTTACTGTTCCACTGTTCATGGCGGACGTGTAAATTTAATGTCGCATCTCGCCAGCAACAGAGGCAGTTTAAAGCGAGCAAATTATTCTATAGGCGCAGGTGAAGGAAGATCGGCACCGCTTCCCATCCCTTGGCCGCCCAAATATGTTGGCCTGATCGCGGATTTCTGATCCCCACCAGAGTGATGCAATGCTAAAGACACATGGTAAGTCCCGCCACCGATTCGATGACAGGGAGGGAATGCGAGCGAGGCCTAGCTGATCCGCTATGAGCCGACTCGGGGACAAGAAATTGTTAGCAAATCCGGCATCGTCAATGCAATGGAAGGACTCAATATGTACACGCCGACTCAGTAAATACCAGGGAAGAGTTTATACGGAGTCTTCTTCGTCCAAGCTACCCATTGCTCCTTAAACTCGTTCTGCAACACCAGATCTTCTGCGGGGACACGGACGAAAAGCAAAGTGACAAGGCTGACTTGAAAAGCAATCCTAATGAGACCCATGACCTTCCCAAGCGGATAGTCCCAGATTCCGCACTCCTGCCACCAAGAACCGCTGCCGAATTGGGCCAAGAGAAGACCGACTGAGTAGAGGAAGGTACCGAGATAACTGGGATGTCGAACGATAGAGTAGGGGCCGTCCGTAACGAGTTTGTGCTCTTTGCGGATGGAGAGGTCGAAAGTAAACTGAGGACCCATTTTGCTGTAACAGGCGAGGCGCAACATTGTACCCGCGAAGATGAGGAGGGACCCGAACGTGAAGCTTGGAGTCACATGGATTCGAGGGAGCAGGTCTGTGGAATCACCTGGAACGAGGAGCCGATAGATGAAAGGGGCTTGGAGGAAAGGCAAGGCGGTGGACAGAATCACGTATGCCTCAATGGCACTCATAACATGAAATGCGATCTATTCGCATGTGAGTGAGACCTTAAAGGGAAGATAAGGGTCACGTACTGGAAGAGCCGGGAGGTACCATGGCGTAATACGATCAAGAAAATCTCTAGTCTTCTTATTCTCCTCATACTTCTGTCTTTCTTCTGCCGCAGAAGGAGGGTTAGGGGGCTGTACAGCCCTCCTACATAGCAGAGCGTTGGTAAGTAGGAGAGGTAGTTTGACCAAAGACGGAGTGAGGGACATTGAGTTGTGAGTATCAACAAAGTTCGAGGGCGAATGGCACCAGGTTGCTAAGTTGCGTTTAAGGAGTCTGGCTGAGACGCTTTGATTCCGCATGGATAGTCTGGACTCCCTAGCGGATATATGCCGATTGAGGGCGGTTCACAGCGTACGGTTAGTGTCCACGTGAAGCCCCGCAGCTTGTGCCAAGATTATAGCCTTCAGCTCGACAAGTCTCGTGTCGGCAACAAAGAGCATTCTGGTGTAGCAGAGTCATGACTGTCAAAGGTTATATCTTCTGGTGGCGAAAGAGTTCATCTGTGCCGAAGCGCCGAGGCTGTAACGTTGAAATGCTTGCAACCTCGAAGCATGATCATCCTTGATCATCATTACAATCCTTGATGGCATCGATGCGAAATTCTCCTAACGATGGAAGCTCAAACAGCCTCACTGACTTCTTCCTCATCAAAGAAACGAAAATTGCAACGATTTATACGAGAAGAATCCTCATGTTATATAAGAAGCACGCTGATATACTGTAATTGGTGTTATAGACTTCACGGGTTCGTTGGATATTGCATATTTTCTCCTGCCCGCGTTTTACTTCGCTGCTTAGTCGAATATGGAGACGATTACGCAGGGAGTCGTATGAAGCTCTCGCGTGCCGATGTCGAGGTTTGCCTTGACGGACGGGAGCAGCTCGTGGATGAGTTTCTTCGTCATCGGATCAGGAGGGTCTTGTTTCCCAACTACTCACCATGTGTTTGCGCCTTTCAAGGAACCATCGAAGTGTTCGCAAACCAGGAATTTGATCATTGACAGACATTGGGGCAATCGGTTACCCACAAGGACGCACCTTATGCAGGTGAGCCCGCTCGATGTCATGAGGGTCAGTGACCTTTGTGAACATTAAAGGAGACCTCAATCAGATTTGGAGGAAATTCGAGAAAAGATGTGATAGAAGCTTGGCGAAGAATTCTCGACACCAGACTGGCCCATGGAAGGTGATCTCGAAGAATTGATGGAGCCAAAGCGTTAGAGTATATAATATATTAGGCTGTTACCCATTGTCTAGGTATTCATGTCGAGTTGTTGACGAGATGTTTTTTGCGCGCAATGAGTTATGGAAAGCGTGAAAGACAGAGTGAACTTGGAAGGGTGAACTTGGAAGATTACCATATGGGGCAGTGCACGAGAATAGCCTGCCAAGTTCGCTGGAAACGTTCACTCCAGGTTTACTCAAGGTTTACTCCGTCTTGCTCTCGACTTTGCATATTCGTTCGTTCTCAAAGTTGATTCGGTCGCTATTGGAAAACACTGGTGAAGCTGGTCTTGTGCACTGGTGCGTTACCATCATCAGAAATTTGTGTTTCGCGTTTGATGGATGTATCGTGCGCCTGTGGTGCAGTTCCGTCCCCCGCTCCCAATTCTTTTCTGCCATTCTATAACGTCTTATAACTTGTCAAGAACATGTCCGCGAACAATGACGACCAAACCGTCTCTAATTCTAATCTGAAGCTCGAATCATTTCTCGACACCGACCCATCCCCATTGAACTCTCATTTTCTCTTGGACCCTGCACCGTCCAAGAACCAGGCTGCTTCACGCTCATCTTTTTCTTCGGAGAATGACACCGCGTCACAGCGAAGTATATCTCTCTCTTCACCCTCTGGTTCTCCGGCAACCAAGTCTATATCTCTTGACGATGATGATGATCACGCTCGCCCAACGTCTTTCTATGCTCATACAACGCCCACTCCCGACTTAGACTCAGACTTGAAGACGAATACATCGCATACAACGACTTCCCCGCGTACCCCTTTGTCTATTATTCGCCAGTCTCTCAGTTTTGCGTCTTCGGCCGCGCCTCAGCCATCAGCCATCTCGAGTACATCTACACACACGATTACTGAAACTCCGAGTAGGGATTCAACCGCATACCCACTTTCCCTCTCGTCCGAACTATCTTCAGATGTGGACGACGACCGCAGTATGTTCATGAAACGTTTTGGAGACGATGACGGCGAAGAGGAATCCCCAGTGACTAGCCTCGCGCCTAGCCTAGCTGAGAAACTGGAGACCAAGCCTACTACTCTTAGGTCGACCACATCCTCTCCACCCGTTCCAGCTCTAACCACGTCACTCGTGGAAGAGCCCAAGACGAAGATGTCGTTGCCTACACTTCCCCCGAGAGTAATCCCACCAGAAAGCTTGTCTCAACCTACGAGCCCACCTCCGCCAGTAGCCTCTTTGTCTCCAGCTATGTCACTGCCCACGGTGACGTATCCTCCGAAACCTATCCAAATTGCCACCCCCGATCGACAAAGCGTCGCGTCTTTCGCAACGAGTTCGAGTGGTGCAACGAGCTATTCGAAGAAAGCTCGTCCAGAAAGTTTGTTGGTACAGATTCCCGAAGGGCGGTTAGTGATTGGGATGGCGTTGGTGGATTTCAACCATTTGGTGCGTAGTTACCGTCTTGTCTCTTGCTTACCGTCTCTCAGTATACTTGACAGGTTGGTCCGAAGATCGAGTTCAGTCGAGGCGACATCTTTGGGGATGAAGAAATTGCCAAAATCTTACCTTTTCTTGCTCTTCCGGACGGTGCTCATTTGGTATGTGCCTTTCTACTCCCGTGAATTCGTTATCTGAACTGACGTCGCTTGTAGACAACAGAAGACTATTCGTATTTCCATTTAGTGCCGTCATCGCCAAACCCAACAACTCTCTTTGGTATTTCGTGCGTTTCCATTTCATCCCAGTATATCCTACCCCATATCATTGCCTCCATTCGAATATTCGCTTTTCTCACTCCTGTTCCCTTCTCCCCGACGCTATTTGCAAACGTCACCTAACACGTGCCCATATCCGCAGATGTAATCGTCAAATCAAGTCTTCTGAGCTTCTTTACAAGGAAGCGGATGTCACACGCTCAACTGTCCAGAAGGCTGTCGTCGTAGTCGCCAGTAAGCCGGTTTTCGGTCCTATACGGTTTGTCCACCACTCCGCTCCTTCTCACTTTTTGCCATCTTACTGTGCTTACTTTTCAGAGACCGTCTGGGTGTCATTACGCGCACGCTTTTCGCGCAATGCGATTTTACTGACTTGAGCATCTTGGACGCGTTCTATGAGAGTTTAGAAGGGAGCCTGAGGAGTCAGCTAACGGAGAGTGGCTTGTACATGGGCACCAGTCTGTAAGTTGTTGCGCGTTTGCAGAGATGGTTGACCAGGACCTGAACCTACCAATGTACGTTCGTTATAGGCGGGAGCTTGTACATACGTTCCGACAACGGACGCTCGTACTGCTCAAGGCACTCATGCTTCAAAAGAAGGTGACGTTTTCTTCCTCATCCATGCATCCATCTTACTTACCATGTTATCATGTAGATTATGTTCTACGGTCATCCCGTCGAGAAGTTGTGCACATACCAATATTCTCTCGTTACTCTCGTTCCGGGACTTCTGCACAACCTAGACGACAGTGGATCACCTCCACTGGATTCACGAGCGCAGGCTCTGCAACGTCCCACGGAGCTAAAGACTAGTGATCACAAGAGTATGCGGGCGTTCGTCGGCTTGCCTCTCGAGTTGTTCGGCAAGGTAATGTCTTCTCTACGACTTTCTACGGGGTGGAGATTGAAGTAAGTGATTCGTAGGACGCGTTCTTCCAACCATATCTACCGTTACAACAAATGGATTTGTTGAAGGACACGAAGAGTTGGCTCTGTGGATGTACAAATTCTATTGTGGCCCAGCAGAAGGAGGTCGATCTTCTGATCAATGTAGGTTCACTGTCGACGACTTCGTTGCAGAACCTCATGTCCCCTCCTGTTAGATTGAGGCGAACACCTTTGAATTCCGGGATCCGAGACTCGAGCGATCGGCAGGCTTAACGGCTGCCGATCGTAAGTGGATGGACGATATCGTAAAGGATGTCAACGACGGCTGGGTGGAACAGGGTGCCGCGGGCGGTATGCAGTGCGTCCACAATGTTCATCGAATCCTCGTGTGGTCGTTTACTGACTGTCATATTATCTCAAGCTTTAAGGGAAGTGACGACTATCTGAGACAGAAGGTATGCCTGATGGCCATCTTTGTTTCTTCACTATTGTTGATGCGGTTCGCCGCAGTTCGACGAATATATCTCCGGCGCTCTGTCTTGCGTCAAGTATGCCGACTTCATGTCAAAGGGTCAGAATAATGGTGTTATGATTTCTGACGGCTCGGGTGAGTTTCTTGAGCTTCTGTACTCTTTCTAATACTGATCTGTAATGTTCACAGGTGATCCTAATTCGGTGAACGACTTCAATATGTTCTGGATATCCGAATTCAAGAAGACCAATGCGTACGAAGTTTGGAATAGGGTGACTGATCCAGTGCTCTTCGATATCGTCGAACCTCGGTAAGACCTAGTGATCAGCTCCGTTGCTACCTGGTTATTAATAGTACATGTATAGGCATCCATGTGGCGAGCGTCCGTCTGTCGTTGCAGACATTGGACTTCGTCTCTCGGAAGGAATACAAGAACTCAAGATAGACCAGCAATTAGCACCAGCGCGCGAAGCTGTAACAAGAACGTTGACCGCTGGATCTACGGGTTTCCTCAAGGCCGTGGAGGGTGTTCGAGGTCGATGGATGCAACGTTCTGCAAGTTCGTCGTCAAGTACCAATTCGACGGGCGAAGCGACCAGCGCGACAAGCAGTCCTGTCGAGGTCAATAAGTCCGATATTTCGGATGCTGCGTCTTCTCGTTCTCGGCAAGGGTCAATAGACATGGCTCGCTCTGACGCTGGTACTCCGTCGGCTGCGCCAACGAATCCACCCTCGTTTGTGAGCGGAATCCGACCTCTGAGCTTAGCTGGTTCCATGAGGTCAAACACATCTGTTCCGTCGACACCGGAACCTAAGGCGACTTTGAGCTCATGGGGAGCGGGAATTGGCTCTTTCTTTTCTCAAAGAACTGCACGGCTGTCCACTCCTCGCTCAATGACAGCCTCCGCCACTACGCCACCCAGACAAGCATCTCCGTCGCCCGCGCCATCTCGCAAGACTTCGATGTCAGTCGGTTACCCAGTCAACGAACCTCTCGATCTCGGGATAGAAGAGCTAAAGCCACGGAATCTAGATCAGATTCGCGGGGATAGAACCATAGAGGAACATGAGCCAGCGGGTACTGGTATTGCAATGTGAGGACGGACTTATAGTTAGCCTGTTTTCTTTGGCATCATGGTTTGCAAGCATCGGATTTCTTACGCACGTATTTATTAATCGTACCTATGTCGTTCGAGAACATTTAGCATACATTTTCTTTAACAACGACGAAAGCCGATCTATGATGTAATGCTCCATTGGGCGTTCGTCAAAATGGAACTGGGGTCTCGGCACCCGTCTGCTGGGCTGCATTACTTGAACACTAGTTGATAACATTCCAGAAATGCAAGTGCACGAGACTGGCACGGTTGTTGACAATAACCGAACCAATGAAGCGAGACAGGAGGAGACGCAGGGACAGGGACAGGGACAGGGACAGGGGGAACACCAGAGGCAAATGGAAGTGAGCGACGATGACGCCTATCGCAATGTCTTCCTCGTCGACTATACAGGCAATGTTATTGCAGGTACGCCAACTACATCAGGTTAGATTTGTTACCTTTGACTGATCTTTCCGGTACTCGAAGGTTTTTGGCAGTACGGATTTACAACGTGGTTGCATTTCCTCAAGATGGTCCAGACCGTTATGGTCACCAACAATCAAGACTGGGCTGTTTTTCGTCACCGGTCCTCTGCATCTATCGGCGAACCTATTGGCGAGCGACAGAAGGGAACGACTGATCTAGTCCAGCCAGGATCCTACATTATTTTATCCCCCGGTAAATTTATACACTTTATTCGGCGTGTAGTTGTTTTTCACCCTTCCAATGATTGTACAGACAAAACGAAGCTCGAAGTCTCCCTAACTACCGAAAGATGCCGGACAAGGCACACCACCTTGTCCAATACTCCGTCTAGAGTAAGTGATCTGTTTCGAACATACCTTGCAGCTGATTGCCCCGATTCACAGGACAGTTATTGCGAACGCACACTGGTGCGGGATGGAATGTGTCTGTTGTCTGGTCAAAAGGGCTATGGAAGGCATACACGTTTAGATGCAGCCCACATTTTCCCTCGGGGCCATGATGTCGATGTACGTATACACTGAATCACTATTTCATTCATGCTCAATTCATTTGATGACACCACCCCATGTAGTGGTATTCAAAAGGCTTTCAGTCTCTTATCACAGATAAGGCACCTTTGTCTGAAATAGGTGGCCCTTCCAAGATTGACTCTCTTCAGAATTTAATAAGTCTAAAGGCTGACTTACATAAGGCTTGGGATAACTATGAAGTTGGTGTCAATCCTGATGTATATGACCTATTGTTATTTCTAGCCAAAGATAGTCTCACAGCTATGACTTCTTGCTACTAGGATGGTCATATCATCTTTCCTTTTTTGAGGGGCTATTTATACAGAAAAATGTATTAGAATCAGGGTTAGGAAGCCATCAGGGATTAGGGCGAAGTGGACGAGCGTCTGTGGAGGGAAAGCCTAACCTGGTTGATATAGAGGATAAAGGAGTTGAGTAGTTACAAAGTACGCATGCAGATTTTGTTGAAGTGGGGAGATGATGATGAGATATATGGTAAGATGAAGCAGAGATACGAAATTGGACAAGTATGCAGGATGGGAGAAGAGGTTGATGTGAAGTACGCATGCGGATTTTGTTGAGTGTATGGGTCAAAGTACAGATAAGATATAAGTATGGACTCTGGTAAGAGCAATGTCGATGGAGTGATTGAATTGATGGAAGCCATGCATTAAATTGAGAATGTCAATTGGTGAAAATTGAAATGATGCATGTACGAGGTGTTGACACAATCCGTGTGCGGATTATGTTGATGCGGATACAAGTAATATTATTATTTATACAGAAAAATGTATTAGAATCAGGGTTAGGAAGCCGTCAGGGATTAGGGCGAAGTGGACGAGCGTCTGTGGAGGGAAAGCCTAACCTGGTTGATATAGAGGATAAAGGAGTTGAGTAGTTACAAAGTACGCATGCGGATTTTGTTGAAGTGGGGAGATGATGATGAGATATATGGTAAGATGAAGCAGAGATACGAAATTGGACAAGTATGCAGGATGGGAGAAGAGGTTGATGTGAAGTACGCATGCGGATTTTGTTGAGTGTATGGGTCAAAGTACAGATAAGATATGAGTATGGACTCTGGTAAGAGCAATGTCGATGGAGTGATTGAATTGATGGAAGCCATGCATTAAATTGAGAATGTCAATTGGTGAAAATTGAAATGATGCATGTACGAGGTGTTGACACAATCCGTGTGCGGATTATGTTGATGCGGATACAAGTAATATTATTATAGACGCAATCCGTGCGCGGAATTCATCTCTCCATACCAAATCCGCATGCGGAATTCATCTCTCCATACCAAATCCGCATGCGGATCTCTCAAGGCCAAATCCGCACACAGATTTTATTCAATTGATAAGTGATGATGGAACGAACATTGGAGGTTGTCAGATGTGGTAGTTGATTGGTGGCAGTCTTGACATAATTGTGAATATCTGTGTCTCACCAGCAGTAGATAGCGTGTACATAGATAGGGTCACCGAGAGATGGTTAAAGAGTGTTATATTTGCTCATATATACTGTATTATGTATAGGACAGAATGGATAGAGATATATATATATATTCTTTGGTATTGCATTATACCCGTAGAGGCCGAATGTGGTTAGGGTTACATTGATGGCGATGTGGGCGAAGGATGGAGATGGTGAAGTTGGACGTGGTGAGGAACTGTTGAACTGACCTTCACTGATCTTGACCGATAGGAGATGTCAGGCAAACGAAACACAGGCAAAGCGAAGAGCAGGAGGCGGAGTAGTAAAGGGAAGATGAAAGCGAGGAGAGGCCGAAAAGAGGTATGTCGGATAGAGATTTCAGTGGATAGAATGAGTACTGATAGGAACGGTGAGGACAGATGGAAGAGATTAGAGAAGAGATAGTGGAGAGTGTGAGCAGAGAGATGATGGAGTCAGGAGAGGTAAGTAGATGAGGATTTGTGTGATTGATTGGAGAGCTGGGGCTGATTGATGAGAATGGATGCAGGCAGAGATAGACGGCGGACAGATAGCAGGGACGCCAGAAGTAGTTGATGCTCGAAAGATGGTGGAGAAGATAAGGAAGAGACGGCAGAGAGGAGTGAAGAGTACAGGAGAGGTGCGTAAAGAAAGCAGTGGGTGAGAGGAGACTGATTGTGATAATACTGCAGGGGGTTGAGTACGGGAGAGTGAGTGAGGAGATGATGAAAGCGGTAGTGATGCACAGTGCGGCAGTGGAGGGATTCCTGGGATACGGATTGGCAGTTGTTGTGGGATCGGGGGATCGGATGGTGTCTCGGCGGGGAGTTTCATCAGAGGTCCAGAAGAAGAGGGTATATTTTGAGGTTGAGGAGATTGGTGAGGGGCGAGTTGATTCGGAGCGGGTTGAGGAGTTGGCGAGAAGCTTGCGAGAAGGAATGGGGGCGGAGTACGTGAAGAACCGAATTGCGATTGGGGTGTATGCGGAGGAGTTGAAGGAGGGATGTCTGAGGAATGAAGTTGTGGATGTTGGAAAGCTGAAGTATGTGGAAGGGAAGGGTGGGGAGGGGAGGATTGGGGGAAAGATGTGGGTAGTGAATGGAAAAGAATACGGAATGGCTTGGGCGAAGTGGGACGATGAACTGTGTGGTGAAGCGGAACGGCTGGAAGAGGTGATGGGTGAGTATGGAGAGGGAAAGCGAGAGTATGACGAGGAGTACGATAGGGCAGAGAAGAGAGTGAGGGAGATTGAGATGACGGTTGGGAAGTACGGGACATGGGTGGTGGAGGTGTTTGACGAAAGTGAGTATTCGGGGAGTTCTGTGGAGGGAGAGAGAGCTAACGAAAATGGGATTTGATTCTGCAGGGAAGGTTGAAGGGCGGGTGGGGCTTGGAGAGTATTTGGGACGGAAAGATCGGAGGGAGAGGGTGGAGGAAATGAGTGGGGAGCGAATGACGCGTGCATTCAGGAAGGTGATTGAGAAGTCGAAGGAGTTGAAAGATTTGGGAGTTGAGGCAGGAAGCTCGAAATGGAATGAGGGCGTAAAGAAGGTGGCATGGGTGAAGGAGAAGAAGTGGAGGGAGGTGTTGAAGGATGAGGAATGGATAGAGGTGATGTCGCGATTGTTGGAGTTTGAGTATTTCTGGAGTGGAGGAATATGGATGGGAGGGATGGAGGAGTACGATGTGAAGACGATGTGGGGTGGGGTAAGTGATTGCGATAGGAAAAAGAAAAGAGAGAGTGCTGACCAGGCATGACATTGTTGCAGGTGATACTGCATATGGTGAGAACGGCAGTGAAGGAGCTGGAGGACCTGTGTCGAGTGGGATTTATGGGTAGAGAGGAAAGGGTTCGGGATGTGTTGAGGGAATGGGAGGAGATCTCAAGGCGAAAGAAAGGGCTGTTGGAAGGAGAAGAGTTGGATCTGGAGACCCGTATGCGGGTGATTGATATTGGGGAGGTGGGAGAAGAGATCCAGAGGGATTGGGGCACGACGAAGATTGATGCGTCAAGATACGATGGGTTGGCTCTGGAAGAGATTGACAAGACGTGGTGGGAGATCTTCGAGTTGAGGAAGGAGGGAGGGCTTGCGAGGTATGAGAGCTGGATGGAGGCTTGGAAAGAGTATTGGGATGAGGTTCGGGGGATTATGAGGAAGAGGTGGGTAGAAGGAGGGGGGGTTGATGAGGCGGAGTGTTCGAGCAGGCTTGCACGGCTTCAGTGGCATGAAGGGCAAGTGTATCCGGCGACGGAGCTGCTGACGACGGGGTACATGATGCGATCTGTGGAAGAGTTCTCAGAAGCGAGTGAAGCGATTCAATTGGTGAGTGCTATGATGCATTGAAAGGGTTCGAAGTGAAATCCGCATGCGGACTTTGTCGACGACTGCGCGATGAGCCACATGTGAGAGGAGATGAACGAAATCCGCATGCGGAGTTTGTCAGCACTTGGGATCATGAGACAGGATGTAGGGAAGTGAGAGACGAACTCCGCGCACGGATTTGGTTGCGAGATGACATATGTGATTGTGCTTGGTGGAGTTGATCGCTAATGAGGGGATGATTGGTTACAGGTTGGGCTGATGATTGAACCGATGCTGCCTTACATTCAAGGGCAGCAGAAGCATGGATATGATACAGCTTGGCACTCACTGAGAACGGTGCTTGGAAACTCGAAGAATTGGGTATCAGATACATGGGAGAAAGTGAGTATGAGCGGAAGTCTGAAGCTGCATTTGAATGTGATTCTGATGCATGGACATACAGGTGATGGCATTCATGCTGACAAATAGCAGATTTCTTGAGGGCGTGCAGGAGTTACTGAGGTGGAACGTTCCTCGGGCATTGGCGAGGCTGATTCATGTCACACGAGCTGAGGCGAAGGCATTTCTGGCACGGGACGACGAGTCGCTGATGAAGGATGGCCTATTTGGCATGTTTCTGGACCCTGAGGGGAATATACGCACGATGGCCGGGATGAGGGAGCAGGTGAAGAGGGTGCAGGGGTATTTAGATTCCGAGATGAGAAGAGGGGGAGCGCCATTCATGAACATGACGGCGGAGGATCAGCACTGGATTCCCGAGGTTATATTGGCTAAAGGAACGAATGAGCCATTCTGGGTCAGCGCGGGGGGGACGACATACCAGAAGAACAACAAGGCGGCAGCGCCAGTAATGGTGGTGACATTTGCGATGATGGCGGCAGTATTGGGAGAGATTGGTGGAGAAGAGACATTTATGGAGATGTTGGAGATGCTTCATGATGTTCTGAGGCAATGTTGGAAGGATGGCAGAGAGGAATATGTATTCTGGTTCGAGGGAGAACTTCCGAAGATATCGAAGGAGTATTCGAAAGGGGTGGAAGGGAGGAAAATCGTGATGGGGTTGTTGGATGAGGCATACAGGGGAACAAATAAGAGGTGGAATGCGGAGACGCTTGAGTTGAAGATGGAAGAGTATAGTCAGTGTATGGGAGGATTGGCGAAGATGAGGGAAGCGTTTGTGGAGAGTGGTGCAGGGGACTTCAGGTGGAAGGGTGGGTCGATTGAGTATGAGGTGGAGTTTCACTGGAATGAGCTGTGTCGGGTGAGGGTGCATGCTGGATTGATGGTGATTGAAAAGTGCTAACTTGGATAATGTGATGAACAGGGGGCCATTGGGAACTTGGGACGGCGATGGTTTAGGGAGGTGCAGGAAGGCAATGTTGCGCATCTGCGGGTGCGACCGTACAAGGTGCCTGTGCCATTGTCAAGAAAAGTTGAAGAGGACCGGATGTCGACGTCGAATGTGAATATGTATGAGATGGTTGTGAGGGCAGTGCGAGGTACGTGTATTTGGTATTGAATTGATAGAGAGTATTAAAGTGATTTGTATAATACAGGGCATGAGGAGGTGCCAGTTGGAGTTGGAAAGGACTGTACGAATCCATGGCTGGACCCGTCGTACCGTGAAGAGTACATGGTGGGGGCAAGAGGAGAGCTATGGTTGGAACAATGTAAAGTGGATAAGGAGAAGAGTGTGCAGGGGAGAGAAGAAGGAGGTAGAAGTGGAAGAGAATTGATTGTGGAGGAAGGGGAGAGAGAGGAGAATGTAGAGG